ACCATTGTCAAAAAGACGGAAGCGGAAAAGGAAGAAAGGACAGAGGCTATTCGTCAAGAGCAACAGGATGAGCGACTCCAACGTCAGGATATCACGAACGGACGCACAGTACTTGCCAGAAAGTCCAAGGAGTTCAGTCAGTTTGGGTTGCCAAGTGAGGTACGTTTTGGATGTTACTCCTGCAATACAGGCAACTTTATTCTAGAGATAAACCTGTAATGATACACTTCAAGTAAAAAAGGCTCCTACTTTCATGTGATTATCATGATGAGTATAGGAGGCGCGAGATAGAGTAGTGGTCTCGTAAACGCGAGATCTTGGTTTCGAGCATTAATCCTTATTACCAAGTCCTTTGGTGAGGACTTTAAGCCGACGGTTCTCTATTTAAACCTGATTTTCTGTCTTCCAATTTAGAATTTCACATTATCTCGCACAAACTATATGTGTCAGGTTAGAGAAGGACGCTTGATTTTACAATCTATCGCCAACTGAACCTGCAAATCGACAAAAGAATGATGATTCAATAAGATATTGATTACAAAGCCGATGCTTCGATAAATCATTACTTTACGTACTTCAACATTTACTTGATCTCTTTAAGAACTGTACATCTAAAGAAAGAAGAAACCATTATATCTGAGCAAATTTCTTGTACGCTCTTGGAGATAGGCGCCACTTAGCTGTAAATTTGCATGAAATCTCCAATAATGAAAAGTGATAACTAAAAACAAATGGAAATCATGTATCATGTCGAAATAAGAAGATATTGCTGAACAGAAAAACGCACAATGTTTGACAAGTTCATAAAACTATCCGAAAGAGATCTAAATTTGAAGTAATCGACTACTCTAGTAAAATCATATCTTCAGGTTCGTAGTAAAATCATGTTTTCACGTTCGTCTCACTGCTTCCAGGGCAGCGTTTCACGAAATAAACCGTCATAAGTACAAGTTCACCGATATCTCATTGAAAGGCGTGTAGTTTAACACACGTTTCAATGGGATGTCGGTGAACTTGTACTTATGACGGTTTCATGAAACGCTGCCCCAGATGATAAGTGATGACTCGTCATATTTGTTCTCTTTACAGACATCGCCTATTGAAGAGGACCTCGATAGAATCAGTACATACCATGGTAGCGATGAGAGTGTTGATGAGAACACCGATTATCTCAAATCTCTTAAGAGAGAGGATAAATATGATGACTTCTTTGACGCTCCAAAGCAATTAGAGACATTTATATTTTAGGTTAATTACTCATCTGTCTAATAGAAACATTCCTTTCCTGAAATGTACGATACAATTCTAGAAGAAAATGAAGTTATACTTCTCTTCCTCAAGTTTAGAATCTAATGAAATATTCTTCAAACCATTCAGTACCTAATTAACAGTCTATTTAAACTCAATCGCAATATATGAATCTACGAGAGACATAAAGCAAATCCTTTCACACATTATCAACTATAGAACCAAACATAGAAATGCTATTACTGAAGTAAACGTGTTGACTAGATAGAAAAATAACAACAGTATTGCATTGATTGCTTGGGTTGGTTAAATGCTAAATGCGTATACGATGCTCCTGTGATTTCATTTGCAGAATACATCGAACAGTCATTGACGAAAAGAGAAGATTTAGCAATCTTTAAAAACCGAAATATCAGTTTTCTTGAACGTGAAATACAAATACAAATTAGATTCAAATGGCGGTGACTGTTTATAAATTAGTAAAAGCTATTAAAGGTAGCGCAAGACAAGTTGCACAATGAAACATGAAAGAGTAACATAAAGTAAATTGACATGAAATTTTAACACAATGTAATGTGCGTTTTTCCTTGTATTTGTTTGACTCAGAATACATCAAAGCCAGTAAAAAAAAAAGTGTCGCGTGTGATAACTTTAGCGATGGCAAAGTAGAAAGATGATTTGTATTTCTGTCATTTTATAATAGTCCTTTCTGCAACCACCATACAATACAAAACTTGACTTTCACCCTTCTTTCGTTTGCAAGGGCTCAAAAGTTTAACATCTTTAATAACAACATCATTGTTATCTACAGAAGATGTTGAAACATTTTACAAAGGGCAATTAAATGAGAAAATTCCCTTCTTTTTCTTTAAATTACATATTTTGCTAATTTGAATGGCCGAACATAGTTGATGTACAATGAAACATAATTTCAACTGACCAGTGCCAAGGACTGTGAGAGATATATAGATGAAGTGAGAATTTTATTTTTATGTTATCTCTTACAACCATTATCATCATCATCATCATCTTTAACATCAACTATATTACCATCATTACAGTCATCATCATAATCATCACCAACTACATCTGTATCGTCATCTTCAACATCAACTATATTATCATCAACTATATCACCATCATAATCATCAAAGACTATATCATCATAAACAAAACTGTCATCAACTATAGCAATCATCATCAACATCAACTATATTGAGAAATGGTGGAAAGATGTCCCAGATAAATATGACAACCCCAACCAAGGGAAACCATGGATAGGAACAACAGTATAAAAACTGAATAATCCTGGATCAAGTGAGTTACAAGTGAGTTATATCATCAACATCACAAACAATATCATCATCATTTCTTGTTCACCAGCAACATAACCATCTCCATCTCCATCAATCTCATTTAAATCCCCACTGCACTACTTATAGCTACTTGCGCCCTCTATATAGCAAACAATGCCTAATTGGTGCCTGTTGATCCCCCATGATCCTCTTTTTCTTATGGTAATTGAGAGCTGCTTTGATGAGATAACCACCCGTCAGTGACCTTGCAGGGAGGTCTAATCCCCCTGGCCAAACTAGTGCAGTTCACCTCATTCTTCCTCAAATGATTAGTTGTATTTCATAACATTTCCTTAATTCGTTTGTGATTCTTAGTCTACTCCTGTTATTTCTCCTTTTGAAATCATATACAACAATCACTTTCCCAGCATTCAATGAAGCACCATCAATAAATGCAATTCAAATTTTTGGCATATAAGTTTATATATTCTTTTATATTATAAAAATTGCACATTTTTATACAACAAGTTACAACAATAAACGTAAGTAAATGTCCTTGATTGATTTTCAGATTTTCAGAGAAGTTGACATATCTCAAAACTCAGCAATTTTATAAGCTCCATTGAAATGAAAACTCCAGACTGGTAGAGTCTGTAGAAACAACATCATATTGGATAGGTCGAGCTTTTCTAAACAGGGAATCAGGATTGTGAGTTATTGCAGCACAATGCATGGTCAGTTGTCGTTCAACAGCTCCCTGCACCACACAGCTCTACTACTCATTAATCAATAGATTTTAAACATATTTAAACAATGATTGGCTGCTACACAAATTTTCAAATTAATTCTCTTGTATCAATCACACCTATCAAATAAAATGAATGGAAAATGTAAACTTAGAGTAATCAAAATCAGAACTGTTACGGGAATTCATTAGACTGCTTTTCCGGATTAATTCTGATTTCGGGCCTATGACTGTTGTGGTACTATATGAACAACATCAATAGTTCGTTGATGTGCGTAATGAGGCCGCGATTGGCGGAAGGAGATGAATAAAGCACTTTCAAGATGGCCACTTATACATGAACCTTGTCTACAGTGATCTCTTATTTATCCGTTCATCTGATCTTTCAACATGGTGGCAGCGGTCAAAAGAATTGCCATATCTATTACTATTGAACTGCAGATCACATAGGGCAAGCAATAATCTTGAATGACTTATGAAAGATTGATAAGGGACGGTTTTTGAACTGCCGACAATCACACTGCACAGCCAGCAGAGTAAACTCACAGCCGCGTCTCCAATATGACTTTGTGTCGGCGTAAGGTTGCGCACTATATTACGCGGGAAACACTACGAGTAGACTAGTGTATTGACTGTCAGACTAAAGCCCTATAGGCCTACATTCAGGACCAGAACTGATGCGGAGGCAGAACCAGAGCCTAGAGGCTCGCCAGGAGCAGAGCCTAGAGGCTCGTCAGGAGAAGAGCCTAGAGGCTCGACAAGACCAGAGCCTAGAGGCTCGACCGGGACCGGGAACAGTACAGCTCTAAGGCCGCTACCTCGGACTTCCAGCCCTGCACTGCATTATGGTTTTGGAACTAGCCGCCACTCGGACCCAGAGCGTCGTGTTGCGGACCGTGCAAGTAGATCCAGGTTATGCTGGACTTGGCCGGATCTGATTGTGGAATGAAAACTAGATTAGACTCTCAATCAAATGGACTATAATCTAAGCAGACATATAAATGTTTGGACTCGGTTTGAAACAATTAAACCATAGATAATTAATGTGCTTTGTTTGTCGTATAAAACTGGACTAGAGTCTAGATCTAGTCTAGGGGTCTAGATCAAGACCTAGCCTAGATAGATAGTCTAGACACCTTTTTCTAGTCTAGACTCCACTTATGGATCTAGACTAGACCGAGTATGAGAATGAGTATGACTAAGAAGGTGTAATTTGATCAAAATCTACTTTCACCTTGTTCTATATTACTGGACCTGGTCTAGACTAGATGTGTTTACTTTAGACCTTAACAAGTCCAATTTCTACATGTGGACCTGTCCTAATTAAGTGAATGATACACATATCTCTTACATGTATGTAGAAGTGCTGATGTACTATTACTAAATACTAACTTAGATCTAGATCTAGTGGTGGTAGACTCTACTGCCACTGGTACTATAGACCAAACAGTGGTCCGCGGTATCCCCTTAAAGCGGGTCCAGGACCAGTTGTCTTTGCTAGACCAATTACACAAGGGGGTCTAATTGTCTATGGATCTAGACTTGATATATTTTGATACATTTGAACCTACATTTTGAAGTTGTACATATAGATCTAGTCTATAGTGTAAATGCTAATTGCTATGTAGGCCTACATGTCGATTTAAGTCACAATTCATGTATTACATGTAATTACCTGTGTAGTCCAAGACCCCATTGTAGAAACCAGGACCATGGCTCGCTATCCAGAGATGAAGTGGGACCCTCAGTGTGGTCTCGCTGAAGAATTCACGTTATTTCAACAGCGAATGGAACTTTGCCTTCTCGATAATGAGATAACTGATACTACAAAACAGGCAACAAAAATAAAGATAGCTCTTGGGAACGAAGGGTTACGCAGGATAAACGCCTCTAGCCTCAGTGTAGAGGATCAGAAGGACCCAGGCAAGCTATGGGCCCTAATCGAAGGCCAACTGAATGTCAAAGTGAACTTCAGGATTCATCGTCTCGAATTAATGCGATACAAGCAGATGTCTGGAGAAACGATCGACGAGTTCGTCAATAGATGTCGGAGTAAGGCAAAGGAATGCAAATTCACCGAGGGGGAATTGAGTGAAAGACTCATAGAGCTGGTGATTTCGTCTACACAACTCGAGTCATTTCAGAAAGACCTACTCGACAAAGAAAAGGGGTTCTCAATTGATAAGCTTCTTGAAGAAGGCCGCAAATATGAGGCCATTCAAGTCGGTAAACAGTGCCTGCAGACGCTCCACACCATTGGAAGTGGGAACATTGATGCTGTTAGTCACGACAGTAGGCAGAAATGCAGGAACTGTGGTCTTTCACACCTTCCAAAGAGGTGTCCAGCCTTCGCGGACCTGTGCAATTCGTGTGGCGTCAAAGGACACTGGGCGAAGATGTGTCGAAAGACGAAAGAACAGGTCAAACCGAAGATCCCTCCTAGACGTCCACCATCACAAGACAGGTGGAGCTCACAGCAGAGACAGCCCAGAAACAGGCAGTATAGGCCTACATCCTTTCATAGCAGGAACCAGCGTAAGGTTGACGAAATTGGACCGGACGACACAAACCAACCGGACAGTGGGGAATGTGAATTCCACATGATACATATATCGCTAAACTCTATTGACTCGGAGGAGACCGAAGCATATGCGAGTATCAACATCATATGTCCAGACCTGAGGGGTCATCATCGCCTCAATGCAAAGGTTGACACAGGAGCCAGCGGTAATGTTCTGCCACTGCGGACGCTGAAGGACATGTACAGGGCTCGATGGAAAGATGTTATCCGTCCCACTACTACGCGACTATCTGCCTACGGAGAAACGCCTTTACGCTGCTTAGGCACATTGATGATGTCGATGATGTATGAAGGGTCGCCTTGGGTCGTAGACCAAACATGGTATGTTGCGGACGTAAAGGGACCAGTCATTGTCGGACTTCCTACTTCCAGAAAGCTAGGGATTGTTACGATTCACACAGTAGAACAACAGATGGGCCTGGACAGTCCAAATGATCTTCCTCCCATCAGGTCAGCTAAAGACCTACAGGCGGCTTACCCAGACCAGTTTGACCAGATTGGGAACTTCAGTGGCAAGGCAACGTTGCACTTGAAGAAGGATGCAACTCCATCAATTGATGCGCCTCGAAAATGCAGCATCCACCTGAGGGACAAGCTCAAGAAAGAGCTGGATCAGATGGAAAGTAACGGCATCATTAGGAAAGTTACTCATCACACAGATTGGTGCAGTTCCCTCACCACAGCCTTGAAGAAGGATGGGTCATTGCGAGTCTGCCTTGACCCCAAAAGGCTCAATCAAAACCTGAAAAGATGCCCTCACAAGATTCCAACTCTAGAGGAGCTCAATCCTGCATTCTCACAGGCCAAGTACTTCTCGAAATTGGACGCAAAGGCAGGATATTGGTCAGTCCACCTGGACGAAGAATCGCAGGAGCTTACTACATTCAGATCACCATTTGGAAGGTATTGCTTTCGCAGACTTCCATTTGGACTTTCGGTGAGTCAAGACATCTTTCAACAAAGGATGGACACAATCCTTGCACAGGCGCCAGGCTGTGAAGGCATAGCTGACGACATAGCTGTATTTGGCAAGACTGAACAGGAGCATGATGATAATCTCTGGAGACTGATGGGAGTTGCACAAAAAGAAGGTCTGGTGTTCAACAGTACAAAGTGTGTGATCAAGGCGAGAAGCATCAATTTCTTTGGTTCACTGTACACAGACAAAGGCATACAACCAGATCCTAGCAAGTTGGAGGATGTCAGAGAAATGCCTACACCACAGAACAAGGACGATCTCCAGCGAGTGTTAGGGATGATGACCTATTTATCACCATACATCTCAAACTATGCTGAAAAGTCAGCAATACTGCGTGATCTTCTGAGGAAAGATGTTCCCTTTACCTGGCAGGAGGACCATGAGGAATGCTTTCAACGATTGAAATCAGAAATTTCAGAAGGAAAGTGTCTACGGTACTATAACCCCAGTGTCCCAACAGTACTAGAGGTAGATGCATCGCTCAAAGGACTTGGAGCCTGCCTCCTTCAGAATGAAAGACCAGTCGCATTCGCATCAAAGAGTTTGTCAGATGCACAATCAAACTACTCAAACATCGAGCGAGAGACATTGGCACTTGTTTTTGGGATCACACGTTTCCATTCATATCTGTTTGGTAACCAGTTCACAGTCTACACTGACCACAAACCACTCGAAACGATCTGTAGAAAGCCCCTGGGGAGTGCGCCTCCAAGATTACAGAGGCTTCTCGTCAAAATACAGGGCTATGATTGTGATGTCCTATACAAGCCCGGAAGTCAGATGACATTACCAGACACACTCAGTAGGTTGCCAAACCCCAGAAAGAGAGGAGACGTCATCGTTGAGCTCCATGTAGATGAAGTCATGGAATTAGAAGAGAATCATGACAATGATCTGGCAAGCTTCACACCTATGAAGCAGACACAGCTGCAGAGAGAGACAGCAAGCGATCCAAACTTGAGGCAGCTGAGTAAAATTATTCACGATGGATGGCCAGACGTGATTAAGCAGGTTCCAAGCAGCTCAAGGATTCACTGGTCATACCGAGAGGAACTGGGTGTCGCCAACGGCATTATCTTCAAAGGAAGACAGGTGTTGATACCTTCAACGCTGCAATCAGACATCCTGGAGCAGCTACACACGAGTCATATGGGTATAGAGAGAACTCGTAGACTAGCAAGGGACACGGTATACTGGCCAGGCATCAATAAGGATATTGAAAACCTTGTCAAGACTTGCCCTGCTTGCCAGGAGAACCAGGATCGGCAACAACCGCCAACCGCACGAAGTTCCAATGACGCCATGGACAAAGGTAGCCACAGACCTGTTTTTTCTTGATGGAACTGAATACTTACTCATTACTGACTATCATTCCAAGTTCCCTGTGATCAGGAAAATGCACAGCACCACAAGTGCTTCAGTTGCTACCGTAATGAAAGAAACCTTCAGCCTCCTGGGAGTGCCCTCCGAAGTTATATCTGATAACGGACCCCAGTTCATTGGAAAAGCTTTCAAAGACATGTGTGAGTCATGGAACATCAAGCACACCACCTCATCGCCGAGATATCCGCGCTCCAATGGCCTAGCTGAGCGGATGGTACGCACCATAAAGTCGATGATTAAGAAGTGCAAACAGACAGGACAAGATGTCCAAAAGGCACTTCTCCACCTTCGAGCAACGCCTCAATCGGACCTGCCATCTCCTGCCGAGATGATGTTTGGGAGGCAAATGAAGACAACCCTTCCAGGTCGCCATGATCATGACAGACAGATGAGCGATGTCCACGACCAGCTCCAGCGAAGGCGGGATGTGATGAAGACCGACCATGACAGACATGCCGGTCGGGTACTGTCCCTCCTGAAGGTCGGCCAGAAAGTCAGAACTTTGCATCCAGACGACAATACATGGCTGCCGGCTGAGGTTTCAAGAGTTTGCCCAGAACCAAGATCATATGAAGTGACAACACCAAATGGCAGGGTGTTAAGGAGAAACAGGTCCCATCTGCGAGAGATGCCGATACAAATAGAGACGGCAACAGCACCCACACCAGGGACAGAGCATCTTCCAAGAGAGGATGGTGACAACTGCACAACACCCGCAGGAACACAGGATTTCGATGGTTCAATCCCTCGTTCTGATTCTTTTGCCTATGTCACACGATATGGTCGCAAGGTTAATCCCCCATCTCGTTATCAAGAATAAAAACTTCATCGATTAATAGATTGATAAACAACAACTATACTTTATTTGTTTAATGATTTAGCATACCCGGTAGAATTACATTGATGATAGTAAAACCTCATATTTGACATCGGGTGATTCAATTTCTTAATCAGTATACATGTATATAACCAAAATGTTTTATATAACTGCCACGCTTAATATTGGCTATCTTTCAACAGAAAATCTCTTCTGTATATAGAACCGAATTTAACAATTGTATGTCGTGCTCGTGCATGATATTTCTTCTCTCCACACAAATGACCAGGTATTATAGTTTTGTTACGCTGATTTGTCGTATTGCTAAGTCCTAATTGAAATGGGATGAAAAACGTTTTTTCACAGGAAAATGTTGTTTATAACTGTTTGCCAGAAAGCAATATGGAATCACTTTAGTTTATTCCAGCAAAAGTTATGTAAATTATAAAAAGTTGAATTACATTATACAAGTATGTCGATTCAGCGACAAAAATATGCCTGTTATAGTGGAGGACACTATTTTACCATTCTAAAATTTGTTTTTCTTGTTGAAAGGTACTTGTAAGTTTTAGTTGAACAGTTTTTAGTACTGTGCTTCTCAAAAAAAAAGAAAAGAAGAATATGTTTGGAATGTTTCCTCTTGTTGAAATTTCTAAATTGTGTTACTGTTTTAGTGGATAATTTCCATCATGTACAGTGCCTATTGAGCAGGGAAGATATAACTGGTTAATGAGAGCACTATCAACTTGTCATTGAAAGAAGGGGGATGTTGTGGTACTATATGAACAACATCAATAGTTCGTTGATGTGCGTAATGAGGCCGCGATTGGCGGAAGGAGATGAATAAAGCACTTTCAAGATGGCCACTTATACATGAACCTTGTCTACAGTGATCTCTTATTTATCCGTTCATCTGATCTTTCAACAATGACATGGAATATTAAAAAGTAATAATTCAAGGAGATCATTTAGAAAAAGGAAAGAAAATTAATCCTTCATTATTATGGAAAATATCAATTCGAGGTACCTGTAAACTGAGAAATATTGACTGAAACTTTAATGACAAACCAACTCCCACCAAGACCCATCATAGTAAAATTCACCCCCCTTTTGCACCTGCAATCTCATGAATGATCAGGAACCGCAAACTGCTGAAAGGGACAATGTATAATCCTACTGTAGCCATTTCTCTCTCCCTCCCTAGTGACTACCAGTTACAAAGTTACAAAGAGTCCCTGTGTCCTTGCTTTGTCCTGGTATCTCACATAGCTTTACGGCATCAAGTCACCTTGTAGTAACCATGCTCGAGGCTGCAAAGAAACAGAGAGATGGATCAGTGTTAGCTTCCACGTCAGCCTCATAACTTTTTGTAAAGGTTTTTCCTTTTGCACAGCGATTATACAAAAATGACCTGCTTTGGGGAAAACTTCAGCTTGAAGTATATTCTGCAAGTATTGTAAGACAATTGGTATACACACTGTAGATGGAGCTTTTGCTGATGCAGGACTAGATCTGGTAGAATGGGATGGGACATTGACCACAGAGGCCATAGTTTATGGATGTTTTACATCTGAGCCCCGTCTTATAAACAGGTGCGATCAATCCCAAACTTATTTGCCATTGATATCAATCGCAACCAGGCGCGGATCCACAGGCCGATTTGACGTGCCCGCCCCCACCCCCCAGAACCCCCTTAACGTTTAAAAAATAGAATAGTAACGTAAATATTTACCTCCCCCAGACCCCTCCCCCACCCACAAAAAAAATTAGTGTTTCTCCTCTCCATCCCCCTGCTTATTCACCGGCTTGCCGAAGCGCCACTACATTTTTCCTCAAAAACTGGACCAAAACAAAAAATGTATGTGCTCTTACATTGACCACATAGAATGCAGATCTTGGATCAGATGTTTCACATCTGGTGCTTATACATGCTTTTAACTAATAGTCATACTGTATTAGCAGATTCTTGATCTACATTTATGACAAAGCTTGCAGAATGAACATTAGAACCATTGAATGCTAACCCCCCCAAATATATATTTTTTCACTGTTTAAAAGGAATTGTTTAAACAGTTACAATGCCAGTCAGATGAACCTCTTCATTGATCACGTAAATTTGATAAACACGTGTCGTAAACCTTGGTCTCTCTGAGCTAGAGTTATGAGACATTTTTATGCAAAATATTAGGAGAAGTACACGTCTATAATGGTACAGCGCTTAGGAACATTAGTATTAAGCGCTACATAAATGTTACTATTATTATTATTATTATCATGAACAGAAATACATGTCATACAACAGAAACAAAGAAAATATATATATACATCATGCAAATTATAATTCTTGCATAAACACAAAGTTAATGACTCAATCATTTACAGTATCATGCACATTATGTCACTCTTCATACCTTGGGTTATTGCATACCACTATCAATTTTCTGTCTCTAGCATGACTCCCGGCCCCCCCACTCCGGGGTCGGAATGACCGCATGCGTGTTACCAAAATGTCCGGTTAAGGGGTACTTTTCGTGAGACAAAGTCTGGCCCGAGAATTGTAAGAAAATGGGCTATTTGACTTTTCACCCAGAGATTTCTTTAAAAAGGGGGTGTTTTTTTTTTTTTTCTCTCATCTCTTTGGACTCCTGAGAAATTATTCCGAATTTAGGGGGGTAAATTGAGCATTTTTCCAAATTTAGGAGGGTACATTGAGCATTTTCCCGAATTTAGGGGGGTCTCCAAGGCAGGAAAAGCCAGCAAAAAGCCCGAGAAAGGGGGGGGGGGGTTCGGAAATGTTGGCAGTACTCAGATAGGGGGTGCTTTCAAAAAGAGGGAACGAGCATATGCGTACCCTAAATAACACTGAGTGGGGGGGGGGGGGGCCAGGGCATGACTAAAGCACACCTATATACAAAGATGGAAGATACTTATGCTAAAGCGCAATGCTAGGGGGTACAAACAAGCAGGGTTTCTTGAAACCATCAATCTCTTGCTTGATGAGATTTCTAAGTGAGTAATTGGAGAAAGATATTGAACCAAAATGTTGAAAATGCTAATAAATGTTATAATATCCACCTCCACAGAAAGGACATCGTGTCTATATAAATGGAACATTTACATACAAAAGCTAAGGGGTTGCAATTAGTTGTTAATTATATCCATTATCCATTAATCTCTATCGAGCTATATTTAGATTTTTGGGTGATAATACAATGTAAGGGAAATATAAGACACAACATGAACAAAAAGGTAAAATAACAACTAAAATAGCCACTAGGACACCTGTCTATAATACCCCATTCACAGTGGTTTTGAAATTTGTAGTGGCGTTGTAGCGGAGCGGCAACACCGCCATAACACCGCTACAAATGCATTCACAGTAGAAAAGTTATCCCGCTGCAGCAGCGGGATAAATATCATGTACCCATTCACGCTGCAGCGGGTGATTTTTATTACCTCCGTAACAAACACGTGTATGCATGGCTCATGACCCGCGAGTGACCCCGATATGACCGGAAATACTTCAGCGCGGGGTTTTCGATTGCTTGAAACGATGAGGCAAGCTTGCAAAAGGTAAACATGTCAAGTTGCTTTTTGTATCCTCGATCATATTACTTTTTAAAAAACTAGCATTTTTATTGCTTCCAGTCAGAATATTTTAATTTTTTGAAGTGTGAAATATTTTTATTTGGATAATTATAATATCTACATAATAATAAAATCAATTTGAATCCACTGGTTACTTTATTTCTATTTCACTTTATGTTCCCCATTGCTGGAGAAAAGAGGTCAGTGATAGGTAAGTAAACAAATCACACGTGTTTGTCGCGGTGTTATAGCGGAGAGCCTTCACACTGAGTAAACACCGCGACAGCAGCGGGACTGTCCCGCTGCTGTAGCTAGGCGAACCTAGCGATAGTTTGTCGCGGCGTTATCGCGAGGCGGTGTTATCCCGCGATAGTTTATAACGGGTCCGAGCCTTCACACTGAAGACAACACCGCGACAGCAGCGGGACAGTCCCGCTGCTGTCGCGGTGTTTGAGGCCACTGTGAATGGGGTATAAGAAACATCCACAAATGGAAAGCTTTTATTCTAGGGATACAAGAAAGCAAAACAGGTGGTTTATTATATACCCATCATCCTCTGGGTTGCGAGGTCTGGGTGATTAAAATGCCCACAGTCCAAAATCATTCAACAGCATTTCATGACTATAACAATAGCCAGCTTTACAGACAGGACATGGTTTCTATGATGATGAAACATCCACATGCTAAAGCACAATCTTAGGGGGTACAGGCAAGCACAATGTTATGCTAGGAGCACAGGAAAGGGAAATGAGTTGTTAAATATACCCATGATCAATCTCTTGCTTGACTGAGTGGTCTCAATTAATACACTTTCACAAAATGTTGATGAACAATCATACAAAGGCTGATTCTACAGGACACCTGCCTATTAAGATGGAACATGCTCATGCTACAGAATGAAAACTAGGGGGTACAAGTGAGCACAATTAGTGGATTCATATACCATCAACCTCTACATGTAGCTAGCTTGACTGACAGGTCTGGCCTGATTATAAGTTAGGAAAGGTAACCCGAGACATTAAAAATGTCTACTGACAACTAAGGCCCAGCGCACACTACACAATCTGACTGCGATCTAAATTTGGAAGAATTTACAACAGCATTTTATGTGAACATGAAAACCCTAAAAATCTTGATTAAATCAAAAGTTTCCTTGGAGGAAAAGCTAAATCAGCTCAGAATTGAAGTGCCGCCAGACCAGTAGTGCGATTGTCTACAATTTTAAATCTATTCAGCATTTTTTCTGACTGGAAGGCTTAATGGCACTAATATATCTAAATCAGTAAAAAGTTCTTTGTTTAAATTTCTATAATAAATGTAATTACTATTTCTTCAATAATCAAATCACATTCAGATCATGTAGTGTGCGCCAGGCCTAAAACAGCCACTAGTAGGACCTATTTTTGTCTAGAAACATTCACATGCCAAAGCACAATGCGGTGTAGGGAGCGAGGGGTTACACAAAAGGGGGCAATAAGTGGTTTCATATACCCATGATCAATCTTTGGCCTGACTGAGTGGTCTCTTAGGAGTGCCATGTATAGATGATCTTTTACTTGCTTCTCCTCTTCCTCCTTCAAGTACCTCCCTTCTGTTGAGGGATATATGGGTCGATAATGATTGGAGGGGGGGGGGGGGAGGGGAGGGGGAGGCAAATATAAACATTGGTGAAAATATGAAATGAACCAATGGCCGACTCTGACAAAAGGCTGTGTCCATAGAAAATAATTATTCTGATAATTCACGCTAAAAAAACAGAGGCATGTACACAGTATGTGAATTTTGAATAAAAAAGATTCCTCATGCAACCAAAAGGAGAACAGAAAGTAGTAAGAGACCCGTCTGACTTGAAGACCTAAATGGGGTCAAACCTAGCTAAAATGACAACCTGTATATACAGGTCACCTCTGTCGTAATTAGTCGTTTGTCATTAGAACATTTTTGATGGACCTGTTTAAAAAGATTACATGCACCTGTCTGTTGCTTGCTCTACTTAGGTCAGAGTTATCACTACATGCAGATTTTAATGTTGTACATGTACATTACAGTGGAACCTTGTACATTGCAAACTCCATTGGATCATGGGATTTTTATATCAGCCTTAAAAAACCATAGCATGTAAAGAAGTGATACCAGCAAAAGAGGGTTCATAATAACAGTGTTCTTAATATAATCATGTTTCACTGTAATTAACCTGCAGAGCAAAAGATCCTTTATTTGTGAATAACACTTTTGTAAACTAAGAGGAACTACAGTTGCTCTACAAGTACGTATCTTGATGTACAGAATGGTGGCAGATGATCAACATCAAGCAACCAACCAACCAACTGCTTTATTCAATTCTGGTTTATTGTAAATAAAAACATACAGAATAAAAAGTCTGGAGACTCATACAATTCAGTTTACAAATAATGAATACATACAAGAATAAAAGAAATCAATACTTACAGCAATCTTTATATTAATTACTGATTCTAATGAAACAGAAACAAAAACACCTCAAAGAGAACAAAAAAATGACCCTTCCAGCTGTATTGACAATGCAAGGGATGCAATGTTTTCTCTTCACCTTTATACTGGCAGAGTAATATATTTGGCAGAAGCAATTTCAATTTACACATTTTGGAAATGACAATCTTTCAGGGTATTAAAAACGTCATTAGGTGTTGATTGGTGCAATAAAATATGCTATATTTTCAAGTCCATGTAGCCCCATTATAATAAAAGCATAATTTTTTTCAAGTACAGTTACAATTGTTTTCATTCTGTTTGAAAGGTTTAAGTGGTACATATGTAGTGATAACTGTCTTAGGTCCTATGGTTATATAACTTACCTGTCTGAAGCTCGGTGGTTCAAATGTTGCTTGGTGACCACAGCACTCTTGAGGAGGGTATTGATGGAGGTGAAAGGTCGTACGCTTGCTTTCATGCCGTCAACAGTCCTGTAAGATAACAAATACATTGGTACATTACTGCACTACTATCTATATATCTATCTACATGTATGTATGTATGTATGTATGTATGTATGTATGTATGTATCTATCTATTTGTATATCTAAGTCACATAGCTTGGAGGACGTTGGGGCAACAATGAAATGGACCCTGAGAAACAGGTTCATAATAACTTTAAACTGTCTTTAGCTGCTCTGGTGAGTTGCTCGGATGACATTCAATACTTGCGATTCAAAGGGTCTATCAAACTATTATCCTATGATGGTTTTGTGAAATGCTGCCCCAGATGTCAAGAGCTTCCCTATCCAAGTTTTTACTTGTCAAAAATGGGTTTGTGTCTGTTTTTTGAGGATTAGACTATCAAGTAATCAAAATGTGATGCCATCAATCAATGTCTAAATTCCCATTGACTCTCAGACCCAGAGATGCCCACTATCATCAATATCATCATCGTCATCATAATCATTACCATAACTAGTGCTTCAATGCCTGTATGCGCAAGTATGAATTACACATACCGGTAGTGTATTTATCTAATTGTTGGGTTATCCCTTTAATCAATTTAATGAAGTACATGGTTTAAAAATCAGTTTTTGATAGCATTTTTTAAAACTTGAATTACAACTATGGTTAATTACAACATTAAAACAAGTAATCTGAGAAGCCATACATGCACTAACAAATACACACCAACAAATAAATTTGGCAAATATTTTGAGTTCTAGCCTAAAATCTATGATCTGAAGTAGAACTGTATAAAGTATTTTTAGGATTCCTAATCAATGCAACCATTTTCAACATTGAATGATAATAACAGACTACTTACCTCGTGGCGTAATCTACATCATAGCACTTCCCCTGTACCTCTTGCTGCAATGCTGCTAGGTCAGTCTGCAGTTTAAAAACAAAGTGGTACCATATTGTGAGAAATAGATCAAACATGAAAAAGAGATTAATATCCTACAAATCTAGTATACAGCCAACCTCGCGTAAGTCGACCGTAACGGGACCGAGTGAAATACTTCTGACTGAGACACTCTTCCACTTGTGTGTCTGTTGTAGAAGTATGACTTATACATATGCACTTCATGCACATGTACATGAATCCTTATGGAATATGTACAAAATCACCATTACTTTAACTCAATTTAATATGAATACGATATAATAAGATTTGTCCTTGTCAATACATGTATATGGTAAATTATTCAAAGCATCACTGAAAGTTGGTTGTACATGCACTTCAAATCAAATCAAATAAAAAAAAATCACCTTGCACTGTGACAGATGAGGCAAAGATCGACGAACATGCTCCTGAAGCCGATAGAGGGCCAGGGAAGGTTCATTCACCACTATGTGTAGGCATTCAGAGAACTTGTCAGTAACTGTGAATAAAAAATGACTACGTATTAAAACATTTATTTGCATATTTGAAAGCCAGGTAATTATTTTCACTCTTTTTGATGGTGTTAATTAATAAATAAACCATGCAACATGTAGTAGTCTTGTTAAGGTCAAAAGTCCTGTCGTATTTCCCCAAAAATGCTATATGGTATTGCTAGTGTGGATGATGCAAATATAGATACAAATAAAACAGAAATGGAACAACCTATGTAACTTAAAATGTAATACAATTCAATGTCTACTCTTTCATTTTTTAAGTAATAGTCAGTGTCAGGCTATTAGCTGGGATTTTAAAATTAGGTATTCAAATCAGCAAAACAAAAAAGATGTCCAAATAATGGGAGCCTCCCTCAAATCATGTGGATTAAAACATATGTTGTAGGGCATTTTCCACTAGTGATGAGGATCTTTCAGAAAGTCAGACTTCCTCTTGGTTAAAAGCCAAAAAAGTGTATTTTCAAGAAAGAATATAGCCTGACTTTCTTTTTCCTTTTACGCTGCAACAATGACACATTATAACCACATTCTCTGACAGAAGTTTCAAATACTTCAGGAAATATCCTTTCAGTTACCTTTCAGGGAAAAACAAAAACAACAAAAATAACTACTGGGTAAATAAATAAGTAAATAGATGTATATTTAAGTCCTTTTCATCAAGCATCCACAAAATGTCTCACCTTTCTTCACCTTATAATCAACTTCCAGATCAACACCATCTATTGCAAACAAAAGACAGCAAAAGAAAATGGTCAGATTTGCAACTAAATAAACTGTGGTACTGTGTTAATGCATGTTCAGATATAATGCTGCAGAACTGCAGTATTCTGATGAAGAAGAGTCACTAGAGTGTAATATGCTTCATATTTCTGTATGTGCTCATTGAATAAGCCAAGTCCTTTATTGCATGCACTTTTTGCAGGGGCTTACCACGCTACATTTGAACAATAAATGCCTTAATTTCTACAGAACAGGGAAGTCCATCTTGTCATTAACTTGGTATAAATAGAAGTAGAAAAATGAGAGAAGCAGAAAAATGTGAGAAACAGGTCGGTGAAAGTTTTTTTTTTAAACCGATTGAAAAAAAGAAAGTTATGAAACTTTGAAGGTACAATCAATCAAACACAAATTGGCAACTCTGCGACGGATCTTGCAGGCTCCCCTCCCATTTGCCCTGTATTAGAATTTATATTTTCCCTGCATGAAGAACATTTTCAATCATACATTCAGCCTAAATATAAGTATTGTAAATATATTTTCATACAACCCCTGGATGAAAAAAACTATTCCGTCATTAATAATTAAGAAAATGAATGTTTATGGAATTTTTCTGAATGGTGGAACTCCTGTTTTAATAGTTCCTAAGAGTTTCTGAGCAGAGCCAGATTATTCTGTAGCCAATAGCTGTTAAGCTTGAGGTTATATTTCAAATCAGTATCATAGATTATGATCTACATTTATGTTTGCTATATCAAAAACCCAAAGTTTCTCATCACATTTAAAATCATCCCTGACTTGCCTCTCTGAGCTCCATGTACAATCTGTGGATGTTGCATGGCACCTTGTCTTCCAACTGAATACGCATGGAAGCTGTGACTGTCGATGTCCATCAGAGTCAAGTCTGGCCCAAAAAATCTAGTTGAATAAATTGTCTAATGGCTGAACAAGAAGACAGATCGAAATACTAAATAGCTGAAATACTAAATAAAAACTGCATCCAAATTTTCAAAATTAAACGCACCAACCAATTGTATAGATCATCTGGATCTAGTAGACCTCTACCAAGTCACTGACTCTACAGAATAAAATGAAATTATCAAGAATAAAGATTCTATAGATCTTCTATAATGCGAGTGGTCTACTCTATCTCTATTCAACATGTTAATAAACATGTACTAACAAACAGTTTCAATGGGTTGCCCGCAATATGACAGTTTTGAATTCTGTGAAATATTGCCTCAGATGCCCATGTCCATGTCCGTCTTTTGAGGATTATTCATGCCATCAAAATGATCAATACTAAATTCCCATTGATTCTCAGAACCAGGAATGCCCTCTATCATCAATATAGTTATCATCAGGCATATACTATAACTAATGTTTCAATGCCTTCATGCCATGAATTACAAGTTACAAAGTAGTAATTGTTTAGAAAGTATCAAATTCAAAATGTTAACAACACGCCAGTGCAGCGACACAGTGGTCAATACCCCGGCCCACCGGGCGCGGCCGGGGTGATTAGGCCCTACCCGCCCTCGATATCACCTAAATATTTTGGAATAGGTCTAGAGCTAGAAGTCTATGCCCTAACTCTTTCTTGATTAGAAAAGAATCCTTTATACACACTATGAAGAATCTGACTTACCAGTACACAAGTCTACGAAGCATTCATTTGAAGACTAACGAATGACAGTCAGACACATCAATCATGAAAACAATAACATTTCATTTCTGGGCCGGGTGTGTAATGGACATCTCGGCTACAAAGGAATTCGCTCTATGAAAACTCGGTATTGGATCCTAACATAGAGGGTACAAACTTCTTCTTCTTCTTCATCTTTCATTATTTTTTGTTTTTGCTCTTCTCCCTCTCTCTCTCTCCTCCCCTCCTCCTTTTTTCCTTCTTCTTCTTCTTCTCCTTCTTTTTCGGGGGTCTCAGTCAGTAAACATAAATATGCGTGACCAAGAAAACGCGTATAAAGGGGTGTTTTTTTAATTGGACGCGACGCATTAGCGGTATGGAAAAAAATACGCCCCCCCGGGCGGTGCCTCATTAAAGACGTCCATTTTGGGTCATTTTCTTGTTTAGAAGTACACTTTTTTGAAATACCCGTTTAGAGTATATAAAATTCGGGGAAAACCACGCGAAATCCTCGTTTAGGGTGTATTTTGGCATCAGAAGAAATCCTCGTTTAGTGGGTGTCTGGAAAATCTGTGAACACGCATGCTTAATTACAGCACTTCTACATGACTGAGACCCCCGTGATCAGGCCAAACAGTTATGCTTATAATATAGTCTGTAAAATAAATTAAAACAAAAACATAATTATACGTCTGACGTTATGCTTCATTATTTTGCCTGCCATGTAACTGTTCTCTTGTGTGTGTCGAGGTCTTGACTTAGTAAACAGTATTGAACTTTGACCAAACATAATCATAATGCGGTTGCACAATACCTGTATTTGATTTTGCCATTAGTAAAATTTGCACAATCAAAATTCATTAGCGAGCTAGTGCGTGTATGCAAATATCAAAAGCACCATACTTTGGAGCCTTGATTACAACTGCCGTGTCGGGAATATAATGTGGTTTTACTGAGCGATCGACAATATGTTTAGGGAGCCTGTAATGGGACAAACGAAACTAATAGTCGAATATGGTTTGGAAACATGTACACTGAATCATCATGTAATATTCCTAGTTAACTTGTCACCATTATTGGAAGGTCTACTAAGGGCTGACGAGGTTTCCCATAGCTGCCATAGAACCAAATTTGCAAATTATAAACCAGGACTAAATCAGGACTGAAGAATAGGAAGCATATACAGTGATAGTGGAGTACAAATATTTGACATCTATGCGTACCAAATCACTTAAGATATCATGGATAAGAAGATTAATTTATATAATAATAATAATAATAATAATAATAATAATATATATAATAATATATTATAACAGTGGCGGATCCAGGGGGGGGGGCCGGGCAAAAAAAAAAAAAAGTTGGGCCCCCTCCCCTAAGAAATCCTGGATCCGCGCCTGTATTATAAATACCTTTTATGCTCTACTCGTTTGTCATACCCATCTCCTCAGTTATTAACGGGAATTGAACGTTACAATATTAAAGCCAATTAACGTAATTCAAATAAATAAATAATGAAGTGTAAGTTGGGTAGTATTTTATTTTCACTTAGTAGTTTTGTATAGACTATATATCGCTTACTCGTCTCCCTTCTGTCTCTTCCTCCTCCCCTTCTCTTTCTCTCCCCTCCGGCTTCCTTTCTCTCTCTCCCTCCCTTTTCCTCTCTCTCCCCTCTCTTTTCTACCATCATCTTTCTTTCCCTGCATATTCATGCTTTTTCAATAATTGTTCATGGTGTAAATCGGCCTCTGAGAACAGAAAAAAAGACAAGTAGAAGCTCAGAGCCTAAAAGTAGGGAAAAACCTAGAAACATGTTGGTGAAAGTTTGTGAAAAATTAGAGAAAGAGTGGTTAAGTATTTTTGTCATGATTGTCTTACCACATTATTTGGCTATGCGGTTTTACCAGGAAGCTGTAATAAATTACAGCTTCCTGGTTTTACAGTTCATTTGCGATTTCTATAACGAGTATTTTGTTTTGTTTTGGTACATTAAATTTTCTTATCAAATCATCATAATAGAATAGATGTTAATTCAGGCAGGATATCTACAAATACGCCTCCAATAATGACATAACGAAAAATTGCATCTGTTCCTTCTAATATTTGTCTTTGTATTGGAGATATAGCACTGGTAAAAGTGACCCCCAAAATATCCATAGATCTTTTACACATGGAGACGTCCCACTTTGTGCATCTTAAAATAACCACGACCAAAGTGATGGAGGTGTTTCACGAATACCTTTAGTTTGCCCTCTTGAAAAGGAATACTTTCACAGAATGTACCGCCAGTGCCTACATGCAAAGGAATAATTACATAACTTTCATGAACACACATATATATCCAACAGTCTCGAATAGTTTTAGAGATTGCGCAGATATATCTCTGAGGTGGCTTATTCATGAAACAATTATAAATTCAAAAGAAGTCACATTTATTCTTCTCAGTCCATTTTCCCCTCAAACTTTAACCATTTCTATGATTGTCTGTCTTCACCAAGGAAATTTTCCCTTTGAATTGTCATTATATTTTAGTGTCTAGTTGCTTACCAGTACTGTGTGTTAATTAGAAAATCATATATTCTGTAGAGGAAAGACACATGTACATAAAATTGATACAAAGAGAGGTCGATACTTTACTCATTAGAAAATCATTTATTAGACTAAGAACAAGTACAGACAAATATGTGTTTCCTCTAGAAATATATAATTATAACCATATATGACATGCATACATTCTTTTTCTTGATTTAGGAACTTGTTAACTCAAAATTGAAAGCACTTGGACAGTTAAAAAAAGGGACCCAGGCACAATCTGTGAACCATGATTCTACAGACAGCAGACTCCTGAATTTTGCAAGTTACACTATTATGACATAGAGTCCGAGAGTTCTATTTTTATATTGTATTGAAAAACGAATTCTCGTCACTATCACAAGTATGCAAATAATGCAATTATACAGTGTACAGCATACATGCATTCTTTATACTGCAGTTGTTTTTCAAGAACAGCCAAATATGGTCACAATTCATTAAAAAATGCATGCATACAGATAATTATAAGACTCTAAAGTCTAAATAGAGTTTTATAATTACAATTTTGGCTGTATCTCACAAGCGAATTCAAGAACAATTATTACAGAGATTTATACATGTTCCTTGCGCATTCAAAATTGAATATATGTGTAACCAAATACATGAGTGTGTAATTACTAAATGACATCAGCACTTCTTTTTTTTTTACGGCGACGAATAAAGAGGTATAGAATTTCAGCATTTTCTGTGACCTGTTACATGTGAGGTTATAAAATCTTTGTATCTTAGTCGTATACAACAATCTATATACACACATGTACTGTGAAAAAATAGAGCACCAATAGCATGACATGGCATATTACATAGATGTTGTTTTCATTTTCCCTTCATGGCCCAATTGTATTTGATTTAATGTGACATGATTCTGAACATTACAATAAACTCTTAATGATAAAACAAATCTATATTGTTGGAAAAATTCAATTCAAAAGTGATGAATGGTTCCCTCAACATGCTTTTACTGGCGGATGTGGCAATTAGAGCACTAAATCAAATATGCATAAAACTAATTATGTTTGCTCTGATTGGAAAAATGCTGCAAGAACACTTTAGGTAATACAATTCATTTACATGATCTGTACCAGTACATACCTGCCAACATTTGAAAATGAGAATTAAGAATTTTTAGCGCGGTATGTCTTCGAAAATAAGAAATCTGTACACTTAACAGGCGTTAGCACATGCAGCGGCAGTTTTTAATCATGCAGCCCTTCAACGCACGCAATACGTGAACTCTAACATCGCGTCAAAGGATAAAACAAGCTTAATTTGGCTTAAGCAACACCAACACCAACACAAACAACAAAAAAAACAAAAAACAAAAAAAAAAAAATCGAAATTTTGAGAAAAAAAACAGAATATTCCGGATTTTGGGGTCCTGAAAATCCAGAAAATGGAATATTCCGGATTATTCGGAAGGGTTGGCAGGTACGCTGAATTCAATTCGGTGTAGCGATTGTCCAACACAGCTCAGTTACGGCAACATTTGACATGCATCGATCAAACTATACACAGTACATGTACGGTACGCCTCGCCATCGCTGCCGCCGCGCCCCACTCCACTGGCACCGACTCACCTCCGGTACCGCACTGCAGCGTGCGTTCACTCTGTATACCATAGTCCCGACACACTTCTTCCAAATACTGGATTAGACAATTGAAAAGTTAGTACGGTACGGTAAACTCCATGAATCCATCAAGCAAGCGTATTCCTTGGGATTGGAAGACATTATAAGTAAAACTGACAAACTTTTTGCAAGTTTAGTAACCATTCACGATCACACGTCGAAGCTAACCCGTTCGCTCAAAATTTATCGCTGGTGAAGTGTGCATGTTCTTGTACATCGCTTGTATTGGTGTGTGTGTGTGTGTACGTGTATGGAGAGTACATGCCAGGCCAGACGCTACACACACACACATAATGCTGATCTCTACGCTGTAGATCAGTGGCACAAATACGCTGCAAAATCGTCATTACAAGCCAAATGAGCTTCCGCGGCCATCAACACACACACAGTATACTATACGAGAGCTCTCGCACAAATCGCGGCAAATGGTAATACAAGCCCAATTTGGCTTAAATTTCCAAAATGCGGAATCTCCCGCATTTTAAGGTCCTAAAATTCCAGAAATGCGGAATATCCCGGAAAATGCGGGAGGGTTGGCAGGTATGCCAGTATGAATGCAACAATTATTGAAGGAAATGAAATATATAGGTGGTACTGTAGGTGCCTGCATAAAATACAATAAACCACTACATGTAAATCATCAGCTCAATCAATTTGGTAAGTGATACCTTTTAACAAAGACAACTCTGTGAAACATTTCATCAGTAACATATAACTGTACTGGTTGGTTAACAGTGTGTAAGAGATTGGGTTATAATTCTGATTTTCTGCTACAAACAAAGAACATCTCATTTGACTGACAAGGATGAAATAAATACCCTGAGACCCACAATGTTATACCCTGAGAGGCTGAGACCGACAATGTCAGTCACAGTAATCATTAGGAAAGTTGTTTGCAGTTTTGGGAGACCACTTAGGGAAGTTGTCAAGGGGGGAGGGGGGGGGGGGTCAAAAATAATGCAGGTCTTGAAGGATTGTATTTGATTGGGCTTTAGCCATTAAAACTTATGGTTCCCATTGTCTGTTTGGAGCAAGAAGGGCGTGAACTGTGTGTAAAACAATATGAGTTAATGCCATTCTGGCTCTAAACAGACATAATTGGTTAAGTCACAATGAGCTGGATAATGGACTCGACCAGTCTCTTTTGTTATCCGATTGTGACCTAACCTGCGAGCTGTGCATATTCACTAATGCACTCGCAAACAAGGATTATTTGTACACTGATTATCATTCAATTTGGCAAAAGTTAATCCTACATAATTATGTAAAAGCACTGGCGTGATGTGGGTAAGAAGCAAAGAGAAACTGAAATAATCTAGCTCTATGAAATCCTAACATCATTGGTAATGCTGCACAAAATTACACACCAGAAGAGAACATTGCTTTGGAAGATTAGTTGCACATTACATTGCACCATTCTGTTGGAGCATGGTGGTTAATTTCCCGCTTTCCTGCAACGCTTTGGTTTCAGAGCCGCCACCGATGCACTTCCCTCCAATGAACACACGGGGAACCTGGTAAAAAAGGATGAAAGAGAAATACACCTTGAAATGCTAAAAAGCCTTAAAGTTGGTTGGTGAAAATTGAAAAAGCACTTACATTTAGCGGTGTAATTCAATTCCCAACTTGGAAAGTGTTGAATACCACAAATCACAAACTCATCCAAAATTAGTAAAGAGAGGCAGCACTACCAGTCATTCATGTGGTGCAGTCTTCTATTAGTCCCTACATGCTATAAACACATTTCAGGGGGCGTTTCACAAAACATCAGTGACAAATGACAGTTTTTGTTATAAGCTACTGAAATCCTTGCTTCTGATTGGTTGTCAACAGATTTGTCACTGATTTTTGTCATTTGTCATGGAAAAAAGGTTTTGTGAAACAGGTCCCTGGTAGGTACATTTTACTTGCACCAGTACATGGGCACATGTTCCATCATCTGTTTGGAGCCAGAAGGGCGTCGACTCATCCTGAGTTAATGCCCTTCTGGCTCTGAACAGACAATATATGTGATAATGCAATTATTATTTACTACACCCTGGTACTCATACCGATGCACAGCCACAGCATATCATCAGCTTCCAGGAGCTGCAGATAGGGGTATATCATTTCAAGGCTCAAAGGCAAGGCAGTGTAGGTATAAATAAGTTAAACCACTTCCTACATGAATAGTGAGACTTCCTTGAAGTAATTCCTGTGTTTTACATGTCAGCAGTTTTGTTTTCCTGCCCATTTCCTACTTTCAAAATTATTTTGGTCTTTCCTTATCTACATGTTAATTTTATTCTTGGGTATTTTTTCTCACTGTGCAGAGTCAACATTCAAGAATTTCATTGAAAAAAATATTATCCTCAAGAGTGATAAAAATATGAATTGAATTAAAAAATATTGTTTTGCCTCTCGCATTGTATGGACATTTCTGGATGTACAATTTATATGTACACAGAGTTTAATAGAATAACCCCTGAAATTGTTAGTGTTTCAAATTTTTGTAATATGGTTCAAGATCATATGCACTTATAGTTACCAATATTTATTGAAAACAGTCCATTGTATTCAATATTAAAACAATCATTAAAGAAATCCTGGTCAAACATAGGGCAAGATAAAAATAACAAATACAAAAACAGAGAAACAAACACCACACAAACAATGACAAATAAAACAATTGCTGCCGCATTGTTTGTCTATGTCGGCTCTTAAAGATAAAGACCAGTTATGGTCATGCGATTGCATTGTGAAAGAAATGTTGTGGAATCGATCAGAAAAGATTGATCATCTAGCATATAAGTATTGATGTGTACTGCAAGGTTCTGGAATCATCAAAATGATAAGAAATTTGGCCCAGTCTTTGTAAAATTACAAGCACTGGACGCAGAAAGATGTATATGGGACTACGCGTGACTCGTGCATTTATCTCTCACAGTTCAATAGATAAACTAATTTACCAAATATATCAATTAGTAGGCGGTTTCCCAGCAAAATCTTTATCATCATGTATTAGTCAAACATATTCTTTCACATGATTGGTAATAAAAAGCTTCCATTTCATTTTTTTGAAATTGGGACGTTTCCAATACTGGTCTTTACCTTTAAACAGCAGCTTGACAAGTAAAATGCTTACCGATCTAGCTCCAGTCAACTTGTTCAGATAATCCTGAATTTCAGCACACATGTTATGATTTTCCAACTCAACCACCTTGTAATCCTTAAGACCAGCGCTAGCTAGAGAATCCTTTGCCATCTTGCAGTAAGGGCAAAAAGTTTTGGAAAACATCACCACCTAAATGAAGAAAAAAAAGAGTAAAATAGAAACTAAAATTCAATGAAATTTAAGTTTCCATTTTTGTCAACAAAAAAAAAAAAAAAAAATATGAATTGAGAATTTGCAAACAGGTAGGGTCAATTATCTAGAATTGTTTCATATGAAAACTATTAAACACAAACATAGTTCTAGACTAGACTACATTTTTATTGCATGCCATGTGGCTAATATCTCCTGGCTATCTAACAGTATTAAACATAGCAGGAAACAATCCAGCCAGTTTGAATTTGAAGAGGAAACATAATGGAGTAACAAAATAAAACTCCCACTCATGCGACCACTCTCAGTCATACTTACTAGCAGGCAGCTACAGTAGTAAGTTACTGTAGAATCTACACATGTATGTGTCATAGATCTATATAATTAAAGCACATTTTAAGAAACCCTCTATTGAAAAACTAAAACTCTCAAAGAGAGATATAATACTAGTATAGTAACCCAACAAACGGCTCTGGACAACTCGTTACCATAGAGCCCTAGGCTAACCCTAACTAGAGTCGAGCGCATAGAAGTCTACAATGATACAGCATTTTCTCTTCCAGCATGTCCAGGGCGTCTTCCTAACTAACAACGACGACGGGATCCGACTCCCCAGCCCCATAGCCTCGGCGGCATGACCACTTGCATTACGCCGGCGTTGTCAACAACAACACGGGATCGGGAGGGGGGTTGATATTACGTTTTTGCAAATTAATCATTTGAAATAATAAGTAAACTCACCTTATTGTCACGTATCTGAGCATCTACAAAAGTCTGTGCCATTTTTAATGATATCCGACAGGAAATATAATACTAAAAACAGTTCGATCTTCCTTCCTTCAAGCTTCTCACCTGACAAGTTCGTTAATACGTGTGTGTAAAAAGCTAGCACACTCAAGGTACTTTCGTAGTACGCTAGTAGTATTCATTCCATGCTACTCACATACTAATTGGGTGTAGTGGGATAACTAAGCCCTCTCCGTAAACGTAAGCTCTTTGTGTATCCGGATTGATAAAAATCGCAAGTCATCATTCATCAGAACGCCCCTTGATCATAATGTTGCATAAGATCATCAGGCGATCACTTTCATTTTGCAACAGATCACGGGTCCTGTTTCATAATAACAATGCTGAATATCTATGACAAATTTTTTCTTAGCCAATCAAACGCCACGATTTAGGTAGCTTATAACAGTCATTGTAAAGCTTGTTTTAAAAAAATTATGAAACAGGGGCCCAGTAATTTAATGTTTATTTTATTTTATTTTGTTTTATTTAAAATAAAAAAGAGACATCCGTGATTGTTTACTTTGTAACAAATTTGCTGAAACAATTAGTAAATAGCACTCATTTATTGATATAAATTGATTATATTTAAAGTGATATATATTTTCAATAAAGACTCGGAGGAGTTGCCAAAGCTATACTGAATGGATTATTTCCGTATTACATAATTAGGCATAATATAAGTGTAACAAGGAAACACTACCTGCATAATGTATAAAATATGTATATACAATTATACGTACATTATACGCTCTTAAATTCATACATATATACATACATATACTGGCCTATGTTTATATACTTTTGAATCCCCCTTAATTTGAAAAAGTGCAACATAAAAATGTGTAGAAAATACTTCCGGCTCAAGGGCCTTAGGGCGGGCCCCCATGGATGCTCATCTGACCGTAGTAAAATATCTAAATCCTCTGAGCTTTCGGGAGCTCTGCCCCCTGGACCACATCAACTTGGCCTTAAAGAGGGCCCCTGGATGCTCCTCTAACCGTAATTAAATACCTAAAACCCCTGAACTTTCGGGGGCTCTGCCCCCTGCACTCCCCACCAATTAGTGACCTGCCAGTGTAACAAATAAGGTACCTAAATAATTAATATGATTATCTGACCGTAATTCAATGCCTAAAAATCCTGAGCTTCCAGGGACTCAGGCCCTGGACCCCACGCCAATTTACGCTCTACCTGATCGTTAATAGCCTATACTCCACTTTGAAAAACGTTCAGCGGGGCCTGCGTGTAACGTGCATGTAAGAGTGGTGGTGATGCAGATTTTTCTTCTGCCCCCCCCCCTCCAAACGTTTTTGCTCATTACGCCACTGCCCCTGGAAGGTGAGCCCCCTGGTACGTTTGTCCCCCCTCCCTTCCCCCCCCCCCCCCAAAAAAAAAAAAAAAAAAAATACAAAATAAAACAAATCCCAAACTGCTTCCGGCGCGCCTGAATGACAGTATATAACAACATCCCTTCAAAAATCAAGATCTTAATTCAAGAGGCCTAGCTGCGGGGATGCCTGTAGCTTGTGCAACTGTCCGTTCATTTCTACCGTACTATTGTATTCCAAGTAACTCTTCTTTGTGATTAAATCGAATCCGGATAGTTTTCAAGAGGTACACGTGATGCTTGAAAATAATACTCACAGTCACAGGACTGCCTATCATGCAATAAAAAAATGAAAATCAGGGGCCCGTTTCTCGAAACCAAACAAGACAATCGTAATTTTGTCAGCCAGCTACGGGGATGACTCTGATCTTCATAAACCTTTACACGAAGAGCTAGATTATAGTCCATCGTGTATCGGTCAATTTTATTATGGGATTTTCAATTAGGGGGAAATTTTTCGAAAACATAATTATACGAAAGAGAATGTCATAAGTAACACGTTATTTCCAACGGTTAATATGGGTCATGAGTCCGAGGTTCCTTTTCAGGAGTTTAAAGGTGGTGATTCATTACTTATTAACTTTTAAAACAAATATTTTAACGGTTAAAGAGATATTAATTCGTAATCCTTGACCTTGTACAGAAATTGTGTAATTATAAGTGTTTTGTTCGGGGATCACGCGACATTTATTTCAGTGGCGGATCCAGAAAGTTCTTACCGAGGGTGGGCAGGGGCACAAAATCGCATGGGTGAAATATATGAAAAAACGAGTAGTCAGAGACGAGGGGGCGGAGCGATCAAGCGGGGGTGGGTCTGGGAGGGGGTCAGAACCCCCTCTTAGAGTATGAAGCATTTGCGATTTTAGAACCCCATTAGGCGCATTTCCCGGCACTTCCTGGAGTATATGACGTAAAATTGCTTTCTCCTACCCCCTCCAAGAGTATAGGGACCTTTTCCAATTTGAGAGCCACATTTGGCTCATTAATGTCCACCAGCACTTTCTGTAGAAAAAAAAAACGAGGCCTTCTGATTGGTTAGAAGTTAGAGCGACGTTGTATATGCTTCATTGCTGCACAATGCTCAAAGACAGTGATCAAGGGAGTCGCTAGACCTTTTTCATTGGGGGGGGGGGGGGGGGGAGCCATCGATTACCGACAAATATATTAATGCCAATGTCCCAATGTTTACAAATTTAATCCTATAAACCCGGGGCCAGGAACTAAGTTATTTTTTCGGTTTTCACCCTCCCGCGCGAATGCGCAGGGGCTTTGGCACTTAATTAACTTATTAGAAAAAAAGACGATTCGTTGTATCGTTCCCGACTCTTAATTCTTGTTTCGCCCGGGCCCCTCCCGCGCGTAGCGCAGATTTAATTTAACCCTATAAACCCGGGGCCAGGAACTCAGTTATTAACAAGTTTTCCCCATCCGCGCGAAGCGCGGAAGCTCTGACGTTTCATTAAATCAATAGAGAAAAAAGACGATTCGTTGTACTGTTTTACGACTCTTAATCCTTGTCTCAATTAGGTTCCCCCTCCTGCGCGAAGCGCGGAAGCTTGACGTTTCATTAAATCATTAGAGAAAAGAAGACGATTCGTTGTACTGTTTTCGACTCTTAATCTTTTTCTGAATTCATTTCCCCCCCTCCCGCGCGAAGCTTTGACGTTTCATTAAATTATTACTCTTAATCCTTGTCTGAAGCGAGGCGCGGAAGCTTTCACATAATTGTCATTAAATTATTAATGTTGAAGAAGACGATTCGTTGTACCGTTCTAGACCCTTAATCCCAGTCTGAATTCAGTTGCCCCCCTCCCGCGCGAAGCTCGGAAGCCTCGACGTTTCATTAAATTATTAGAGAAAGAAGATGACTCGTTGTACTGTTCTCGTCTCCTAATCCATTATTAGAGAAAGAAGACGATTCCGGCTGACCGACATGATACATCTCATCGACTTCAAACTTCTGCATTGATATAGTACACAAGGATCGAGCAAGTATACCGACACAACGGACCCGACACAGCAACATAATCTATGTGTATCTTTCTTGCCCCCTCGACGTGGTGACTCCACCCAATATCTTCCTCTCTCTCTCTCTCTCTCTCTCTTACTCCGACTCCTCTTCTCTCAGGCTCTTACCCCCCCTCTCTCTCCTCTCTTTCACCCCTGTTTCCTTTGTTTCCTTTTTCTCTCCTTTTTTCCCTTTTCCCTTTTTCTTTCTTTTCCTTCTTTTCCTTTCTTTCCTCTCCTTCCTCTTTTTCTTTTTTTCGTTCTTTCTTCTCTTCTCTTTCCTTTCTTTTCCTTTTATTTTTTTCTTCTTTTCTTTCACTCTCATTTTTCCGTACCCCTTTTCTCATTTTCCCGACAGCAGCGCAATTTTGCCGACAATATCCTGACATCCCCCCTTTAGCGACTCCTCTGGTTGGTATCCCACTATTCTTTTAAAAGAAATGCAATTTCTAATGCTCTCGCACCTCTCTTCTATCGTTATTAGATCTATTTTATTTGTTTTCCTTTCTCCTTTAACTCACAACGATTCTCTCTTTCCCCCTTTTTTCCATCGCTTTTTTGTTGTTGTTGTTCTGCTTTTTTCTTCTTTTTTTTTTTTGGGGGGGGGGGAACACGCCTGACGAGAGGGACCCCATATTATGCACACTGCAAAATTGCGTGCCCCCACCCCCTTTCCCGGTACCTTCTTATAATTATCCCCCTTTCTTTTTCCGTCTCATTATTCTCCTTTTCCCCCTTTTCTTTCCTCCGTCTTCCCCCTTTTTCATTCTCCGCCTTTTCTCTCCTCTCTCTTCCCCTTTCTTCCTTTCTCCCTCCTTTTTCTCTTCTCCCCTTTTCTCTCCTCCCTCTTTTCTTCTTCTTTCTCTCTTCCCTTTTCTTTCTTTTCCTCTTCCCTTTTCTTTCTCTTCCCCTCCTTTTTCCTCCTTTTCTCCCCTTTTCTTTTCCCCTTCCCTCCCCTTTCCCCCTTTTTTCTACCGGGGGGGGGGGGGCAGGCGCGGATCCAGGGGGGGGCCGAGCGGGCCTTGGCCCCCCCCCCCCGCAAAAAAAAAAAAAAAAAAAAAAAAAAAAAAGAGAGAAGGAAAAGAAGGGAGAAAGGGAAAAAGGAGAAAAAGGGAAAGAAAGAAGAGGAAGAAGAAAAGTAAAGGGGGAAGAAGGAGATCGGGGGGGGGGGGGGCGAAAGGGCCTTGCCTCCCAGGCTGTTAACCCCCCCCCCCCCCATCAAAAAAATAAGAGAGAAGGAAGGAAAGGGAAAGAAAAAAAAGGAAAAGAGGAGATACTGGCGTACTGATAGAGGGGGGGGGGGGCTTGGGGGAAATCAAATTCAAACGTGGTTTATTTCTGATTCCACAACGGTGTATTACAAATAATGCTGAAATGACATAATTTCCGAAATTTTTCCTCACTTTTTAGTAAATTATACGTTTGTATGTGTTTGTTGGAAAATAAAAAAATTCCTAAATTTACAACCAGGCAAAAAATATGATTCTTGAGATTCCTACATGTCAGGGCCCGAGGTACGGCGGGGATCGAGAGCCTCGAGGCATCAAAATATGCTCATCTGACCGTGATTAAATGCCTAAAACCCCTAAGCTTCCGGGGGCTTTGCCCCCTGGATTCCATCTAGGGCCCTACGGCGGGCCCTTAGATGATCATCTGACGGTAATTTAATGCCTAAAACCCCTGATTTTTGGGGCTCCGCCCCCTGAACCCCACGCCAAATAGTGACTTGCCAGTGTCACAAAATAATAAGGTATACACAAACATATGCTCATCTGACCTTAATTAAACGCCTAAAACCCCTGAGCTTCCGGGGCCGGCTCCGCCGCCTCGACCCCATCTCTTTGAAATTCAGACAAGGATTAAAGAGTATAGAGAACGGTACAACGCATCGTTTTCTTTCTCTAATAATAAAACGTCAAAGCCTCGCGCAGGAGGGGAGGAGGGGGGGGGGGGGGGGGGGACTGAATTGAGACGAGGATTCAGAGGCGAGAACGGTAATACGAATCGTTAATTATTTGATGAAACGTAAAAGCTTATGCGCTTTGCGCGGGATGGAGGGGGAACTAAATTCCGATGAGGATTATTTTCGAGAACGGTACAATGAATCGTCTTCTTCTCTAATGATTAAATGAAACGTAAAAGCTTCCGCGCTTCGCACGGGAGGGGGGGGGGGGGAAACTGAATTCAGACGAGGATTAAGAGTCAAGAACTGTACAACAAATCGTCTTCTTTCTCTAATGATTTAATGAAACGTAGAAGCTTCCGCGCTTCGCGCAGGAGGGGGAGGGGGAGGAACTGAATTTAGACAAGGATTAAGAGTCGAGAACGGTACAACGAATCGTCTTCTTTCTTTAATAGTTTAATAAAACGTCAAAGCTTCCGCGCTTCGCGCAGGAGGAGGAGGGGGAGGAACTGAATTTAGACAAGGATTAAGAGTCGAGAACTGTACAATGAATCGTCTTCTTCTCTAATGATTTAATGAAACGTAGAAGCTTCCGCGCTTCGCGCAGGAGGGGGAGGGGGAGAAACTGAATTTAGACAAGGATTAAGAGTCGAGAACGGTACAACGAATCGTCTTCTTTCTTTAATAGTTTAATAAAACGTCAAAGCTTCCGCGCTTCGCGCAGGTGGGGAGGGGGGGCTGAATTTAGACAAGGATTAGGAGTCGAGAACAGTACAACGAATCGTCTTCTTTATCTAATGATTTAATGAAATGTAAAAGCTTCCGCGCTTCGCACGGGAAGGGGGGAACTGAAATCAGACGAGGATAAAGGGTCGAGAACGGTACAACGAATCGTCTTCTTTCTTTAATAGTTTAATAAAACATCAAAGCTTCCGCGCTTCGCGCAGGAGGGGGAGGGGGGACTGAATTTAGACAAGGATTAAGAGTCGAGAACTGTACAACGAATATTGTCTTCTTTCTCTAATAATTTAATAAATCGTAAAATTTTCCGCGCTTCGCGCGGGAGGGAAAAACTAAATTCAAACGAGAATTATTTTCGAGAACGGTACAACGAATCGTCTTCTTTCTTTAATAATTTAATAAAACGTAAAAGCTTCCGCGCTTCGCGCAGGAGGGGGAGGGGGGACTGAATTTAGACAAGGATTAAGAGTCGAGAACTGTTCAACGACTCGTCTTCTTTCTCTAATAATTTAATAAATCGTAAAATTTTCCGCGCTTCGCGCGGGAGGAGAAAAACTAAATTCAGACGAGAATTATTTTTGAGAACGGTACAACGAATCGTCTTCTTTCTCTAATAATATAATGAAACGTCAAAGCCTGGGAGGGGGAAACTCGCCCCCCCCCCGCATTACGTCACTGTTGGTCACCATAACGTACCAATATTTGGCTCGCATAATTTCAAATTTGGGCCCCCCCCCTAAGAAATCCTGGATCCGCGCCTGGGGGGGGGGCACGTGCCCCTGTGCCCCCTGTACCCCCTGAATCCGCCACTGTATTTAGTGGAGACATCGCGCTATGTGGGGGATGCGTGATTGAGGAGGAAGAGGTGACTGAAGAAAAAGCGGACAGAATCTGGACCCGATAATAAATTGTTATTTATAATTTCGGTCATACAAATTAAATGAAGATATGGATGTACTAAATTAACACAAATATATTGACACCAACCTCAGATAATACCAACGGTCACTTTCCCCAAATTATGATTGTGATATAATTATAAATAAGTTTGCAGATATGAATCGGCATTTTCACTTGAGTATTATAGCCATGGAGATATTTAGAACAGCCTATGCATATGGTGACTGCACTGAGCTGCGCGGATCGAATAGAATTCGAGGTCGAGTTGATAAGAGGAGAATTGTTTTACGGGCGAGACGTCTATTGGTCTAAACGTATGTTGGCAACTTCGCTAACATTATTTTTGTTTTTAGTGAGAGAAAGACATATTATTGAATATGAATGTGGTATTGGCAGTGAAGCAGTATGTTGCCAAAATGATAGAGGAAAGTGGTCCAGGCATGAAGGTACTCCTGATGGACAAAGAAACGGTAAGCTTCTTCGAAAACATCTGTGAAAATGAATGAATTGTCCCACACGTACACTATTGTGTGTGGTACAGTAGTGTGTATTGTCAAAGTAACTAAAAGTAGCTTAGAGTAAAGGAGCCGGTAATCGGCCAGCTCCAGTTTTCGGCCGATTGGTTGGATGCAAGGTAAAATCCCTCTAAAATACATCGCATAATAGCATAACACATATCCCACACATACCATACCTTGCCAGTGTCACTGAAGAACCACATTTGCAATGAAAAATATATCCTAATAATTTAGCGATGTAATCGGCGGTCCCGCTACCCGAATCTGAAAAATCGAGTATCTTACGCGTGTCTGTAAGAAATATGGGTACCATAAAATGAGCTTTATTCAAGTATTTTTCAGATTTAGAGCCCGATTTTGTGCTAGTCGCAAGCTCAAGAGTATCTCATCGCATGTATTAAATCAATGCAGCCGCACACCACAACGCACACACGATATCTCTCTAATTGAGATTCCAACATCCGATCACCGCAGTACTAGTTTTCGGCCTGGCGAGCTCCGGGGAGCTCCGGCGTGGGATATCTGCTCCGCCCGCTAGTGCTATAGATCAGCGCGGAAACGCACGGCCCGTGCGCGCGCTTCCTATTGACTTTGTACATGCGGCCGAAAACTGGTACGCTATGCCGAAAACTGACTCCGAAACAGGGAAAATTGAAATGAATATTGTCATGGCAATTCGTGATTTTTTTCTGGGATTCTTGTTTTGTTTAAATAATAATAATATTTGCTTCATGATTTGAACAAAAAATGATAATAAATAGGAAGTAAAGGGTCCAAAAAATAGGATTTTGTCTTAAGTGGCCGAAAACCGGCTCCTTTACTTTATAAAAAGTTATAGCTTGGGGTCGTTTCATGATACCAACTCCATGATAGTCATTTTGTTTTCTTCACAAGTCAAAAACTTTAAGAGCATTCTAGATGAGATGTATTCTGGTGTCATTCTACGCCAAATCCGTCTCCGGGTTTCCTAAACTAAAGCTCAATTTCGCTGGATTACGTTACAAAAATACAAATTAGGAAAGGGTGTGTCACTTTTTTTTACATCGACTAGATCTATTCAGATTTGACCCACACACCGTTCTTGCCTTAGGACTGGGAGAGCCAGTGCAGTGCTTGTTAAAAGTAAAATGCTTTGTTGTTGATGTTGTTTCTGACAGTCCTGTTTTCAGCCAAATCTGTGACAATGGAGACCTACATGTACATGTAGGTCTATCTCATGAATTTTTTTGTCCCCCTTTTTACAGATCAGCTTTGTAACCATGGTGTATGCCCAGTCTGAGATCCTACAGAAGGAGGTCTATCTCTTTGAGCGATTAGACTCTGCCAACAGGGAGGTCATGAAACATCTACGATGCATATGTTACATCAGACCCAAGAGGGTAAGATTAGGGCAAAGGTCATTTTAAATAGAGGCAAATTTCCTAATACTCATGAGTAGACTATGACCAAATACTCTGAACTTGCCCTTTACATATTTGCATACACTATGTACACGTTTAAGGCCATTACAAAAAATATACATGTTTAGCATCCCTGCCCGCTTCATTTTTTGGGGCCGCCTCCTATTTTTTTAATATTTTTTTTTTTTAAGAAAAAAACATGAAAAACACTGCTAAAATGGATCTATTTCCGATTTAAATTTTTTTAAAAAAATGTCGGCAGCCATCTCGAAAAATAGCCCGACTGTCAGGGAAAATGTACCGAGTGGCCATTTTGAGCGGCCATTTTGAAGAAGAAAAAAAAAGGGCCTCCTCCTTCCTATTTTTCAAAAAAGCAGGATGCTAAACATGTTTTTTAAAATATTTATTTGGCCTAACAAGGGTATACAAAAAGAAAAGAAAGTAAAATATTGACAATGAGATGTACCGGTAATGTACTAATGTATTGTAATCTTGTTCTTTTGTTCATTATTCCATTCATTAAACAATGAAATAATATACATTTGTGAAAGTTGTAAATGCAGATTTACCAAGTGTACATGGTATCACATATTTGCATGTTGGATAATAACTTAACAGCATCCTGAATATATCTGCACTGGAAACCCAGATAGACTGAGAATTACACTGCAGTAAGCACATAATTGTTTTAGGTTATTAGGCCTAAAGTCTTTTCAGGTTTGCAAAGTTTTTAAAATGAAAATGACATAATGTTGAATGTTATTTTGTCAATAACTAGGTAAATAACAGCCTGAGTGATTTTAGTATATTTTCATCATTTGTTAAAATTTGAATTAATAGTAAATTTGTATGTTACATAACTTACATGTATCATTGCTATATATGATTTTCCGAACTATTTTTCAAAATAGATTTTCAAAGTAATTTTTACAAACCTAATTCAATACAGGATGTGATGAAGATATTGTATACATCACTAATTTTTGTTTATATTCCTTCTTCTCTTCTACTTCAAATCCAGGAGAACATTGAAATGCTGTGTAATGAGTTGAGAAATCCCAAATATGCTGTATACTTCATTTGTAAGTAAAGCTGTAAATATTTGTTCTAAATGGGGAAGTATTGCTTTGCAAGACAATAATGAGACTGTAATGAAATTTAAATATGAAATGTATAGTACTCAAACAGTGTAGTGAAGTAATAAAGGGAAGTCCACCCTAATAATTAGCCAGAATTATTTAAAGCAGAAAAAACGAGAAATAAATTAGTGAAAGTTTGAGCAATATCCGTTTAAAAGTGGGAAAGTTATTAATTTTTTAAAGGTGTCATCAGTGAAACACAAATTGAGTTTCAGATGAGGATTATTGATCTATGGTGAACATATATGTAGGCGAAGGCAAATTGGAGACCCAGTCGCAATCATCTTGTTGTTTTTTAGATATTACTAGAGCAGTGCTGTTGAAAATAATGTATTTGTTTTGCTTGATTTGACAGACTTCAGTAATGTTGTCAGCAAAAGTGATGTCAAATTGCTCGCAGAAGCAGATGAACAAGAAGTAGTTCGGGAAGTTCAGGTGAGTACTCAAAATACACTTAGATATTACAAAAAAGAATGCAGACTCTCTTAATAGTTCAAAATTTTTGCACAACCCGTCAATAAATTACAATAAAATATATGAGAGTAAAACTCAAGAATGAACAGAAAGCTGAAATCGAACAATATAAACAGAAACTAAATGGGACAATGCACGAAGATAACAAGCTCTGATTGGCTGTCTAAATTAGGATTATTGCTAGCCGGTTATAACAGGAGTATGGCTTTTTTCAACGCGATTCTCCGATTTTGTAGTACCAATCATCTTTTCAATAAAATATATATCAAATTGAAGAAAAATAATAGTCTACCAACATCAATTGAGATCAAGTTGTGAACTTTCACGCTTGGACGGGCACATTCATTTAAGCATTAAAAGGTCTGATTAGAAAGAAATACATCAATAGAGCAAGTAGCCATTCAAATGTTAATGAACATATGCATCTGTAAAACATTTTTGTTCAACAATGAAAACAAAGAATGAGAAACTATAAGGATAATTGAGCTCTGGATGTCAACTGTAGTCTCAGGACTGCATGGTTTTGACAAGCATGCTCAAGATGCCCCCCTCCCTTTCCACCCAAGATCGTAGAAGAGCCACAGGATCCCTCCAATGCTCATCAACATTTGAATGGCAAGATGTGCCATTTTTGCAATTTTCGGTCGGAAACTTGTTTATTGTTATTTATGACTATACTCACTCATGCGTTAATGGTATGATTCCAATTGCTTATCATCTTAAAGAGGATTACTTTCATATTATTTTAATATATGAAAGTGTCCACTTTTTGTTTTTGCAGAGTGTACCTGCATGTACGTATGTCCTCTAAATGCAGTAGCATGATTCATAGATTGATTTTTATGAATGAAACTTTAATTATAATAATAGCTTTAAACAAAATAATAATAACATTTTGAACATTATGATATCGTGCTGTTATTCACCATACATTACGCTCTTTGTCAACTAACAGGAATTCTATGGAGACTATATAGCCATCTGCCCCCATGTATTTTCATTCAACATTACTGGTACAGCAAGAGTAAGTATGATACTGAAGAATATTTGAGTAGAAAAAAACAATCTCAATACTGCCATACTAGAAATATTCACACCATTCGTGACTGATCCACTTTGAGAAATTTGATGCCGAAAAATAATTGAAACATAACAACCAAATTGGGGATTGTGTGAAATTTTTACCTCAAACCTTGCCTTCGTTAACAGTTACTACAAATTTTCATGTCACAGATGTTTGTGGTGGTTTTACAGTATGATGAAATTAGCTGTATCCACATTACAGATTATGCATCTTTCAATTATTTGTTTTTACAAGTTAGTTTTCTGCAGAAAATAATGATAATACTATGGTTCTAAGTGTTTTACATTGTAATTATTATTACCCTGGTCATTGGATTCAATTGCTAACACTTCAAACGATAATACACACGCTCCACTCCCTGGGGAGTATTCCGGCAAGGCACTATTTTACAAACACACACATGCCAATCCGACCACATTGACGTTCACATCCTACCAGGTACCCATTTAACACCTTGGTGGAGAGTGGCGAATGTAGATTAATGTCTTGCCAAAGGACATTAGTGCCACGGCAGGACTCTAAACTGCTAACGGTGTGATCCACAGACGGTGACGTATCCACTGGACCACAGCACCTCTATGATAAAAATCCCTGTGCTGCTTTCTTCTTCTTGCTTGTCTGGTAGCCATTTTGATATTTCTGTCTACTACCTAATAGGGCATGCGATGGGACCCCCCAGTCCTGAACCGTGTTTGTGCTGGACTGACCTCGGTGCTCCTCTCACTCAAGAAGTGCCCCATGATCAGGTATCAGAACTCCTCAGAGATGGCCAAGAGACTTGCAGAAACTGTCAGGGTAGGTACTTTCCTCTACTCCAAGAATTACACATTCTGATTGTAGGAGGATTTTTTTTCTGGGATTCTTTTTTTGTTTAAATAATAATAATATTTGCTTCATGATTTGAACAAGAAATGATAATAAATAGGAAGTAAAGAGTCCAAAAAAGACATATTTTGATTTTGAAATTGATGTTTCCTGTAGTACGAATTGATTACACCTAATGTAGCTACATGTCATAGTGGAACAGCCGCCGCCCGCCCCCCCCCCCCCCCCCCCCCCGAACAAAAAAATGAATAAAAATAATAATAATAATAATAATATTTTAAAAAGCAATATATATTAATAATAAATAATAAAAAGTGAAATAAATAAATATATAAGTTAAATAAATAAGTGAATAATAATAAATGAATAATAATAGTAATAATAAATGAAAAATAGAATAAAGTTTGGATCCTTTCCTATTGTATACATATACTTCAATCTTTTTATTCGAAACTACACATGGAATAATAATTGTTTAATGGTATGTTGTTAATTCAGTCAACACTATACAGGATTCTGCTGATGTTCCCAAAGTACTAATCTTTAAAGATCGCATGAAGGGATGCTGATTTCCAGCTCAGATCATGGAACAAGTTGGTTGATATATTCCTTGTATACATTACCATATGTTTATTAGAAGATGAAAAGGGCCTGTGTTCTAATCATATTTGGGCCATTTCAATTATTCCCTGTGCATTTACTCAGTCATCAATGATATTTTGATTTGACTGGTGACTCCTTTTACAGCAAGTAATATCCAAGGATGCTGGTTTGTTTGACTTCAAGAGAACAGATGTTGCACCAGTCTTGCTCATCTTAGATCGAAGAGGAGATGCAGTCACGCCGCTCCTCAACCAAGTAAGACGATCAATTCACCTCTTTATATTATAATCTACTTTTTCTCTCTGTAAATTATAATTTCTCTGCTTCAAAGGGATTGGGTAACTTTGGTGTAGATTCGGAAACAAAATCCTGGATTTAGCTCATGCTGTGATGATAATTATATAAGATATTTATGATTGGAAATCGAAATTTAAAAATTTGTTTTCCTAATGGTTTTCATAACACTACAGTCTACGGGGGAAAATGAGTATGATAAAACCGGTCACTCAAAGATTTTTACTTTTTTGAGGCATTTCATGATCATTTGAAGTGCAAATTTGTTTAGGGCTTCAATATTACACCATATCACAGACGCTAATAACAGGTAGGGCCATGCATCTCAGATTTAATATTGTTAAACAATGCCTTTAACAAAAAAAATGCATTGGAATTTGGAAGTTCACTGCCTAAAAATGAATTAGAGCTACATGTAATTGAAAATTGTGGAAATATGGGGTTATGAACTTTACTGTGATATATCTACATGCTGGCTTCTTTGGTGGACATATCAGTGTTATAATATTCAGAGTAAAAAATATTTTTTGTTTGCAGGAGTTCTTTTAGGATTTGGTGTAGTATAAGTGCCATTTTCTCACAGAGACATTATAGTATTTTTATGCCTCCGGTACAAAGTAACCGGAGGCATTATGTTTTCGGGTTGTCCATCCCTCCGTCCGTACGTACGTACGTCCTGTTCTCATGATCGCGTTATCTCAAGAACCAATCGATGGATTCCCGCCAAACTTCAGTCATGTATGTATCTTGCAGAGCCAATGAACTGATTAGATTTTGGGGTCACAAGATTCAAGGTCAAAGGTCACGGCTCATTATGTATGCAAAAATAGCTTGTGATCGCGTTATCTCAAGAACCTATCAATGGATTCCCGCCAAACTTGGGTCATGTATGTATCTTGCAGAGCCAATGAAGTGATTAGGTTTTAGGTTCATGAGGTCAAAGATCGAAGGGTCAAACATGTATATGAAAAATAGCTTGTAATCACATTATTCTGAGAATCTTTTAGTGGACTACAATCAAACTTGAATTTTAAAAATTGCTTCTGTTTTGGTTTGTAAAATTGCTCCATGGCGGAGGCATCATTTTTGACTGCGGGCAGTCGAAGGTCCATCTAGTTTTTTTTTTTACCAGAACTCTTTTCAATTACCAGAGCACTTTTAGAGCTTTTGATTGCTAAATTGCTCACTGCTCCGATGTATTTTTTTAACCCTCATAAATATATTTTTACATTTTCATGTCTAGTGGACGTACGAGGCCATGGTTCATGAGCTCCTAGGGATAAGGAACAAACGCATCGATCTCTCCGAAGTACCAGGCGTGACCAAAGACTTACAGGAGGTAGTGCTTTCGGCAGAGCAGGATGAATTCTATGCCAATGTGAGTGAAAGTGAAATGCCGCTTGTAAAGAATTAGATTCTTCTTCTTCTTCTTCTTCTTCTTGTAAATCCTTTACTCCTTTTTCGTCTGCTTCTTCTTCTGTTTCTCCTTCTTCTTCTTCCTCTTCTTTATCTGTTTCTTCTGCTTCTTCTGTTTCTTCTGCGTCTTCTTTTTCTTCTTGTTCTTGTTCTTTTTTCTTTTCCTTCTTCTTCTGCTTCTTTTTTCTTCCCCTTCTTCTTCTTCTTTTTTCTTTTCCTTCTTCTCCTGCCTCTTTTTCATCTTCCTTTTTCTTCCATTTCTTCTTCTTTTTCTTCTGCTTCTTCTTCAGTTTCTTCTTCTTCTGCTCATCTTTTTCTTCTTTGCCTTCTTCTTCTTCTTTTTTTCCTTCTTCTTCGTCTTGTTCTTTTTTTCTTCTCCTTCTTCTTACTCTTCTCCCTCTTCTTCTTCTTTTCTTTTTTTTTTTCTTCTTCTGTGTCTAATAGCCTCTTCTTGTTTTTCTTCATCATCTAAACAGAATCTGTATAACAACTATGGAGAGATCTGTACCAGGATCAAAGAACTCATGGAAGAATTCCAGAAGAAATCTCAGAGTCAGAAGAAAATTGAATCCATTGCCGACATGAAGGTAACAAAGTTAATACCTCTTTCCCGTCACCACCATCTCTCTCTCTCCCTCTCGTTACATGCTATACATTGTGATTGGCTGACGTATGCCTCTCTGAAGCTAAACTTGCCCTGGGCGGCACTTGATTTTTTTGATTTTTTGTTTTTTTGTTTTTTGTTTGTTTGGGGGGGGGGGGTGGGGGTGTAATAAACTATAAAGGCCGCGCAAAAAGAAAAAATAATCGAAAGAGAAGATGGAGAAAATTAAGCCGAGTTATGACTTTATTATGCAGTATATTTGCCCAGAGTTTGTGTGATATATTGCATGAGAAATTATTTTTTGAGGTTATAAAAGTCAAATTATTTAAAGCTCATTGGCTTTGCTCCCTCGCATAATGTTGACCACACTGGGCTTGAGTAAATATGTGTGTGAGCATGATGAAAACAGATTGGTTCTTGAGGTCAGATCCTAAACGTCACAGGGTCATCGATCAGTGAGCAACCATATTGGCAGAGGCATATTGGAGACGCAGTCTCATTCCTCTAGTTATATTTTGCTGCGAGTTTATTTCCTCAACATGACAAAATAGTACAGATTTTCAATAAATTTGTAATGGGAACTATCATAGACCTATGTACTCGTTACTCCTAACAATGAGCCACTCTACAAGTCCAAATGGACAGGAATGCTCATTGAAGTCTACAGGATATAGTAGAGAAGAAATAACAAACAAGTTTTGAAATCAAACCAGTTTTACTCCAACCAATTCTCTTGCAGGCATTTGTAGAGAATTACCCTCAGTTCAAGAAGATGTCCGGTACAGTGGCCAAGCATGTGACGGTCGTCCAGGAGTTGTCCAGGCAGGTCAGAGCATACAATCTTCTAGAGGTGTCAGAGGTGGAGCAGGAGCTAGCATGCCAGTCAGATCACAACGAAGCTCTCAAGGTAATTAAGTTTGTCTTAAAGCCCCGCTGTACTAATTTTAGTTACTTGCTCCCTCTATATAGAAAACAATGCCTAATCGGTGACCATTGGTCCCCTGAGGATCCTCTTTTTCTTATGTTGATTGAGAGCTGAGTTGATGAGATGCCACTTGTTAGTCACCACCCTGGGTGGTCTAATCCCTCCTGGCCAAACTAGTACAGACGGGCTTTAAGCCCACTGCACACTCTCACAGCGATCTCTACTCAAGGGAGTAAAGAGTCTGTTCTGTCAGTGTAGGATCACGATCAAATCTCATGAGCTAGGCCAAATTCTGACAACTTTGTTATCTTTTATAGAAGTGCAAACAGTGTTAATTTTCTTTAAAACTTGGAATAGCACACAATTTGTATTTGTATTGGTCATGAGGTGCCCATGAGGGTGTCTCTCATTTCTAATTGCAAATGCAGACAGCTTGTGCACACATTAACCAATGAATTATCCCAATTTAATCTAAATTTAATTTAGATTTAATGGCATTCAACATTGTTTTCACCAACATAAAAGGTAACATTATTTTTAGGATACCACTTGTCGGGTAATAATACTCTGAAAAGTGCTATGATCAGTCATTGTAAAAGTATTATGTAAAAGAACCGCTTCATTAATAAAAAAAGTTGTTCAAAAAGGTGGGTTAAAAATAGACTTGCTCAGGTCTGTGGTATTATCTTGCATAGAAAATGCAGTATTTACATGTACTTATCAGTTTCCATACACTATGTGTATTAAGTACCGGTAGCCAATGAAGATATTGACTTCCGGTATTGCACCCTCAAAAACGGTGGATTGTGTTTGTTTTGTTTTTGTTTTCTTTCTTCAAATATGATCTGTAGCGTATTGTTTTACTCTTGTGTTACAGAGAATCCGTACGTTACTAGGGAGTGACAAGGTCCGAGATCTGGACGCATGCCGGTTAGTCGCCCTCTACGGCCTGAGATATGAGCGTCACCAAAACAACAACACTGTTGGACTGATGGAGATGTTGAGGCGGAGAGGAGTCGGTGATAAGCACAGAATGGTAATATGTTTTATCGTTATTCGGACCAAATTGTGACCTTCATCTGAACTTCATGATGTTTGCAGCATGATTTATGTGCGGAATGGTAAAGGGAAATAGATGTGTTTGTGTCTTCATACTAGATGTTCTGCTTTCATATTCTTTGAAGTGATAATTTTCTCATATCAAATAATTTGATTAATAGAATACACTTTAATCTTTGCATTTGTAACATGAGTGTTCGGACTCTGATACACCATTTAATGTTAAAGGCTCATAGCAGTGGGTTCTATTGTGGAAATTTGGCAATCCCTTCCCGCTAGCAACATGAGGTCCGCTTTAAAAAAAAATTAATACTAATTTTGGTGTTCTAAATTGTACCTAAATTTTGATTTTCAGACAAGGAAAATGTCAGATTTCCCCCTCCCCTCGGGCGCTCCCCCAACCCCCCATTATAATCCTAGTTAAGGGCCAGAATTCTCATCATAATAAAACTTCCCTCACCCTCAAGATATGAATGCAAGCTGGAGTATTTTCTGGTGAGACCACGGGTAAGCTGCCTGAGAGAAATGGGCAAACATTATTGGTATTTAATTAATTGGTAATCCATCCAAATCTGGTGTTTGCTAATTCTAATGCAATACACATGGACACTGGCTACTATGTGGCTTTAAGATGATTTTTCTCATTATATACACAGCTCATGGAGACCATCGTTTGTATAGTATGGACTACGGATGAACAATCTGTTTTTCTCATGATTTTATTTGCAGCTTGTGAAGTCTATCATACAGTATGGAGGAGAGAAATCAAGAGGAACCGATCTGTTTGGTCAAGACAATCCTATGTCAAGGACTAGAAGATTCTTCAAGGGGCTCAAGGTAAGCTACCCAAGATACTTTTAATTTAGATTTTAAGGAACGAATAGGAACTGTTTCTTTGTTACAGGGCCCCGATTACAAGCAGAATCATGGGTCCTTATCATTTTCTTGTATATTATCACTGTAATTTTTTTGATAAAGGCTGAATAAAGATTCAAATTTAATTGAATTGAACTGTTTAAAAGATAAAAGTAATATTTGGAATTTTGTATAATGGCATGGAACAAAAAACGTCCTGAGAAATTGTCATTGGTTCCCTTTAGTGGCTTAAAAGTTGGCAGCTGCATGTGGTCTAGATTTTGTGCGTGTTATTTGTTAGAATTGAGAGAGAGAGTGAGAAATGGACTCCTTGTGATCTGGATATTCTTCAATAATTCTTTCATGATAGGATGTAGAGAATATCTACACACAGCACAGACCGCTGATCTACGAGACGCTTGACCAGCTCTTCAAAGGCAAGCTGAAGGAGGGAGCCTACCCGTACCTAGGCAGCAGCCAACTCAGAGATAGGTAGGATCCATTTTTTTCGCAATTTAATCACAAAATGTCTTAGTTATGTCACATTTTGTTGGCAATTTATTCTCATTCATGTGCATCATGCTGTTCTGCGATTGGTCCATTCTCTGAGCATGCCGTTGTTTTATGGATGCAGTATGTTCTGGAACTGAACTGACATAGATATAGCGTGTTTTGGAACCACACTCAATTTTTAGGCCATACCTTTCCTTTTCTCATATGAATTTCTACTATTTGGAAGTGTCTTTTGTATGTACAGTCAAACCTGCTTCAGTGACCACCTGTCTACAAAGACCACCTGTCTACAAGGACCACATTTTTTGTTTCTTATGAAAATGGTTTCTCATTGAAACATGTACTAAAGGAACCTGTCTACAAAGACCCTTTTTGTGTTTCCCTTGGGCGGTCGCTGTAGACTGGTTTGACTGTACCTACTAAAAATTAGTACATTCGTGCAAAAAAGTCAATTTTGATACAAAGTGGATGTAGCATGTCTTGGAACTGAACTCGTAATTTGTTGATTTATTTGTACAGACCTCAAGATGTTGTAGCATTTATGATAGGAGGGGTAACATATAAAAAGTGTCTTACATCTACATTTACATGAATTTCTACTATTTAGACGTGTCTTTGTATGTACTTACTCAATTTTGATACAAAGCGGATGTAGCATGTCTCGGAACTAAACTCTCATTGCTTGTTGATTTTTTTGTACAGGCCCCAAGATGTTGTAGCGTTCATGATTGGAGGGGTTACATATGAAGAGTGTCTTGCCATCTACAACCTGAACAGGGCTACACCTGGTATTAGAGTCATCCTAGGGGGTACCACAGTACACAACTTTGAAAGGTTAGTTATAAATAGTTAGCGATCTTCAACATGAACCAAGCTACGCCTAGTATTAGAGTCATTCTTTTCACAAAAACCTAGATTCGAATAACTCTCTTTCCGTAAGTTGGTGGGTTCAGTGTTCAAATGTCAGAGGTAAAAATACCAGAGCTATAAAGTAAATATTGTGATAGAAACAAACATGTGGAGGTTTATCCTCTATATTATAAAAATGAGTCAAATTATTATTATTTTTTCTTTTCAGGAGGGGCTTTTGACCCCTCTAAGCCTTCTCCTTAGAATCAAGCCTGAATCATACCTGAAAAATAAATAAATAAGCAAAATAACCTTAAAAGATCACTGCTCTAAATGTCAACATTTCCAAATACTGCAAGAAATTAAACAATGCATTTAAAGCTTTTCATTGTCCATAGCCTTAATTTTTAGTTGAAATTTTCTGTGTGGAGAAACCATTTGAAAGGCTTTTTTCAGAAAAATTGCAATATCTTGGATACTGCAGCTGCTCAGTGAAAAAATATGTGTTTCAGAAATTAAATCTTAACTTCTCTTATAGCTTGTTTTATACCATTTATTAACCGGTCCATTGACCTTAATACATATAAGATGCAGTAAATGTAATGGTCAAATTTCTTATCTAATAGTGCTCCATTACATCCTGCTTCTCAATCTTATTTTCTTAACAGTTTCTTGGAGGAAGTATCATCGACAGGCATAGAGTCACCCTACTGAAGAGAAGCCTTGTTTCAAAGAACTGCAAGATTCTCAAAGGACTCTCTTAGACATTCTGCCAGTACATATTGAACTCTTAACACTTGCTTTGAAGTGAGCTGTAGATCGCCACATTCTCTAGAGTATAAATAGAGATACTATATATGTATGACAAAAGGCAACTTTGGCAGTCCATTGTTTGTTCCTTTCGTCAACGGAAGCCTGTAAAGATTTAAGTGGTGATGGTCGTGTGCAGTTCTTACATTCCCCCAAGCTGCAAGAAGTACAGGTACCCTTGTAATGCGTAATACTGATACTTTGGTGAGTACATAAATGCTATCACGAACTGACTGAAATAAGTCTCACTAGATAATTTTATGATTATTCATGCCTCTGCCACAAAGAATTGCGTTTTAATTGTGATGTTTTATGTGTTGTCCTTTTGCCCATTCTTGTTGCAACACCTCAGTAATGAACTGACAAGAAGACTTCAAATTTATTTAAGTGCTTTAGTTGTAAACTGCAATGTAATTGTAGAACTGTATATGTGTTTGTTGTAACAGTAAATTATAACATGAGAATTTGGACAGGAAGCATTAGAGTTTTTGTCAGCAAATTTATTAATATTTTGTTGATGTACCTAGGTAGGGAATTTGGTTGTTTTCAATGGGTCTTGTTTTGTTTTTCCAGACAAATAAATCATTTATTTATATATCTATAACTGCAGCTTATCTATAACATTATCATATGAAATATGTCACTTGGATTCATACCCAAGTCAAGGCCAGCAAGCTGTTCTTCACTAGATAAACTCATATATTTCCCTTCAAAATTATTGCTGTTGTAAATTTCAAGTTGCATGTAATGTTACATAATCTGTGCGTTCAAAGACGCTATCAACCCGATAGCAAGTACTTTAGAAAAAATCAACCTAAGGTAATTTTAATAGCCTTGTTCACACCTACTGAAATGTGTGAACATGACAATGATGTATAATGTGATCTGAACATGATTACTATAGGACATACATAAGGGTATTGAAATTGCTATTGAGTTGATTTTTCAAGAATAGTTGCAATCGTATTCATTATAACAGGACGAGTTTGAGGGTCTTAGTAATGGTAGATAACTCAGGATAATATAGAGTTGGCAGTCTGGTTTGTTATGGTAGACATGTTATTTATTCAACTATGACGGATACCGGATCTTGGATATTGCATATCATACATGCCAAAGATTATAACATTGATCAAGTCTAGGACTATTAATATGATGAATTTACTATTGCACTTTTGTATAATTGCATATCACGTATGTCTCTATGTGCATTCAAAGTACACTGAAAAATGCTTATAAAAATCTTTCTCTTTTTGGATTTGGCAATCAAATAATTCAGTCACAAGATAAAGCAGTTAGAATATGATGTACTTACTATTTCACATTCATTAAATTCAGTAAATAGTATTTAGGTGTCGGTGATAGTGGACATAATTCCATTTTCGGTGAATAATATGTAATTATTGAAGAAGAAAAAACATTCCATGTTTCTGTATTTAAAATGAGTGGTTCCTTTGAATGTTATAAAGCTAATCTTGAGCTCTGGTATGGGAATCGTATTTTGAGAGAAAATTGCTATGATTTATTCTGGATTTGTTTATCCTGCAGGAGATTGGCTGTTTGAACCAGTATAATAAAACCAAACACACAAAAACTTACTGGCCATCATCTTCGATAAAAACCACAACTTGAATTTGAACATAGTGACCTATGTTAAGCACATGGTGTTGGGCCTACTAATTACCTAGATTTCCTTATATTTCTATGCTCATTAGTCATTACTCGGCCACTTTACTTTTTCTACCAAAATTGTTTGGCACATGTCATTTATTTGTAATCTTGAACATTCAGTGTAAATTTCGTTGGATTCTGTGATAATTTAAATTCTATTTTTACCAGAACTCAAGTTTTTACCTTTATATCTCTACTCTCAATATTTATGTCTCTAGTATGAAAATGATGTATATTTGCCATATGTTTAGTTGATTGGGTATAATGCTCATGATATTCTTATCTATACTTCAATGAAAATTTAGAATGATTAATGTCAAACAAATACATCTCACTTCCTTACAATTTGCAATTGTGTCTGAAAAAGGCACCTGTTATGATGCTCTGTTTATACATACAATGTAAAAATTGAACTTCTTTCAAGCAAGATGCTTTGAGGATGATTATAATGGATATGGAGTTTTTGTGTAGACATACATGTCGACACTCTTTCAACAGGATCTAAACCTTTTATACAAATATATGTGTATGTAACAAATATGAGAACAGGAAGTTCAGATGTAGGTGCTCAACACAAATGAATGAATTGTGTTAGCATAGTATGATATTCATATTTCACTTCATTGTTGCATCTCATACATGAGATACAACAATGAATCAAAGTTTTTTAATATTACTGTTAATTTGTTTAGAAATAATTATAATATGGACAGAGTTTTAGGACAAAATTAATATATGGCAAATTACATTGTTGAACAAAATGAAACAAGGGCTATTCTGAGGAATTATAACGTTGGATAGTTTTGATACTGAGCTCTCATAATCATATTCATTACTCAAGGTGCATAAGGCGCTCCAAAATTACCCCACCTCTCGCTAGGCAACCAAGGTGTTAAATGTGTACCAGTGTAGGGAGGAATTCCTTGAATGCTGTGAGCATCGATATGAGTAAACTAGCAGAGCCGGGGTAATAATTGGAGCACCTTGAGCACCTTGTGTGGTGAATTTGGTCTGCTATAAAATATCCATCGTTATTATTGATATTATTATTATTTTATTCAATGTGATGTACTTCTCTTTAGCTCTGACATAGTCTGGGGCCAACAGAAAAGCAGAATAGTATATTATTGAACTTTATTTGAAAAGTAATTGTAAATAATTATTATAACAAGGTGTAATATGGCGAGTAAAGTATAACAAATGTAATTTAATCCTGTGTTGCTGTCATTTATTTCTTCTGAATTAGATTTTTTTTTTTTTTTGGGGGGGGGGGGGGGGGGAGATGTGGTGTTTGCAAGTTTCTGTTTTTTCCCCTCCTATTTAATGTGGTTTCATTAAGGGAAACAAACAGATGGAATGAATAATAATGATGAAAGAATTTTTCTTAATCATCTGTATGAACAGATTAACTTGATGGTAAAGGTCCCTATTCCAGGATTCTCAGGGGGGGGGGGGGGGGGTGGCAACAGTCTGAAAATTCTCCTCTTGTAATATGCGCCCCTTCTCAATTCTTAAACTGATAGGTGCCACTTTTACTTGACAGGTGCTCCTCTTCATTTGTACTATTAAAAATGCATTTTGCCCTAGTTTCTAAGAAGTTTCCTTTCCATCTCATGCAGCCCTTCTCACCTTTGATAAATGCTTGTCCAAATTTTAAAGTTGCCCATTTTAATTTTACAGGTGCCCCTTTTCCTGTTCATAATTAGTACCCTTTTCCCTTCTGATAAGTGCTAATTTTTCCTTTTCGATAAGTTCCCCCTCCCCTTATAAGTGCTCCTTTTTACCTCTGATAAGCCTTTTAAATATAAGCCCCCGTTACTTTTGATGTAATTGCCCTTTGATTAGTGCCCCCAAAAGCCTTTAAAAGTGGATCCTAACTGCATCCTGCCATGCTTCAGAATGGTTAATCGGTTTAAAATTTGGGTTGTCTTTTTCGTTCGCTCGTTCATAGACACAACAGTTTTACTCGAGATCATTTTTTTTTCTAGTTGGCTGTTTCGGATATAGCATGCATGCATCACTGAAGGTCAGTGGATTGCTATGGGTGCAGTGTACCGGTATGTCGTCTAATTATTAAACGGATAGAATTGACCGAAAGCTTCAGTTTCTAAATGATACCTTACCGACGGCCACACATAGGTGCATTACTATCCTGGCTGTGTATTAAAAGCTGTGCTATTGATTCTTAACATTTCAAACACCACTGTACATAACTAAACTGATTTCAATCAAAATCGGTAATTAAGTGACAATTGATGACACCTTAATAGCAGTAAAATACAATTTGTTTAACTTTCTGGTGTTAGAAAGAATAATTAAAAAAATCAAATTGTGAGTCCACTGTCAAACTTGCCGATCAGTCACATCGGCATAACTGTGTGCATCTGTGTGTTCTGAGTGTATTGACTATTCATGTATTCAAATGCTGCCTATTAACACGTAAAGCAGTGCTAAAAGTCAATACGCATTATTAGCATTGAGTATCTATGCTTTGCTGGAGTGCCGACGGCCGGTTGTTCCGCTGAAACTACGAACTACTTCTGCCTTTCTTGCTCCACTGATCTCCTCTATGGAGGAGGTTGACAAATGTCAGTTTTATTAAAGAATTCCCGGCACCCATTCCAGAAGGTTATTTCTGTCTACGTGTAAGTATGCTAATGAAATCTGACATTTTAGTATTGGACATTCTTGTAAAATAGACCACTGCTCAGCTGTAGCTGTTCGTTGCATTGTCTTTGCGTGTAATCATGGTAATTGTAAACTGTATTGGGGGATTCCACCTTCCCGTAGACTTTACACGCAAGTGTGTGAGTATTTGTGTATGAAGGGGTGACCAAAGTCCGGGGACATTTTAGAACATATTACAAAATGTGATATTCGATCTATGATTTCTCATATTCTACACAAATTTATTTATTTCAATAATTTATCGTCGACAGATTTCGGAGATATCTAGGCCTAGCCTTAAGGGCTCTCTCGAAATGTTTTTTTAATGATATTATTCGAGAGAGCCTTAAACTAGGGTGTCTGAACGATTTTTCAATTTTCAATTTGGGATCGTTTTTCACCATTTTTGTTTGATATTTGAATAAAAGATGTTATCAGAATAATACATTTCAAATTTCAAGTCTCACCGATGTTTCTATCAAAAGTTACAGCCCCTCCAAAACGCTGGTATATTCATATCATTTTGGTCAAAATCGACGAAAAAGACGTCTACGCAGAGTGATGTTGTTTTGCTAAATTTAGCCAAACAGCTGTATCGCGCGATATGCAAGCGTATGCATATCGTACGCATGCTGCTAAGCCAATCCGCGACTTGCAGCTTGAGCTACGCTGTCTCCGCGACATGTGCCATTGACTAGTATGGTTGGCGTTCGTCGCACAATAAACCCGGAAGTGAATGCACGTTATAGTCAATGGCAATATCGCGGAGATGTCTCCGCGATATTGCCATTGACTATAACGTGTATTCACTTCCGGGTTCTATGCCGCGAATGGCCACCCATACTTGAATTTGGGGTTTCGTTCGTGCGCGGAGATGTTACGCGATGTAACCATGGTTTGGACTGAGCGGAGCGCACGCCCCCTAATTAGCTGATCCACCAAATAGCGAGAAGGGTATTTTTAAACTGTTATCAGTTGTGATCCCTGGGGGCTAGCGAAAATATAAGCACATAGAATTGTTCCTTAGGACTGGGACTACTTATCGATCGGGGCGTCATATCTCAAAAGTGACAAACCTCAGAGTTAGCCAGGACACAATGTTTCAATTGCTGTTTTGACCAAGATATTTTTAGAATTTCGGGGGCTACGCCCCTTTAGAAATATTGGAATTTACCTGCTCTTTCATATGACACCTCATTTATTGATTATCACCTTCAGGATCACAACAGATAAAGGTTTGAATCTCGAATTGAAAAAAAAAAATTGACTTTTTTTGCATGGTCGCGCAATGCACGTAGACTGCATAGGGATGCGTGTAATCTCTATGGGAAGAATTTTAGCACACAACATCGGGTGCGCGATCAGACACCCTACTTAAACGGCTCCCATACCCCTGCACGGAGAGGCATGTAAACAAAACTCAAAAGTGGTCCAAAATCACACTTTCGCGCACCCGACCAATATTGGACAGTGGCTTTGATAAATTTTGTCCGAGTTTTGGTCTTAATTAGCGCTTTAATTTCAAAATCGGATCTAAAAATAACAAAATAAGAGCAATTTTCTTACCAGACCGATACAGCTCAGCTCCCTTTTCACGTGTACCGTGTGAATTCACGATGTCTACACAATGGTGATGACCTCTGACTAGCACTTCGTAAATGTGCTGCTTCCGTATAATGCGCTGAATAACACTCATACAGCGCATTATACGGAAGCAGCACAATTTACCCACAATTACGGAAGTGCCAGTCAGAGGTCATCACCATTGTGTAGACATCGTGAATTCACACGGTACACGTGAAAAGGGAGCTGAGCTGTATCGGTCTGGTAAGAAAATTGCTCTTATTTTGTTATTTTTAGATCCGATTTTGAAATTAAAGCGCTAATTAAGACCAAAACTCGGACAAAATTTATCAAAGCCACTGTCCAATATTGGTCGGGTGCGCGAAAGTGTGATTTTGGACCACTTTTGAGTTTTGTTTACATGCCTCTCCGTGCAGGGGTATGGGAGCCGTTTAAGGCTCTCTCGAATAATATCATTAAAAAAACATTTCGAGAGAGCCCTTAAGGCTATCTAGGCCTAGGGTCTAGACCTATATTGCGATCTAAAAATTTGATGTCCGGACCTAGACCGAAAGCTTCAGTCTCTCTAATCGTCGGTTGTTCCACTGAGACTACATCTGGCTCCACTAGACCATTGGGGAATGACAACAAATGTCAGTTTTATTAAAGAAATGACCCAATCAGATGGTTATTGCTGTCTAGTCCGGACCGTGCGTGGTGCAAAAGTCATAAAAAAAACGAGACCTAACTTCATATCGCACGGGGGTTTACAGTTGATTTATCAAAAAATGTGAACCATCAAAAATAAGGTAATATCACAATTTGCAAGGCAAGATATCGTACAACTACAATCAGTTGGTAGGTCTACCACTTTATTACTTACAATTTTGAGGAAATCTGCTCTCAAATTGAAGATTTTCAGACCGTTAATCGGTAAGTTGATAATTTTTCGGAACGAACGCAAAAGATTGCAAAATTTCTTCTTGATCTTCTTCTTCCAATTAGAGTACAATCCTCTTTACAGAGTATTGTCGTACTATACTGGGGTGCGCAGGTGGACTACTACAATGGGGTTGCCCCCTACTAGTGCAATGGCTTCTTGCCATGCAAAGCCCAGTGACTCTTCTCCACGTCACAGGGCCTCCATTTAACGTCCTATCCAAGGGACGGAGTGTTTTCTACTTAGCATAGCCTGTGTCTATGAAACAATGGGAGGGCCGTTAACACACAACGCAGGCTTCAGTCATGATCATCCGCCTTGGATGCTGATCTTTCGTCAAAATTTTCACAATTTTGAACCCAATTCCAAAGAAAATTTCATATCTGGGTAATTTTATGTTCCTCTTTCTATTGGTGATATCAGATTTTAGAAATTTTACTGATTTTTTGAGATAGCGAACTTAGGTCATGCGCGAACTTTGGTCACACCACCATACACACTCGATGACTGGTGCCTGACTCATTTCACAGAAAGGCCTAGGGCCTAGTAGTCTATTGAAATTATATACGAACTATAGTTGTGAATGGTAATTGTTTAGTACGTAAATTTATCACTTAAACAGTATCAACATTAGGATCGTCCGCATAAACTCCGGCGCGGAGATACCCTACTAAAACATAACAAAAATCGACTAAATCTTCATCAATTGTTTAAATAATGGTCATGATTTAAAAGTTGTTATGTTTCTTACCTGTTTCGTGTCAATTTTCTTACCTTTTTTGGAGTATTTTTCCTAAAAACAAAAACTTATTAGAGTAAAGGAGGGAGTTTTCGGCCACTAAAGTAAAATCCTATTTTTGGACTCTTTAGTTCCTATTTATTATCATTTCTCTTTCAAATCATGAAGCCAATACTATTATAATTTAAACAAAACAAAAAATCCTGGAAAAAAAATCATGAATTGCCATGGCAATATTCATTTTCATGTTCACTGTTTCAGAGGTACATTGTAGTTTTTGGCCTAACGAGGCAGTTGTCAGCCGTATGAGCGTACGTAGTCAATATGGAGCGCGATCTATAGCACAGGCTTGCTGGGGTACAAAAAAATAATATGCATGCGGCCAGACCATGTAATTCCTCCCACAGCCAAAAAACTACACCTGCGGGAAAGGTGATCAGAAATTGGAATCTAAACTAAACAGAGATACGGCGTTATAGTATCCGACTGCAGTGGTAACATGGGGTGAGAAACTTTTGAGCTTGCGATACTCAAAAAATCTTACTCTGAATACAGCTCATTTTATGGCACCCATATTCCTTACATGCACGCGTACAGTAAGATATTCAATTTTTAAGATTTGAGTAGTAGAAAAATACTACCTCAAGTTACAATTTGAGAAGACCCATTATTAGGGTGTCTGATCGCGCACTCGATTTTGATGACAAGTAAGTTCCTCATCAAAAAATTACCCCTTTGACTTTCTACTTTTAAAAATTCACCATCTACTTATGTTTTCATAATAGTTTTTGTTATGATCAACACACAATGGGCTCCTGGCCTTAGGGAGGCAAAAAGTTGACTGGGGAAAATGGCCTTGTTGTTATCCCCTCGTTTGTGTTGTTTTTAAGTTAAATCACCAATATAGGAGAGTAGAGACAGTCTCACAAATGGAAAAGAGTCTGTCAAATCGGCTGTGCACCACTTTTTGTTGCAAATCCAATAAATTCTCATTTCCTACTCTGTCTCTCTGTCTCTCTTTTGTAATGATTTATTCAATCTTCAACTAGCCCTTCATCTTTACAGTTCAGCTGTTATTGTCTTTTGTAATGCATGTCCACCATGTTGTGTTGGGATTGGTGTATGAGATTTTGGCAGTCGGAGAGGTACAAACAATGAAGCAGCAAGGAGAGGCTTGCTATTACTGAGTCATATTAGAGTATTTATTACCTCCAAACTTTGGAGAATCCAATCAGTCACATCATTATGAACTTCGAACACAAGATGAAGTGAGAGCCAGCTAGAAAGAGGGTCTTGATCTAATGGTGATCAAAACTCAACTCCCTTCAGAAAGCCAGAACATGTAATGTTTATACGAAAGATACAAGTGATATGAAGGTAGATACATTGTGTCAAAGGGACAAAGACATGAATGAGAGCCGCCAAAACAATGGACAACTTGGTAGTTTTATGTATGGGGGTTAAACATAATAGAGGTGGTCTTCCCTGGGAAGGGAATTATGAATGTACTTGGTCTTTCTATGGGGAAGGATTATAAAGACATACGTTTACATGGCTTTTAAGTGCATCTCAAATTGGGCATCTTGACAGGGTATAAATATGAAGGTACTTTATAATTAACTGGGTTTTGGGACAATACCACACAACAGTAGCCTGAGAACAGACTGTATATGGTTTATGAACTATTTCATATTGAACACTTGTTTATTCCTTCTTTGCAGGTAGATTGTGGTAAGACAGTATGGCGAGGTTAGATTCTCCCACCGAAGGGCCATACCTGCCCCATGGCATTGGATCCAGATTCTGTGACCTTCGACCTCTAGGATACGGCAGCAGTGGAACGGTCTTCTCTGCTGTGGACAGCGAGTGTGACAAGAGCGTTGCCATCAAGCGCATCTCGCTCGCCGACAAGAAAAGTTGCAAATCGGCCCTGAGGGAAATCCGCATTCTCCGGAAGCTTCAGCACGAGAACATTGTCAAGATATACGACGTGATCTTCAATGGCAACTCAGATAACTCTGAAGATGAGGATCACGTCAGTATCCCGTCTGAGCTGAGGACGCTTTGTATCGTACAGGAGTTGGTGGATGCAGATCTAAGGGTGGTGATGGAACAACAGCGTATCAGCAACGAACATGTCCGGCTATTTGCATATCAGCTTTTACGAGGGTTGAAGTACCTGCACAGTGCCAACGTCTTGCATAGGGACCTCAAGCCAGAGAATGTCTTAATCAATCAGGAAGATTTGGTGCTCAAGATTGGGGATTTTGGAATGGCAAGAATTGTGGATCCAGACTATTCACACAAAGTGAGTACAAACAGATCTGCAAGGTTTGAAGGCAATGGTTTCGGTGGGGTTGTATAAAAGATTTTCTTAAATCGTATTTTTTTATACAATATTTTACAAGAATTAATCAAAAATATAAACCAAAACTTGTTCAAAGCACAAATTCATTTATTACCACATGTGACATTAACTAGATTAATATAGTTTGTTATGACCATGAAATGTTACTGCCTTAAACAAATGTAAATGTTATTTATGTTGGTCACATATTATAAAATATGGGGCATTATTCTAATAGCAATTCTGCAATGTACCTATATGACTGACTCCAATGAAAGAAATCCTCTTTTCTTAAAACCACATTAAACATGAAGACAATGTTACTGTCGTATACAACATTTAAAAGACAATTTACATATTTTCCGTCTTTCTCCAGGGCTACCTCACACAGAACGTGTCCACCCAGTGGTACCGTTCACCGGAGCTGGTTCTCCAACCCACCGACTACACCAAGGCCATTGACCTCTGGTCTGCTGGCTGCATCCTGGCAGAGATGGTCACTGGCAAGCCCCTGTTCCCTGGAGACCATGACCTGGAACTGATGATGCTGGTCCTGGACTCGGTGCAGCTCAACGACAGGGATCTCAATGAAATCCTGTGTACGCTTCCGAGCAAACTGCTGAAGAACTACAACGGCTATCCTAGACATCCCCTCAAAGAGGTGCTCTGTAACTTAGACTGTCATGGTACGTACAGAATATGAAATGATAGCTCACAAAGTTATCTGGGCCCTGTCTTACAAAGAGTTGATATTAATTCCAACTTATTTGCCATTGATATCGATCGCAACTATGTACATAAGAGATAGGAGACTGCAAACTTGCGATTGATTAGAGGACTTGCGATAGATTTGGATCAATCACAACTCTTTGTAAGACAGGGCCCAGGTTTGTATTTTACAAAGCATGTTTGAAATTACAATAACAGATATAAAATTGTCTTCAAGTTGTTAAGGTGAAACAAAGCATTGATCAAGAACATAAATTTGTTAACATTTAAACATTTATTGACATGTGTAAGAAAGTATTTGTACTCTTTTTAAAGGCCTTTTTATGATATTTCACACTCATGTATTATTACTATATCACTCAGCCCCAAAGCTTGATTGTTTTTCAGGGCTTAATGAAACCTCTTCCACTTCATATGTTAAAAACATATCTGTAATGATGTTTCTTTGAACATGAGGTTTGCGATTTTTTAACATTGTACTATCAAAGCCATCTGAGATATTGGCAATTTCTCTGATGTGTTTCATTAATGCTCAATCCTCTTTATCTCTTTCTCTTCACACAGCTCTTGATTTACTGCTTGCCATGCTGACCTTTGACCCTTCAGAGAGAATCACAGCAGAGGAGGCACTGAGAAGTCCATATTTCAAAGTGTACTCATGCATCAGGGATGAAGCCAAAGCAACGCATCCTTTCCACATTGAAAATGAAATAGACGATCTACCACCTATTGTTATTAAGAAAATCATCCTTGAAGAATGTCTGGAGAGGACAGATGTTGATGTCTCGTTCGGTGGTCGTACCGCGAACGTGTGTGATGAGAGCGAAGACAACTCCAGCAGCAGTAGAGACCTTGTGCAGTCCAGCACCGAGGGAAGTTTGGGCTCATTCAGTGATGAAGAGGCGAAGGAAGCTTGCATAGACAATGCATTCTTGAATAGGATGGTCAGTGTAGGCAACAACAGGAGTGACGATAGTGAGAAGAACGAGACGGAAGAGAGCGAGAAGTCGGATGATGAGGAGAAGGAGGCTAAGTGGGAGGATTTCAAGGGGATGATGTCCATGGATCCCAACAACCTGGAGGATAGGGAAGAGCGGGAAGGAGATGCCATCGAAAAGGGCTCGGTCGAGTCTGACAACGAAGGCAGTGAAAAATCGGAAGCAGATGATCAGATCAGCGAGAAGCGCAACAATCAAGATGATGAAGAGAAGAGAGGATCGAAGGAAGATCTTCTGATGGAGAAATTTGAAGAGGATAACACAGGAGACAACAACAAGAAAGAAGAAGAGAAAACAGAGGAAGGAGCCGTGTCCAAAACAGCGAGGAAAGAGAGCCTTGTGTTTATGGATTATGAGGCAGTAGAGAAAGCCTTTGGGGATAAGTTGCAGAAGGAAAAGCTGAATGAACAGCTGTCCAACAGAGAGTTTGAAGATGGAAGCGTCAGGAAGAAGGAAAGCAGCGAGAACAAAGAGCTAGATTTAACTGACACCTTAGATATCTTAAAGAAACAGGCGAAGAGTAAAGGAAAGACACTGGATGATTGTCTAGAGCTTGGCACGCTGAGGCTGAGTGAGACGTCTCCAACCCCGAAGAATACAGATGTGGTGCTTGACAAGCAACTTTACGTCCATAAAGAATCCAAAGGTAACCAGGAGTTCAATGACAAGAGTGAATTTGTTGAGCAAATAAGGACAGACAACACGTCGGTATCCAACGAAAGAATGGGTGAACTTCAAAAAGTGCGATGCAACACGCAGACTGAGAAGAAACAAGGTAGGCCAAAGAAACCTGATCTGAAGGAAGTCCTCTATGTGGACATCCCCAAGGCTTCTGCTAGTATCTCACCTAGGAGTTCCCCCAGGGGACCGGGTAAGGAGACGACAACACGCAGGAACAGTTTGTCTCCAAGGGAAAGAAGTGTAAGACCAAAGAAGAAAGATTGGTTTTACTCAAAGCATTAACCTTGGTTTTATGTACGTGTAATGTACATGACTGTAGACATGTAATATAGACTACCGGTATTTCTTTTATAAAGAACGGTATTCGTCTCTGATGTTATATTCTCAATATTTGTTTAAAGCATAAGTCAACATGAAATATGAACAAACTCATGGTGTTCCCGAGACATGATTTAATTAAAGGATTGTCAAAAGTATGCTATTTAAAATAGGGCTGAAGGTATGGGTTTCATCTACATGTAAATGCCACCAGTAAATCAGTTCTTTTTAAACAGTTTCATTTGATAAATATCTGTACATCATTATATCCTTCATGTGAGAGCATAGAAAATTTGAGAAAATTTCCGACATGGATTTGCTTTGATTCAGTGTGGTTTTGGGGGCAGAGCATGTTTTGCATTCTCTTTATACATTTGATTTTGTTTTCAAGCATATTTTAATCGAACTTTGGAAGTTACTTATTCTAGATAGGATACAAAGGTACATGATTGGGAATGGTTCTATCTCAGTTCGTAAATTGAAGATGAAAATTTGATCTGTATGTAATATACATGTAGATAGTATGATTCATTTTCAGGGTTTGGTTTAGTTTCTTTAGATTCTGTTTGAATTGTTTAAAAGTATAACATTACTTTTCTTGCACCATGATATACCTTTGTTCTCTTTCTCCCCAGTCAATCTAAGATTATGCACATTATTTGTGTTGCATTGTTAAGAATGTGGGCACTTCATGTGCTTGTGGACAGCTTACAATTAACGGTGTGACATGTGGCTTAAAATAATCCACTTAATAGTCTGCCAGGCAGCTTTCTTAGACTTGGAGTAAACTACTTAATTAAAAAATTCAACTGAAATATTGAGGTTGGCTGAAAACAAAGTAAAATATTCATATTTGTGACTAAGGAGATGACTTTAATTTCTCTCTCCCCCCCCCCCCCCTCTTTCTCTCTCATTCCATTTCTCACTCGATCTCCCTCTCTCACCATCTCTCCCTTCCTCTCTCTCCTCATCACAATTGTCTCGCTCTCTTTCCCATTCTTCCTCCTACTTGATCTCTCTCTCTCTCTCTCTCTCTCTCTCTCTCTCTCCCACGCTGAATGGATGCTTTATTATGTTTGAAAACATATGTATATTTGTGTTGCTACATGTAGGCGAAAACTTTTATGTACACAAATATTGATGTTTGGCCTGTATCGAAGTACATGTACATCTAACAGTTACATAGAAACACGGCGTTGGGAAAATGTAGGTGGGAAATGCATTAGGAAGAAATAAGAGAATTGTAGTACATATACAATCATCTTATATTTGTATACTCTAATTAGAGTACCGGTAGTGTTGAAGAAGCTGCTGATTTTTTTTTTTTTTTTAAATATGTCAGTAGAGTTATTGACTTGTTAGCTTCATGCACTGAAATTCGATTCTTTGTTGATGGCCGGTTGACAAACAAAATTAAGAGAATCGGATCAACCATTTTGAAAATTATTTATAAATGTATAGTTTTTTGCCATTTCTTGCCCCAAATTCATATGAACATGACACTGCTTAATAATCTGTACAATGATAGCTTGTTGCCCCAATTAATAATCAGGGCCAGGTATTTTCTTAACTATTAAAAAATTAAAAAAACAGCAGGTTGAAGTCTCAGAATTTTTTTATGATTGGCTGTGAACAAAGTTGTCATAGACAAATACACAGTTTTTTTTTTAAATTGATAATGAGTTTTTATGAAAAAGGGACCTTTTGTCAAAATGGAAAGACCAACACTGATGCAAAACCAATTCAAACTTAAATAGTAATGTCTACGAAAAACAGGTACCGGTAATGATAAGCACACTTTTTTTGGGGTTTTTTTTGTGGGGGGTTGGAAATGTTTGTTAGCTAAGTTTATTAATAATTCTTGTTTGAAAAAGATGATGTTATTTGTTAATGTGACGTTTTTATAATGTTTTATTATCTATGTTTGTATACATTGTACATCATGTCATTGCATGCTCCTTATGAGTCATTTTATTGCATTATTTTGTTTTAATGCATAAGCACTAAACTAGAAAAAGGTTGAGAATTCTCTTCTTGAGTGTTTACGAGGTATTCTTGTTATATAGTTATGAAATTAGTTTTTGAGACCATCAAATATGCTCATTTTGAATTTTTAATTGTCAAAATCTGTGTGTGTGTATGCAAATTATGATGCATGTAGATAGCCTGTCTAGTTCTTTTGCATGTTGGTGCCTTTCACAAGTTTTGAAAAGCTTGTATCATCGTGTACATTCGATTTACATTATTTTTGTGCCCAGTTATTTTATTTCTGTGTTATTCATTTGTGAAATTACGAGAGCAGTTCGTGCTATTTTCCTATCCTTGTGTGCAATCTAAGTTTAAATTATATAACTTGTATTCCCATAGCTGTTGCGCTGCTGTTAATCTATGTAAATCTGTGTCACTTGATCTGCATTTGCCAAGATAGAGTAATGTATTGGAAATTAGCCCCAAAGATATCAAAACATGTCACTCTTAAAACAGAAATGTAAAGTGAATTATGGCATCAATGTATAAAGCGACTGATTTAACATGTTTTTAAAAAATGGAGATCTTTTCATGTTTGAAGTAAGTTCTGTAGATGTAAAATTGCAAATGAAGTTCAAAATTCTTACTCTGGCTACAATCAAAATTGTTTTGTGGTGTTTTTTTTTTTATTTTAGTCCATTTTATTTGAATAAGTCATGAATATCAGAGTATTTGCTATTCAATTCATATACCTCAACTTTTTTTTCATTTAAGGGATATAGACAATGTCAAAGGTATTTTCATGATTTGCAGTATTTATCACTATTTCCAGCAAAATCTGGAAAGATTTGTAAAGATATTTTTTTTTTTTTTTTGCAGGGGGAGGGGGTTAACAAAATTCATTTTGTCAGTCTTGTCTCCCTATACAAAATCAAAGTTTTCCCCCCTTATAACCGAAGAATTGTTGCACAAAGTTTATTTTAGCTTGACACTGATATACCATAAGTATTTACATGTACCGGTACTACTTATTTCCATGATCGATGATAGCAAAGTGTTTTTTTAATACCCTTTCATCATTGCTGGGAAATGATTACCGTAGTCTCATTCTATCGTTATGGTGAAATGTGACCGTCTTTATAATCTTAAAAATTGCAGCAACAAGTAGGTTTTTTGTTGTTAAAGAAACCTCTATTTATTCATAACAATTGTGTGGTCCTGTCGAATGGGATAAAAAACAAGGGCGAGTGATAGTACATGTAACATTGTACCAAGATGAAAATAAAACACCAGGAGATGTTTGATGTAAACAAATGAAAAGATATCTCTTTTTCTCATTCTTATTTTGCAAGTCTTTTGTTGGAGTCTATGAGAGTGTGTGAATGCTATTTCATTTTACATGGACCTGTACACTTAAATTGAAATATTAGATACACATATGAAGGGGTCAGTGACACAAAGACGTAACTCCATTTTTGCCATTTTGAGAAAAAGTGGTCTATGTGTCACTGAGCACTTGGGCCTTACATAAGGAGTTAAGTCTGTGCTTCACTAGCCATTGACTTCAAATGGGTGTTGGGTGGAGTTAAGTCTTTGTGTTTCCTAGAAAGCCCACATTTTTCTGAACAGTTTGATATCAAATACTCATTTTGGCAAAATATGGAGTTACGTCTTTGTGTCACTGAACCCTCAATATCGTCGCCTTCTTAAAATAGTGGCCTGAGTCAATTTTTCAAAATTTGAGAAAAACAGAGAAAAACTGAAACCAAACAAAATAAAAGATAGATACTTTTTCCCATTCGACACGGATAGGTTTAGGAATATATATATTGAAATACAAATAATGCTGTCTTTCAAATCTGTTTCATAAGAGGATTAGATTACTTGCAAACGTGCTGTTGTGACTTACCCGGCCGTAGGAAATTTTAAACCTGACTTGGGCCAAATTAATCCTGGAGTAAGTGTCTTGGGCAAAACAGTTCACTTAATTTAATCCCACTACAAACAATATAGTTGAAGGAAATTAACATATTTTCATTTAAAACCATCTTTGTTGATGCCTAAGTCATATTTCTTGGCATACTACAATGTAGGCCAAAAAGTTCAACAGCCTAAGTCACACGCTTGACTTCTACCATTATACTATCTGGGTATTAGCAGCATGAATATGTTCAATTCAGCACATATGTCATTTAACAAAGGTGCATGGATAGCCTCATGGAGAAATGTCCTGGGCAAAAATATAATTTCCTTCAAAATGTGACTTGCCCCATATTTTACGAAGGTGATGATATACATACATGTATTAAATAAAATGTACAACAGACACATAATACAGTATATTGTTTATGGCATGTTTTGTAGCCAAAATAGCATGATCCAATATACACATTCTTTGATTTGTAATGAAAGATACTGGACGATTTATTCCATCAAGAAATAATCAAACAACTCAATAATACAATGAGAAGAAAAGCAAGATGACTAGAATAATCAATGATCAGTAATTTTAAGTACAACAAAGAAAGCTAGAATTGGTGGTTGCATGCACCCGAGCCAAAGTAAACTTGAGGCATAATTTGTAAAGCTAATTTTAAATCATGACTATAATGGACAAACTTTTGGCATTAATTAATAGCCATTAAAAGTAACCTAACATTCAAAGCTTTAACAGGGTCAATAGAGTAATTAGGTTTTCATGAAGTTGAACTAGAAATTTGAATGCATGGCAAAATGAAAACCTTCCTGAAAGTAGTTAGAGAAAAATATTATTTTTGTATTATTAAAAAGGGGAAATGTAGTTTTTATTTTCAATGGGATAAAAATCTTATTCTACATTTTAACAGATACATGTATAAAAAATCCCAGATGATACAACAAAATGGGTCATTTTTAAAAGAACTCCATGACACTGGATCCTTTTAAATTTATCATTTTTGTTAACTTGTATATCCCATTCATGGCACATCTTCAAAGTTCATTCAGATAAGCATTTGCTCTAGTTCTCTATGTTGAAAATTTGAGATGATTGCATATATTTAGAAATAAATCTCTTCCTCTTTTTGCTATTATGTGAATGAATAATATGATAAGTTAATATTGTCCTCCAGCTCTTTTTCAGACAAAATATACCACATAACTGCAGTCTGGTGTCTATAGTTTCCTTTACCACTCTTAAAATTGCTCTTTTCTTCGGAGAATAGATAGACCGGATGACGTCAGTGTCTGTAATACGTTCTTGACAATAACCTTGCCAGAGCGGGGTAATGAGAAAACCCGAATCGAATTCTCGGTAGAATGACTGGCAGGTGATCATTGAACGGAATCGGAGGGGGTATTGTTCGCACCCCCTGGGGTCAAAGGTCCCATTATACCATCATCAGAAGTTACTGCGCAGTGCAGTGCATAAGGACGTGGAACAGGCGAGCAAGCTACGATCCGCAAAGTTGTCGAGAGACATTGCGTTGAAATTGGATTGGAGGTCGAACTTGATTAGGGGACAAATTACGACATCATCCAAGAATAAAGAGATATTCTCGAAGTCGAAGTGTTTTGGATGGACACTGTCGAGGAAGTGAGCAATTGAGAAGGATAACTTCCGAGTACCTACGAACCCCGGCTACGAACCTGTCTGCGATTACATTCTTCATCATCATCGTATGTGCGCTTTATGAGTGCATGCCGTGTTACCGAACATTGGTCTCACAATCCCCGACTCTTTGGCTTTCTCCAGTTTGGAGCATCTTCAAAAGAAGATATTTTATGGATTATCTCGGAATAATGAACTGATTTGAAGACATGTAAACGAGTTATTGGTGTACACTAGCGACCAATTACGTAGTTTCAAGACTAAAACTGTTCTAGAAACAGTGACAAACAGCATTTTAGTATGGCTTCTTGGAGGACTTGCACAACTTTTGCCGTGTTCACATTAGTGGTACTGTGTGTCTGGTGTGATGTCGCAGAGGGTCTTTATACACATCAGTTCGCCCTGATCGTACGGGGTGGACGAAGCACAGCGGACCGTCTATCGGAGAAATATGGCTACATTAACCACGGACAGGTATACACTCACTGTTAGCTTTGGAGTTCTGTTAAAAGAAATTAAAACTGAAGATGTAGCTGTCCTAGTAACTTCATTGGGAAAATAGATTTTTGGAGATGGAAATGCATTATGATTATTGTCCAAAGTTAAAATTCTGTTCTAATCTATGCATATTAAATATTTAAAATTCTTTACGTTCCAAGAAGAAGATGAGGAAGAAAGAGTGACATTAACATGATTAAGAGAGAGAGAGAGAGAGAGAGAGAGAGAGAAAAGGAAGAAAAAAAGGGAGAGAAGGGGGGGGGGGTAAGAAAGATCCATTACTAATTTCACTTGTATTTCTCCTGCCTTCATACAATTGATACAAATGATCTTATTAAAAAGGTTTCGATTTATTGCCCTTTAATAAATAAGCTCAAACTTCAAGTTTTGTGGGCAGGAAGTAAGTCCAAACTTTATAGGAGTTTACCCTGAAGGAAGGCAGAAGAATCCAAAGCATATTGGTGAAAGTAATGGACAAACATTAAGATGTTGATAAATTTATGAAATTCAAAATTTTAGTTGGTGTATCGGTTTTGGCCCTTAAGCTGTTAGGCAACCCTCCCATTTGATATAAACTATTTATTTTAAACAACATATAAGTGAGGAAAATTTATTACTGAAGCATTTTATTTAGATACATGTAGGGTATTGTTTTGGCCTTTTGGGAGGATCTGTAACGACATGCTATCCATGAATGATTTTTATTTTGGTACAGCCCCAAGGGAAATGTAACTAGAAGAGAACCCACATGTCATATTTGAAGTTTTTATTAACACCAAATGAGAGAGTTTGCACAGTCTTTAATACACTTTATATTTTTGACCAATTTGCCTAGATATGAGATGCTTGTACATTTCTGCACTCATCATTCAGACATTTATTGCTTTTTGTATATATTTCAGATTTTATTCAAAATTGTACCACCTGTTCTTTGGTTTTTCCAATTCCTTCCAATTCTTCTGGTTAGAAGAGTTGGACTGCCCTTTAAGCTTATAATGTACATGTCATGAATCTTCACTCTCTGCTTTCTGAATAACACAGTGAAAGCTTAATACATGTAGAGTTGTAGACCACTCAAGGCAGATACTTACTTACTTGGTCTACTTGGGTGTAGAGACCGGAAGCTTAGCTTATTTGTCCCTCTTTACTGTTGCATCCCGTCTCAAGTATGGTTCAAACTTAATTGGATTTTTTCTCCAATACCTTTCTAGGGATAACTTGAATTGGTTAAGGGTGACAGCATTGACTACTAAATAAAGGCAGTCTTTATAAGCAGATTGTCTTTGAGTGAACACATTCTAGTTCTACAGTTTTAATGAGAAACACTATTCAAGGGAAGCCATCTATGATTTAATCTTTATACTAGACAGGTGGTCGCTAAAGCAGGTTTCACTGTATTAATAATTGAAATTCAAGGTATTTACTATTTCGAATCATCTTTGTCATACAACATTGTACCCTACTGTACATACCTCAGTATGTACAATGGGGCTACCAGTTTTGGAGGTTCCTTGAATATTCAGTGTCAAAGATCATCCAAGATTCTGTAGAATTTTGATATAATGTTTGGTAACTTTCCAAAATATTTTGTGATGGATGTGACATTGTGACTTACTTTGCTCTTTAGAGTACAATCTTGCTCCCAAGCTTATACTTACCTCAATACCGGTATGTAGCAGCTGCAGCCTACAGTTCATGTTGAATTTTAAAAGCTCTTACATTTGAATGGTGTCAAACTGAAGTTGTACACTGTACTATCAACAAGCTATTTCAATAAAAAAAAAATCCAAATTAGCAATAAATGATTATTAAACAAGACTGTACTGATTATTGATGAAAAGGGAAGAAAGGAAAACAAACAGCAACAAGAACAAAGAAACAAAAGACAAAATATTAGTTTCAGTTGTGATACATCAGTTTATTTAGTCTCTTGAATTGCAAATCATTACCATGCTTTAAATCTTTTGGGTTTATCACTTATCCGACACCTGCAAAGAATGCCCAAGGTTTCAAACTCTTTGATAGGGGTAGGGGTTTGTCAAGTGGGGTTGGGGGGGGGGGGAGGGGAGAAACTATTGTAACTGGTTGACTTCAAATGAGTTTAATAGTAGTTGCATTTGTATAGTGCTTAATACTGTGTTTCTAAGTGCTTTACATTGTGTCATTACCCCAGTCATTGGATTCAGCCGCATACATGTACATGTATATCTGTTCCCTGGGGAGTTTAAGTGAAGTCTTAAAAAACAAACATTGTAATTGAATTCATGCATGGACATTCTCTTCTATTTTTTACAGGTATATTCAATTATTTTTTTGCAAATTTTTGCCCCTCTACCTTTGTATTTTTATTTTTTCCTCATTATTCCACACACTTTTCTCTCGCAATGTCCAGATTGGAAGCTTAGAAGACCACTACATGTTTAGTCACCAGAAAGTCTTCAAGCGGTCTACCATGGCCAGCACAGGGGCACATACAAATATTGCAGACGAGCCTGAGGTTTGTTACACATTTCATTTTGAAATTTGAATCTCTTCTTCTATCCTTTCCCTTTGGCCATCTTGTGACAGTAATGTGAACAAAAAAAAACACAACGCTCTGTAAATCAATCACTGAATTCTCTATGCGACTTTTGAGGTTCGCTGTGGATTTTGGTGAATACTGTAAAACCAGAAGATTTTGCAAACTTCATGTACATGTACATGTACAGCCAGTTTCATGGTACAAAATAATATGTGAATTTTCACCATTCCCCAAATTTGCAAACATGCACGTGAATGCTTCAGGTTTTGTAGTATCTTTGTATCCAATGAATCATGTAGAAATGTTGAGTTTGCTCATTCTGATAATTTAACAAATAATCCTTACAATTCAAATGGTCTTAATATTTTGTTAAACATGTTGAGCATTGTGTGTCTGAACAGTTGAAATTGATTTGTTATTGTAAATTTATTATTTTGACCAACTCATGTCTGCCACATGCCTGCTCCTGTCACTGGTATTATGATAAGATGAACACTTGAAAGGCAGCAGTTACCAATTATTAATAATTACACGCAAAGTAATGTCCATAAAATGAGGAAATGTCAGATTTGTTGAAAACAATCAACATATTTGTTTAATTCTACCCTCTGACGTATGTAGCTGACTTGAACACCCAGCTTGTTTAAACATTGAAAAGTGAAAATCAGTGCATTATTTGTTTTGTAAATACCAAAATTAATTGGGCTGATTGAACAATGAAGTGACTGCTGAATTGATGTAGACTGACTGCCAACCAATCAATAAATCATTTTGTCAACTGAGAGTAAAGTCTCGGAAGGAGATTTTCAAATCTCTATGTGAATGTATGAGTAATAAGGCCCATCTTGCTCTAAACAGCTGTACATCCTTTCTTCGTCAGCCACATGTTACCCAAGCTGATTGTGTAATTTAGTTTTTTTGGTGGAAATGTATTGCCCCAGAATGCCCGGATTATAAGATAAATGTGTACCGGTATTCAAGTTGAAAAGATGATTAAATCTAATGACTTCCGGTATTACATTGTAGGTGTTCAGCCTTCATAAGTTCATTTGATTTATGTTCTGTATTCTTAGGGTATTGTAAAGGTTTGAAGTCTATTTTCGATTAACAGAGAGTGCATTTATTTAAAGTTCATTTGGTTTGTCTGCAAGTAACATTAATATTATTAAGTAATAAATGTTGATGTACATTTATATATGCCAATAAATGACATGTACAATATGGAACATTGAAGGAGATATGATTGAACAAAATATTGGAAATTCATATATTATCGTGTAGTCCATAATTAAACAATTAACTTTGTCTTCCTTTATCATTCATTTAAAAAACTAAAAAACAAAAACAGAAATTATAAGAAGAGAAATAAAAAAAAGAAAACAAATTAATCTGAACTTCCAGAGAATCAAGATGGGTAAATGTTTCTAGTGAAATTGTAGAATGTAGATTTGATTCCTATTTATTTTGTTCTACCTTTCAGGTGGAATGGTTTGAGCAGCAAGTATTACGGAAGAGAGTGAAACGAGACAGCACCCACTTACACCTGTTCACCGACTCCCTCTGGTCTGACCAGTGGTACATGGTAAGTCTATTACTGTTTTCACACTGACAATATTTTGCTTAACCCCGTACTATAGGTGGGGTTAAGGGGGGGTCTTAGCCCCACCTATAGTACGGGGTTAAGCCTATTCCACTTTCTGTTCAGACTGGTTTTTACCAAAGTGGGCTAAAGTTGGCTAACCCCACCTATAGTACGGGGTTAACTAACCCTGCAAAATAGCAGGGCTAACTCCGCAATTGTGGTGCTAACTCCTGCTAACCCCGCAATTGCGGTGCTAAGCAAATGAATGAGAACAGAAACGAAAAATAGTCCGGTACTACGCAATGGAGCGTATCGCAGCTGGCCAGATGCGAAGTATGTCCTATCATAACATACACGATATCCGGGGTTAACGAAATGCAGTGAGAACAGCGGGAATTTTCTTATTCCGGAATAGGCGCTAGTACAGGACTAAAAACAGAGAGTGTGAAAAGCCAAAAAAATAGTCCGGGGTTAAGGATAGTACGGGGCTAAGCAAAGTACGGGGTTAAGCAAAACCAGTGTGAAAAGAGTATTTGAGGGGTAAACCCTCTCCAGGGGGGAACATGTGGCCATGGATTTGGGCTTGTTTGGGTAGCTCAAAGCCTGTATGAATTTTGACATTTTGCCTGCTTGATGGATTAATTAATTGACAAAGCCTCACTTGCCCACCATGATATCGCTAAATACAATTTCAGGTATACAGTGTGTTTCTCAATTGCAAATTATTGAGCTATTAACCCACCACCTACATGTACAGTAATTGTATGATATCCCTGACTCCCTGTATGACACCTTTGGAAGTGTGAAAATAACATTCCCCCTCACCCCCCCCCCCCCCCCCCGCCCCCCCCCCCCAAAAAAAAAAATAATAAATAAATAAAAATATATATACATACATGTATATTTAAAGATAAAGTTGATTTCTGGTCATGCGATTGCATTGTGAGAAAAATGTGGTGTGGAATCAATCAGAAAAGGTTCATCATGTACATGTCGCATGTATACCTGGCAGTATTGGTGTGTACTGCAAAGTACTGGAAGGGTGCCTGTTGTTGCCTGTTTGCTTTATGCTTGTCAGATATTTTGTCACAGGTATTCATTTATGAGTTAATTAATGAATTAACTACCTAACTCACTCACTCACTCATCATTCATTCATTCATATAAAGATTCCTCTTGGTGGAAACCACAAAATTTATAAATTTACTTTGCATAAATTGATATTTAATGTGAAATGTACATGTATAACTCAATTTTGTAATTGAAGTTCATTTTTGGAGATAACTGTATACATGTGAATGTATGTGGTACAACTACAACTACATGTACATGTATTATGTCATGAACGATAAATTCTATTTTGGGTACCTTTTATGAATTTTGGGAATTTGGGGTAATTTTCTCAACTTCCGTTTTCTAAATTACCCAAAGCTTCTACAAATGATACACGTGGAGGCATTTCCAAAAGGTGAAAATTCCTATGTACAATTCTATTTTAAGTACATTTGTGGTAATTTTCTCAACTTCCGTCTTCCCCTTTTCTAAATTGCCCAAAGCTTCTGCAAATGATACACATGGAGGCATTTTCAAAAGGTGAAAATTCCTCCATGTATGTACCCGGAATCCGGGAAACGTCATTGAAACTGAAAATGCTTCACTTGTCTCCCAGACAAAGAAGTATTATGGTAAAACCCGGTGGGGAAAATCACAGATCTACCGCACCTGCAATGGATTTTCAAACACTGAAAAAAAATTGGTTGAATTGCAAATGATTGTTTACCAAATGAGAATTTTTAGTCTGGGTGTGCTCATAACAAAATGATAATGCAACAGTAGATCAGGGTTATGGTTAAATGTTTGTTTGTTTTCTTTATAGTACTCTGAAAAAAGTCCCTCTGGTATTAGGAATGATGAAGTCATTAGTGAAAAATAAACTACCAGGAAACAGAGAAAGTTCCAAAAGAGCTCAGGGAAAATGAGTTATTAAAAAGAAATTCATTTGATTTTTATATACTGTACTGTACATACACTGTACATGCGTTTTGAAACATTGTACATGTATTTATGTATTACATATTTTACAATCTGAGAAAGTAGTTTTATTTTGGTTTGGAAAGTAATTCATTTCAAGAAATTCTCCATATTGCAGTCCATTTTGTTGTTTATTTGGTCAATTTACTACAGGCTACATGCACATGTGTGTAGTAAATACCACTAGTGTTTCAGGGGGAGGGGGACTTTAGGGGCTGAAGCTCCCCTCAGTCGCAGACCTCCCCCCCCCCCCCCCCAAACAAAAAAATAAAATAAAGTTAAAAATAAAAAATGAAAAGGTAAAAATGGTAAAGGGAAGAAAGAAAAAGACATTTAGAATAGAGAAGCAGAAAGAAAAGGGTCTATACATCCCTACTTTTGAAAACCTGTGCAGCACCAATTTATGATAGTGAAAGTGTTAAAAAATATTCAACCCCCCCCCCCCCCCCCCTCCCCACCACTTTTTTGTTGTTTATTTCAATTTGTTTTGTTAAAGCGATTTCTTACTGCATATTCTTCCGCCATTGCAGTGTCTCCTTTACATAAAAGACCTGGCTATTCAATACACATTGTACATGTACATGTATTTACCCTGTTAAGAGTTTATTGTATTCAAAAGAAATGCACAAAGGTTTCTTTGTTTGTTCTGTTCCCTTGATTCAAGGTTGTTGTTGTTTGAGTTGGCATTCTCTTGCAAACAGTTCTCTTTTCATAGTTTGACATTGGTGGTTTTCTTTGACAAAATGAAACAACACTGACAAAATTACTTGTTAATAGGAAGTAATCATCTCCAAAAGTAAACTCTCAGTTTCACAGTTAATTGGTTATCCTGAAATGGTTGATTACATGGAGTTTACACGGTTATGTCCTCGGCTTTGGTTTGAGTTATGGTGTCATGCAAAAGTCTGGTAATTGCCCATTTTCCTTTTTTCCATTCAAGTTTCAAGTATCTAGTATCTATGATCAATCCATCTTTTACCAGTTGGCAATAAATCAAAGAGATTGGAAGGGGGTACAGGATGTACATGTATAATAGGCACATTTGCTCATTTGCATATTACCAACCTCTTTTTACTCCTATTATGTAACTGTAATTCCTGTGTTACATGAACATAGCTACCCACTTACATCATCACTCCCAATTGACATCTTCACTGTACCTACATTTGTACATGTGTATTGAAGGAGAACCGTTGTTCAGTCTGGTTTTCATCATCAGTGGTAGTCCTGAGCTACCTTTTTTTGTGGGTATAGTTTGCTGACTGACAATTGCTTGTTGAAATAACAATAGACTATTTAAAGGCCTCCTCTGGACTAATCCCATGTTGTGAAGGAGAAAGAGGGGAGGGGTCAAAGGGCAATAACTTTATCTGAACTCTGAATAATATACAATATACAATACATTAGACTATTTAAAGCCCCACTGCACTACTTATAACTACTTGCGCCCTCTATATACAGAAGCAAACAATGCCTTAATTATCGGTGCCTGTTGGCCCCCCCATGATCTCCTTTTTCTTATATAAATTGAGGGCTGATTTGATGAGATAACCACCTGTCAGTGACCTTGCAGGGAGGTCTAATCCCCAGGCCAAACTAGTGCATACAGGCTTTAAAGGACTCCTCTGGCCTAGTCCCTTGTTGTGAAGTAGAAAGAGGGGAGGGGTCAAAGGGCAATAACTTTATCTGAACTCTGAACAATACACAATACTCTGGTAAAATGCGTAGGCCCAGCAAAAAAAAATACATGAGAAAGGTGAGGGGTTCAGCTCAGGAAAGCCCAAAAGAGCTGTGATAATACTAGTGATGAAATACCTAGATATTATTGTGAGAAAAAATAGTCCAAATACGTTCATGCAACAAAAACAAAATGGATGCAGTGTGTATACATGTATTTAATATGTCCTTTCTACTCATGCATCTGGGTGTTTTTTTTACAACTCTGAATCAAAAGTTGTTAAAATCCTGCTTGTAACCACAAATTGCAGAGGGATTGTTGCAAAAGGGTTAACAAGGAATGTTAATCTTAAAAAGGATATTGAAGTTAGCTAGCTGCATATATTGATTCATGCAGACTGTGTCCAATCTACCATGGATCACATGGAATAGGAGACACAGTAGGAGGCATTATTGACAAAACATTGATCATTTAGGTCACAACTGAATTATTCATTCTCATTGTACATACCGGTAATGTAAATGTGAATGGGTGAAAGGGTGGGTTTGGGGGGGGGGGCGAGTCAAGAATGAAAGATAGACCGGTTTACCGGTAACTTCCGGACCGCATGACCGTTACCAAAATCGCAGAAAAAAGGGGTCAATTTCAAGCAATGTCCGCGGACAAAATATTCCTTGAAATAAAGAAAATAGGGGTTCACAGGTGTCCTCGAAATTTATAAATAGGGGTCAGGAAAATGGAAAAGAGAAAAACCAGGAAGAAAAATTCTCGGAGCTGAGTGTTGTCCTTGAAATATGGTAAAATAGGGGTAAATTTGCGAAAGTGTCCTTATAATCTTATAACAAGGGGTATTCCAAAGTACGATTTTGTCCTTGTTTTGACTTAAAAAAGGTGGTTAAATTTCACAAAATGTCCTTGAAATTGACCGCAAACGGGGGTTATTTGCATTTGTGGTAACGGTCATACGTGTCACCCTCTGCGGGGGAGTGACCCCACCGGTAATCAGGGCCTTTGTGGAAGCTTTTATATGTTTCAAATTCTTCAGAAATATAAATCAGAACAAATCAATTTTCCACATACTGGGGGGGGGGGGGGGCAAGATTACATATACACAAGTACAATATACCGGTAGTATTGAATAGTTCCTATTTTGAAAAGAGAGAAATGGTTCATGCGAACATTCATTGTACATGTACATGTATACCTTGCCAATAGAACTTTGGAGTTTGGATGCATATACATGTATACTTTTAAAATTGAAAACAAAACATGTTATTTGTATTGCACTTTAGACTATAGATATTAGTTTGTAGAGTGCATTATGATCCCTGTTAAATCCTTCACATGAAGAATGTAGAGTTCCAGTATTTGACATATGTACAAATTTGATATACTGTAGGTTGATCGTTAGATACAGATCTTTCCAGAAAGTTGGAAAAACTGGTGTGCCATTTCAACATGATTTGGCAACAATATTTATACACCATTTATACTTGTACATGTACATATGAGCCTACATATACATGTATGTTCACTGCACACTGTTTAACGATTCTCAGAATACTGATTTAAAAAGATTTAAAGGGTGTTTTTATCTCATTGAGATAAAATGAATCTCAGAATACAACTCCGGGGTAATAATAATTTCAATGTAAAACCCTGAGTAATACTAAACGCTATAAAAATATGAATATCATTATCATTAAGGTATATCAATTTTTGTGTACATGGTTCTTAGGATGAAAACTTCACAGGAGATTCCATCTACAACTGCGCGTAATTTCAAGGTAAAGACCTGAGTAATACTAAACACTATAAATATATGAATATCATCATTAAATCTGATATCAATTGTGTTTTTTTGCATGATTCTTAATTAGGATGGAAACTTCACCGGAGATTCCAGACCGACTGCGAGTATGAACATCCAGCAAGCCTGGGATATGGGTTACACCGGTGCTGGTATCGTCATCACCATCATGGACGATGGATTGGAATATACCCATACAGACATCAGGAATAATTATGTAAGTAAACATACTAGGAACTAACACTTCAACAATAAGCTCTGATTCTAGTTTAGTTCCTCTTTTCTCGTGCTATTTCAATTATATTTGTCATTACATTGCATATTTTTTTTCAATTTACTTACATGTATTCATTGTATTATGTTTTGCGTGAGAAATTAAATCATGTGAAATCACACTGAATGTTTTTTTTTTTTTTGACTGTATACAAAAAGAAAACACATTGTTGAAACACATTAGATATCAATTAGAATAACCCTTTGCTTATCTTTATTGTAACTCAAAGGTCACTGAAATAGATAGGATAGAGCTGTAATGATGTTCATTTTCTGCTACAGGCTCGTGTTTTATTGATTTGTATTTCATGCCGCTGACTGCATGGAAGTTGAAAATGAGTAATGGTGGATTGATTGACCGAATTTAAAGGGAAGCCAGTTGGTTTATGAGGATGATTCCTACAGTGTGTACATGTAATGCTCAATTTTACATTTGTTGCTATGATATTTTCAGATTTGGGATGCAAATGAATTCACTGTGTATCATTGAACATATTTACCCGGTACACATTTTCATATACTACATGTCTGTACATTTATATGTAGTTGTGGTCCTCTATGGTTTTAATTTTGTTTGATTTTATGGTCATGAGAAAGACCTTACAGAAACATGTAAAGAGAAAATTAATTTATCAGTCATTCTGAAGGAAGACCAAGATTTTGACTCATGTTTTGTTACCTTTATAGTGAATTTCCTTTTTGGGAGCCATATGACAATGACCTGAAGGAGTGCAAGCTCTTCCCAGCTTCATTAAAATTGTAAATAAGAAGGCAATTTGGGTTGATTTTGGGTTGGGTTGATTTGGGTTGTTTGTCATTGTTATTGGAAGTTCTGAACTTCTGATGAACCTTCAGAATGTGAGAAAAACTAACGATTTTAGCTTGCCGTGTAAATGGAGCTAGTAAGTTGGGTTCATATCTCATCATGCCTGGTGTACCTCTGCAATGCAGCTTTCAATGGCTCCCTGCAGAAAGAGGGCCAGTGAATGGCACCTCTATTCTAATTTTCAGGCACAAATCCTTTTCAATCGTAATACATAACAGAGGGTCTGCAGTGTGAGTCTAGCCAGACTGCAGTCCATGCATGTGCAGGCCCAGTTTTGAAGTTATACTCCCAATGCAGTCAGCTAGGCTTCGTTGCAGTCTTCCAGAAACAATCTTATTTACATTCTGTTAAGATATCAAATGAGAGTCTGTGCCTGCAGACTAATCCCCATACTGTGTATTGAGAGAACAACACACTGAATAGCAGGAATGCAGGGTGGGTTGGTAGGAGGTCACATGTTGCACCTCTCTTCATCATTGCCCTTGTCTCTCTCTCTCTCTCTCTCTCTCTCGACATCCATTGTCTGTTGCTGTGATGGTAAACATTTAGATGGTGTATAACTGTATACATGTATACCTACAATACTGTAGACAATATAGAATACATACAAGCTTCTGTACGTCCTTGTACTGTACATTGGCTGTGCATGTAGGTGAGACTGGTTAATTAAGTGGTCCTTTTGTCTTTGAGACGTTCAATGATCCATTGTGTCATTTTAAAGCTTGTCTGCACTGGTTTGGCCAGGGGCAGGGGGGAATAAACGCTCTCTGCAACTAAGTGCATGGTCACTGACAGGTGATTATCTCATCAAATCAGCTCTCAATTAACATAAGAAAAAAGGGGATCACGGGGGACCAACAGGCACCGATTAGGCATTGTTTGCTATATAGAGGGCGCAAGTAGCTACAGAGTGTAGTGTAGTGGGGCTTTAAAGAATGACGTGTTTAGTACATGTACATGTCAAACTGAATGCATTCTCCAGTTACATCAGAAAAATTAGAATGATCAGTCAGTTGTAATTTTGAAGGAGTGATTGCATGGTCCCAGTTTGATGAGGCAAAGCTGATGAATTATAACCTTGAAATGTTGTCCTAAACTGCTGGTATAAAATGTGCATGTGTTTAAAAAAAAACAGAAGAAAAAGAAACAAATGGAATTCATCAAAAACATGTTTTTGAAGGGCATTCGCTTTGTAAGTACCGGTAATGATATTACTGAATGCCCTTTTGGCTCCAAAGAAATGATACAATGCATTTAATTACTTGAAACATTTCTTTTTTTCTCTTTTACTCATCTAGGATTCCGAGGCCAGTTATGATTTTGTTTCACGTGATGCAGACCCTATTCCAGTGTATATACCAATGAAGGAAGATAACATGTGAGTTTGAAAGTTGTCTTACGATTTCGATTAACCAATCCAATAATAGCAACAATCGAGTACCATTATTTTCAATTTTTCATGCTTGACAGTTAATGCCTGAGAAGCCAACCTGATTTAAAGTTTGTATAATTTATAAAAGCAGAAAAATGAAAGAACCAAATCAATGTCAAATGGAATGCTTGAATTTCATGGCTTGTCATTGAGTTTATGAATCAGTACCGTTATTTTGCTTTGCCAATATGACAACATGTTCATAAAAAAGAAAATATATTCTATGAAATTGGGTTCTTACAGCCTGTAGGTAGTACTGGAAATGCTTTTTTTTCTCTCACTGTGAAGAAAACAAAAGGAATGTTACAGATAAAAAAAACTTGAATTACATTTAATGGAGCATGCACGTAATTGCAATCCTCACTACCGCAACTACAGTATTTGGCCGTAGAGGGCAGCACTGGCCATGGGTATTTTTGGCAAAGGCACTTCCAGTTCCCATACAAATACAGTGGGTCAGAATTGGAAAGTCTGATAGAAATTATAATTTAGGAACTATTATACGCAAAGGGACAGATTGTGATGGTGTCTCAAAAGGTCTTATCAAATCATTGGGGAATTCATGAAACCTGAACAATAGTCGATTAAATATAGGAACTATTTGACACTGCTGTACATTCTCTATGGAAGCGGGAAGAAAACCTTGTCTTATCATATCTGCGTATGTTCTGACCTGCGTGGTGTGGGAGGAAGGTCGCCATCTACTGTCGAACATAGTATTTGCGGTTTAGTGTCAATTATTATCCATTCATCTGTTTGTCTCCCTCTCTCTTTTCCTCAGGCATGGTACTCGTTGTGCTGGTGAAATTGTGATGCAGCCAAACAACAGCAAATGTGGTGTCGGAATTGCATTTGGTGCACAGATTGGAGGTTAGTGTTTATACATACATGTACCGCTGTAAGAGGAAACATCCTTAAAACTGGAAAGGTGAAAGATTTAAAAGAACTCTCATATTCCTTATTCTAAATTCTTTATTTTTTTATTCAGTGGCTCATTTCCGATTGTAGACAAAGAAATCTTTTTTCGTAAAATTGAAAATTTGAGGCATGGGGGGGGGGGGGCATGCTGGCGATGTGCCATTGTCAGAAAAAGCTTACAATGCTGAAGACACCTACCGGTAAAATGAATTTCATGTTCGACCAGATACCCATTTTACACGTTGATGGAGAGAAGCAATGTAAAGAAATTATCTTTAAAAGGACATACACTGTACATTTTCCCCCAATTTTCTTACTCAAATAGGGGGGGGGAATGTGGTCAGATGCCATTTTTTCCCCCTGAGTCCTCCTTTTTTTTTACTCAATGAGGGCGTGGTTAAGGGGAAGAAAAAAAACCCTATTTTTTTCATTTTTAGTGCTTACTATCACCCCTGGTCATTACAACACTCCTAATCCAAATACTCCTTCTTTTCTCTTGCTTGCCAGGTATCCGAATGCTTGATCTTATGATTACGGATGAGATGGAAGGTTCATCGTTGTCCTTCAACCTTCAGCATGTTGATATTTACAGCGCTTCCTGGGGCCCCGACGACGGAGGCTACACCGTCGAAGGACCAGCCGAGATAACTCAGACTGCAATGAGAACCGGAGTTGCAAACGTGAGATGATCTTATTGTATTTCAAAATAACAAAAATATGATGATGTTGAGGTGTCATGGTCGAGTGCATACGTCGCCGGACTGTCGATGACAAAGTCTGCGGTTCGAGTCCCGCTGCGGCACTAGGTGATGTAAATGGGTATCTGGCAGGAATTAATTCCTTGAAATGCTGGAGCGCTGTAATGGCAGCTAGGCTAAAGCCGGGGTAATAATAAATGCGCCTCGAAATAGAATTTTTAGATAGAAGGGGCTATAGAAATGCCTATTATTATTATCATTATTATTATAATATTCAGATTCAGACTAATTTTATTGGTCTATTTGGTAATTCAGTTGTTGGCATTACATAAAGCACATGAACAATATACAATAGAACATTATATACACAAATAGATAATACACAGTAGCAAAGTTAGAATGACATCTTCACGGAAACACTGATATAACTCGTTTTTTCATAGTGGAATATAAATATAAGAAATGGACTCACAACACTATTGAAAATGTACAATTGCATAGAATTCAGAAATAGTATATTTTTTTTTACCCCTAGTAGAACTCCTAATGGCCCTAGCTGCAACAAATGATGGTGTATTTTACAAATGATTGTAGTTTGTCCAAATTGTGTGTATAATTGAAATGAAAGTAAACATCTAAAATTTGTGGTCACTAGAGGAAAAAGGAACTGGAATAAAGTGTTTAAGAATATTCCTGCTGGAATCGGGTCATGAAATTATTGAATTCTTGCTAAAATATTTTGGCAGGTTTAACATTCTTTCTGAAAAGAAGAAAATGTGAACGTGATGACATTGTTCTGCTAAATTTTATTTCTTGAGATGATGCACTTAGATCTGCCGAAGCAAAATTAATTGAATGAATGATATTTTTTATTTGATAGACATATATGTTCAATAAATCAACGATAAACTCCTTTCTGCAGAGTTGGAACCACTTTTTTCCTGTCGTTCATTTGTATGTTATTTATGGAGATGGTCTTATTGTATTTCAAAATAAATAACATACAAATGAACAAGTGAACAAAATGAACAAAATGAACAAATAAACATGAGAATAAAGCATTGGAGTTTCTCCAGAATTGTTTGCCTATGTGAATTTCTAGGTTTGCCCAATTGTGCAATTGAATTTGGCTATTGTTTCATTGTATTTTTTACATTTTTATTTTCCAATCTTCAGGGAAGAGATGGTAAGGGTTCCATATTCGTGTGGGCCTCAGGGAACGGTGGGGCAGACCATGATGATTGCAATGCCGATGGCTACGCCAACAGCATCTACACCCTGGTGGTGAGTAGCACCACAGAGAATCAAGACAGACCGTTCTACTCCGAGCATTGTTCTGCAAGCCTGGCATCCACCTATAGCAGTGGAAACAAAAATCAAAAGATGGTGGTAAGTCTAGATTTATTTAGCTTTTTGCTTTATGTCATTTCTAAGAAGATAAGGGGTATAAAATTAACAAAGAATATGAGAAAATAAAGTACAATCACGAAAGAAAAAATGATAAATGATCTGTTAATGCCTCGGGATCGCTAAAAGAAAACAAGTTCCTATATGATAATCTCATCATTAGCTAATCGTTTAAAGACATTAATTATTCAGTTTTACTGAATTATGTAGAGAGTTTCACTCTGCAATCTTTGGGTAGAGTCATGTTTATTATTTATGTTCTGTTCATGACAACATTTAAATAACTTTGTATCTGTAGCATTTAAGCTATGTAATACTGACTCTTTATAGTGATGGTGAAGTAATGCAGTAATTCCAAAATTCTGTTTTAGAATTGCACGTTGGTAAATACTTGCCAATATAATATGCTTGTATCATTGGAACTTTGCAAGCCAGTTTAGGCTTGCACATACATGTAATTGGCTTAAGTCTGCTAGCTAGCTGTTTTTGTCTCAATGTATATAGCCAAACAATTTAAGTGAGTGCTAAAGTTTCTAGATATTTAGTCTTGATTGATAGCCAAAGTGAGTAGACTACTTTTATATCTCACCAGATTATTGAATTTAATAGACATTACTAGTAAGCAGCCTGAGAATGTATCTAGTGTGTACATTTACAAAGTTAAAATCATCATTACTATCTCTTTGGACTTAATGTATAGGTGACGACTGATTTACACAATCAATGTATTGGAAACTTCAGTGGAACATCAGCATCTGCACCTATGGCTGCTGGCATCATCTCTTTAGCCCTTCAAGCCAAGTAAGTTCCTTACCTTATGCTGTCCCTCAGACTGGTTTAGACCAGTCTGATAGCTGCTTACCTTGTGGAGCCAGATACAGTCAAACCTGCTTTAGTGACCACCTGTCTTCAAAGACTCCCTGTCTACAAAGACCACATTTTTGTTTCCCTTGAAAATGGTTTCTCCTTGAAACATGTACTAAAGAAACCTGTCTACAAAGACCACTTTTTGTGTTTTCCTTGGGCAGTCGCTATAGACAGGTTTTACTGTACAAGCCAAACTATTATACAAGTGATATCAAAATTGATAATAGAAGTCTGATTGAAAAGAAAAAGAAAAAACCCTATAAAACAGCTCATTATTTGTTATTTTTCATCGCCGGAAAGTGTGCTGTCCTAGAATAATTGTTTAATGTATGCCAACAAGTAAATGAATGTCTGCATTGGATTACTGTGAATAGTGAGTTGATAAAGATCACAGAGTCTGGCCTCCATCGGTATAGTAGACTTGATAATGAACTTCCTTTGCTTGATGCTTTGCATCATGAGCTTGGAGGAGTTGGTTCATGCTTTGTGAAGTAATAGATACACTCTGGACCACTCTTTGCCTCATTAACTAATCAATAATTTGTCTCACAAATCTTACTGTTATGTTTTTTGACATATTTTTACGATGCTGTAGAAGAAAAAATGACAAGTGCAGGATGTAGCATTATATCACAAGGAGGAAATTTTACACGGACAATTTTCGACTTTTTCCCTGTACAGTGGTAACTTAACCTGGCGTGATGTGCAGTACTTGGTTGTCATCACATCAAAGCGCCACCAGTTGTCAGGAGAGTGGACAACAAACGGCGCAGGCTATGAAGGTCAGTCATTACCATGGAAACTGAACATTTAAATCGAAAGGGCTTTCTGTTGTGTCCGTTTTTTCCAAAGTAATTAAGAGGGTACTTTGATAAGATTATTTGATTTGGGGGGGGGGGGAGTGGGGGACCATAAAGCTGTGCTATTTCTACTCTTTGGCTAGAAAAATGTCATTTTAGTATGATTCTATCTAGGTGAAGTGCCTGGATAGTAATATAGAGGGGAATCGATTCTGACAAACAATGACAGATAAATATTAGATCATATTTTCTCTCAAAATCAATTCCCATGGGGAAATTTTGTTTTAGATTAAAAAGCTACTGTACAAAATGTTACCCAGTGTACTAAATAAAAGCATGTGAATGCATCACATCTTTGTATTTGCTGCTGTGTAGCTTTATGAGCCACTGACATACTTGTTTCTTCCACCCTTTCCTAAGAATTTTTTCTTTTCTTTTCAGAGCGGTGTTTTTTCCCCCTATTTTTTCCCCTTTAAAGTCTTGCTTCAGTTTTATAGTTCATTGTTCATTTTGATAACGATAATTGAGACAATCAATCCTGTTTTAGGAAGGCATTTAGAAATATTAATGTGTTCACTCCTAGTGAGATAGCAATTTGGTTCAATTTATAGATTTGGGTCACACAGAGTTTGACAAAGGTCAGATGCATGAACATCCCTTTTTAGTTCTAGGTAGATTACAAATTGGAATTAAAGCCTATCTATCTGCACTAGTTTGGCGATGAGGGATTAGACCTCCCTGGGTGGTCACTGGCAGGTGGTTATCTCATCAAATCAGCTCTCAATTAATACAAGAAAAAGGGGACCATGGGGGATCAACGGGTACCGCTAAGGCATTGTTGGCTATATAGAAAGCGCAAGTAGCTACAAGTAGGACAGTCCCGCTTTAAAGTATACTAGTAATGTCTTTTGCTTCACTAATCTTTCCACTCTGTGTCATTTGACGACTGACAAAGTTCATGGAATGGACATAGGCGCTATTTGACATATTTGCAACTTACCAGGAACACCAGTAAATTTTGGTTATTCAATTTGCTCGAAAGCAGAATTTTTTTAGTGCTTATGCCACAGGGGCATCCAAATATCAAAAATTTTAAGAATTACTATCCAACCGATTTGGAAAATTTCCCAAAACTATGCATTACCTTTAATGCAAGTCCCTTAATTTTCTTCCTATTTTTTGTTTCCTCCTGAATAGCGAGTCACTGGTTTGGCTTTGGGTTGATGAATGCTGCCGCGATGGTGGAGAAAGCCAAGACCTGGGAGACTCTACCTGAGCAGTTGACATGCTCCAAGTTTGCAGACAACGTAGATCAAAGGTAATCCTGTGCTCTTATAGACTAAGGATCGATGATTCAGTCATATATGTACATTATTAAGGCCACCCACGGGAAACAGACAAAATGGGCCACTGTATCCAGGTGACCTTCCTAGACAGGTTTGAATACATAGACATCTTTTTCCATGGCGACAAGGTAATATACAGATGGATAAACTTTTATAGGGAGGTTGTGGTAAAATGGCCATATCTATCAGAAAGTGTTTTGTCACAATGTTGGCTTGCTGAAGTAAACTACTTGGCTGTCATCTGAAAACGTAAGCCATTTTACTTAGCTAAGCTAAGTGCTCATTGTAAGTTAAAAGCTGACTGACATTTAAACGCAAGTATTGAATCAAATACTGACCCAGGTTCTTGTAAATGTTTGAGCTTTTGGGGGTCTGGGGTGATTTTGTGAGTTGGACCCCTGTAAGTGTTGAGCCCTGCTCAAAGCACAGAGTTTGAAATTTACTTTTGTCAAATATTTGTTGTTTTTTCTTTCATTTTCCTCCAGTTATTTGGAAATGTTTAGGTGAGAACTGCAGGATTTGTACTTTTCTGAAACCATGCTTTCATGCAAACCTCGCTATAACTGATATCTGGGCCCTGTTTCATGAAACTTTATATCAAAAACAACTTACAATAACTGTTATAAGCTACCGAAATCAAAGCATTTGATTGGCTTAGAACAATTTTAGTTATAGAAATGGGATACTTGTGAGTGACTTAAAGTTTTATGAATCAGGGCCCTGTGTAGTGTGAACGCTAAATTTTTGAGAAGTAGAATGCATAAGAATACAAATATTGAAAGAGCAGCAAGGATTATCATGTTAATCTTGCAAATTAAAATCTCTAAACAGGAGCGGATCCTTCCGAGAACAAAAATAGCAGGAAAAAAGCTAAGAAATAGTCACGTAAATGTTCAGTTTACGCTTTCAGAAGTGCCTCAGAATGTTATCATAATAAATTTTAAAGCTGTAAAGGCTTCGCACTTCATGCTTGCAATCTCGTACATTTCATACCCCCCCCCCCCCCCCCCCATCCTTCCCTTTTTGGAAAATCCTGTTAAAGGTCTTTTCTTAGATGTTTGAAACAAGTTTAATAGCAAGTAATAGGATTACCATCTAATTTAAAATGAATTTCTGAGATAAAGTTAACATACTTGCTGTTTATTTTCTACCAGCTCAGGTAGTATTTTTTTACTTAAATTAAATTTCTTCCCTCTTCATTGAAAGTCAACATTCAATCTACATAGTTAAAGTAAAAATGAAATGTGTATCTCTGCTTGCTGAGTGTGTGAGCTGGCTTCAGTGCATGCTTCATATCAACTGTTTGTATCTAAAAGGGTTTTACAAGGTTTGAAGTGCACATAAGTGATGTATAATGTAATTTCATTTAAGTAAAATGCAAAAAAACAAAACAAACGATAAGTTCACAGGGCATGTTAAGTTATATTTCATTACATATATATTTCTTTATTCACCTTTCATCAATGATCATAGGCTCTTTCATCATAAATTTGTTATCACATGAAAGGGGATGAAATATCCTTTGTTTTGTTGTATTACAATAAAGGTAGTTATGTTTATTTGTTAAACATTAGATAGGGGTAAGAAAAGAGTATATGAATGGTAGATAGGGGTAAGAAAAGAGTATATAAATGGTAGATAGGGGTAAGAAAAGAGTATATGAATGGTAGAAAGAGGTAAGAAAAGAGTATATAAATGGAAGAAAGGGGTAAGAAAAGAGTATATGAATGGTAGAAAGAGGTAAGAAAAGAGTATATAAATGGAAGAAAGGGGTAAGAAAAGAGTATATGAATGGTAGATAGGGTAAGAAAAGAGTATATAAATGGAAGAAAGGGGTAAGAAAAGAGTATATGAATGGTAGATAGGGGTAAGAAAAGAGTATATGAATGGTAGATAGGGGTAAGAAAAGAGTATATGAATGGTAGAAAGAGGTAAGAAAAGAGTATATAAATGGAAGAAAGGGGTAAGAAAAGAGTATATGAATGGTAGATAGGGGTAAGAAAAGAGTATATGAATGGTAGATAGGGGTAAGAAAAGAGTATATGAATGGTAGAAAGAGGTAAGAAAAGAGTATATGAATGGTAGAAGGAGGTAAGAAAAGAGTAAACGAACGGTAGATAGAGGTAAGAAAAGAGTCTGTACTTTCTAATAGCCCCTTAGCATACTTGTTAATATCCGGTATAAGACAAAGAAACGGGAGATGCACAGGCTTATATTATTGTACTTTTCGCAGTGGTCTATTTGAGGTGGTAAACAGGGTCATTGAGAACGAGGCTTATGGATTCCACTAAACCTCTGATATGTTTTGTTAGGGCTTTTTTTTGCCAGCTAGAGTATAAGTATCCCCTAATGCTTCTGCTTGATTTTGCTGTGCTTTGATTATTTAACAGCTTTCTCAATGATGATGAAAATATATTTTACTTGCTTTGTAAGAACTTGTACATGTACAATGCAGTATGTGACTGCCAGTTTTATTTCAATTATTTTGTCGTGTTAAAATCCCATACCTTTTTTATTGAACATAACAATATAAATCATGTAAAGAGAAACATTCAAGCGTAGGCTACTGCCTGAATACACAGGACAGTACAAGGCAGAAAAATAATATGCATAATTGTACATTTACAGAAAAAAACCAAAACAGGATAAACATAAAATGGGATAACAAAAACAGGATAAACATACAATGGGATAAATACAATGAAAGGAGAAGAAAATAAACAATTTGCAAAATATTTTTAAAAAACATGACTTGTAGAAAGTAATCAGTACATTTGGTACATACTAACACAGATATGAAGTAATCATATTCTGTAGCAATTTGGCAGTACTATCAAGTCACTTTATAGAGGAAACAATATTTTATTTATTTATTCAATTCACTCAAATGCATGGCAAGTGCACATGTATTACGTAAACCCGAATTAAGATGATGACATACTATGATTTGAATTGAAGGATTATTATGGTAAAGATGATAATGATGATGATGATTATGATCGACATGAGTGGATTAAGAAAACATGATTTTAGGAATCACGTCAGCCCTTCCAGACTCACTAAGGGAGATGGGGGATGCAAAGAAGAACACAATTTGTCCTTGTTATTTTTATCCCCCTAAGAATAAAATTTGGGAAATGCCTCTGACCCTCTCTGATACACTCATGGAGGGGGGACAAAACATAATAATTTTTGACTTCATATTTGTCTTCAGTTTTTCCCTTTAGTATGCAAATGGTTAGGTATGGTGACAAATTTTCCCAATTTGGCTCCTTTTAAAAGAAAATTCCATTCCTCTTAATTTGTTTTCCTTTTTATTTATTTCTTGGAATGAGGTGTCTTGACCCTCCTTTTGGATCCAGCTATGATGATGATTATTTTAGTGTGCTAAATCCACAGCTGCTAGATGCTCATGGTGTTGATGTTGTGCAATGTCTTCCAGCATCTCCTCCAAATAACTCCTCTTTCCTCTTGTATATTCCAGGGATGCCAATTTTCAGGCAATAGCCAGAATTCAGGCCCTGGCAAGTTATTTTCAGACCATAGTTTAGGCTTTTTTTTGTACAAAATAGCTCATTCTAGGTGATTTTCAGGCCCTCTGATCAATTCTAACTGACATTCCTGATATCCATCTATTGCAGCTCTTTCATCAGGAGACAGAAAAACTACAACTCTGAACTTGAAGTCACAAGCTGCACAGATCCTTTCCAAGGGGGAGCCATCCAGCACCTGGAGCATGTCCAATTGACCCTCCAGCTCAATGCCAGGAGGCGTGGGGACGTGGTGGTCAAGCTGACCTCCCCATCAGGTACCACCAGCACCCTGCTCAGCCAACGCTTCAAGGACCGATCCAGAATTGGCTTCAAACGCTGGACTCTCATGAGCGTTCATTTCTGGGGAGAGAGCCCTATCGGAACATGGCGCATTCAAATTGGAAATGGCGAATACAACGCACGTAAGTGTACCCATTGTTCACTTTGGCTTCTTTCATAACGCAGTGAAATTTGTAGGTTAAAGGTAATACAAAGTTTTGGTATGGGGTCATGAATTTGGTTCAAATGAACATATTGGAAGTATATGCGATCCTACAATATTCAGTGCTCGTTGTCGCAGTTCAAATTGAGTCTAAAGTTATTCAAGTGTAAATAATAAACTCTTTATGTTTTATAGCTCGAGATAGTAATTAAGCTATAAAACAATGTGTCTTGACTAAAATGGACTGATTTGCTATTCTCGATTGGAAATTATATATCACATTTGTATTAAGCGCTATATAAAAATTAAATATTATTATTATTATTATTCTGAGATTTTCATGGTCGCAGCTACCATTGTACGGCCGTAGGCGCTCTTTGAAATTTATCAAAATTTACCGGGAGCACCGGTAGTTTTTAATATTCAATTTTTCTCGAAAGCAGAAGTGTTTTAGGGGCTAAATTTTCTAGTGCTTATAATACATCCACAGGGACATCCAAATATATCAAAATTGTAAAGAATCACTATCCACTCAATTTTCAAAATTCCCAAAACTTTGTATTGCCTTTAAGACTGCTCAAGGGATACAAACAATGTGTCCTCTAAGGGCAGGTGGTGTTTATGTATCGTTTACTTTGGTACAGGTCACTTTGAGAAACAGTGTTCAAGGGAACCATGGTGGTCCCTGAGGCAAGTCTCACTGTCATTAAAAGGACTTGGTAACATTGTTCAGATGAGAGAAAATGGTGCTAAGGTAGTGACTACAATGCTAGATGTACAATTAAATATAATCTGAAAGTTTGAGTGAAAACAGCCCATTATTAATGATAACAATTGGGAAAAACTGATCTCCTTAATTCTCCCAACTACATTATTACAATTTAATTACATTTTAGGTGAACTTAAATTGTCACAAAGTAATAAATTGGTTCTATATACCATTCCAGACATTTGAGTGTTGAAAGATTTTAAAAAACCTGTCTTATGTCTTATTTTAATGTGAAAACGGTTGGAAGAATTTACAGCTTGAGGGTGTTGCACAGTGACGCCTTCAAATAAAACCATAAATATCTTTGTGGTTTGAGAATTTGTTCAGGATTTCTTGCAGGTTAGAGGGTAAGTACAGTAGAGGGAATATAATATAAGTAACAATTCATACACAAAATACAGTTTTTCATTAACTTTCAAAAATGTTACCGGGTCACTTTAAAAAGCTTTCAATGGATAGGCTATTATACATGTATGTGTGTATTTTCACTTATTTAAACACTCCATTTCTTTTCTTTTCTTTCATCTTTTTTTAATCCTCTGCAATGTAGTGAATGTAAGGATGGTGAGGCTCACCCTGCGTGGAACGGAAAGCCTACCCGCTTCTCTTCTCCCTTCTCCAGACACAACCACCATGGCCCCCCATGAAGAAGAAACGGAGGAACAAGAAGGAGAAGGGGCAGGAGAAGTCATCCGGCGGCCTGGGCGGCCTGAGCTGCAATCCACTCCCGGCCGCGGTCGACATGTTTCTCCCTTGAGGGTCGTTTCGGAGACCCTTCAGCGAGACGTCCGTGCTGCCTCCTCCAGCTCTCTGTCGTGGGACTCCAGCTGGTGGTGGAGTAGTTCTGATTGGGAATCTTTCCAAGAATGTCATGAGGAATGTCTCTACGGCTGCTCTGGTCCCAATGCTGATGAATGCTACAAATGCAGGCACTACAAAGACAGAGATACCTTGTGAGTGTAGAAAGAAATATTGTATTATTTCCCTCCCTCGTCCCCCAAATCAATTATATCAGTTTCAATTCAATTGCGTGAAATTCATATCATTTCAAATCAATTCAATTCAATTCAATTCAGTGTCTGCTTGCCTATGGTCTCCTTCAAGTTCAAAATTCCCATATTTCTGCAGCTGTGTGCATACTTAATTGAGAAATGAGGTCCACTGTACCTCCATGTAACAAGGTGTGAGTGGCACTTTCTGTTAGGATCATGAGACGTGTACTTTAATTCAAACGGGCAGCCAAATCCAAGATGGCTTCCAATTTCAATTTTGTAATTTTTTTTTTGCTCCATGTTTTCTAATAAACATTTCTCTTGCAAGTCATTGTGATAAAAAAAAAAGACCTTCATGCCAAAATATGCCTTTAAAAAAAAAAACTCAATTTGTTATGATCCCAATTCATCTTTATATCATTGATGTTTATAGTTGTTATGAATCCATGTTATTTGACTGTTGAACTTACAAACCCATCTCTCCCCCCCCCCCTCCCCTCTCCAAATCTTTCCAGGAATTGTGTGCCTACTTGCCCAGATGGCCAGTTCACCCCACCAGAGCTTCATATCCGCTGTGGAAGGTGCAGCGTCCATTGTAAGACTTGCAGTGGCAACTCCAAATATCACTGCTTATCTTGCGCCACCGGCCTCTTCCTCGGTGACAACAATGATTGCGTTCAAGCCTGTGAAACCGGTTACTACAAAGGTATGTATGCATAGTTAGATAAAGCCCCACTGTCCTACTTGTAGCTACTTGCTCCCTCTATATAGAAAACAATGCCTAATTGGTGACCATTGGTCCCCCATGATCCTCTTTTTCTTATGTTAATTGAGAGCTGAGTTGATGAGATAGCCACCTGTCATTGACCACGCTGTGTGGTCTAATTCCTCCTGGCCAAACTAGTACAGCCGGCATTTAAGATAAGAGACAGGCCCAAGGGTCACTCCTTTATAAATCGTCATCAATTACAAGTTTCAATAACTGATATAAACTATAGAAACTATTTAATATCATTGGCTATGAGCAAATTCGTTATAGAAATCTAGCAGCGGTTACTCTTGGCAAGTTGTAGAAAAGAGGGTCCTGAATTGTCAGAAATATCTTTACCATGGAGGGAACTATTCGTTGTATTTCATGTGTGTGTATTTTTATCTTATTGTTAAAACATACATTGTAATAAGGATGTGCATGTTAATTTTCCCTTTATTTTCTCTATTCTTCCCTATTTTCCCTATTATTATAGGGGGGCATAGTTGAGGGAAGAAAAAAAAGTGGGATAAATATACCAAAGGCTTCAAGATTCGTTTAATCTCTTCCGGTGTAAGATTAGTAATACCGGTAAATCAGGCTGTCATGGAGTTGACCATGACCAGAAATATGTTATTTTGCGAAGCCACTGTTTTGCACAAGGCAATCCTTTCGTCGATTGGGGCCTATTGTTGTTGTGTGTCAATATGCATGTGTGGCAAATAAGCAACCATGTAGATGAGCAAAGAAAGCAACCAAAGTGTTAAGCATGTATCATCAATATCTCATTCTGCTCCTTCCGGTATATCAATTCCTCTACAGGTTCCCAATTACTGTTTGGATGGACTTGTCTTTACTTTCTATACGTATTTACCAATTTACTATTTTCTTTTTTTTCATTGGAATCCCAGATCCCTTTTTCCAGGTGTGTCGCCAGTACTCCACATTCTGCAAATCTTGTGAGGGAAACGAGAACCAGTTTCCAGTACTGTTTGGATGTATTTGTCTTTACTTTCTACACGTATTTACCAATTTACTATTTTTTCTTCTTCATTGGAATCCCAGATCCCTTTTTCCAGATGTGTCGCCAGTGCTCGCCCCTGTGCAGATCTTGCGAGGGGAACGAGAACCAGTGCACGTCGTGTATCGACGGGGCCGTCCTGCGTGGCTCGCAGTGCATCACCCGGTGCATGGAGAGCGAGTACATGGTGGACGAGCGTTGCCAGTCCTGTCATCCATCTTGCTTCTCCTGTAACGGAGGCTTGGAGACCCAATGCACAGCTTGTTATAATGACTATGTCCATAAGGACATGAGATGTGTCCTGCCCACTCAGTGTAGTGAAGGCTACTACATTGTCAACAGCTTTGATGCTGGATCCAGGCAGTGCTTGAGGTATCTCAATCGATTTCACATCATATTACAGTCACAACTGCTTTAGCAACCACCTGTCTACATAGACCACATTTTTTGTTTCCCTTGGAAATGGTTTCTTATTGAATCATGTACTAAAAGAACCTGTCTTCAAAGACCACCTGTCTACAAAGACCATTTTTTGTGTTTCCCTTGGGTGGTCGCTATAGGCAGGTTTGACTGTATTACAGTTACTATTTTGGTTTCAATCTAAGTAATTTTTATAAATTACCTGCAGGTTTATGCACCAACATTAGATCATGATGATGCTGAGGTAAAACTCTTCTGTAAAAGAGATTGAATAGGCTATGAAATAATTAGGCTCACGAGACATCAAAGTTGTTATGGGAGGTTTCAATGCCACATTAGGAGAATGAAGAAATGAGAACAATTAAAAAAAAAAAAAAATTATTATTATTATACATATATATTTTTTTATATATTTTTTGTTTAATTTATTAATTAATTAATTTATTTATTTTTATTTTATTTTTTATTTTTATTATTATTATTATCATTATTATTATTATTATTATTATTATTATTATTATTATTTTTTATTTATTTATTTATTTTTTGAGGGGGTGGGGGGGATTAGTCGGTGCAAACCACCATAAAATATATACTTACCCGTTTATGTGACAATATATGACTAATCATGCTGTATGTCTGCTGATTTCTTCAAGATGTCATTCAACCTGTAAAGCTTGCCAGGGCCCTTCATTCACAGACTGTGTGGATTGTCATCAAGGATTCTTCTTGGTAGGAGGGGCATGCCTGCAAACCTGCGAGAATGGTAAGACACTCTTTTTGTATGCCATGGACTGTATGAGTGTAATTGTTTAAAAGAAAATCAGGGGGGTGTTTCACAAAGAGCCTAAGTTGAACTTATCTCTAACTTGGACTTAACAATTATGGAAAGCAGCCATTAGCATCCTTGAAAATATTTTGTAAAAGTTTTTTTAAGAAGCATAAAATATTAATTGAAGTCATTCACACTTTCTATTTTCATGCAAGATTTCATGTTCTTGATGTGGAATTTATGAAAGTCTAAGATACTTGAATGTTTGCTTTTGAATATATTTCATTATAGGGCTATAAATGGCTATCCATAATATATAAGTCCAACTTAGAGTTAAGTTCGACTTAGGATCTTTGTGAAACGCCCCCACAGGAGGAGTAATGAATTATTTTCACTTTTTCTATTCCAATCTCTTCTTATGCCTCCACCATAGAAGGTGGTGTCACTGCCACTTCACATAATATTACCAAATTGCTTTAGTGGGTAGTGGTAAAGAAAAACAAAATCCTCATTATCTTTCTATTTCTCACTCAGACTGAAAACGTTGTGAAGTGCACCAATCACTGCTTTTCATGAAAATAACTTTCAATGTGAAGCATCGCTCGAGTGAAATTCCACAAGAACAATGTTTTAATAAATCGTACTTGTGGGTACCAATACATGTACATTGTATGTAATGATTAATTTCCAACTTGAAATTAGATAATGATTTTTAAAATCAAATCAAATGCGGAAATTTAGTTCATGTCTTTATTTATTTTCAATAGTTGTATGGCTTTGTTTTTAAACTCAAAGCTAATGAGTGATCATAACATATAATTTATACAAGTAGAAATCTGACACTTAAAGATAAACTTTAGTACTGGTAATGCGATTGCATTGTGAAAGAAAACGTGTGAAAGGATCAGAAACAGTTGATCATGTAGCATGTAAGTATTGGTGTGCACTGCAAGGTTCTGGAGTCATCAAAATCATAATAAATTTGACCGAGTCTTGGTAAAGTAATAAGCACTCACATAGAAAGCTATATATGGGACAACACACATGGTGTCGGGGCTAGTACTACCTTGATTTCCTTGTCTTTCTATGCTCATTACTCAGCCAGTATACATTTTCTTCCAAAATTGTTTGGCACATGTCATTTATTTGTAATCTTGAACATTCAGTGTAAGTTTCGTTTGATTCTGTGAGAATTATTATTTTTTTTTTTACCAGTACTGGAGTTTATCTTTAATATCTTTTCCTTCTGTACTCTAAAGGAAAATTTCTTGATAATGGAAACTGCGAATCATGCAGCGATGGATGTGTTTTGTGTGCAGATGAACACCATTGTATTCAATGTGCCGCATCAAAGTAAGTAGTCTCTAGATTAAAATATATATATTTATATATGATATTCATGAAGGTCATATTGTCATCCACTAACTGTTTTTATCAATTTGTTTACTTCAATTTTGTGTTTCATTTTTTATAGTTTCTAGTTTTACAGTTTCTCTGACTAAATACATGTTTATTGACATTGTCGAATTTCAGAAGATTTTAATATTATTTTTTCAACTAATTAGAAACATTACTGAAATGAGAATTGTTTATATTGCTATATAATATTTATATTATTATGTATCCTTTGAGGGTAGTCATACTATCAAGCTTTGCTTACTTTGTCAGCCCTCCTGTTTGATGTTTTCGATTAGTTTCAGCCAGCCTTACTTTATTCTACATATATTCTTTTGTCATGTGTGAATTTGCAATGTTTATTTGTTATATATTTGTAAAAATGCAAAAGAAAAAGAAAATCAAACAGAAATAAATAAATTGAATCAAATCAAATCAAATAATCCGCATTTCCTCAAGCGATCTTTATATGTGATTCTCACAAATCACCTATTCAAAGTAATGACAATGATAATATTAATGTTAATAATCGTAATAATTTGTGATTGTTTATATGACTTTCTTTTTTTCATTCTAGAGTCCTTCGTAGCGCCGTCATTGATGACGTCGCTGATAGCATCATATGCCGAGAGGGTTGTGAAGATGGGAAGTACTCGATGGGAGGGGAATGTTTCCCCTGCCACTCGACCTGTGAGACTTGCAATGGTGGCGGCATCATGGATTGCACACAGTGTAAACAGTCTATTGGTATGTTTGTAGTGGAGTATGATGCATTTTATTTTATAAAATGGAAATAAATCATGGAATTGTACAGTTAATAATAATGTTAAATACTTATCATGTGACTGTATGCACAAAGATATGGGTATAAGGGACTGCACACATGTGACATAAATAGCTAGTTGAAGAAAAATAAAAATCTTCAAAAAGTGAACAATTTTGAATTCTTTGAATTTAAAACAAATTATAACTTGAATATTAGGACAATTCAAGATGCAATCCTTTTACTGAAACACTTCTACTATAATGTTCTTTGAAAACGACGGACAAAGAATTAGAAAGATTACAAATGATTTTCATGTTTTCATGAAATTTTGAATAAATCATGTAATGTGCATGGTTTAAACAGGACTTAGTGTACTTGTAAAAAGGTTTTCTTTTTATGAGGTACAAATCATAAATTATCAAATGTTTAAAAGGGAATTAGATGAGTCTAAACTGAACAAAATTAATTTCATTTTCTGAGAGACAATTTTCCATCATAACCAGAATTCAATCACATGTAGGTGTACATTTAAAGTCCATGCAATGTATGAGGAGTATTTAATTTTGCCTTTTCCATTTTGATAGGATGGGTAAGCCCACCGCTGCCACCATGTCAATCAAGTATTACCAAGTCTGAGAACAGTTCAATTTAAAGTTGCTAAGACCATAGCTTATGGTTCTCTATAGCTTATGATTTTATTAGAAGTATGAGATCAGCTACATAACGGGCATGGGCTGGAACCGCCATCATTTATTACGGTGTAACAATGGAATGCGCACATACACAGTGGCTCATGCATATAACTTTACATGTACGTACTCGTTTTTTTTTTCCTGCTCATTGTCATCCAAATGAAATTATTTGTTCTATACTTCAGACATGCCACTCAAGTATCTGCTTGAAGGGGCTTGCGTGCACTACTGTCCAGCCGGCTATTTCAAGTACGATCGGGGAGATATCGCCCTCATCCACACATGTGAGCTGTGTGACGACAGCTGCAAAACATGCACAGGATACGGCATTGATGAGTGCACAGAGTGCGAAGATGGATTGAGCCGTGACAACGAGAACCAACGATGCGTTGAACCCTCGGATTTTGAATGCACAGTACCTAATTGTGATAGCTGTTTAAATGGTTAGGATCAGTGATAAGTTTGTGGATTGTTATACAAATATTTGTGTGTACGAATGCTTTATAGCGAATATGCACTGCATGAATGTCAGTACTCCAGTCACATCAATGAATCCAACACCAGACCAATCACAAACTCCATATGGCCAAGAATCTGTTGGTTTGGCATCAGTTTGGAGTCGGGATGTCAGTGGAATTTAGATGCATTTATGAGTGACAGTAGGATAAAGGAATTTTACTTTTCCTTCTGACTTCCGTTTCACTAACGCATAAGGTACTAAATGTGAATATTCTTTTGAGAGCTAGACGGCAAATGTTGAAAATGCCAGGTTCATGTCCTGCTGGCGCTAGGTATAAAAGTTTGAGTTATTTGTATTTGTCTCCCCCACCAAAGGTGGAGGTGGGACTAAAGGATATCAATTGTTGTTGATACCTCTTGTAACAAGTCACCTTGCCTCTGTCATTCCAAATGCAAAAAAACATGGTACGTCAATTGCATTTGGGGGACCTATATGTTGTAGTGATGTTGGAAGTCACGATCTAAGGTCAAACATCATATTAGGTTTAATGTAAGTATTGACCCGCAAGACTCTGGTGACTAATAACTTTGCAGATATTGTTCCAAGTGCAACCAAAGTTGGGTCAGTGATGCTGTTTGGCAATATTCATGTAGATTGGACAGGGTGGGCAAGACACAATCCAGCTATTTGCTTGTTTATATGTGTATGCCTTATTCAGTAACAAATCATCGTTGTTAATACTTAATAAAATTAAAGGTAGAAAAAATGTGATTTTCTTGTGACCGCAGGTATCGTAGATGTGTGCCAGACTTGTGCGGAGAGTTACTATCTTGATAATGCTGCTTGCGTGTTGTTGTGTCCACCTGGCAAGGTTGCTGTCCCACACACCAGACGATGTGAGCTCTGCCACCCGACCTGCAGGACCTGTGAGGGATCACCAGACACCTGCACCTCGTGCGACGATGAGTACTTCTACGATGACTTTGACAACCTCTGCCTGACGCAATGCCCAGAGGACATGTACGATGATGCGTTGAGAAATTGCCAGGATTGCGATGACAAGTGCGCATCCTGTGTGGGTGCGGGTCCTGATAATTGCAAAATATGCTACGAGATGGACGAATTCCTTTCAGGTACATTACTAGCCTTAAGCCTTTCTTCTTCTTCTTCTTCTTCTTCAAGATAATCTGCCTCCTTCAATACTGAAGATTCTTGCAGATGCCGTATACTCGGCTTGATTGGGTTGTGCAGGTGGACCATTACACCGGGGTTTCCCCCTACTCTTATACGAATAGTGCAAAGGGTTTTTAACGTCAAGGGTGGTGACTATCCTGTACACGGGGCCTCCATTTAACGTCTTAACCGAGGGACGGAGTGTTTTCCACTTGACATAACCTGCGTCTATGAACAAGGGAAGGGGCACGTTAACACACAATGAAGGCTTCCGTCATCCTTTCGATAAGACTATGCGAGATATGCTGGAAATTCATGTCAGGTTGCATTTTGTTGGTTTCATGTACCAATAGATGTTCGATACGTTTTAAGATTGAAGAATTTCATGAACTTCAATAGATGGAGAACTCTATTCTGGCCGTGGATAGTTTAGAATTTGTGTAAATGCTGTCAGGTTCATGCAAGTTTATCAGTCTTTGATCAAAAGATATCAAAAATATGAAAATTACTTAAGGCTATGAAATTACAAACATTACAAACAGAGAGGGAATTGGGATCTGGGGGCAAATTCTACCCCTCTCTCCCACTGCAAACTAAGGCAGTAGCTCTCTTGGCTCGGTCAGATATGTAGCTGTAAACCGCCGCCCCCCAAAAAACACCACCCTTTTTTAAAGGTGTAAATGGATGCCGGCTGCACTCAACAAAGGTCCTGCGCATATTCACTGAGCTCTGTGTTATATTAAGATACTGAAATGTGAAGCACATAAATAGACTGCCCGCTTTTGCCGCTTCATATCTGAACAAGACGTTAGTTCACCAATTTGTTTAGACCATACATAAACATAATTTGTACTCTATTTGTTTGAAAGCTAGTGATATTCTTGTCACATGAAGGTGTCCATTAATACTGGTTTGATTGTTCATTCATTTTTTTCATGAACAGGGACCTCGTGTGTTACGGATTGTCCAGAAGGGCAGTACGGGGACGAGTACACGGGGACCTGCCGTAGCTGTCACCCGTCCTGCGTTACGTGTGCTGGGCCAGGTGACCATGAGTGTAACTCATGCTTGGCAAACTTTGAACTAGAACTTGGATTCTGCAGGTCGTCTTGCACCGACAGTTCTTATAAAGGTATGGTTATTTGTCCGATATGGACAAGGTAGCTAGCTAGAAATGACATGTCATTTTCCTCAGCCATTTTTATGCCTCCGTTACGAAGTAGCCGGAGGCATTATGTTTTCGGGTTGTCCGTCCGTCCGTACGTCCGTACGTACGTACGTACGTCTGTACGTACATACGTCCCGTTCTCGTGATCGCGTTATCTGAAGAACTGGTTGATGGATTCCTGCCAAACTTTGGTCATGTATGTATCTTGTAGAGCCGATGAACTGATTAGATTTTGGGGTTACGAGGTCAAAGGTCAAAGGTCACAGGGCTCATTATGTATGCAAAACGAGCTCGTGATCGCATTATCTGAAGAACTGGTTGATGGATTCCTGCCAAACTTTGGTCATGTATGTATCTTGTAGAGCCAATGAACTGATTAGATTTTGGGGTCACGAGGTCAAAGGTCAAAGGTCACAGGGCTCATTATGTATGCAAAACGAGCTCGTGATCGCGTTATCTGAAGAACTGATTGATGGATTGCTGCCAAACTTAGGTCATGTATGTTACTTGCAAAGCCGAAAAACTGATTAGATTTTGAGGTCACGAGGTCAAAGGTCAAAGGCCACAGGGCTCATTATGTATGCAAAACGAGCTTGTGATCGCGTTATCTGAAGAACCGATTGATGGATTGCTGCCAAACTTAGGTCATGTATGTTACTTGCAGAGCCGATGAACTGATTAGATGTAGGGGTCACAAGGTCAAAGGTCAAAGGCCACAGGGCACATTATGTATGCAAAAACAGCTCGTGATCGCGTTATCTCAAGAACCGATTGATGGATTCCTGCCAACTTAGGTCATGTATGTTTCTTGCAGAGCCAATGAACTGAGTAGATTCTTGGTTCATAAGGTCAAAGGTCATGGGCTCATTATGTATGCAAAAATAGCTTGTAATCACAATATTCTGAGAACCTGTTAATGGATTACAATTGAACTTGAATTCGAAAAATTTCTTCTGTTTTGGTTTGTAAAATTGCTCTATGACGGAGGCATCATTTTCGACTGCGCGCAGTCGAAGTTCCATCTAGTTTATCACGGAGTAAGGAATGAAAGAATTAGCCTCCAATTTCTTGGCCCATTGACATGAAGTGTTAATAATTTTCAATTTATTTATTTAGCGCATGATGATTAAGACTTATTTCTCTATGCGCTTTACATTGAAAGAGTACACTGTTGAATCCCAGTGCGTCCCAGAAAAAACGAAACCGAGAATTATTGTTTTATCATAACTTAATCACATTGGAGAGAGGGAAACCTAAAGTCATTTGGCGGACGGTATCTGAATTTCAAAGAGAAAATCACAATTCTAGAAAGTTCAGTTTTTGCCCTTTCATATGACACCTCAATCAGGAAAAATGAGTTAGGAATAACAAAGTTCTGTTTGTTTAAAATGATGCTTGCATTTCCACATTTTGATTTATAAAGTTATGTTTTCACTGGCTGCCTTCCGTAGCAACAAGCAGAATTGACAAAAGACTTAACTCCGTTTGTTGACAATCAGCCATGCATGAAGTCTTTCGTCTAAGGCTGATTTTGTATGACTCCTTGTATAACTATTTTCTTGCGCCACCAGATTCCAACGGAAACTGTCAGGTTTGCGACAAATCCTGTCAGACATGCACCGGGACTGGTCCCAACGAGTGCCTCTCCTGCAACTACTACAACTTTCTGGCCCCCACTAAGGCGTGCGTGACGGACTGCCCGGTGGACTACTACCCCGACTATGAGAGCAACGTCTGCAGGAGATGTGATCCATCCTGTAAGACCTGTCTGGACTCCGGGCCTGGGGACTGCATCGAGTGTGCACCAGGTGAGTTCCCTGACGGAATTCTGCCAGGATCTTATTTCAGGGCAGTTCTTCTTTTCAAAATTGGCAACACTGGTTTTTTTGTCTCGCCTGCGTAGCAAAAAGCGAGACATAGGCGCCGCTTTTCCGGTGACGGCGGCGGCGACGGCGACGGCGACGGCGACGGCGACGGCGTCAACATCAAAAACTTAACCTAAGGTTAAGTTTTTGAATTTTTGGTATAATTTTTAAAGTATAAGTTCTTAGTCAATTAAACTTTGACTATAGGGTAATCAAGTATCCCCAATCATGTGAGTAGAATTTCAGATCACAAAGTCAAGGTCAAAGGTCATTTCAGGTCAACAGACTTGGACTATGTTGTAGCATCATCATCGAAAACTTAACCTAAGGTTAAGTTTTTGAATTTTTGATATAATTTTGAAAGTATAAGTTCTTAGTCAATGAAACTTGGACTATAGGGTTATCAAGTCTCCCCAATCATGTGAGTAGAATTTCAGGTCACTAAGTTAAGGTCAAAGGCCATTTAAGGTCAACAAACTTAGACTTTGTTGTGGCATCAACATTAAGATTTTCAAAATGCTTCTTCGTTATTTTTCAACCGATTTTGATTCTGATTGTTTCATATGATAGGGCTAGGAGGGAATTTAAAATTTCTACACAGAATCGTGGTATTCATTATCTATGCTAATTTATGCAAATTTATTCGAAATCACAAAAAAGGCTTCTTCTCCTTCATTTCTCGACCGATTTTGATTTGGTTTGCTTTATATCGTAGAGCTAACTTTGGTACACTAAACTTCTACACAGAATTTTGAAATTGTTCTCCATTAATTAATTATGGTAATTTATGCAAATTTATTCCAAAAATAACAAAAATTGCTTCTTTTCCCTCATTTCTTGACCGATTTTGCCTTATCTGGTAGAGCTAAATTTGGAACAATAAACTTCTACACAGAATTGTGAGATTTTGCTCCATTGATTATTTATGGTACTTTATGCAAATTAAATGAAATTATATCCCTTCCAGGGCATCAAATTTCTATTTTTTGACCAGTTCAAAAGTGTACCACATAAAATTTACGATATTTGTTGTTGTGAGATGCGGATGAGCGCTACGTCATTGACGTTCTGGTTTATCATATTGAATTGCGTTATGCAGGCGAGACCGCCGAGAGCGTTTCCCTTGTTTGTTTTTTTTATTTATTTATTTATCTACTAAAAAGTCAAAATGTGAAAATGTTGAAAATTGCCAATCTGAATTGTTAAACGTGCAGTCATTAGTAACATTCTTCATGTTGCCAATTGATGGATTTTATTGTTCTTGTTTTTTGTACCGATCTAAAAATAAATGACTTCAAATGCCAAGTGATTGAGTGACACAGTGAGTGCAGAATTTTTTCTTTTTCTGCTAGTTAATGCATCTCTAGGTATTTTTTTTAGCAATGATCATAAGCCAAAAAAAACAAATTGTGTTCAAATTGTCATATGAGGGCTATGAGCAAAGTATTTGCTTATTGGAACCCCCTTTCCAAAGTTCTCTGCAAAAGTTGCTTAGCCAAAGAATGAAATGAGGGCTAGTGTTGCAATCGGACTGTGAATAAAGAATTACAGCTTGTGCTTATTGGAGCCCTTAATTGTTTTGAGTTCATTCACGTAATCTGACATTGCTGTTACTTGACTAATCATCAAGTAGAGTACTAGACAGGGGGTTTATGAGCTCAGACCCCCAAATCCTATTGATCAAAAGGTCTTGTATTTCACAAGACATTGGACATGTCGTGCAGTAGTTACAATACTTGTGTGCTATTTCCTTGTTGTCCCAGACACCTACATGCTGCTGAGGAATGGCCAGCTCTGTGTAGAAGATTGTCCAGAAGGCTACTATGACAGCGAAGAGCTGGGTTTCCGTGACTGTCGCCAGTGTTCCGTGGAGTGTCGGGACTGTGACGGTAGCTACCTGACCTGCATCAGTTGCTATGATGGAACATACCTCTTCCAAGGGCGATGTTTCAGCACCTGTCCAAGGTAGGCAAGGTTCTTCAAATTGGTGCTGGAAATCAGCAGCTTTGTTCAGTTTTATGATGTTCTGTATAGGAAGGTCTTTATGTCATGTGTAAGAAATCACAAAGATATGCTACATTGTTTCATCGGTCGAATAAAAAGTAAAGTGTATGAAAATATTGAAATCCCAACATCTTCACAAAACAGTGAATGTTAACATTTAATAACATGTTGCCAATTTACCACGCTGTGTCATTCATTGCTTGTCTAAACTTTGACAATTGCGTGAATTAGTGAAATGGCTCCATGAAGAAAAAAACATAATTCTTCTGAAAATGACTGATCTTTAGACATGACATCACTGGAAATTTCTGACAGAAGTCAGCAGCATTTATTTTCTTTAATGATACTCTGCTTTAATAGGAAGGTCTGTAGGTTGTCAGTGAAGCTTTCAATTTAGATGCAAATCAATCTGTATCCATAAGAAAAAAGATCAACGTATTCTCTGATATTATTGTACTCTTCTTTCCATCTGATTGACAGAATGTACAGACACGGTAAGAAATTCTTGCATGAATGGTCATTTTAAAGGGAAATCCAAACCTTTATAACAAACTACTCTAAAATACAGCAGAAAATCAGAGAAGGAGATTAGTTAGTTTTTTTAACGAAATTGGACATAAAATAATAAAATTTATGTATTTGTAAAACTTTTAATCACTCCATGTATGGGCACTTCAAATTGACTGAATTAGTAATGTCACTCTGACATAGTGCCAGACAACTTTCCCACTTGTTCCAACCCGCTGGATTAATATCATGTCTTTTTTTTAACATAAATGTTTGACTCGGGGAGAGTCTTTCCTTTTTAGAAGACCTGTAATATTATGCTAGCCGTTATATATTTTGAGTAGTGCCCCAAGGGATAAGGCGATTAGGAGAAAAACAGAAATTAATGATGATTTCGCACACAACAAGCAGGATAGTTGTCCATGACTAACTCACAATCGACTGACCAAATTGCCAATTTGAGATTCACATAGGGTAAGGGGACTCATATTTCAAACACTCATAACTCTTGTGTTTTTTGTCCAATTTTAGTTCAAACTTTAATCATTCTGTTTCTTTTATTTTTCTGCTGTTATACAATTGAACTTAGTACAAGGTTTGGATTGCTCTTTAATATAATCTGTCTCAGAGCATGTAGTGGCAATGGATTTCAGGCGATGAGCCTCAAAGCGTAGGTTTACAAGATTTGCTTGGAGAAAAGTGCTCATAAAACTTGTATCTTGAATAAACAATAATTAAGATTGTTTTGCCTTGCATTGTAGAGAGTTAATGAAGCTATAAAAGGTGCATTGTTTGTGCATGATATTGGAGTACAAGTAATCTCTTGAATAAACAAGTAATTAGGATTGATTACCTTTGGATGTTGGAGGGACGGGATATCTTTCCTATATATTTGCATGATTCTGGATTACAAGATGTGAGTTGCGGGCCGCAGTGAATGAATTTAAGGAAAGGAGAAGCATCGTGTCTTTAAGGTTCTTACCCTTCCATACCTGCAAAATTCCATTGGTCCTCTCAGACTATTCGTCTGTGATGCTGCATACGACTGCATGGCCAGGGGGTCGTTTCACAAAACCAACTGTGTGACAGTCATATCTTTGTCTGCGACGACCTATAGAGATGTCAGGAAGCGGATAAGCGACAACTTCATGATTAAAATAAAAAGCTTATCAGTAAAATGAAAGCTTGGATATCAACTTAAAATCAATTTTCAGTTTTCATATTTTTTTGCTGCCCATAGACTTAAACTTAATATTGACTTGAGATGTCGTCCTTAAAAGATATGACAGGTTTGAAGTCACGAAAAGTCTCTTGTAGCAGAAGTTGTCGTCGTCTTGGTGAAGATGATTTTGTGAAACACTAAGTGGACATGACAAGCGACATTGTGGAGATGTCGTTGATCTTGTAGTTACAGTATGATGGTTTTGTGAAACGGTCCCCAGTTCTCTACTTTTGACAAAGAGTTAACAGATAGTTGCGAAGAACCCCATTTGTAATTATAAAGATCTTGTATGAAAACTATTTGCATTGAACCTGTGCATTAATTGGTGCCTGCATGCAGTCTGTTAAGTTTGCGATCATAGCATATTTTTTGTTGGGAATGGCTTTTTATATTGTGTGTATACATGGATTTTCTGTCATTTATGTGATTTTAATTTTTGCATAATTATTAAAGGTGGATGCATGTTAAAGTGTTATGAGTTTACAATTTAGCTGAAGATATTCATAGTGATTTGGACCTCGTTGTCACTCACTTTCTGGACCGGTCTACATTACGGCGGTCTAACAACCGTGCCAGGAAGCATACCTTCTACCCGATTGTGTTTTTTTTGGACTGGTTCGCTTCTTAGACCCCTCCAGACCGCTGTCTATGCTGTGTGCAGACAAATCGTGCTAGGAAGCATACTTCAACGGGAAGTGAGTGTGTTTTCACTGGAAAGTACTGGAAATGAGTAATTGGAAGTAAAACAAATTTCTTACCATCTTTATTCACATGTCTGATGTCTGATATTTACTTTTCTTCTTTTTTTATTATGTTTTCATCCTCTTCTCTTCTATCTACTCTCTATAACCTTTACCCTCGTCTTTCTTCTTCCCCCTCTCTCTTTCTCTATCTCTCTCTCTCTATTACCCACCACACCATTCTGTTTCCAACCTTCCTTTTCTTCTTTCACATCTCTCTGTCTTTTCATCTGTGTCCCCTTGTCCCCCCCCCCCATCTCTCTCTCTCTCTTTCTATTACCCACCACACCATTCTGTCTCCACCTTTCCTTTTCTTCTTTCACATCTCTCTGTCTTTTCATCTGTGTCCCCTTGTCCCCCCCCCCATCTCTCTCTCTCTCTTTCTATTACCCACCACACCATTCTGTCTCCACCTTTCCTTTTCTTCTTTCACATCTCTCTGTCTTTTCATCTGTGTCCCCTTGTCCCCCATGTCTCTCTCTCTCTCTTGCTATTACCCACCACCATTCTGTCTCTGCCTTTCCTTTTCTTCTCTCTCTCTCTCTCTCTCTCTCTTTCTCTCTCTCTTTCTCTCTCTTTCTCTCTCTCTCTTTCTCTCTCTTTCCTTCTTGCCCTACAGTGGATACATTGAAGATTCTGAGACCAATCATTGTATACAGCACGCAAACATCTGCCCTCTCTATTGCGATCAATGTGATGACTGGGGAGATTGCACAGGTATATATATATATATATTTGAAACAGTACTGTGATTCTGAATCTGGTTTCATGCACAGTTCCTCATAAAAACATATACATGTTTACCTTGATGTAATGATGTACATAATGATGAATATGATATAATTATGAGATAGTTTACTGCTGTAATGAACTTTTAGCAAGTAGGTAAGAATTCCTAGAAGTTATTGAAAATAGCTGTAGGTAAAACGCTTTTTAATTTTTTTTATTGTGATGATGATGATGATATTGTTAGTATATTATTGTTTATCAAGTTCAATATCAAGTTAGTATATTGCTGTAGTTTCTCCTTAAAATATGTCACTCCAAGGGTGCCACTTCAATTGCCACAGATTGATAAATTGATCTTTTAAATCCTTTAAATTTCACTTTAGTTCTATTTGTTGTATGTATAATAATAATAATATTGGCCTTGTATCTGATATACCACTCAAGGGCAGCAATTATTATATAATTATATTACCGGTATTATAAGTAGTAGGGGTATTAACAGATTTACAGGTATATCCTGCTTATAACTTGAGTATTCCTCTACTCGCTGCCGCACTAATGTCCTTTGGCAAGACACATTGATCTACATTTGCCACACTCCACCCAGGTGAAGTAAATGGGTACCTGGTAGGAATTTATTCCTTGAAATGCTAGAGTGCCGTATGGCAGCCGTGCTAAAGCCAGGGTAATATTTGGGAGCGCCAGGAGGGTCAAATCTGACTGACATGAGCGCTATACAAGAACCCACTATTATTGTTATTATTACTCATTTTTTTTTTTTTTAGTCTGCCAGGGATCCTACATTGTCTACTTTGGGGAGTGCGTGAATGAAGATGACATGGCATGTTTAACAAACGAATACATCGTGAGTTTTACAAATGATGGGAAGGCAACTTGCGAATCCTGCGATCCATCCTGCGGCACCTGCCTAGGGCCTGACAACACGGACTGCGTTACTTGTGCTAGCGCCCAACACCATTTCCAGGGTAGCCGCTGTGTTCAGGAGTGTGAGGACACCAAATTTAAAGACAAAGACTCGAATGAATGCTTTGGTAAGAAATTGTGATAGGGAATTTTTAGAATGACCAGTATTTATGAGGCTGTAACGTAACGTCGAGTACTGCAAATGCAAGTGCAAACTCTGTAGAAGTCAATGTACAGTTGATTCTGTTGTAAATAGCACTGTTGTCCTTTGGCAAGACATTAATTTCTATTTGCCACTCCCTACCCAGGTGTAGTAAATGAGTACTGGGTAGGAAGTACTTTCTTGAATGCTTTCAGTCCTGTAGGGCAGCCTGAGCTACAGCTAGGGTAACACTTGTTAAACTGCGGTGCCTTGAGCAATCCTAGGTTAGATACATGCATTGTGCTCAAGATATGTCCTCAATCCTCCCTCTCTCTCACATGGTGCAAGCCTACTGAATATCTACATCACCATGCAAGCCGATACTTACAAGCAGCATCTAAGATAAATCTAGTTATGATAAAGCAATTTTCATCCTGTTTCTCTCCCTCGCAGATTGTCATCCGACTTGTCTCAATTGCGATGCTGGCTCCCCATCTGATTGCACATCGTGCATTGAGGGCATGCAGCTGTCTGACCCTGTGCATGGGCATGGTATGTGTCAGTTTGGTTGCCCTGAAGGACACTACCTGAATAGCAATGGAGAGTGTTTACCCTGTGGTAGTGAGAATTGTTTCACCTGCTATGGGCCAGATGAAAGCCAGTGCCTTTCATGCAATCTGGGATATTTACGAACAGGTATGCCCTTACCTTCCACCAATATATCTCCTAAGCTTCTTCTTTCTTATGTTGATATTTCATTTTTTATCTTTTTCCCATATTAATACTATCTTACCTGCTCTCTTATTTATAACTTGTTCTCTTTGTCTCTCTTTATTGCTACATATCTTTTGAAATCTCTCTCTCAATCTTTTCCATGCCTCTGTTTCAGCCATACTAACCAGTTGTAATGTAGATAATGTAATATCATTTCATTCCCCTGTTAGTCTAGATACATCTGTTATTATGCTTTAAATGATTTCCCTGTTATTTTGTTAAATTACTTATGTTTCATTCTTTTAAAGGGAACTCCACCTATAAGCTTTTGCTGGAACCTTTTTATTTTACAAATGTTATATGATGATTGAAAAACTTATTATTAATTAATACTTTGTCATATGAGTTTTTACAAGATTTTTTAAATGGCTGAACAAAGGTTTAAAGATATTACAAAGTTTTGGTAAGGGGTCATGAATTTGGTTCAAATGAACATATAAGAAGCTTATGCGAATTTGCAATATTCAATGATCGTTGTCACGGTTGAAATCGAGTCTAAAGTAATAAAATTGTCAATACTAAACTCTTTATGTTGTAAAGCGTCCTTTCACGACTGATATTACTATAACTATAAAACAATGTTTCTTGACTACAATCGACCGATTTGCTATTCCTGTTTGGAAATTATATATCAGAACTGCATATTCTGAGATTTTTATGATCGCAGCTACCATGGAATGGCCTTAGGCGCTATTTGAAATATTTGAAATTTACCGGGAGCACCAGTAATTTTTTGTTGTTGATAATTCAATTTCTCGAAAGCAGAAGTGTTCTAGGGGCTAAATTGTATAGTGCTTATAATACATCCACAGGGGCATCCAAATATATCAACATTTTTAAGAATTACTATCAATCCAATTTTCAAAAATTCCAGAAACATTGCATTACCCTTAAAGGAAATGAAAAATAAATGTCATTTTTTTCCTTCATCGCAGCAACTGGGGCTTGCTTGGAGAACTGCCCTCAGTATACCTACGAGTATCTGTTGGAGGATGCCATGGAAGGTAATGAGTGTCGTCCGTGCCATCAGAGCTGCAGTAGCTGTAATGGACCGGGACCAAACTCCTGCACCAGCTGTCGTGATGAAATGGTCCTAGCTCGGGGAGAGTGCGGATGGGATTGTGAAGAAGGGTATGCAAAACAAGACAAGGCACCTGTTGCATAAAAATTACCATTGATGGTAACTCTGTCATCAATGGTAACTAACATGGTAAAAGGGCTCAACAGCCAATCAAAATCAAGGTTTCCATGGAAGTTACCATTGATGGCAAAGTTACCATCAATGATAAGTTTTATGCAACAGGACCAAGGTTCAAGTCTGTTTCTGCTCATCGTGTAGGGTTTCATTGATATGCATTTTATCCACAATTATGTCAACAACAAGAACATCTCTAGCAACAAATTACAATACGATAGTTCACCACACTCTTGAAAGGGATTTTTTTTAAAAACATAAATTCTAGATTCTGCAGTTTCCATGATAAATCATCATCTTCATCATCGATATCATAGCACTGTTATTATTGTATCATTATACTATTTTGTAGAATGTAGTCAAAACGGAGCTCTGAACCGGCACAGCTGAATAATTTTGTAGAAAAGCTGCGCTATATAAATCTATTATTATTATTATTATTATTATTATTATTGTTTTTGTTTTTAATTAGATATTATCCAGATACAGAATTCCAATGCCAGAGGTGCGACAAGACTTGCCAGACGTGTATCGGAATTGGATCAGCCTGCACGTCATGTCGTATCGACCAGGTCCTTCTTGGGGCGACGTGTGTGGATGAGTGTGGTGATGGATACTTCACCGTGCTAGAGAACGTCCCAGTATGTCATGAGTGTGATGACCTGTGTTTGTCTTGTACTGGTAAGAAGATTGAATTTGATTCCTGTGAAGATTGCTCCTGGGGGGTGTTTCACAAAGATCCCAAGTTGAACTTAACTCTAAGTTGGACATAACAATTATGGAAAGCCTTTAGCATCTATGAAAATATTTTGTAAAAGTTATTTTAAAAGGCATAAAATGTCGATTCAAATCATCCATATTTTCTAGTCTCAAGGAGTTTACATGTTCTTGATGTGGAATTTATGATAAGTCTAAATAGTAGAATTTTCTCTTTTGAATATATTTTGTATCTTTGTAAAACACCCCTCAGGCTTATTTTTTCAAAGATTTAGGGTTAAAGTTAGAGTTGCAATTGGGTTTTCAGGTGAGAAGATGCTCCGAAGTATGGTCGTGTGACAGTTGCTCCGGGTTTTATTAGGACTCTGCTACAAAGTAGGGAATTTTTTCTTAACAGGTAATTCCATGAAAATACTGTACCCCAACCCAATTTTTTTGTCGATCAGCCCAAAATAGTGTTAAATTTGAAGAGTCCATTTTGTACCTGCTTTTAGGCAAAATTTAAAAGGGGGTCATATGTTGTGGAAAATGTTCTTGAAAGTCCACAGATATGAGGTAATTATTGAACTCTGCTTACAGTGATGTGTTGACACCTTCAATATGAACCGACACCACCAGATCAAGGACCTAGGCCCTGTAACATAAAATGTTCCGATTAGACATACATGTTTCTCAAAAGAATAACAATTGTGTCTCCTTTAATCAAACGTAAATTTACCATGAATAGTAAGTAATGATACATTTTATGTTACAGATAGATACAGTGAATTGCAGAAAGATTGGAGATACAATTATAGCTTTTTTACAATTGATTATAATTCAGTTACATTTTATGTTACAAGACCCTGAGTGAATGTATTTTTAATTGAGAGAGAACTGCTTTGCTGGTCACGAGATGAAAAATAAAATTGTAAGTTACGAGATGACGTGTATCAGTATTTAAAAATTCCTTTTCCTTTTTTTTTCTCCAGATTATGGTCCATTCGACTGCACTTCTTGTCATCCCAACCATGAACTGGACAATGGAGTCTGTTACAATAGATGCGGGAGCGGAAGATACTACAACAGAAATGAAGGGGTACAAGATAGTGCTGTAAGTTAGACGACATGTTCGTGTTCGGTTCGTGTTCGGTTTGGTTCGGCAGAGTTTGGCAATTTTTCACCCAAACTTGGTTTGGTTCGGGGTTCGGTAATATAATAGCAAGCAGCGTTTAGCTACGGTGGTCGGCTCTGGGCAGGCCGGCCGGTCGGGCCAGACCAGCACGGAGGACTTGATGAAATATACTGCTTCCGACCAGCACAAATTCACATTAAAAAACTGCTCTAAACGTAACTGTTTGTGAAGAAAGTACTACTTACATTCGTATTTCCGTCTTGAATCGTGTTTTACTTGCAATTTTAAAAGGATTATGTTTTCAATTTGTCAATAAATAATATTTGTTAAAGATTTGCCGAGACGGTTGTTGTCTCAAAACTACTGCCTGATTACTTGTAATTTCATGGAGTACATATATATATAAGCAAGTTTAGTGAAACTGCAATTTCTGACAGTGCTCAACTGTAGGAGCAAATGTAGATATAGGAGTTTGAAGGTTACACTTTATTGGTACGGCTCATCAGTAACTTATATATATATATATATATATATGTAAGTAATATATATATGGGTATATGGGACTACACACACTTAGTGGCAAGAAAGTTTGGTCCCAACTGTCCAGCTACTTCTTGTCATTGTCATTTGGAATATGCGTGAGGTTCTTATGAAGATCAGTCTTCTCCTGAGGATAGATATTCTCCCAAACTGACAAGAGTGTGAAAGCTCAGCTAACAAATAATTGTTAGTCTTTAGCAGGAATCGAGCTTCTCTGTAAAAGCTGACCATAGATTGTCTGGTTAAGTGATTAAGTTTATCACAACGTCCACGGTTAGAGACCTGCCGCCGCACTAATGTCCTTTGGCAAGACATTGAACTACATTTGCCACACTCAACCCAGGTGATGTAAATGGGTACCTGTCGGGAATTAATTCTTTGAAATGCTAGAGCGCCGTAATAGCAGCACAGCTTAAGCCGGGGTAATAATCTCTAAGTTTGGAAGCGCTTAATTAGTGATTGTAAAAAGCGCTTTATAAAAACTGCGTATTATTATTATTATTATTACCTCTTCATTCTATTTGACAGACGTGTGGCTTGTGCGATGCCAACTGTGCAGAATGCTTTGGACCGGCCCCCGACCAGTGCATTTCCTGCAAGGGGCTTCTACGACTCGAGAAAATTGACCGTAATAACTCCAGGTGCATTCCATGCTGCAATGATGTTCAAGATAACGAGGAGTGCTGTGAGAGATGCGATGACCCTGACACACGTGAGACAATTATTTCTAAATGAATAAAATTTGGTTTATTAATATCAACACATGCAATGTACAATGCAGTAGTCCCCAAGGACCAATAATGCAATGTTTACATAAAGTGTGTATAAAAACAGGATGATTGATCATACACATGTAAAATTGAAATGATACATAATAAAGTTATCATAATTGTTCATACCTCAAGCTATATACATATTTTGCTAAATGATAGTAGAAGGATGAATAACTGTGAAAGTAACTTGAAATTTTGAAGCAATTATTGCAATTAATCATAATCTAAAACAATATAGAAAATTATTATATTGCAATTGTCAAAATGAGATCCGTAAACTGGAAAAAGTATACATGCAGGTTCGTCTGTAATGGGACAGATTAGGTCAAAGTATGTTGACATGTAGTTGTTGTCAGTTGAAAGCCAGAAGGGCGTTAATTCTGTTTTAAAAGTAAATGATTTAATGCCCTTTTGGTTTTCGGCAGTGTAATCATTATCTTTCAAAACATTTATGCAAGAATGGAAATAGAAATGGAAATATCATGTGAGATTAAAACAGAGTCAGATTTTAAAGAAAACTACCATCTAATAACTTTGAATCACAGTTTGAATTCAGTACTATCCAATCATCTTTGATAGGAGATATAATGAGAATACTAGCATTCTACAACTCGCTGAGATGTACAACACAATCCATGGATATTCACCCGTTAACTCATTCTCTTATCCAACACAGCTGTGGAGCTTATATACATGTATGAAGTGAAAAGGGACCATGTTGTTTATTGACGTAGTTTTAATTTCTTTAAACCTCCCCTCAGACAAGAGCCCCAAAGCACATGCACAGTGCCAGTCGTTGGAGGCGTGCAGATGAAGCATGCTTCCGCCATCATGTTGTACTGCTCACTGACCTTTTTTGCTTCTGCCTTTATTCCCACAGACAAGTGCCCCAAAGCTTACGTACACGACGCGCCGGCTGTAGTGGGAGGCGTGAAGAGGTATCACATCAGTACCATCGTCTTCTGCGTGCTGTTAGTGATCGTCCTGTTCTTTGCGGTCTTTGGTCTCCTGCAGGCCCGCTCGCACGGCAAACTCTGCTGGAGTCACAAGTACGCCAAGGTACCCTCCATGAACTACAACATCAAGGACAAATATGTCGCGCTTGGGAAGCCTGATGATGATTACTACGAGGAGGATATCTATGGAGATGTAAGTCAACATGACAAAAAAGGGTGTTTTTTTTTTGGGAGGGGTTGGGGGGGGGGATATTTCATTTATTTACTACACTCTCTTTTAAAAAGCATCAAAAGTTTATACATGTTTGTTCATCATCAACATAAGATGAAATCAAGTGGGGAATTATGAATGCTAAAATTGGCTTGATGAGAGTGATCCCCAAATAAATACTTAGCATAAACAAGATACAAACTTTTTTAATATAAAAAACATAATACATACATTCATAACAACAGAGGAAAGATCAAGATTACATAAGGTAAAGGCAGCTACAGGAAGTTAAGAAGAGAGAGAAGTTAAGAAGAAGGAAGTTACAAGGATAGCTCATACAGTACTTACATGTACATACAATACTAAAGACAACAAAGGGGAACGTACAAACGTAATCTTGCAAGCAGGTCGTCACTCTGTATACATGTCCTTTAGTGCACTTTTCTATGAGAACAGATAACCTAAAAATCATGATAAAATTCTGTTTGCCTCTGGTCCCAAATTATGAAATATGCTTTGGACAGATACTTTGGCTCTCGGCTGAAGCTTGAGAGCCTTGCAATAGTAGGAGAGCCTTAGCCAGGCTAACAACACCTTATAAGTGCATTTAGAGAATATCATAAAAGTAAGTTGTACTATATAAATGGAAATGGTAATAAAGATAAACTTGAGTTCCGGTAAAAAAAGAAAATGATTCTCACAGAATCAAACAAAACTTATACTGAATGTTCAAGATAACAAATAAATGTCATTTGCCAAACAATTTTGGTAGAAAATGTATACTGGTTGAATAATGAGAATAGAAAGATAAGGAAATCAAGGTAAGTATGCCCGACACCACTTGTGTAGTCTCATATACATCTTTCTGTGTACCGTGCTTGTTACTTTATCAAGACTTGGCCAAATTTATTATGATTTTGATGACTCCAGAACCTTCCAGTACACACCAATACTTACATGCTACATGATCAACTTTTTCTGATCCATTCCACACCTTTTCTTTCACAATGCAATCGCATGCCCAGAACTCAACTTTATCTTTAATGTTGTTCTTTCAAGTGGGGTTAGTCTTTGATTGTTCCAGTACCTCATCAAATAATCTTATTGATTCTTTCTTTCCTAGGTGAGTGATGATGAGGAAGAGGACCTAGAGGAACCAGATACTTTCCAGACTGTAGGCATTACCTACCAAGGCCAGGACCGGAATGGCGTGGTAGACCATCTCTAAAAGGCCAGGTACTTGGTACCTCATGGGACTTGAGAGCTGAATAAATGTAGTCTTATGAAATTGGCCTTTCCAACTGCTTCCAAGAAACCTTGTCCTGGACCGATAGTTCTATTCCCTAGCACTGCTGTATTGAGAAGATGTCTTTGAGTGTATGGTGTTGTTGATGATGACTTGGACTAGTCTACTGGGCTGGACTAGTCTGGCACCATCCAGACAGTGTTGATTGATGACATTTGATCCCCTTTAATTACAAGTCTTCCAACAACCATTAATAATAAGATTGGGACACTTGGGGAGTCATGATTATGATTCGTCGTTGCAGCTAACCAATCACCCCACCCGTGTCTGAAGGTTTGTGGTAAGTGTTGCTGATAGCGTGACCAATCTCGGAATCAGCTTAAACATGTGTTCTCTTTATTGCAGTATGCAATTCCATTCATGCTTTACTTAAGAGAGTAACAGGAGAAAAGATTTTGCAGCAGTTGGAAATGCCCATTTTAATGCACAGAAGTTTTGTTGAAGGAAAATAAAAAAAGGTGCCTTATGTTGTATAGAACAATTAGATTTTTAAGTCAGACATTGTTCATTTTTAATTAATATTTATCTACATCTATTAAGTTTGTGTGTAATTCATCATTGTGCAGTACTGAAAGATGTCACATCATTCTAAGTACTCTTTGCCTCATTAGCTTTCATCATGCTTACCTCCCAAGCTGTTCAAGACATTATTAGGCCATCTTAGTTAGAGACTGTACAGAATTATGTGCCATAGCTGAGCAAAACATAATGACATCTGTCTTTACCTGCAGAGCCAAATAAGGCAAACATGAGAAAATAACAATTTAACATGATCATGCCTCAAGAGGGCAGCAAACACAATAGCGCTATTAAAGCTATCCTACTGCAGACAATACAGCTCTTACATCTCTTGTCCTCTCTACAGTAAATGTCCATGTACACCAATTGATGAATCATTTGCTGAAATTGTGTATAATAATTGTAAAATCATATCATCATGCTCTGTAAAGTAGTATCAAAGCTGTCATATATAATTGTGATGCAAGAAATGGTACTAAAAAATAAACAGTTCCTTGAATGCTACATTATTCATGAGACCTTATGTCTAGCGAATTTCATGCCTGTGTTTTTATCTTCTCCGTTTTACTAATAACATCATGACTAGAAAGGGGACTGGGTTTCTACACCAGCACAGTTTGCAGCACGTTTTGTGTTTTCAAACTATGAAAAAAGTGGAAAATACGATTTAATTGTTGCCAAATGGGGAGGGAAAACTGATTAATTTAGAAAATAAGGAAACTTTTAACTGCTAAGGGTTAAAGGTGACGGTCATCTATAAAGTGACCAGTGACCACACTCTTTGAATGGTTAGAACAAAGGGGTCAGCTGCCCAAAATTCTGGCAACATATTGGTTCTCAATGGAATGTATGAAATGGGGGTATCAATAGATACTCTGTAATACCATTGCTCTACGTCTCATTTCCAATGTATATATCTTTAATCAATTAACAAAGAGTATTTAAAAAATAATACATGAATGTACTTAAACTTGAGAGATTTGGTCTGTTGGTGTTGGTAATGGTCATGTTCATATTTGATGAGGATTTGTTAATGTATATTTTGTATTCTAGCTCCTATATGGGGTATGATGATGAAACTCGTCTCCCCACTGATTTTCTTCTTTATACTGATTTCCTTTTACTTGTTGTGTGTTTAGAGTGAATAGGCCAGTTTCGTAATGTAACCAAATTTAATGCATACGTCTTTTTGAAGTGCCTCAATACAAATTATTTCATTCACCTGATAGGAATAATAGTATTTCAATAGTCAGAATGCAACTGCATATATTAAGTGTTGCTAGGTAGGTCAAGCCATAATGTTTGTCCAACCTGGCAACAACTAATGTATGCAGTTCGGATTCTGTCTATTGAAATACTATTATTCTAATCAGGTGAATAGAATAATTTGTATTGAGGCACTTTACAAAGACTTATGCATTAAATTTGGTTACATTACGAAAATGGCCTATTGTAGCTGTATATGTTTTGACTTATAATGAACAGTACTTCTGTGTTTCGACTGTCTGTCTGTGTTCTGATGTATGTCCATATTGCATGCTGATTTTGAATCATGACTAGGAAATAACTACTTATTTAAATGAATACTATGTTGCAATATAGTGCTTCATCAATCATGTACTGCATAACTCAAAACTGTTAACATCCACTTTTGTAGATAGAGCAAATCATGTGTCTTCAGATGTTTTAGCACTGCTAAAAAATATTGTATTTTATCACAACGATGTAGACAAAATTCAACAAACTGGTTAAATTGAACAGCAATAGAGGGGATTTTACAACATAACTACAGTTGAAAATAATATTACATGATGATGGTAGAATGCGTGGTTTAACGTTCAATGAGAATATGCTCATAGAGAATGATTTAGAGAATCCATCAAGAATCTGAAGAGCTTATACGTTATGAATTTCTCAAGTTTCATCATGAAGATTCTAGGCTAAGCTGTAGTTTCAAGGAGGAGGTATTATTTTCACTTTCATTTGTATGCGCCGTATTCTGAAATTATTACTCTGATACTCGTTCAAGTACTTAATTTGTATTCAAAATGTTAGAAGTATTCATTGATATGATTCCATCCCATTTATAGTACTGGTAATTAATATTTGTAATAGGTAGATCAGTATTCATTAAGGTAGAGTTCATGTACATATTCGAAGGAGAAAAAAATATCTTATTGGCAATATAAATGAAGGGATCTACATGTATGCCTGTTTATACATATTAGTTTCCATGGTGGGGGACTTTTTTTCCTGGCACTATCTGGAGATTCCGAGCAATGTGTCTCCATACCAAGCTATTTTCATTTTTGAATGAAATTGATGGATAAAAGACATATGTTGTAGGGGACGCACTGCACGGAATCGCCCCATTCCAATCAAGTCTATTCATATTCATCATGAGGAAATACTCCTTAAGACATGCGCTGTGGTAGTTAACGTTCTGTGTATTGTTTTTACATTTCATAGTCATTTCAATTGAAACAATGTTTCCTTGCAAGAACTATAGAGCATATACTTTCCCACATTGACATATATTGTTTGCTAAGAGGCAGAAGGGCGTTAGTTAACTCTGTGCTTAACACCCTTCTGGCTCCAAACAGACGATATTTCAACAGTTCCATATTACAGCTATTAAGGGGTAGAGATAATCTTTAGTTCTGGTGATGAAATATCCTTTTTAAAGACAAATTCTCAAATTTGTTTTCCCTTTTGAATCTTGTTGCGTTTGTAATAAATAAATAGGATTGTTTATTTATTTTGGGTTGGTCAGACCTTTAAAATTTGAATTCAAATTTGTTGAAGATAGCATCATGGCAAGGTAAAATCATTGACATGGATATACTGTAATCCTCTGGGTTATTTGTATTATATACACTGTATGATCTAGTTATGACTGATATCAAACATGTTCTGACAGCTTGTATATTTTTATTTGTTTTATTATAAACTAATTAGTTTTGAAATCAAATTCCGCCATATTTTGTATGATCATCAGAACTCAAGATTATCGAAAGATAAGACAAGGTCGTTTAATTTTCACCAAAGAGAAGTAGTAGTTACGTAACATTCCGAGCCAGATGTTGCTATGTAAATTTTTGAACAGCTTTTGCTTGTTAATTATTAGAATTCCAACGCTCTTTCACTAACAATATAACTATGCTAATTTTGTGTTTACTTAACTATAATTGCACATGAGAAATATTGTGAAATAACGATTCATAATTTACTGATTGTTTCTTTTTCTAACTTATTGGTTGTATACTTATGCTGTTTTCAAAGTGATTGCTGTAAATTATTGCAGTTTAGCTCTTTTCTTTCTTGTGCTGGTATAAGGACCAAATTGATTTATTTTTGTGGTTTTTCTTCAATGTCTAATAATTGCATGTATCTTCAAAATATTTAGATGCTGATCATGGTATTAAAAAAACAGAAAGAAATATTTTATTGTCATTTAGCAGCAAAATCTCTTATCAAATTTTCATTTTAAATCACTTTTGAGACAGGCAAAGGAGTATACTTTAATGCATAGATATTTATTTTTGTTTGCATCTGCACATTTATTAAAAAATATATGAGACTGGCACATTATTAGTTTTCAAGCTCATCTGCATTTTTATCTCTATTTTTTTTTTTGCACTGTGATTCAGACTTCAGGAAAATCGAAATCAATTTCTATTAAGAACTTTTATTTAACCACATATTTAATACATGCGTTAAATGTTTTCAAAGCACAAGATCAATAGCAAGATACTATGATCATATTTTGGTGTCTGAAAATCTTGGTTTTAACAGAATTAATAAATATTAACAAGGACAATGCTATATCAAGCATATAGTCGAGATCAATGCACATACACCATTAAATTTGTTATGGGCTTATATTGATGTATTTTACACTTGGATAATATATTGGAAATTACTTTTCATAAATCAATTAGTGAGTATGTCAGTCAACAATGTATATCATGTATGTATTATGTGTGTGGGATTCAATAAGTAATATGTGCCTCCTTGCATACAAATAATGTGCCTTAGTCCATATCCTCTGTGATTCAAATTGTTATTTTTAGTATTTTTCTACTGTATGTAATGATTTGTAGTAAGTTCTATTCTAATATTGTTGTGTATTTCCTGTGCTGTTTATACATTGAAATGATAGATAATAAATAAGGTTTGAAGATGAAAAAATAGTGTGAAATTTCATTACTTACTTATGTATGTGTGTGTGTGTGTGTGTGGGGGGGTGTTGGCTTTATATTTGGTTCTTGAAATGAAAGTCCATGTGAAGATTGATTAATTGTTATCGGAATTAGCCCTTTTTAAGGTTTCTATAATTCCATTTTCTTTATGAGTAGGTGCATATTGTAACTTAAGTATGATAATGTAATGTATTGTACCCTAAAACAGGCCGAGTGAGATCATTTTGGTGAATACCGGTAGGAACAAAAGTTGGGAGAGCATTTTTTAACATATTTCTTTTCCCTAGCATTGGGGCAGACTCTATTGCCTTGTTTATATTCATGATTAATTAAAAACCAAATATGAGAACAGCCTGCAAAATTTTGCTATATACATCCTGTTTTATGATGTATACACCCTTTGGAGGCTATCATTTTTAGGGGAAAAAGAATAATGCAAAGAATGAATAAAATGTGTGAGGGTGGACAGTGGCGGATCCAGGGGAGGCCCCCCCCCCCCCCCCTGGGTGTAAAAACACATCAATTTTACCTTTTTTTTTAGATGCCCCCCCCCCCCCCCTGGCGCTCAAGGAGGGCGGTGCGATTTTTCAAATTTTCGAGGGCCCCCCCCCCAAAAGAATGTGCTCACTACCCCCCCCCCCCCCACTGAGCAAATTTTCAACAAAAAATGACCCCCCCCCCCCCCTCCCTAAGATATCCTGGATCTGCGCCTGAGGGTGGAAGTGTGCCAGAAGGAGAGACTGAGTAGCTAGATCAGGTTAATGTTGGTAAAAATAGACTCAGATTTTATTATCTTCTATTTTATTTCTTTGGTCTTGATGTAATAGAAGGGGAGGAGAGAGGGAGAGAGAAAAAGAGGGGGGGGGGGGGCAACAGACAAAAAAATACTAGGAGCCTAGTTACTTTGAGATAGGGATTGATAAACCCCCTCCCTCATCCAAGTAGCTATGGCCCCAAGAAGAGGGTGAAAAGAGAAACTAGGAAAAGGATGGAGATGACAGGATCCCCTTCCATATGTGTAAGAGGAAATGACTCTTACTTAAAAATATTAATAATAATAATACTCCACTTTTCATAGCGCTTAATACATCTTCGATGTCTCATAAGTGCTTTACAGATATACTTTTTCTATCATATAGATCTATATTTATAGCTATATAAAATTATACAATTTTAACAAAGGATAAAGTTCCTTTCTGATGCCTTTATAATTTTGATATAAAAATTATAGCACTTACATGATATCAATTTACACGAAAAGTATTCATGCGCCACATATTCAATATATTTCAAAAGTTCAGAAGTTTTTTTTTCTTCAACGGGAATGAATGAAAGAACTACATGTATGTAGCTTCTTGCGTAACAGGAACACCACTTAAATGTTAGTCTGACTTTCAGGGAATTATTAATAATTTACAGTGATGTTTAAATTTTTCACAAGTTTCTGAGTTATGTTTGATTAATATAATTACATTTTGGGCACTTAAGTTTCAATTTATGCATAATGGATCATGTAAAATATTCCTCTAAGTGGCACTGAATATAATTTTTTTTTTCCAGCGCTGGCTTAAAGCGCTGAAAAGAAGACTAATAATTTATTCTCAGAACTACCGAACCATGGCGAGCAAAGTGTGGACGAGTTTGGTAAGGAATTTGATTGATTTTGATCGAATTAAGAAATATTTATGATTATGAATGACTACATAATGTATATCATATATCGTTGATGATCTGTACGATTGATTTTGTGAAATATCTGAACAATCTTAATGATTTTCCGAACGTTTTATCGAACAGGAAAACGTAGACATTGACTTTGGTCCCATACGTAGGAATTTCTGTAGGCTGCGGTTCTTGCCTGATCCCTGCCGGAGACACGGCCGAGGTTGCTGCCCTACTCGGCCTAGACTGAGTTTTTAAATAGACTAGTTTGAACTTTGAGGAATGAAGATTATATGAGAGCCATAATGACCATAATAAATAAATTCTCTCATTTCCAGCCGATTCACAAAATCACAGCTCAAAATCTATGCTCAAAGAAACCGCTGCTGATTTTCCTCCTTTGCGTCCAGTTTCGCTAGCATATTTGCGGAAAAAAACGATTGGGGAAAAAAAGTTTTGCCAGTGTGGATGTGTAATTAACAGTAGGGGCGCTGGTCCGAGAATGAGGATCATCCTCGTAAATGCGGACAAAATGCGTCCTCAAAAATAAGGATCGTCTGCATTTTCGCGGACGTTTTTTTTCATTGGCGCTCTGCGGGTTTCGGGTTACCGAACCCCCGCTGACGATGCTAAAAATGGATACCGCATAAGAAAATAATTTTAGTTTACCGTCTACTTATATGGGTTGTCCGTCTTCCCAAGTATTTATCGCTCATAATGTGAAAGTCTCTGTACAAAGTCAAAGTAAAATGCATCAAGAAAATCATTGCAGTATCCGTTTTTCGCATCGCCAACGCGCCGTTCAAAAATATGAAACATCTGTGAAAATGCGGAAGATCCTTATTTTTGAGGACGCATCGGTCCGCGTTTACGAAGAGGATTCCCCTTTACACAGACAATCCTTTTTCTCGGACCAGCGCCCCTACTGATTAATGTATGAAGAAAAAAAAGTATTGTGCTTTATTTATTCAGAAGATTTTTTATGGTAATTTTGGTGTAAAATGAATGATTAAACTTTTCTCTACTCCTGGCCCTACTATATGAAGGGGTGACCAAACTTTGCAGAGATTTTAGAACATATTAGAAAATGCACAAATTCTTCACAAATTTATGTGTTTCATTTATCACCAAATGGACGGCAAAGTGTTTTCTACAAATTGCTTCAACTAGACCATTTATCGTCAAAGGATTCAGGAGATATCGCGATCTAAATGTTCGATGTCCCATTGTGCATGCGCACTGCAACTAAAAAAGTTGATAAAACAAGAGGACCTTACTTCTCTCACGGTGGGTTTACATCTGATTTATAAAAAAAAAATGATCCCTCAAAAATAAGGTAATTTCATAATTTGCGAGGCAAGATATCATACAATCAGATGTTACCACTTCTTACTTACAATTTTGAGGATATCTGCTCTCAAAATGAAGATTTCCAGACCCTTATTGGTAAGTTCATAATTTTTCGGAACGGACGCAAATGACTGCAAAATTTGCCGATTGTTTGTCAATATTTTCATAATTTCACACCCTATTCCAGAAAAAAATTCTGTCTTTGGGTAATTTTATGTTTCTCTTTCCATTGTTTATATCAGATTTTTGAAATCTTACCAATTTTTTGAAATAGCCAACTTATTTCACGCGCAAACTATGGTTACACCGCCATACTACTGCATATGACATATGTTTGTTTTTTTCCAATTTTATAATGATACAGCAATAATTTGTTCTTTCTTCTAGAAAACGGGTGTGAGCAGGAGCCTCAACAAGAGATTTTATTCTCAAAATGTAAGTTAACGCAGAGTAGAATTATCTTTTTAAAAGTCCTGCAGTTGTGCTGTTACTTTTATTTCCAGTTTACCTTGCACTACCCTTGCAATCTGCATTAAACAACATTGAAATGTGATTGTTCCAATTCAGACATCTGATTTTTTTCAAATTAATTGGAATTAGTAGTAGTAGTAGTAGTGGCCATGGTTGTGGTAGTGGATTGGTAGTGGTAATATCGTTATTATTATTCAGGATAGAGAATTTTATTTTTTTCAGTCACCAGCAAATAGACGCATTCATAATTAAACCTAATTGAGTCTCTGTGCAATGTATGTAGTCCTCAGAATAGCAACTGCTAACTTATTTACATTTACCAATAGATTGACTTTGAATCAAATAGCCATGATATGTGTTTTATTCACAGCCGTTTGTATTTATTTGAATATAATCATTTTGTCTCATGTTTTTTTATTCAGGTGAGAAAAGTCACATTAATCCCTGGAGATGGGATAGGACCTGAAATTTCTGCCTCTGTGCAGCAAATTTTCAGAGCTGCTGATGTAAGTCTGTACTCACCTAAGACTTGTTCAGATATGATTTTTTTTTTTAAAGACCAAGAATGAAGAACGGTTAGATTTTCTTTCTGAAACCGATAAAATTATCCTTATCGTCTATGTTCCTTCAAGAGAAAATACGCCTTGCAAACTTTAATCTCTTGAAAATTAATTGATGACAGATGTTCAAAAACTTCTTCAAACTTCTTCAAACTATTACCAATACTTCTCTCTACCTATGTTTGCAAAAAAAAGTGTTGTTATACTGTATAAAGAATCATGAAAGGATCTATATCTGATTCAATGCCTGCAATTATGTGATGTTAGCTTCCATTAGGTATTCTAGATAATTAGGTGTACTGAGAATAATTTGTATTAATTTATTCAAATTCATTTGCTTTTGTAGTATTGCAATTGCTCTAATGTTTTTTTTTTATTGATGTGAATATTGGTGTGAAAAAATGTGCGTACATCACATCTGGGCCCGTTGCATAAAACTTACTATTGATGATAACTTTGCCAGCAATGGCAACTACCATGAAACAGGGCTCAACAGCCAATCAAAATCAAGGTTTCCATGGTAGTTACCATTGATGGCAAAGTTACCATCAATGGTAAGTTTTGTGCAACGGGGCCCAGGTCCTTGTTCTTCTTATAAGTATCTTTGTAAATCAATGTCACTTGTGAATATTTTGATCTGGAAATGTATCCCTGTAAGCCCAGCTTGTATAAATCTGACCCCCACCCCCTGTGTAGGTGCCTGTTGAATGGGAGGCTGTGGATGTAACACCAGTCAAGGGCCCCGATGGGCGCACCCGTATCCCTCCAGCTGCAGTGCACTCCATGAATCAGAACATGATTGGTTTAAAGGGACCCCTTGCCACGCCCATTGGTAAAGGACATATGAGCCTCAATCTTGCCCTCCGAAAGTAAGTCTTTGAGGAATATATTACCAGACATGAAGACATACATTGTTTACATGCAGGAGGTTGGGGCAGTCTAGCTCCAAAAAGCCAAATGAAGTGGTTTAATCCATGCATGCAGTCATGATGTTGACAAATCTGAGTGATCATTTAAAATTTGTTCAGGTTATTTTATTCTTTTGTCAATAGACAAAATGTAACATAAAATCATTTCTATATTTAATCATTAACCAGTAGAATATGAAATTTAAATACGGGTTTATTCTTTGAAAAACCTTAAAATTACGTCATAGTTTACAGATTATCATGCATTTAAATGCTAACTTTATTGGAGGAGCTAGCGCCTTTGAATGTTTTTCAAAACAGATTTATGTATATCATTTTTCTAATTTTTTAGTAAAAAAAAAATTCGCTCATGCAATTATCTATTTCCTAAAATCTGAAAATGAAATTTGCAAATCATAACCCACATCTATAGATTTATGCTTTTACAATCTTAATCTAATGATTTGTTTACAGGGAATTCAATCTCTATGCCAATGTTCGACCCTGCAAGTCACTGGAGGGTTACAAGACTCCCTATGATGATGTAGATCTAGTCACCATCAGAGAAAATACCGAGGGAGAGTACAGTGGCATTGAACATACAGTAAGTTAGAATTGCAATCTGTACATTTTTCATATCACCTGTTAGGAGCCAGAAGGCCATTATCTCTGTGTTATTGTACGGGAGTTTACACCCTTCTACTCTGTGTACTGGTATTTAAAATTTAGTCTCTTCACTAGTGTCTTTAGGCTAGGCATTAAATTACCTTTGCCGCTCCATACCCAGGAGAGAAACAGGGACCTGGTAGGGATACAAAAGCCTTTCGGATATTAACTGCCATACACCCTCAAGGTGATCATAGAGGAGATGGTGCACACTGTGCATGAGCGAATTTGATAATTGGGGTAATAATAATATCTGTAAAGCGCTTAGACACAATATTTCGTATTAGGCACTATATACATTCAGATTTCTTATAAGACAAATGATTTATATCAATTATAATATCCCAAATATTTCTTGCTGCCCTTATTCTACTCATATATTGGCAAATTCTAATGATTGTAAAATTTGTAATTTTATATTTCGCTTCCTTAAATAATGTTATTGACCACAACTTTTAAATCAGGATCCATTTCTCATCCACCTCTATTGTAGAATAGGGCATTAGTAATGAAACCACCATCCATTCATCCGTGTATTTGATAAATAATGCCTCATCAATCTCCATCTTTCCCCCCTTTTTTGCAGATCGTTGATGGTGTGGTACAGAGTATCAAACTGATCACCAAGGAGGCCTCGATGAGAGTAGCTGAGTTTGCCTTTGAGTACGCCAAGGCTAACAGCAGACATACAGTGACGGCTGTACACAAAGCAAACATCATGTAAGGCACAATTGGTTCATAATCAGAGAATTAGGCTTAGGGTTCACAAAGATGAAGTTATCTCTAAGTTGGACTTAACAGTTATGGAAAGCCATTAGCATCTTCAATTTTAAAAGGCATAAAATGTTGATTAAAATCATTCACATTTTCTATTATCAAAGATATTTCATGTTCTTGATGTGGAATTTAAGAAAAGTCTTAAATACTTGAATTTCTGCTTTTGAATATATTTCATTTTAAGGCTACAACTGGCTCTCCATAATTTTTAAGTCCAACTTAGAATTAAGCTCTACTTAGGATCTTTGTGAAACACCCCCTGGACCCTGTCTAATTAAGAGTTGCAATTGATCCCCATTGATTATATGTCCTCCAATCAATCTCAAAGTTACAAACTCTTATCTCTGTATTAATACAGAGATGATGTTGGTATCAAGTTAAGAAGGATTGGAATCAGTCATTACTCTATATAATACACAACCATGGTTTAAAGGGAAGTTTGAGTGCTGGGAAAGGTAACAAATAATTTGTGAACGTTTTCATTATTTTTATGTTATTGGGGAAGAGCAGAGATGCCAACCCTCCCTGAAAATCTTTTTTTTACTTCTGTATACGTCACTCCATACAAATGTCAATGCCTCCCTGACTTTTTGAAAGATTATTCCTATTATGCTGTATGCAATTGATAGAAACCTCCCTGATTTCTGAATGAATCCTCCCTGAAAGCTGAATGTAAAGGTTGGCATATCTGGAAGAGTATCAGAAAATGTCCATTGTAAAAAAAACTGATCTCTCCACTCTCTGGGATGTGAGATTAAGATCAAGATTGTTTAAAGAATTTTCTTAATTTTCTTAAATCCGGACTACACTACTTGTAGCTACTTGCGCCCTCTATATAGCCAACAATGCCTAAGCGGTGCCCGTTGACCCCCCATGATTCACTTTTTCTTATGTTAATCAAGAGCTGATATTGATGAGATAACCACCTACCAGTGACCACACAGGGAGGAATAATCCCTCCTGGCCAAACTAGTGCAGATAGGCTATACATTTTTTAATTATTTGAATGTGCCTTATTTTTGTCCATATGTAGGAGGATGTCCGATGGTCTGTTCCTTAGCTGCTGTAGAGAGGTAGCAGAGAAACATAGAGACATCAAGTTCAATGAGATCTACCTAGATACAGTCTGTCTTAATGTAAGTTAATCATAGAGATGATTGGTACAGTCAGACCTGCTTTAGTGACCACCTGTCTACAAAGACCACATTTGTTGTTTCCCTTGGAAACATGTACTAAAGTAACCTGTCTATAAAGACTACCTGTTTCCAAAGACAACTTTTTGTGTATCCCTTGTGTGATCGCTATAGACAGGTTTGACTGTATTACAAAATGTTAAGAATAGCATCAGAGAGAGACATACTTTTCTATTTTGTCTTGCTAGACTGATCACTGTGGATCACATGTGGATGTAGATCACATGGTTTGCAGTTCTAGACCTGCCACAGCACTATTGTCCTTCATGTTTATTGATATTTGCCACTCTCCACCAATAACAACAATTACAGTAGTTTGTAGGCGCTATGGTTACCCCCTTAGGTGGATACATGCACAAAATAAATGTAGCTATTATTATTGTTATTTTTATTCATCGGAGTCCAGGTCTGGATTTCTGTACATTCTTGTAATTTTATATTTGATGGTATATCTGTAAAAAAAATGGTTATCAATTGCAAATTATAATAGTTATGAAGCTGCTGATATAATTGAGTTGGATTGACCGAGGAAATTTGTTAACAGTTTTGCAAATAAGTTATATGATGTATGACCCAGAATAGGATTTTCAGTGAGTACAGCAGTATCAAATGAAACGCTATAGTGATATAAACCCTCGTTTATTTGTTATGATTTTTAATTATTGTTTGTTTTGTTTTGTAGATGGTGCAAGATCCCAATCAGTATGATGTGTTGGTCATGCCTAACTTATATGGTGATATCCTCAGGTAGGTTGCTTGGAGAAATCTCTATCTCATTTATATTCTCTCACTGATTATTTCTCTTTGGTGGTATTTACTGTAATATTAGCTTTATAGGTTTCCAGTGAGGATATGAATTTGGAGGCAAGGTTCTCTCTTATTATTCTTTTTCTTCTTCTTTTTCTTTTTCTTAGTTTTTCTTGTTCTTGTACTTCTTCTAATTCTTGTACTTGTTGTTGTTGTTATTGTTGTTCTTCTTCTAATTATTATTATTGTTGTTGTTATTATCATCATCATTATTTTTTTTTTCTTTTTTTTTTCCGATGATTATTATTGTTGATCTTTATTATTATTTTATTAATATGATCTTCAGTTCTCTTCTCCCTGCAGCAGTTTTTGATGCTATGCAGTACCCATGGTACCAATTAGTCAAAATGACATTAATTTAGTATCAAATGATAGAGGAATGGTGTGGATTCTGCCCCCGGTCCTTTTAAGGTTTTTTTTTTTAACAGTCTGCATCCGGGCCGCGGTTCGGACTTTGAGAAACCCTGATTTACAATATACTAGAATCATATCTTCACCTTTAGGGATTCCTAATTTTTGCTGTGGAAAGTTAACAGGAATGTCTCATTTACCGGTATTTATTGAATTGCATAAGATAACACAAAAAATGATGACCCTTTTCTAGTTCATCAAAATAAGAATATTATTTGTAGAAAGATTTATTTGCATTCTGTTGTCTTCTTGCAGTGATCTTTGTGCAGGTCTAGTAGGAGGTCTTGGTGTAACGCCAAGTGGAAACATCGGAGCTGGAGGTGTCGCCATCTTTGAATCAGTAAGTATTAGAGGGATCCGGTAACTTGGTCTCAGATTCTGAAACAAAATCCTGGATTTAGCTCATGCTGCAATGATAATTATAAACCTTTAGGTCAGTCAGGAACCTCATGACTTTTAGAAGCCGATCTGATTATCAAGATATTTATGATTGGAAATCGAAACCAAATTTTGCGTTTTTCATAACACTACAGTCTATTGGGGAAAACGAGTATGGTAAAACCGGTCACTCAAAGATTTTTACTTTTTTGAGGCACTTCATGATCATTTTGAAGTGCAATTTGTTAGGGTTTCAACATTACACCATATCATAGACACTGATAACACGTAGGGCCTTGCATCTCAGCTTTAACATTGTTAAACAATGTCTTTAAGGGTCGTTCTCATATGATGCAGTTATCCATGGCATATTACCCTGGCATTATTGTTTTTATTTCTTGTAAATCAATGACAATAAGAGTTTGCAATCAGTAGAAAATTGAGAACACATACTCACTTACCTATATGCTCAGTGAAGCATATAGTTCTTTAAAAAAAAATTGAGAAAGAAATAGTATTCAGAACAACTGCAGAATTCCCTACTGAACAAGTGACCCTAACTCTGATCTTTTACAATTACTCCTATCCTAACCCAATCTCTAACTCTCGCCCTGACCCTTACACTAACCCTTACCCTTATTCAATGTAGTGATGCTTTGTTGGATATCCTGCAGTAAGGTCAATTATTCAATTCTCATTACCCCAACTTTGGTATTGAGCCATAGAGGGCAGCACTGGCCATGAGTATGTTTTGCAAAGGCACTTCCAGTTCCCATACAAATAAAACAAATCGAGAGCTGGAAATTATAGTTTTGGAACCAATAAGCTATAAGTAACAGATTATGATGGTGCCCACTTAGATCTCATCAACTCATCAGGGGAGTTCATGAAACCTGAACAATAGTTTAGTAAAATCAGGAATTAGTTGGCACTGCTGTATATTCTGTATGGAAGCCGGAAGAAACCTTGTCTTATCTTCTTACCTGGTATTGTATCTGCGCATGTGCTGACCTGCGCAGTGTGGGAGGAAGGTCACCATCTACTCTCAAACATCGTATTGATGTAGGGTCAAATGATTTAAAGCCCATCTGTACTAGTGTACAGGAGGGATTAGACCACCCTACAAGGTCAGCTCTCAATAAACATAAGAAAAAGAGGATCATGGGGGACCAATGTTCACCAATTTTGCATTGTATGTTATATAGAGGGCGCAAGTAGCTATAAGTAGTGCAGTGGGGCTTTAATACTATTTCTTGTTTTCCTCTAAGGTTCACGGTACAGCCCCTGACATAGCAGGGGAGGACAAGGCGAACCCCACAGCTCTCCTCCTTAGTGCTGTTATGATGCTTAGACACATGGAGCTCATGGGACATGCGGGTCGCATCGAGAAGGCATGTCTCGAGGTCATCAGTGAAAAAGAGGTAAGTGGTATAAAGGGCTATGTTGTAAGATTTAAATGTTTTATCATGTATTGTCATTCTAACAACATTAATAACATCTATTATGTTGCGCTACACTTCAAATTTATCATAGTTTCAAGATTTAAAAAGTGGCATAAACACCAAGGCAATGGAGAGAAGGAGAGATGCGTTTCTTCAGACAGATCCGAGTAGAAAGACAGGAAAAAAAAGGAATGATATACATATACTTAAAAATAAAAGGAAATGGAGTCTCATAGGCATGGACTTGTTTATGTTATAAAGTGCATAATTATAATACTTAATACACAGCTGTAATATTTTCTGTTGCAATAAGTGGGCGGTAATTTCTGTAAAATGGCTGTACTATTAACTACAGTTAACAACTAAATTATTCATAACCCATGTAAGTTTGATTTTACTTTTGATTTTTCATTATCGTATTTGCCGGCGTAAAGGCCGCAGTATTTTTGGAAGAGAAAATATCAAAAAGTCGGGGTGCGGCGTATACGCCGAAACAGTAAAAATCGCAAGTCAAAACAGCACGTCCATTATTTGTAGGCAACTTCATACAAAAAAATATATTAACAAAATTGACTTGAAAACACATCGGACAAGATCTAGTCTGAACCACGTCAGCAGCAAATTTGAAGAAGTTATCTTTTTAATCGTTGTGCAACCAAAGAAATAAGAAGAAAACTGACCAGAAACTCGTACTAAAAATCGCACTTGTAAAAATGTCCTTGGCTTAGACAGCACATGGCCCGGTAACCAAAATCATACCTCGCTCACACACTCTGTGGTGGGGAGCTACCGGGCTGGGAGTTGCAACAAATCCAACGCAGCTTCGGAGATTCGCGCAATCGTCGGTGTTCTTAACTTTTCAGTAAGATAATTCTGAATTATAATTTGTTGAATACTTTTAATATGTCACATTCTCATGAAACATAAATTGGGACAAATCAATTTTTCACATATTTAAAAAAATACAAAACTTGAGTATAATTTAATTTAGTTGTTAATTGTAAATAGTTTAAACAGTGTATGTTCAGCCAAAAACGCATTAGGTTTCTCTGTAAAACATTTTTTGTATGTATCCCTATTTTTGTTTGTTTCCTTGCCGTAGCATCTGACTGGTGATTTAGGTGGAACAGCAACCTGCTCTGAGTTTACACAGGCCATATGTGACAGGGTTCAGCAGCTAGAATAGAATCTACCAAGCTCCTAACTCATCAACTATCACCCCCTCTCTGATATCAAAGTCATCACATATTGTATCTACCTGTATTCCATATCTTCACTCAGTGTTTACCTCCCTCTATTAAAACAACTGTGTTGAAACTCAAACTTTGTGGCATGAACATGCAAACATATTAATCAAATAGTTGTGAGTACTTTTATTTATATATTAACCATATCCACTAAAAAAGGTTTACAAGTTATATACAACAAACATTTAATCTGATGCGATGGTTGTTTGCCTTAGTAATTTAGTTCTGGCAAGTTAATTTGAAAATTAATGGCCATCATCATTGCAAGAGGAGCAGTATGTTCTTCAACTCAGGTGGTTTCTATTATGAATATGAATAGAGAAGAGTAGTGCACTCAACAAGTCATGTATGTTTGTTAAAGATGTATGAGATTTTGTTTTCTTCAGAAGTTCAATTTATTATGTGAGATTTTGCATAATTTGAACTCTACATTTTTTTTTTTACTGATGCAGACTTACTATGGCTTTCTTGTTATGCCAAAAACTGATATTTAAGGATTTTTTTATTCTTTGCAACCCAACTGTGCTTCAAAAGTAAGACTTTTTTTCAACACAATCCTATTTATTTGTATGAATTTAATCGTGTAAATCTAAAATAAAAGTGACAATTGCAAACGTCCATGTAGATATTGAATTAGTTATATGCAAACCTGTAAAGGTTTATCATTCATGGATAATGGAGACTCTTGCAATCCAATGAATTCTGTGGTATAGCATTTCATGACTCATGAGTTGATGCAACCCCCCCCCCCCCCCCATCACACACACACACACAAATAATAATAATAAATTAATACAATTAATAAATAACAGAGAATAAATAAATATATTAATAGAAACAAAAATTGTTTTTAAAATCATCCCATTCACATGTATGTTAGTGCATTCTTGAACAGATAATGTTCCATTTTACTTGTAGGTATTGAATCCATTGTATATACATAGATACCTCCTATTATAATTCCACTGCTTTGATCAATGCCCACTTTTGTATTAGGACAGTAGCATTCCTTTTTATTTTGAATTTATCAACATGTTTCGCACAAATTTGTATTATCTTCCTTTTTATTTTCTACAAGTTTGTATGTTTGAATGGCATTGTCTGAAACTACCAGCTAAACAGTAGTAAACTTAAGAATTATAGTGATTAAGAAGTTGTACTGTTATTGATGAGAATGATTTGGAGTACAAGTAATATACCTGTGTGTGAATTGATTAACTATGACTACATTTTGACTCAAAAGTATTTATTGCTTGTATTGCATGCACTATATCTTTACAAGCGGCCTGTGATATATACATTGGTCATTTATTGGGATTTAGTTTGGTATTTGTGCAATTAGAAATAGAAGGGATCTTTTTTTTAAATTATCTGTAGCAGTGATTTTCTTGAAATGATTCTAGTTTGTGTATATCGCATACAAAGGAATGTTAAATTTCTGGTATATAATGTACCTTTACACTATGAAGTGAAATGGATGATATTTGAATTGCTGATGCAGCGTAAACAGAGGGTGCTGTAGGAAGACATGTTTCTTTCTGTCTTCCATGTTTTCTTGATTGTCATAGTTTATCTGAAAGACAAAATTAGAGGGATTTATTGTTATTATTGTTTGAATTAAATGTAGTATATGTTGCTGCCAGAATTGAAATAATAAGGTATGTTACATGTGATACATTTGTTTATATTTTAGAAAAGAAGTTAGTGTATTGTGAGAAGGAGGGAGAGTGAGAGAGAGGGGGAGAGTGAGAGAGAGAGATGAGGGAGGAAAAAGGGGGGGGGGGGTAGAAGAGAGACTGACAGAGAGGGAGATAAAGAGAGAGATGGGGAGGAGGGGTAAGAAGGGAGAGAGATAGAAGAAAGACTGACAGAGTGGGAGAGAGAGAGATAAGGGAGGAGGGGTAGAAGAGAGGCTGACAAAGAGACTGGAGAGAGAGAGAGAGAGAGAGATGAGGAGAACAGGGAAGGAGTGAGAGAGATAGAAGAGAGAGCGAGAGGGAAAGAATTAGAAAATAGGCCTACACATGTACATGAAATATCGATTAAATACATATGATTATTAAGATATTTTAAATGAGTAGGTTTTAAGAAATCGTCGGTTTTGGAGTTACCTCGGAGTGTAGACAGGAAGATTGTTCCAAAATATAAATGCAATGGCAGAACGGACAGACCGCAAATGTTGCTCTGGTGTGGGAATTTTTTGAGACAAAATAGATATGGATTAATAGTACATTTTATAATGTAATCTAATGCAGACGCGGGTCCAGGATTTCTTAGGGGGGGGCAAATTTGAAATCGTGCCGGCCGTATTTCGCTCAGTGGGGGGGGGGGGGGGGGGGGGGACGTGAGCACTATTTTGTTTGTTTCTATTTTGACCCCCAAAATTTAAAAATCGTGTCGGCCAATAGGGGGGGGGGGGGGGGGTAGTGAACACTTTTTTAAAACTAAATACCCCCCCCCCCAATTCTGTCCAACAATTCTGGTCCCATTTTTTAAAACTTTTTTTTTTTCGGGGGGGGGGGGGGGCAGGGGGGACAAGGCCCGGTCGGTGGCTAGGAATTTATTTTAGGGGGCGGTAGTGAGCACGCGTGCCGTTTCATTAAATTGTTAGAGAAAGAAGACGATTAGTGTACTGTTTTCGACTTTTAATCCTAGTCTGAATTCAGTTCCCCCCTCCTTCCCGCGCTAAGCGCGGAAGCTCTGATACTTCATTAAATTATTAGAGAAAAAAGCACGATTCGTTGTACCGTTCTCTACTCTTAAACCTTATTTGCATTCAGATTCCCCCTCCAGCGCGAAGCACGGAAGCTTTGATATGTCATTAAATTATTAGAGAAAGAAGACGATTCGTTGTACCGTTCTCGACTCTTTATCCTTGTCTAAATTCAGTTTTCTTCCCTCTCGCGCGAAGCGCGGAAGCTTTGACGTTTCATTAAATTATTAGAGAAAGAGTACGATTCGTTGTACTGTTTTCGACTCTTTATCCTTGTCTGAATTCAGTTTTGCCCCTCCCGCGCAAGAGTAAGCTTTGACGTTTTATTAAATTATTAGAGAAAGAAGACAATTCGTTGTTTTGTTCTCGACTCTTAATCTTTTTCTGAATTCAATTTCATTATTTGAGGTTTCATTAAAATTATTAGAGAAAGAAGACGATTTTTTGGTACCGTTCTCAACTCTTAATCCTTGTCTGAATTCAATTCAGTCCCCCCCCCCCCCCGCGCGAAGCGCAAAAGCCTTAACGTTTCATTAGATTATTAAATTATTTAATGAAACCTCAAAGCTCCCGCGCTTCGCGGGGGGGGGGGTGGGGGGTAGAGGGACCTCAAGAAAGTCAAAAATCTGTGAGTGACCGTCTCTACCATACTCATTTTCCCCCCATTTCCCCCAATAGACTGTAGTGTTATAAAAACCGTTGTAAAAACGGTTTGTGAAATTTCGATTCCCAATCATAAATGTCTTGATAATCATGCAGATGGGCGATCGGCTACTAAACGTCGTGGGATTCCTGACTGACCTAAAGGTTTATAATTATGATTGCAGCATTAGCTATGAAACCCAGGATTTAGTTTAGAATCTGAGACAAAGACACAATCCCTTTATTAAAGAAGCAATACGAATTGAAGAATTATATAAATGTCGCGTTAAAAGTAGGGTTTAAAGGGGTTGAAGATAATTATTTAAAAAAACGATGGCGCGACGCATTACATGTTCACACATACACTCACTCACCAACACCCACACTCTCTCTCACACTCTCTGCCTCTCTTTGCCTTTTTATATCTTGCATTTCACATTATTCATATTTCATTTGTATTTTGTACATCGATCTATAAATCGTCTTCAATTGCATATCTGTTTTTTTTATACTCAAACCCTTTTTTTTTAAACAAGAGCACAAATCACCTTATTGATTCTAAATGACAAAAAAAAAACGACTAGATTATTAAATGTGAATTCAGTAAATCATTTATTTATTAATTACAATTATCAAACTATGATTTATATGAATGAAACTTTCAACAAGTATCATACATACCTACATATATCAACACCAAATGCAATCCACTTACTACGATGAAATAAAAGTTGAAATATTACAATATATAGATATAAGTTCAGAGATCGCTTTTTATATTTTTGGTGTCGGACTTTCCACTGACTACATGTAGAAGAAAACAAAATTTCTTCTAAATTTTGACTAATCTCTTCTTTTTTATAATTCAAATTACTAAAATAGAAATAAGGGTTTATATAAGGGTTTGTTGTGATTACATAAAATAATGAATGAATGAATATAACAATAATAACAATAATCATAATAATAATAATAATACTCATAATAATAATAATAACAATAATAATAATAATAATAATAATAATAATAATGATAATAATAATAATAATAATAATAATAATAATAATAATAATAATAATAATAATAATAAAACGGTGCTTATAAAGTGCTTTCCATCGAAGTCTCTAAGCGCTTTAGCAAACAAAATACAATGACAAACAATTATAATAAACAGAACAAAATTACAAATAAATCTACAAATTACAATACATATGAAATATGTTATAAACGTTAGTGTAACTCCATTGTTATACTGTATTAATCTGTTAATAGTAAAAATGAAACTTAACATTTGATAAATGTACAAGACTAATGCAATAGTTGCTTCTTTTAGACTATAGACATTGAGTTTCACATATAATCACAAAAGCCCCCTAGTTTTTTACACGAATTTTTTTTTTACCGACTAGAGGTGCCGCTATTGTACAAATTAAGGTAAAACTGTGGAGTTTTATTTCTCCAGTTCTATTTTCAGTAGGATATGCAGGGCACATTGTAGTGATATACTTTCTAAATGTAGAGTAGAAATCCACTCTTAGAGGAATCATATTGGGGATAATTTCATGTTGAGTGGAAATCCACGCTACAAAGAGTGGATTATACACTCTCAAAGACTGATTCAAACCACTACTCTGTAGCAATTATAATGAGAATACAACACTCTGGCCAACAGATGATAATGATATCAATTTCTCGAGCTCTAGCTAATCTTCGTTGTCTGGATGCAACCGCGTTGTCCTCTAACCAGTAGCTGGGTCTACCAGCACAAAGGGCCCCGACGGTTGTACCGCTGGACCCTTGTAGGAAACCCGCGGGGATCTCTCCGACGTTCACAAAGTTCATGTCGGTCAACTCTCGGGCTACGACGTCAAGCACTTCACCCTGGGTTAGAGAGAGAGGGAATGTTAATTACTATATGATCAATCACAAGGTCCGCGGTTCGAGTCCCACCGTGGCACTAATGTCCTTTGACAAGACATTGATCTGCATTTGCCACACTCCATCCACGGTGAAGTTAATGGGGACCTGGTAGGAATTTATTCCTTGAAACGCAGAGCGCGTGACAGCTGCTCTGCTAAAGCCAGGGTAATTATGCTGCATTATTGTAGAGCTTTTATAGAGACTTCTGATAAGTAAGCAAATATAATAATTATTATTATTATTATTATTATATAGCGCCTAATACATCTACGATATCTCTAAGCGCTTTAGATACGGCCATTACCCTGCTCATTAAATTCATGCTGGTATGCACGCAAAGCACGCCTATGCCCCTTCCCCACTTCCTGTGGAGCATTCCAGCCGGGCGTCTTTTAAAAGACACTGCATCCTGCAGGCACCAGTATTAAAGCCCCACTGCACTACTTGTAGCTACTTGCTCCCTCTATATAGAAAACAATGCCTAAGCGGTGCCCGTTGGTCCCCCATGGCCCATGCATGATCCTCTTTTTCTTATGTTAATTGAGAGCTGATTTGATGAGATAACCACCTGTCAGTGACCTTGCAGAGAGCGTTTAATCCCCCTGCCCCTGGCCAGACTAGTGCAGACGAGCTTTAAAATGACACAATGGATCATTGACCGTCTCAAGTGACAAGAAAAGGGAACTAATCACCCCGACCGCACGTTAAAAAAAAATGACCCACGTGATCCCTATTAATGTTTTAAACCAATCTTTGGTCATATTTTTGTCTTCGCATTTCTCTTATTCAAACAATCAAGCCATATATTGCATGATAAATAATTTTGAAATAAGCTTTCAAATTCTATTACTATACAAATCCCAAGATCATTTTTTCCAACGTGCATGCAGTGTAGCTCGTTCAATATACAATACATTTAAATGATAAACCTGTATTATTATTTTTACTTTAAGCCTTAAAGCCCCTTTCTTATGAAAATACAACTTTATATCAATGGAAAGCTGAATGAACGTAGAATAGGAATAAAGTATATTTTCCCTTTCAGTGTCGCACAAAAGCAAATTAGGACCTGTCCTCATCTTCCACACCCCTCCAAATTACGGGTCAACAGGTGTCATAATTGCCACAGTTACGTTGACGATATGTCGGGACCCGATCGGCTCGACTATACGTATAGCTGAGTCCTTGTGAATAAGCATCCTCCGCATAAGATGATGTCGAACAAGTCGGTACCTAGTTTTTAGGTCGACAACTCCCGAATTTCAAAGCTTTAGATTTTGAGTTTTCAGAGAGCTATTAGCATATAATTGATATTATTTTAATTTTGTATGACTCATAAGTTTTCAATACTATTTCATTTGTCACTTCCGACAGTGTCTTTAAAGGTACTACATGTATGTAGGCCTACTTGCAGGTCAAAAAATGAGAAGGTTAAATTCCAACGGCATTTGAAAGACAATAATAATTTAGAACTTTCCTAAAAAAAAAAGGGGGGGGGGGGGCTTGAAAATGCCACTTTAAGTGGGAAAATAACGACTATTAGATGTCGAATCGACTTAGGAGCTATATAGCCATTAAGTAATAGTCTGCGCTGCGCAAAGATTCAATCAGTTTAATTTTGGCAATTACAAGAAGTTGGTTATTAATGTAGACAAATGCTCATGTACCCTTTACAGCTCATGTTATGTATGTTATTACCAAAGATGAAAAAAGCCAGTCAGTCACTACTGGTGTCTGACAGTGAAGTCTAGCAAGTAAACGGATTTCCTTGCATAATATGAATATCAGGACACTGCTAATTAGGTTTAGATTTCACAGATAGGACATACATGTCATATTCATAATTCCTGCAAAGTTCTGTAGAATTTGATGTTGGCTGCAAAAGGGACATAGTACCTTTAATATATCGACAGTAACATGATAAATGCCACCTACCTCATTTTGATCGCCCTCTTCGGTCATGAATTTTTTCAGGTTGTTAGCCATTTCTGCAGGCCATGGGAATGCAATGCAGATGTTTTCATCGTGTATGTTGACAAAGACCAGGGACTGTGGGTAAGAGATACAAAAACATCATGGAAAAGTATATCAGCCAAAAAGAAATGGAAATCTCAAACTTTGAATGATCTATTCTATATCGTATTTTGTTTACAAAATTTAGGACACTGGAAGCTAAAGCAAAAAGTTAGGGCTCATAAGTGAAGGGAGGATGTGGGAGAAAGTAGTATTCTTTCAAGCTGCCTCCACCCCCCCCCCCCCACCCCCTCCCTCTCTCTTTCTCTCTCTCACTCTCTCTCTCCCCCTCTCTCTCCCTCTCTCTCTCTCTCTCTCTCTCTTTCTCTCTCTCTCTCTCCTCTCTCTGTCTCACACTCCCTCCCCTCCCCTCTCTCTTTTCCTATACAAATTGATATAATCTATTGAAATAAAAATCTTGACATAATCATCATTGAATATAAACATTTTTTTTTTTAAAGTAGAAGTACGCTAAATTTCACTGGAAGGGGAATGTGCATCCTCCCTCCCGTTGCCCTCGTGTAAAATAATGATTATGAGACAGTTGAGTTTAATACATGTACATACCCGATCGTAGTCCAATGCTACGGTAGCCCGAGAGTAGCCACTGAAGTTACTGGGTGGTGTGTGGATGAGAAGGGTATTGCTGGCTTGAATGTACTCGAAATGTTCTGTCATGATGCGACCATCTCCCATCACCAACCTGGTATCCTTCGTCTAAACATAAACGAAACAGTTTTAAAACGAAGTTTGATTATTATTTTTCGTTTGCACGAAATATAATTCTCACAGCTCTAGAAACTTTCGTGACAGCCTTGTTCATGGGTTGGGTCTACTTACTTCTAAAAGTCTACAAACTTGAAATAATTCACTATCTGAATTGGACAGATTGTCCCTGTGACTGACTGGGATAGTCTAACCTGTCTATTGAGGCCATCCAAGGGAACCAAAAAAGTGGCCACTCTAGACAGGTGACATTTCAAAACTGTTTATACAACACATACTGCTCCCTAGCGGGGTTTTAATAATGAGTGATAACAGCATTAGCAGAGACAACTTTAACTACATGTATACAAGCAATATGATACACGACATCATAAGTTAGAGAATATGTGACCATTGTCACTGCAAAATTATCAAAGTATACCAGGTTGTAGGTATTCAATTTTGAAATGATTAATCAACTATGTATTTTCGAAAGGTACAATTATTTAATTGATTTATATCATGATATGATTATATATGTATTTTAAATTTTGTTGATAATATTGTACTTAGTTTGTATATTACTATTTTATTATGTTAAAAAATGCAGAAATAAATGAAACATACAAAATACATAACTACTGCGCCTTATTTACAATTTCGACCTAAATGCAAAGTGATCTAAAAATGTTAGTTCCCCCGCCCATTTTATTTTTAGGGGGGGGGGGGGGTTGATACACATATTATATTCTGGCATCTAGGACCATATGCTTACCATATCACGGTCGAAAATTCCTGCTTCTTCTCCCGGAATGACATCTTCCCTCGTGCACTGATTGAAACCATCTTGGGCGATCCAAACGGCTCCAAGAATACACCCTCCAAGCACCAAGCTAGTCAAGAATACGGTCGAGAAGATGGTCACAGATCGAATGGTCGTCAGACGAACCGAGTTTGATTGGCTCTCCTGATATACTTCCTGGGGGGGGGGGGGGGTTGAAAAAGAAAAGGGGAAATATAATCAGTTATACCGTTGAGCGTTTGTTTTGTATATAATTGTTTTACTGCACGCAATGCTTTATCCGAGACACGTTATATTATCAATTATTGGCTACTCCACTTATTTTTCGGTTCAACTGTCCCCAATCTGCCACATCTACAGGCATTTAAAAAAATGCCTCCGGGTAAACTGAAAAGCAGCATAAAATAACATTTAATTGTTGGGTTGGAAGAAGAAATTTACCTATATATGCACGAGTGACGATTCGAATGGTATGTAAAATATGAATTAGAAATCGAATGCAAGAAGGAAAAAAATAGGTATATGGCACCCGCACTGTCACTCACTTTGATTTCCTTTTCCATGCTGGTAGGAGGCTGCAACTTGATCGCGTACAACGGTTTTAGTAGATGTGAGGATTTTTAGTTAAAGATCGATGGACTAGCAATCTATGAACTTTGCGATGTCTAAAGTTTGATAGTTGATACAGAGAGTCAGCTAGTAGGATGTCTCGCTTTGAATCAGGATTCTGAATTTTGAGAGCAGTTGCAGCAGTTTTTATAGACCCCTTTTCAGCTCGGAAGTGATAATTCTTCACGGGGCTTCATGGAAGACCAGATATAATACAAAATAAAAGTTATTCTACAAACTACGTTAATGAAACGTAATTAGAAATCTGTTTCCTGATTGGTAGGTCTGAATTTAGGGGTGTGTTCTTGCTTTTCGCTAGCCGTTGATTCGTTGGAAGTATTCATGCGGTATAACTTCGAGGTAATCTCTACGAAAGAGAAGTGTATTTACACATCCGGGTATCAATATTTAGAATATGATGTAATTGTTATCGCCACGGTCTCCAATATTCAGTATCTATTATTCAAATAATGTTCGGGATATATGTTATTTTAAAAAAGAAAGATGGTGGTCTAGAAAGCAATAAGATGTGAAAGCACATAATCAATATTTATTACCGCCAACAAAATACATGGGGTCTTATTTCCTTGATTTTAGCGACTTGACTTGAAATACCAACAGTTCTTAAAGGGATAGTTGAGTTCTGTTTTGAGACCGCAAATGCCTTCAAAGTGCATGGTTATTGCTCTTATTCTTATCTATGGCATTTATAGTGCCCTTTTAGAACCTAACATTGCTATGAAGGTAATTTTAGACCCCAAAATGTGTGAAATTTAGCCAATACGATAATACCAATTCAGCTCCACTTTCAAAAAAACATAGTGAACGTTAACTAATTATTTAATTAAAAATAACAATACATGAGCCGGATAATTGTGAGTATTATAAGCAACACGAAAATGCCCCAAAAAAGCCAACATCGGCATTGGCTGAAATACGACGTAAAAGGCGTTATTTAGTTTTTTTTTCAACGGTTTTTTTGAAATTTTTCAAAATATCTAATATTTGTGGTGGTACACAAGTATCAGAAATCGTTATATTTCAGCCGTCTCTGAACCGATTTTGATCAAACAAAGATGATTTTGTCATTTAAATATTATGTTCTTTCAAATTTGACACTCAGTTTTTCATTATCTCACAAAAAAATATTTTGTGTAGCGCCCTCTGAAACAGAACTCAAATATCCCTTTAACGTTATTGAAGTATCGTATTTCTGCAGTCACTCTGTCAGTGACTTTGTGCCTCAAAAGTCCTTGATCAGTGATAGGTTGGAAGTGTGCAGTGATGTAGTAACTAAAATCAATAGTATTCACAAGCCCGGTTTTTTCCCACGCTCTTCTGCCGGGCAGTCGTCATTGCTCTCTCCTAGAATGATAATGCACTGCCTTGAATGGACGTCACACGTAAGTCCCTGATGATAATAGTGTAGGCGATGTCTTTTCATCCGTCAATGTATATCCGGGACCTGGACAAGTACCAAAATAAATAATATAAACACTTGACAAATTTAATGACAATCATTGTATTCTGAAGAAAAAGAAAAATGGTAAACTACATTGTTCCTTCTTTAAAAAAAGACAAGCAAACAACTTTTCAAATGATTTACAAGAATATAGTAGCTTTCCCTATTTATTACGTCATGTCAATTAAATAGTTTCATAGAGCAACTTTAATCAGGCAGCCTCACATAGCAGGTAACATTGGAGCGCCTTGAGCACATTGCAAGGTGGATACGTGCGCTATATAAGAATCCAATATTATTATTATTTTATTATTATTACTATTATTATTACTATTATTATCATTATTATTATTACATCTCTTTGTTATCATCAAATGTGGGGGCAAAACGCAAGCCACACCCCCCCCCCCCCACCCGAAAAAAAATCAGCAGTTAAGGAGTAAAAGTGGTTTGCATTTTTTAACCAAAAATAAAATAAAAAATGAATTTATCACAATCACGATTATATTCCATTCAAAGAAAAGTGAGAGTAAACAGGAATTAGACTTCCTTAACATTCCGCATGCCCTTATATTTATGTATACTAGCGATACGCGCATATCGTGAAAATATTGTTAGAGGATGGGAAAGCGTGTGTGTTTTTTATGATAGGGGTGAGAAGACATGAGCCCCTGAACACTGGCGTACTGATGAGGGGGGGGGGCAGTTGCCCCAAATAAAATTAAAACGTGGTTTATTTCTTATTTGATACCAGTGATTTACAAATGTTGCTGAAATAGTGATTTCTCCGGATTTTTCTCAATATCTTTTGTACATTATACTTTTATGCGTTTGTTGGAAAATTACAAATTCCAAAATTTACTGTGAGGTAAAAAATATGTTAATTTAAAATCCTTCATTGCAGGATCTGCAGAACGGCGGGGGCTCGGGGCTCGACCCCTCTCTTTTTAAAAAGTATGTTAAAGAGAAAAAGAAAGAATGGGTGACCTGCCAGTGTCACAAAATGAGGTTTCTCGAAAGTCCTTGATAGGTTGGAAGTACATGTGCACTGTGCAGTGATGTAATTTTGTGTCAACTACTAAAATCAATAGTAGGCCTATTCACAAGCCCGGTTTATTAATTTAACAAAAGACACAATATTTATCCAATGCTCTAAAAAAAACGATGTCTTTTCATCCGTCAAGGTATATCCGGGACCTGGACAAATAACTAAATAAATAATATAAACACTTGACAAATTGATGACAATCATTGCATTTTGAAGAAGAAAAAAACTAAACATGGAAAAACTACATTGTTCCTTCTTTAAAAAAAGACAAGCAAACAACTTTTCAAATGATTTACAATAATATAGTAGCTTTCCCTATTTATTACGTCATGTCATATAAATAAAGTTTCATAGAATAAAAAGAAAGAAGCAACTTTAATCAGGCAGCCTCACATAGCAGGTAATATTGGAGCGCCTAGTTGAGCACATTGCAAGGTGGATACGTGCGCTATATAAGAATCCAATATTATTATTATTATTATTATTATTATTATTATTATTATTATTATTGTTATTATTATTATTATTATTATTATTATCATTATTATTATAACATCTACTTGTTATCATCAAATGTGGGGGCAAAACGCAAGCCCCCCCCCCCCCCCACGAAAAAAAATCAGCAGTAAAGGAGTAAAACAGGTTTGTATTTTTTAACCAAAAATAAAATAAAATATGAATTGATCACAATCACGATTATATTCCATTCAAAGAAAAGGAGATTAAACAGGAATCAAACTTCCTAAACATTCCGCATACCCTTATATTTATCAATTAATTGAGGATTTTATAATAGCAATACGCCCATATCGTGGAAATATTGTTAGAGGATGGGAAAGCGTGTGTGTTTTTTATGATAGGGGTGAGAAGACATGAGCCCCTGAACACTGGCGTACTGATGGTGGGCATAACATGCGTCTAACAGCGATGAATATCATCGTTTTGAGGGCAGTGGGGAAAACCCCGGTGAAGAGGTCCCTATATAGGCCACATCATCCATAATTATGCACATTCCAATCAGTTATGTCGGGAATAGAGACCCCAGGATTACAGTGCTGCAGTTCGTTTTTCTCCACCCATGCACAGGTGACGCCAAAACTTATTACTGCTACTACTACTACTACTACTACTACTACTACTACTACTACTACTATACTGATAACGATGATGACGATGATGATGATGATGACGATGTTGATAATAATAATAGGCCAAATAATACTAAGAATGATAATAATGATGATAATAATAATAATGAAAATAAAGATTATAATGATAATAACGATAATAATGATAATAATAATTATTATGATTATAATAACAAAAACCATAACTATAATGATGATAACAATGATAATAACGATGAATGATAATAGGCCTAGTTATATCGGGAAGTCCTCATGACCATTCATTAACGCAATGTGTAGATGATACCCTTTTGACGCTCAACGGTTCAATGCCCGCCCCCCCCCCCCCCCACTCAGTGTTATTTAGGGTACGCGTTCCAATCGACTCCCCCCCCCCCCTTTCAGCAAAAGTCCGGTGTGTAAAGTCAATACGGGTCGACCTTTTTCTTTTGTTACGAAAGGACATTTTGGTAACACGCATGCGGTCCGTCCGTTCTCGGAGTGGGGGGGGGGGGGGGGGGGGCGGGATTCAATGCAGGATTTACAATGTGCAAATTTGGCATAATCCTAGAATACAAGTTAATAATAACGTAATTTATTTTAAGTCTTGGTGTGCTAACGGGGTACGTTTCGTTAACGATGTTTTTAGGAACAAATGGATCATTTCTCGGCATTTCTCGGCATTTCTCTCATATTTTGATTTTCAACGTAAATACAATGTACACGTAAACTTTTTTCAATATTATGGCTTTTGTCACGATTTGGTTTTAAAGGCACACTGTCCTACTTGTAGCTACTTGCTCCCTCTATATAGAAAACTTCCCCAATCGGTGTCTGTTGGTCCCCCATGATCCTCTTTTTCTTATGTTAAATGAGAGCTGAGTTAATGAGATAGCAACCTGTCACAGTGACCTCGCTGGCTCGCTGTGTGGTCTAATCCCTTCTGACTGAAGTAGTAAAGCCTACCTTTAATAAAAAATATCATACCAGAGGTCGTTGAACCTACCTGTATCATCCCGCATTGTTGTTAATAAAAGTAAAAAGGGTTGTGCACATCTACCGTTCTTTATTGAAGGATAATATAAAGGAATGTAAAAGTCTTACAAAGTGGAAACAGGAGTTTGACCTTCACAATACCATATGGAGTTCTTTTTACATACTTTCCTTTTAGATAGATAAATATTTATTTATTTATTTATTGGTTGGTTTATTGGTTTCTGCATCTTTTTTTTCTTTTTACATCATACATTTTCATGAACATAATATGGTTTGATACAATATTTTAAGTGTATATAATTTTATACAGATAATGAACGAATTTAAACAAATATATTGAATGCATAATTAACATACATTAGATGCAGGGGGCTACAGAAATAAGCAAAGTAGCTTGACGTGCCCGCAGCCCTCAACTTAGATACAACAACAATAACAAATACAAATAGAAAAGACTGACTTGCAGAGAAGAAAAGGAAAGGGGAGAGAAATTGTGGAAATATGCTTCCCACCAGCATTATAATAGTACAAGAAACAGAGTACAATAATATGTCGATGTAAACATGAGGTGGTTTTAGTTCAAGATACTGAATAGAATTCTTTATATGAAAGGTGCTTTGTTAAGATTTAAATTAGTTACAGATAACCTATGTTCATTCTATGACTTCTGTAATAACAGTGAAGAAACATTTATACAAATATTTTGTTACTGAAATATGGTCAAAACTTGGCTGTGCCGTAATAATGTACCTATTAAGTTTAGAAATTAAAATAAATTATTTGGGTTTCATGGAAATAACAACAGTGCCCTCAACTGTATTATGATTATAGTAAGGAAATCATTTTTGCAGCCAAATGCAACAGTGTTTGCCAGCTTTGAACACATAATATCAGCGATAAAGTGTTATTATGACATGGTAAAGTATATATGTAATACAAATCTGAAAGAAAAGAAGTTTATGAAAAGTGGACCTGGTTACCTTTTACAAAGTGTTTCTGATTGTTTTTTTCTTCGAAATTATTTTGCCAAGTAAATCTGTGATAATTTAAAAATGAACTGCAATTTGTAACTGATATTTATAAATGTTTGTTCTTATCATATTCTGAATGGCCAAGAATATCATTTTGAAATTCTGCCTGCGTATATTTCTTTCTGTATACATTTATTTATTTATTTATTTATTTGAACATAATTCATCAGGATAACAAGATCAGAAAGGACTGGTTTACATCCTGGTCCTGAGTATTAAAAGCTTACACTAAAACATAAAACCAAAATAATCATGAGAATCGTTAAAATACTCATGAAGTCATGAATAAAATATTAGTGGCCATAATCTTAAGTAAAAACCAAGTCAAAATTACATGATATTTAATTAGATATATAAAAACACAATAATGGAATCAAACAATGAACTAATTTATTTAAAATCAAAACTCATTCACATTACAAAATAAACTTATATCATGAAATTACCAAATTAAACTTAAAGCAAAAAAAGCTGAAACAACGATGATATTATTCATAATTTGCTGAAATAGGTTTTTTTATACATGTTTTTAAACCACACTGTCCTACTTGTAGCTACTTGCTCCCTCTATATATAAAACAATGCCTAATCGGTGAAAATTGGTCCCCCGTGATCCTCTTTTTCTTATGTTAAATTGAGAGCTGAGTTGATGAGATAACCACCTGTCCAGTGAACTTGCAGGATAGTCTAATCGCTCCTATAGACTAGTACGGATAAGCTTTAAAACAGGTGATGGATTGTGCATTTTGTAGATTAGAGGGTAAGTTATTCCATACTTAGTTTTCGTCAATTTCAATTCCTAAATACCTACTATTTTTTCTTTTTTGATTTTATTGCCATCCAAAGAAATGTTTAAATCCTGAATAGTTTCAATAACATACTGTAAGTTTTTTCAGTATTAACTTTTAGTTTATTTCTTTTATACCACTTACTAATTTCCTCTATAGATCAGCCTGCAGCTTAGCCCTAATTACTCCGATATTTTGATCAGAAATATATATAACAACGTCATCAGCATATATATTGCATGAACATGATCTTAAACATTCACTTATATCATAAATAAAAACAAGAAAAAGCAAAGAACCCAGTGCACTGCCCTGGGGTATTCCAATAGACAGACTCTTAAAATTAGACAATTTCTCATGACAATAAACTGTTTGTTTCACATTTTAGTGGCAATAATATTCACGCAGGGATGAGGATGCTATTTAGTTTAAAAGATTATAACCACACGCTTGTGGTGAACCAGTTTATATAATGGTTAAAATGGTTCGTTGAATTCGTGTGATCATAATTATGATTATCAAAAAATTATTGCTTTCTTATGATTCACAAGGACGAACGTGACGATTCCCCTGACTGAACACTCTAGGTCACTGTCAGATACCGTCGCTGCATTTTACTGTCGCTGTTGCTTCCACCACCATGCACCACCACAACCAGGCGCGTACGCAGGATTTTTTCAAGGGGGGGGGGGGGGGGGGGGGGGGGGGGGGTTTAACATTTATAAATCGGGCCGAAAATTTCGCAACAACTCAGCCAGCTGCTGAATAAGCGGGGGGGGGGGGGGGGGGGGGGGGGGGGGGGGGGTAAGAGGACACTTTTTTTTTTTTTTGGTATCGAAATTTGAAAATTTGACATTTTGCTCCGTTGGGGGGGGGGGGGTAAGGTCATCTTTTGGAGGTCAGCCATGGGAATTTTTATTTTTTTATTTTTTTTATATTAAAAAAAAAAAAAAAAAAAAAAATCCAAAAGGGGGGGGGGGGTTTAGGGAAATTTAGGGGGGGTTTACACACAAAAAAATACCAAAGGGGGGGTTTAACCCCCCAAAACCCCCCCCCCCCCCCTGTGTACGCGCCTGACCACAACGCACCGATGTATCACCACCACCACTACCACCACAACAATGCACCACCACCACCAGGGGCGGATCCAGTCGGTGGTAGGGTGGGGGCCCAATTTTTGAAGAAAATATTTAGCGGCGAAACACCCGTCCGATAATTCGCTCAGTGGGGGGGGGGGGGTAGTTTTTGGCCCTCGAAAATTTGAAAATCGCACCCCCCCCCCCCCCCCCCCGATTGAGCGCCAGGGAGGGGTCCCATCTCCCCAAAAACTAATGTGTTTTTACATGTTTTTCCCCTGGATACGCCACTGATCAAAATGTAATGCATACATCTTTGTCAAGTACCTCGTTACAAATATTTCATTCACCTGCTACGAATTAGTGTATTTCAATAGTCACAATGCGAATTGCATACATTTTTTACTATTGAAATACAATTATTCGTAACAGCTAACAGGTGAATGAAATAATTTGTAACGAGGTACTAACTTAACAAAGACTTATGCATAAATTTGATTACATTTCGAAATTGCAAGCCTAATAGTAATGGTAGCTGGAGGCGTCTTAATATTGTTGAGTTGAGAGAAAAATACCGACGTTAAACACTGAAAAACTAAATATTGGAGGAAGAACAGGGGCGGATCTAGCTTTTTACTAGAGGGGGGGGTTGACCAAAATAATGACGATGCGGAGCATCGTCCACGAGCCGCGAAGCGGCGAGCCGATTTTTTTTGAGGTGTTTATTTGAACCCCGCCAAGTGAGCAACTTGAACAAGTAATCCAGGAAATGAGCAGCCCAGCTCAGCGTGCGTTGCCAGGTTAAATCTTCACAAAATCCCCACCCAAACGACACTTAAAATATCCCCAAAGTTGCCAAATTTTGACAGAAAATCCCCAAATTCGTTTTTCATAAAACTCAATATTATTTTCATTCCCAAATATTTATTTTTCATCCCCAAAGACTTCAACAATCCCCCAATTTTTTTTTTTTTTAATGTGGGGATTTTGGGGATGAGAATCGGCAACGCTGGCCTAGCTTGTCACTTCGGCGGTGGCCCGTGTCCTCAAAAAAGCTGATGGGGGGGGGGGGGGGCAAGGGACTCTGTGACATTTGTTCGCCCAACCCCCCCCCCCTCCCCCCAAAAAGAAATAATAATAATAATAATAATAATAATAATAATAATAATAATAATAATAATATAATAATAATAATAATAATAATAATAATAATAATAATAATAAATGAAATAAATACATAGAAATAGAATAAAATAAAATTACAAGTTTAAAAAAAAGATAAGATTTAAAAAAATGGTCCCCGGATTGCAAACCCCCCCCCCAAACCCCCCCCCCCCCCTCTAGATCCGCTTCTGAAGAACAGAGCCAAGTAGAGATGAAGCAAATATATTAATCAATCACTTTGTCATACATGCATAGGCGTACATCTGCAGCACGCCGATAAATTATTTTGAAATTATTCAGCACCTTTCTGCCAACTCATGTTGGTGGCATTGAGGCGGTCTCTGTGTATTTGTTAAAAATTTGTATTATTATTTGGAGACGAGAATGCAGTTGCATTTTGAGAAAGCTGGGGCAGGGGGCGGTGTTTGCCGCGGCCCTCACGTCACCGCTCAGTGATTCACAACGTTAAAGAACATGATAGGAGATTTGCAGTTCTAGGACACCCACTCCCTGGACATCCACCCCTCGGATACCCCCCCCCCCCAGTCAACTACCCCCATAGGGCAACCACCCTCTAGCGCAACCACCCTCTGGGACGACTATACCCGGGACAACTACCCCCGGATAACTATCCACCGGACAACTACCCCTAGGACAACTACCCCCTAGGACAACTACCCCCGGTCAACTACCCCCTACGACAACCATCCCTAGGACATCTATCCCCAGACAACTATCCGAGGGATACTGTTGTTCGGGGAATAGTTGTCCGGAGGGAAGTTGTCCTAGGGGGTAGTTATCCGGGTGTTGTTCTCCTATTCCTCTTTTTCTGACATATTTAGATTTGTGTAGAACATTCTTTTTCTTCTTCTGCTAGTAATCTTCTAGGGGCTATATGTAGCCTACCACGCAGATTAACAACTCGTTATAATGAACCATGCGTGTTATTTTGATGATCTAATTGATCTTTATTGTTAAGACTACGATATATAAATTGTAAAACAATGCTTTTAGGCAGAGAGGGCATTAGCTGTGTTTAAATGTCTGAAAAGGGGAAAATAGAGCAAGAAAGATCACGTTTATCTAGCTTATATTTCTTACAATAAGCAGGGGAAATTACAATCTCAGAAACCCTGAGCGAGATCTTTGCAACGCACGGAGTGATGAGACTCGGCCGGTAGGCGTCGACCGCAAGCTGCACAACAGTGCGGATCGAGATCCAAACCTATGAAGACCGCTCTCGGATAGATCACAATTCTTGGATATTCTGAGCAACTCTTGTTGGAAAATAACTGTATCTGAGGATCACCATGGTTCCATGTAAGTTTTTACTACTTTCCTATTAACTAAAAGTCGTCATTTCAGTTGGCAGTTCAAGTTTAAATGAGACCGTTAATTCGTTAAAGTATTTCCGATGTGTATACCGTGATGTACTGGTAATAATTTAACGTATTGATGGACGGACGCGATGGCGCCTAATCTATTATTGCGATATCAAATGAGACTTTAAAACACAAAATTGTCATCAATTTCTATTTTGTAGATTTAATTAGTACAATATCAACATTAGATTCCATGCGTTTGCCGACATCACTTTTTGACTAGCAATTTTGTACATCATAGATTATAGTTTGACAATTTAGATTTTATAGTGCTTCTCGTCTCCCAATTCAATTGGTGTATATATTGTAGTCGAGTTTTTTTTACAAGTCTTGTGTTGCACTCGTCAGAACGCAGTCAGATTGCATACATTAGCTCAGTTGTTGCTATGTCGTTGAATAATCAAAACTAGCATGTACATGTCAGGTCGTTTAGAGTAACCTATTGTTTATCATGCACATACGACTTTAGTTCCTTTGTGATGTACGTTGTCAATTTGTCTTATTGTGTTTATTTTAAGGAATGCGATTTGTAAAGTTATTGTGTTTGTTTCCTGGCCTGCTTTATTTTTAAAAGAACAAAGGACGGGCTGTGAAAACATTCTTTGGTATCTTGGACAAAATAAAAGATTTTGCTTTTGTTATAGGCTTATACGAAAGGGATAACTTTCTCAAAGTCGTCGGGTAGCCTATATTGAGTCATATTTCATTTTCAGATGGAAAATATGGAATTGTGTCATAGGGGACACAGAATGATGTTTCGTGTAAACACGAAAAAGAAGAAGGAAAAGGAGCAGAAGAAGCAAAAGAGGAGGAGGAGAACGATCGGGAAACAGTTTCGAAGTTTCTCAAAACATTGAAGACATATAGCCGAATTAATAGCCGAAACTTCTGCAATTTAATGAACGTCCATTGTAAATACAGTGAAATATTATCAACATCATTGGCAATTTGAAGTGTATTAAAGTAGTTATGATTACCATAAATGAGCAACATAGCATAATGATTATCACCAACAAACATACTAACAAAAAAACAAATAAAGAAACAGGACGAAAATATTTCTTTATCGCCTTTTATTTGTGAGACAATTACTATCTTGAAAATAGGAAGGAGATTATCTTTGGTTTTACAGCCAAATGAATTTCATCTTAAAATATAATTCATTCCAATGGCATATTTTTGCAGTTATCAAAATACCACAAACTTATATTTATACCGCCCAGGTCACCATTGTTAGGCCTAAAGCTCCGAACGATATGACGCATCAATATACTTCAGATCTCTGCATGGTCCATTCATCGTTTGCAGACAGGGGGGGGGGGGGGGGGTATGTAGTGGGCACAACTGCCCCTTGGCCCTTTTACAACAGATTGGCATAACTGACGCAACAGAAATCTACCCTCGTTCACAGTTTTGATCAACATGCACCTCAAAAATGTCACATCCCTTTCTTTTTCGTTGTCACAGACTTTTGGGAAATTGCGCGCCCCTCCTCTTTTACAAAATACTGGATCCGCCCCTTCATTCAACACAGCATCCCATCACATACCATGCACTTGAATGAAAAGTTTATCTACAATGGCAGACATTTTGAAGAGATTCGGCAAGCGTGAAAGCAATCGAATGCACTTATGGTTTCAAGTGGCATGACCTTCCGATCACAAAGAGGCTTTTAAAATGATTTCCAAACCATTTAAAAAAAATAATAATGCCATGAATATTAATGTTTTTTAAATGGAATAGACGGGTTTACTAATTCAAATGTATGGATGTTTCTTTCCTGGAGACCTAGTTACGAATTGTCCCATTAACCTGTTTTCAATGAATGAACTACAATACTTGGAATCCAGTCTGTATACTTTACCTGTTGCTATGTCAGGCAAGTATCGGACAAGCTTTAGGTTTTCAAGAACAACCTTTGTTTTCAAAAGTATGCACACAATTTGAATATGTTTGTAAGCCGATCTATTGAAGACTGCATGAACATTTACGGTCGTGACATTGAGATAAATACTTTCTAAACCATTTGTATAATGAGTAAATGCTAATATTTTAGCGAGTGCAAGGATATCCATGGTCTTATGATAAAATTTCCAAACCATAAAAGACCAGTTTATTCATAAAACCTTACTAAAGTACCAAATTAGGGAGGATTTTAATTGCCAACTAGAGAATGGAATTCTGCGCTCTTGAGTAGAGCAAAATTTAATAGAAAGGGAGGAATGTGGAGACAACATTAGCTAATTTCCATAAGTCTTCGTCCGATGGTTTTACTCGCTAGAATATAAGCTTTATATTTAATTACGATTTGAAATATATATAAATATAATATACATATACATACATATACATACATATATACATATACAAGTCTCACAGCGTGTTGTTACTGCCATTTATCACAACACAGTTTAGAAATACCCAATTAAATAAGTACTTGTAATCGGTAAAAGCGTAATCAGCTATTTAGTTGGAATTTGATAAAACAAAATTCTATTTTTGATAGTGACTCCCTAATCATTCTAATAGTGCCAATTCATTAGGAGTATTGAGCCCGGTATTGAGCAAATATTGTTATCTGTCCGGATCCAGATCACAGGTGTTCAGATTCCCATTGCAATATCGCCTGTCAGTAGCAGTTCCAGACGGGGCTTGTTTATTCAAGCCCCCCTCTATGTTTTTCTTGATTGTAGCAGAATTCAAACGAGGCACGTGTAGAAATAAATACAAGAGCCAAGCATGCCAGAGCCAGATCCGCGCCCGTTGCCTATTTTAACTGTTAATGAATTACAGAGGTCGTAATTATATGTTTAACTTATAATCAATGCCAAAGCACTCTTATATGGTTATATGTAAACGTTTGATTATACAACCATAAGAAGGTAGCATGACCAACCAAGATATTTATTTTTGGTCAAATGACGGCTGTTTGGGGAATTTTGTGAGGATTTTTGTTGGAAACATATATTTTTGGAAAGATAATGTCATACCTATAAATATACACAGTGTTCCCAATCTTTATTCTTTCTCTCTTTTTTTTTTTTTTTTTAAAGATTTCGAATACGTGTCCCTATTGCAGTTTACAATATTTAAAATAATAATAATTAAAAAATAATTCATGAAAAGGACCAAAACCACCATAATTGTTTAAATGCTTAAAAAGTAACAACAGACAATTTTGTTTAAATTGGGAAACAACACTCGTAGTTAGTTTGGACATTTTTTCTTCTAAAAATTGCCTAATACATTTTTCATAATTTACCAATTATTGACAACGGACTATTTCGTCAGTAAATTCATTGTGACCCAACAAGAACTATCACAAAAATTATGTGACCCTTTCAAACTACTCAGAATATACCCGGGGTATACTCACCCCAGGCCGTCTTCTCCCTCTTCCACCCCCACTCTCTCTTTTTTCTTCTCTCTCTCTCTCTCTCTCTCTCTCTTAATATTTACATTATTTGTCATTGGCAACGCCACCTTGACGTCATATAATTATTTGGCCTTTCTCAGCTCGCGCGCCAGAGTACAAGAACAAAAACAAACATTGAGGATTATTGTTTTCATGGCCACGTCATTACTCTAGCTATTACTATTATTATTATTATTATCATTATTGTTGTTGTTATTATTATTATTATTATTATTGTGATAATGATAATGGTGATGATGATGATGATGATGATAAAGAATGAGGAAGAAGATGATAATGATCATTTCGTAATGATAATAATAAAAATAATCATCATCATTCTTTGATGTAATATAGACCTATTCCTTATCTATATCCTGGCTATTTGCCTCATCGTCTCCAATGTTAATTTCTGATTAGTGAAAGAAGGTAAAACCAGATGCTAGCCCGTGGATATGATTTTCTTATTTTCAACCGTTTTAGAGATTATTAAAACCATAATTTTAATCAAGTTACAAGGCAATGGGTTCTTGTACCAAATTTCCTTCAAAGACGGCCAAATTCCAGATAGAATTTCCTTCAATAATATTGGACCTATAATATGAAACCAAACATTGCTGTGCTCCCCCCCCCCTCATGTCTATAGACCTTAAGTTACGCCAAGTGAACAAATAGACATCCGTGATTATGATTCTGGTTTTCTTCATAATTCGATATGGTTTGTGATGAGAAAGCTGAAAGTAACTTTTGTTTCAATAATCTTTTTTAAATTCACAGTGACGTTGATATTTGCGGTTTCTACCGCACTAGCTGTTTCCATCTCCTTCGGTCTTCTCATCTTTATCTGTTGCTGCATGCGAGCTAGGAAGACACAAAAACGTCAAAAACGACGAGAAAAGCTAGAACATGCTCTCGCTATCACACCCCTTAAAGCCGACTTCTTCCGAAAGAGAGACGAAGATTGTTTGAAAACAACCCCAGTGCCTCGGCAAGATCCGATCGAGGATAATCCTTTTAGTGATGTACAGACGGATGATCAGGGGGTCGAAACACCTAATGACCAGCCTGACAATTACGGACGCTCCCAGTCTTGGGCACCGGCACCCTCGACGAAATTGATCGCGGTCGATCCTCAGAGAAGACAAACCTTGGCCGTGCTTTCACTGACCCCGTCGTCATCGGATTCATCCCTCGCTTCGTGCAGCTCCGAGAATGACTTGGAGCAGCTCGGGCGCGAGTCCGAATGGACGGTGTATCAAGGCGGCAACGAGAAACCCGTCGTTCACTTCTCGCTCTACTTTTCAACTCAGGACTCCACTCTGTTCGTCTGTCTCAAATCCGTCTCGGGATTGGCGCGAAAATACTACCCTGGCTGCTCCTCCTTCCTCAAGGTCAGTCTCCTGCCCAAGTACAGGGACGGATTCCGCACCGACATCGTCCGTAAATCGCTAAATCCCCATTTCAACGAGTCCTTCCAGTTCTGTAAGGTCACCTTGGCCGAGGCACAAGGCAGCTTCCTCAAGATCAAGCTGTATGTGAGGGAGAAGTGGAACCGAAAGGATCGTTTTAGCGGAGAGGTCTTTGCAGAGTGTCATCAGCTCTTGACGAAGGGCGACAGCCTTCTGGAATTACAGAGGACGTTCAGTATAAAGAGAACCAAGCTTCCGAAGAAGAATTTACAAAGGGTAAGTTTAAAATGATTTTAAAAGCGGACATTTTTTTTTTTTTTTTTGGTCTCGAAATTTGAAAATTTGACATTTTTCTTCGTTGGGGGGGTAAGGTCACCTTTTTTAGGTTAGCCGTGGGCATTTTTTTTTTTTTTTTTATAATTTAAAAAAAAAAAAAAAAAAAAAAAAAAAATACAAAGGGGGGGGGGGGTTTAGGTTTTTTTAGGGGGGTTTACACACATAAACATACCAAAGGGGGGGGGGGGGTTGAACCCCCAACCCCCCCCCCCTGCGTACGCCCCTGAACGCAGTCAAAATATATACCTTGTTTAAGTAGTGTAACGCAGTTTGTTGTTGAACGTTGAACTGACACTATTTCGTATAATATAACTACGTGTAAATTTAAGTTCTTTCAAAACCCTCCCAGATTCATTTTCCCACAATGCAGACTTTAAGCTCATTTATTTCAAACCATTGTAATTCACAATGCGGTGACTTATCCACTTGACCACGATACTTCAAATTCCTTCAAGACAACTTTTAACGCAGACGGTCCTTCTTGAAAGCCCCCTCCCCCAAACAATACTGCTGTTGAATTCTTTCCAAAGATTTTCAGATTTTTTGTTTCTCCTAAGAGTTTAAACTGATTCACTTCAAAATATATCAGCCCTCACTTCCCTGCATGAAACAGATGCGCTCAAAGTCTACTTCGGAAGAGACGTCCAATCGGCCGTACCTCGGAGATCTGTTTGTATCCTTGCAATACCAGCCCTTAGCAGATCGACTTAAGGTCATGATTAGGAAGGCAGAGAACCTTTTGGTCGACAGTGCTCTCCCTGGCAATGGAGGTTAGTGTATGATTTTAGGTCATGATAGCCATGACGACAAGGACCCTGTTTCACAAAACGTTATCAATAACAAGTTGCAGTAACTGTTAAAAGCTACTGAAATCGTTGAATTTTGATTGGCTAAGAGTAAATTTGTTATAGAAATGTGGCACTTGTTATTGATGACAAGTTTTTATGAAACGGGGCCTTTGGACCTATCAGTTGCCATTGATTCAAATTAATTGCAACTCTGAACAACTAAAGAGATATGAGTATGTTTTCCATTGGTCTTGTGAGCAATTAATCCGCACCAATCACAACCGGGCCCAGGAGAGGGGAAGTCATTCCATTCTGGCAATCCAAAATCGTTAGAGTTCAGGCAGCCGATTTCGATAGAAGGATATTTGGAGTGTCAAAAGGCTGGTGTTTGGCATAGGCGTTGTAAATAAAGGTTTACTGTTCACCATAGCACAATGAAGCCGTTGAACACGAGGCGTTATTTCAACTGCGTCATTTCACCTGCGTCATTATCTGCACTAATACAATAAAGCGCGCAAAGGCAAATAGCTCATACGCTGGTCATTCAAAGCAATATTTGCACTGTTAATTCTACTTCCTTTCTTTGTACGATATCGCTCTCATTATTATGACACATTAAATGAACGCAGCTCCAGTAGTAATTGACGAATTCGTACGTCAAAAAATTACACCTCGTGTCACCATGTGCATGAAACGGGCATTCGTCGTTTAGGCATGGGCTGGATCGATGCCCTAATATAATGACGTGAGTGCAGAGCAATAACAGCAATTATAACCATATGGCTTTGATATGCTCCACGTTTTTAGACCCAGAACAACAACAAAACCAGCAGCAGAGAATTGTAGTTACTTTGATATTGAAGATCTCTGAGAAATTGCGTAAATACTTCTGAATCTCCCAACTCCCTTAGCGTTTTCATTATAAAAGGATAGGTGTATTTTGCGTCCTTTATATCAATTTTTGAAAAGACCTAATATTAATGAATGGAGTATCTGTAGCAATCGTATACAAATTTTAAAAAACGCGGCTGTAAGAACTTCCTAGAAATCAACTTAATGACTTAACGCCTTTAAAAATACTATTCGGATTGTATACGTCTTTGCATGTTAAACTGCCTTTAGCTTTATTTACCGAAAGTCTTTACAAACGTGCCATGACTTTTTACTGATAAATATAAATATTTTCCAAGAGATTAAAAAAAAATAACCTTTAAAATATTAAAAAAAATAAAAATCATTTTCTGTTTCAGATGTTTACGTCACTGTCCGTCTCTTGAAGCAGAGTGAAATGGTCGGAGAATACAGCACACAGCGTCGCTCTGGTACCAGCCCCATCTGGAATCAACCATTCCTCTTCCATCCCAAATCCGATGAGATCCAACACCACTCCATCCTCCTCGCCATCTTCCGTGGTCGACGACTAGCGACCGACGTCATGGTTGGGAAGGTCGAAGTCGGCATCGGGGCCGGGGAGACGGGTGTGGCGCACTGGACGGAGATGCTGCAGCCACTCGGCATCGAAGTTGCCAAGTGGCATCGAATAAAGCCGCCTTTTAGTTAAGTCAGAGCGGGAAACTAGATACAAGTTAGGTTTAATTTAATTGCCTTATCGATAGGTAAATTATTCTGATACGTCGTCAGAATAAAGACCCATTACTTATGTTACGAGGTGCCATTTCGACTGAGTTTTTTCTTGCGCCAATTGAGCCTGTGAGGATCGAAAGTAGTCCATACGTCAGTTAAGCCTTCTTTGGACTGTTCAGTTTGCAGTCAATTTTTGTACGATGTCATTCTCGCGTACATAGCGCGTCAAAGATGGCACTAGTCACTGACGGAGTACTAAGTCACTGGCGCAGTACTAAGCCAGGCAACTGACGCAGAACTAAGTCAGGCAATGGCAATTGACGCCTCGCATGCAATGGAATGCAGAACTGCTTTGACAACTAAAAGTTCAAAATGAAAATGATTATCTCGTCATCAGTATATGATGCCTTGTTTCATGACGCAGAACTTTATGCTTGCGTTAGTATACCTCGATCTAAATGGCATTCCTTACGTCGAACCGTACCGTAACAAAAGTGTATGAGAATATATAGTTTGACATGATTCATCAATGATGGCACGTTTTTGTCTTTCGTTTAACGAACAATAGATATATGGATGGTATAGATTTTAAGGAGATTGAGAGTGAATATAGCATGTGAAGATATTAAACCGAGGTAGCGTAAATATATAACTCATAGCTATAAACTTTCTTCACCTTTATGATATGTATGTGAAACTATTCAATACACGTAATCAAACACAATCGATAAGACTTTCAAATTATCAACCTAGTAAGTCAATTGAATAGTCTTGTGCATCACCTATTGAAAAGTGCTAACTTGCCAATGTGCATCATGTGTAAATAGGGTATTGAAATTGCCCTTGAGAAAGTTTTTGCATTCTTACCATTGTCATGTTTATCTGCTCTATGGTGTAAGAAATTATTATACATGTTTAACGTCATAAATATTCCCTATTTTGCATCGACATAAATAGTACTTCTGGAAAATAATAGACCTACATGCCGATAGGGCCCATTATATCAAATTTGAAATAATCATTTTGTACCGACGATTTAAAATCGTATGTGTACTCTTTGATTTCAGTGTTAAGTATTGACAATATTCAATAAACAAATACATATCTTGTACATATTATATTATCATATCTAGATATCAGATGTGTCAGTATTATCATTTGCTTGTCAGAGAAATATTGATTAACCAAAGAAAATTAAAAAAGAAATTATAAATTAATGCTGAGATTCATAATAGCAATGACGAAAGGGGGGGGGGGGGTGTTTTGACGATCCCAACGCCGGAGTGGAGGGGGGGGGGGGGGATGAGGGGTTGTAAAGATTATCAAGATTTCTTTTTTTGTGTATAGGGTGGCAATATGTATATATATCATTATAATACGTGTCATTGTCTATTTCTATATGACTTTATACGGACGGTATAAGTGCGCTTTTGTTTACTTTGTCGCAGCCCGTATTTTTTTTTCTTGAAAGTATCTCCCCCCAAATTACGATTTGGGGAATCCGGCAAGCCCTCTCCAGGCTTCCTCAGTGAAGGGGGCACAGTTTTTTTAGTCACAACTGCCCTAATACGGTCCTAAGGGGGATTCTTCACACCTGAATATACCAGTAATTTTAGCTATATTTTGTCAAGATTTGTTCTTTCTTTGTGAAGGCAGGTGTGGCAGACATGGATGCTATGGAGCGTTTACTGTCCATAATATATATGATGAAGGCATTTTCCTCCTCAGATAACCTGCCTTGATAATGTCATTCTTACCATATGCGACTATAATACCCAGGCCATTCAAACATATTAAATGAAGGCGTCGGTATTTCAAGGCAACATTTGTATGTTAAGTTCATATTTAAGTTCGCATATTTTTTTTTGTATGATGTTCCTCTCGCATGGTGCCTTAAAAGAAGGCGTCAATGCTTTGTGGCTTGACGCAGTATTTCACCGCCAAAATGACGCTTCCTGTGCAATCCACGGGCATAATATATATAACTGTAGCTCGGATAATACACAATACTCACGTTTTTTCAGTGAAACCGAGACCGGAACATAATATAAACAATTTACAATCGGATTGCAGGTTTGATTAAAGAAGATAGAGGACGCAGTCTATCTCACTTCTCCCTCTCATTCGTATTACGCATTAAATCTCATTTTAAAAGAATACGTTTCTTTCGTTTTCTCTTTGAGTACCGATTCATTCCTTTCTGCTGTTTTATGCCGTTGTCCATGCACATAAGGCGTCAATTCCTTCGCTATAAACACCATCGCAACTACTGTCGAAAAATCAACTTAAGGCAATTCAATAGCCTTGTGCGTCAACTAATAAGATTTGCAAATATGATAACAACTTGTTACGTAATCCGAACTTGATTTATTTTCGAAAGTATGGATATACAATAGGGTATTGAAATCGCCCTTGAGTTGATTTTTCGATAGTAACTGCGACCGTGTTGTTAATATCTTGATCTTGACCTACCAGTTAAAATACCAAATAGGATCATTTTTGTAATGATTTTGTTTAATAATGTGATTTCACAAAATGGCGCCTAGATGACGTACATCACGGTTGACTGATCACCCTGAGAAGGGGTGTTATCTGACCGAGAGGAATTAGTATTGATGGTGAAAGTACAGAATTAAGATAACATTTTTTTTAATAGCTCAGTAAGATATAAGCAGCATGTTTTCAGATCATGATTGATAATTTTGGCTGTATTTCTAGGCTATGTGATGTTATGTAGACACGGCGCACTGCATCTTAACATTACTATACCCTTTCCCATCTTATGTACCTCTCTCTCTCACACACACGCACACACACCCTCTCTGCCCCCTACCTGTCTCTCTCCTTTTCCCCCTAGTCTTCCCCTTTATCTCCCGGCTGTCGACGTCTTCCTTCCACCCCTTCATTAGTCCCTATTTTTAACAAAAAACACTTTGTCTGTATATAATTATGTCTCGATCCCTCTCTCTCTCAATCACCCTCTAGCTCTCTCCTGTCTCTCCCTTTCTATGTAGCACTCTCTCTCTCTCTCTCTCTCTCTATATATATATATATATAAATATATATATCTACTTTAGCAATCAATTAACCTAATAAGAGAGGAAAAAATTGGAAAGTTCCGTATCACAGAAAATTACAAGAACTATTCAGCAAACTAGACAAAAATCAGAAATTTGAGAGATAACTGTTATGGCATGAAACTCCAATGACAACTGCTAGGCAACATTTATTCATAGTTTGACTGAATGTCAAATTTATTTCATCCATTATCCATTATACAAATAAATAGACAAAAAGTATAAAAGCGCACTTCAAAAACACAGTACCACAAAATAGCGACATTAAAAAAAATTATTGCAAAGACTTTTGAAATTCAACCACTGGCAATTTCTATTGCCTTGTGCATCCTCCTTTTGTAATATGTAAACTTGACAACGGCATGTTGTGTAGTCTGAACATGATTTCTAAAGGCAAGAAGGTACTGAAATTGCCCCCGAGTTGATTTCTTGAAAGCCTTCAAAATATTAACAGTGATCCGACAATAGGATATGTGACATTACCATATTTTTTCCACAGACAAAAATTGTTGATATGTTAACCCAACATTCAGCCTTGTACACACATAAACAATCTGGAGCCGTATTCAATTCAGTATGTGGATTAAGTCAGTTGAGTTGAATCGGTCAAAGTACATATTTTATGTAGTTTTGTCACTATTATAGGACTATTTTTAGGCTTTTTATTCGGACAAGGAAAATATCATCACATGATCTGCATATATCAACATCACCTTGTTACTTTCAAATTCATTTGTGACACGACTTCCAAATCAATGTCCTAGGACTAATATAAGCTCTTTTTCATCTTCACATTAGATGGATATTCATTGTTCTGTCCTTCAAAAAAAAGTTTCATGCTCCATCTTTTCCCTTCAGATTAAATGACATAATCTTGACAAGGAGTCTCTATGCAGCATTTATTGTCATCAGTTTTAACCAATACCATGTCAAAAGTAGGGAGTAATTAGAGCCACTGTTTTAGATCAGGGTGCCAAAATCCCCTCGGCTGAGTCAAGGTGTTCAACTGATAATCTGCCCAAATGACACCCTTTGGAAAGGAATTGTAGCTGTAGGTCTCTAGGTTTGTTTACCTGCAAGCTTATACTTGCTTACTAACGCTTATCATGAAGATTAATATACTTACAATATTCCTTGAATTGTTTTTGTTCCAACTCTTGCCAACATCACCACTACCCTGACCATAGTTATCATGTTCATAGTTGTTATGCTATTAGGGTGGTCATGAAGATGCCATCTGAAGCCTCTATCCATACCACATCACCATCCCATCTCCTTAACATTTGTTGGAACCATCTTCCAAGCTTATTGGTAACTTGAACAACACCAAAGAGTATTTCAGCCACAAAACTAAAACTGCATCCTTTCAAAAGTCTCCAAACAGGTTTTTTAAGGTCAGGGCTGTGTCTTACATGTACAAAGAGTTGAGATGGATCCTAGTCGATTACAAGAAGAGTTGATTTGATTACAAATCTTCAAACAACAAGGTCATGATCTAACAGACTTGTATCATCTCCATCACTCATCGACATCATAATCATCCTTCTTAACAAACTGTCATTCTCCTCCCTCCCCCGCCCTCATCATCAAATTTCTTATCAATTTATGTCAGGAAGCATGGTACTGTTTTGTTCCTGTTAATGCAGATGTCTAAACTCTCCCACTTGTCATTTCTACATCTACATCCTCATCATCATCAAATGTCATTATCAATTACTGTAAAGAGGCATGGCAAGGGGTGTTCCAAGTCATGTCGCTGCTCATTGTTTTACCTCCATCATTCATGGTCATCATCCTCATCAAACTCACTCTGTTCCAAGCCTCATCATCCTTATCAATTACTTTACAGAAGCATGGCGAGGGTCGTTCCGAGTCATGCAGATGCTCTCTGTTTCACCTCTGTCTTTCAACATCATCATCCTCATCTAATTCCTTTTCAATTTCAGTCAAGAAGTGTGGCACAAATTGTTGCAAGCCTCTCCATCATCAAATGTATTATCAATTACTGTTAAAACTCGTTCATTCATCAACATCATCATAGTCGTCATCGTCGTCACCATCATCAAATTCCTTCTCTATTTCAGTCAAGTAACATGGCATAAGTTGCTCCAAGTCCTGCAGGTGCTCTTTGAATTCATCTTCCTCCAAGCCTTCCTCCAGGTAGCCATGGAATTTATGGATGTCCAGTTTGCGCGCTTCAGTGAGCAGGGACTTGAGGAGATGCTTGACCGCCGGACTGGACTGTAGGCTGGTCATCGCAGGGATACTCTCCACGCCTAGGAAAGAAAGGTCAGTAACGGTTGTCAGGAACTTATGGAACACAAGCTTATAGGACATCTACCCCCTAGGTCAACCACCCTCTAGGACTACCCCAGACAACTACCCCCTAGGACAACTACCCCCCCCTCCCCCAGACAACTACCCCGTAGGATAGTTGTCCTAGGGGGTAGTTGTCCTAGAGGGTGGTTATTCTAGGGGTAGTTATCCTGGGGGTGGTTGTCCAGGGGATAGGTGTCGTAGAACCCTGATCATTATATCATGTCAATTGCCCTACAACAGCTTGGATGAGCACAATGATGAATGTAAATGATACTTTTCATGTCAATCAATGTTTATGACTCCTCTTTACTGGGTAACATATAGGGCACCGAATACCTTGGACTAGCCCATAAGACAGATATACATGTAGTTAAATATTCTTGCAAAACCAAGTACCTGTACCTATAGAGAGAGAGAGAGAAAAAGAGAGAGAGAGAGAGAAAGAGAGAGAGGGGGAGAGAGGGGGAGAGAGAGAGGAAAGGGGGGGGGGGGGGAGAGAGAGAGAGAGAAACGAGAAACAGAAAGAGAGAAACATGAAGAGAAATAGAGAGAAACATAAAGAGAAATAGAGAGAACAAAAAGAGAAACAGAAAGAGAGTGAGATAGACGGTAAAGATGAGTATAGTTGGACACTTGACAAAAGAAACATGCCAGAGGAAAGTCAAATTATTACTTGTTCTTTCCAGAAGAATGAACTTTCCATACCTTGTTCCTTCTTTCTGTCTTCATCAGCTAGGAATCCATCTCTATTGACCTCAGGACCGAACAGGTGGGGAAACGGTGCCAAGGTTTTACATGGCTGCTTGACACAGCGGCCAGAACTAACAGGAAAAAAAAAAGAATAGCCAAAGTCAGCACCATGTCCGAATAAGTTTGAAAATAATATCAACATAGACAAGTATTTGGTGTCCCATATGTAACAAAATATTGTGGAGATCTTTACATAAATTAACATCATATACAGTTAACAACTTAATAATTCATATCTTTACCAAGTTTTGGAATTTTAGAGTATGTGAAAATTGATGTGTCCTGATTTCTGTTTCTTGAGAATGTGACATATCTTATAGTATTAATGACTGCTTTGAGAAAAACAACTATTTCTCGAATATTAAAGCAGTCATTAATACTTTTATATGCCGGAAAAAAAAAAAAAAAAAAAAAAAAAAAAACTTTTGTCGAAGATGGGATTCGATCTCTTGCGTACCAAAGGTGATGTAAAGAAAACCGCCGCCTTAAACCGCTCGGCTATCGCGCTCTGTTACCATACATAGCAGTTTTTTCTTATATATATACATTAAAATGAATTGAAAACTACTTCGCGTGGTGGAAGCTTCGCGGCTGCTCCATTAAACAGGCCCTTCTTTTACTTTTGCAATGCATATTGGCACGAATTTAGATCAAGATCTATCGGCAGAGGTTGTTTTTTTGTTTTTGGAAGTTTATTTTCGTCTTAATGTCAACAATGCAAGATAAAATTGTCGGTAAGATCGATCAAGATTCAATTGTATTGAAATTACCGACCAATTCTTCGCACACCTACGGTATCCTCGATCACTCAGACCATTTTTTTAACATGTAAACCTATGGGGTAACCATGGAGACTGACCTATTTTCCCAATAACCATGGTTATTGGGATTTTGAACTGTTTTTTAACCATGATTACAGGGAATTTTCGGGAACAGTTAAAGTTTATGAATGCAATTTCGACCAATCAGATTGCTGGATTACTTAAGTGAGGTATATAAAAGCTTATATCTAAAAAATTATTCAACAAAGGCCCTGATTTAATCTGTCTATCTTTCATTCTTCAGTTACAGCAAACATATAACACATCAAATTTACAAGGGGTATGGAGAATGTAGTCATCAACTGTATGTCATCTCACTTTGTATTAGGTCTGAACTATAGTAGGGCTATTAACTTTATTTAATGGGGCAGTAAATGATGACATGGTGTATTTTTGTTACATTTTTTAATCCAATTAATCAAAATCATTTGAAGTATACATTTTCTATTAACTCTTAATATAAATGCCACACATTTTCATATAGCTCGGGGTCATTTTGATTTTTACGTACCTTAGAGTTCTTTGGTAGTTTGACAACAAATAATTCCTGAGCATTTCTTCTTCATCGTAGCACTTGTGGTATGGGTTCAAGTCTTTTTGGGGTGGCCTTGATGAGAAAAGAAGAAAAATCATTAGCAATAAAATACCAAACCACATTCATAAATTTAAAAATAAAACTAAAAACATAAATAAAAATAAAAAGAGGAAATAAAGAGAGAGAGAGAGAGAGAGAGAGAATAAGAAATGTATGAATTATGGGGAAAACTCACTAGCATTCAAATTAACCTCTTCACAACATCATGGAAAGACAGTGGTGTTGCTCTGAATAAATAATAAGAGTTGGATTTTAAAGGCAGGTTATTTGACGGACATCGCTACAACTGCTGCAATGTATTTTCAACTGCATCATTCTTCGGTGATGGCATAGATGGAGCGATTTCCAGTTCCTGTACCCAAGCACCATCATGCATACATCATCAGTTGGTTATGCATTGTGGGATATGGCTGTTGACACATCGGGACACAGTGAGCAGCAGATGGCAGTATAGTTACGTAAATCTTAAGTAGTGTTGGTAAAATACCCTGCCTTTAACTTATTGCTCTAAAATTTCATTATTTTGATCCTCCCCCCCCCCCCCCCCCCCCCGCTACCTTTTGATTCTGTCTTGTGGTGTCCCCCGAAGTACGACCGACTGAGCGAAAGGAGCAACGGTCTCTTGTCCCAAGTGCGGTGTTAATGGTTGGCATGGTAACAGTGAACCACCAAGGGTGTCAGCTAGCGTTGATGAAGAGTGGAAGGAGAGAGGGAAGCTGGTATGCAGACTTGCAATCTGAAATTAGTCAAAATTTGTGGATAGATAAATCAGTTTGCGATGAATTATTTTGTAACGTGGACAACATAAAATGGTTAGCATTCAGTAAAAAATCATGTTACATACATAAAACCATGATCTGAGAGAAGAAAAAGAAGAATTCCCATCCCAATAAAAAATAAAATAACATCTATTTAAATATATAAGCTCTGATAGATAAAAATTGATGTAGCATATTTTGAAACTCAACTCAATTCATAAACCAGGTACAAAATTGTGGGTTAATAAACATAAGAGAAGAAGAAAGAACAACTGAAAAAAGTGATGTATGAGCATTTTTTATAGAAACATTCCACAAAATCCTATGAAAAGAGCACAAAATGGCCATTACAGGTACGTGTCTTAGGATTTTATTCAGTCTTACCTTTCTTCCTCTAGCACCCAATGCATCGGTCATCATGGAGAGAGTAACTGAGCTATCAACGGTCCTCAGAGGCAGAGTGGCCGTGTCCAGAGCACTAGCTAAGATACCAGAGGTGTGATAGGGCATGGAAGGCTGTAGAGCAAAGAAAGGAATATTTAAAAAAGAATCATGAATTTAATTTGGAAAATTGTAATTGATTATCTGGCATCACCTGTGCCTGCAATTGAGTCACTGTGACACTCAGGTCTCTCCTCCCGGTATGACTGATTGGGATGCGCAGGTGGACCACTACACCACAGTTTCTGCCTACTCTTTTACAAGACTGTACTGCGTTTATTAACATGCAAAGGTGATGACTCTCCTTCACATAATGTCCTAACCGAGGGAAAGAGTGTTTTCAACTGTAATATAGCCTGGATCTTTGAAAAATGGGAGGGGGACAATGACACACTATAAAGGCTTTAGTTATCCACCCTGGTTGGAAACGAACCCAAGATAATTTAGTCTAACTAGCAGATGGTCAACAGACTGAACCATCTTACCTCCTAATTTGATCATAAATATCCCCTTCCATATTGTGGGTGACAAATCCCATCCCCCAAGAATAGAGTGTTAATGAGTTGTATTTGGACTAATAGAAATATGTGTACATTTTTTTCTCCAGGAAGATAAACATCTCTCATTGTTAAGTTTATATCCATGGAAGATACTTTACGCCAGATGCATCAATGTCAGAGATTGGAGATTGAGCAGTATGAAAATTACTGAGGAGCAATGACCTGAATATGTCCCCCTAAAAATAGATTCATTTTTAAGGCAATTTACCAAGCGTAAAGAGGTGCATGTGTCCACTGCGCGTATCTAAAGTTAACTTCATGTGCATCAATAGCAACCTTGCATTGTATGCACAGGTAGAGCTACGCCCAGTCAATATTTTTCGCTACAATGCTACTAAATCAGCAGTGAATTTCATGCCTGCATTTTTAGCCAATCAGTGGCTTCAAATTTTATGTGGTATATAGATAATGGAATATAGCATACCCTGTACTGAAGATGAGGAAAAGAGAGTGGTGGTCCTACTTTCCTCCATAGTGTAGATGCAAGTGATAGAGGCACAAATAATGAACTGTGAGCAACCAGTCTGCTGAAGGACAGGACAGAATTCAGAATTCTAAAGGAATCTAATAATGGATTCTGTAAAGAGGTACAAAGAAAGACAATTACAAGTTTCATTGATTAATAGTTGTTTATATTCATCATAATTATACGTCTAACAAATCATTTACAATAGCAAAAAGTCATATAGGCCAGATTATCATTAATAATATCCTTTACAATACAAAAAAAGATTTTTTAAAAAGGGTACTTTATATTCTAAGTGCATTTTATTCCTCACTTGTGTAAAAACCTGAAAAGGATGAGAATCTAACAGCAATTAATCAATCAACAATATCATGATCTTGATCATTACTACCATCATTATCAACATCAATATCATCAGTACGGTGGTGATGATAAGGAAGATAATGGTGACGATTTATAACATTTACTACCGATTTCTGTTAAATACATTCAATTCATTATCATCAGTAATATCAATATTATCGTCGACACCACCATCACCACCATCACCAACATCACTCACCATCAAGATCACTAGCACCATCATGATCATCATGATCACCATCATCAACATCACCTTGATAATCATCACCACCATCACCATTATCACCACCACCAGCATCACCATCACCACCATCATCATCACCACCACCACCACCACCACCACCACCACCACCACCACCACCACCATCATCATCACCACCACCACCACCACCACCATCATCATCACCATCACCACCATCATCATCACCACCACCACCACCACCACCACCACCACCACCACCATCATCATCACCACCACCACCACCACCACCATCATCATCACCACTACTACCACCACCACCACCATCATCATCACCACCACCACCACCACCACCATCATCATCACCACTACCACCATCATCATCATCACTACCATCATCATCATTACCACCACCAACATCATCACAAATACCATTATCTGTCAAAAAGTACCTTCATGATTACAGATTATTGTAAAAATAAACAAAAACTACTCACTGTATCGTCAAAGATGGCTGGGGCAACTCCAGCAGCAAAGATACCTTTCCCATGATAATCATCAGCTAGCCCTTGTAACATGCCACACCCTAGTCCAGAGAATCCATCGCAAAAATCTAGGTACACTTGGAACCCCTACACAGAGACAAAATCATCAAGCAATTACTGTACCTGAAATGTTCATGAAATCGGCGAGTGGTTCATATTCGTGAAAGTTTCATGTCTCAAAGTGTTTGAATCACAATTGACACAATGCAATTTTTAAAGTTCATGAAATTTTTGCCATGAAATTGGCTGTCCTAAGCAATGTTTGAAAGTTAATGTTGCAGAGTTTCTGGTTGGTTTTACAGTATAAGTATGACGATCCAACTATACATATGCCTATACTTTCCCTAATAAAGAGGGATAATGGAGAATTTTTTTGACATTGACTATTAAAGAGCATTTAAGAACTATTGCTCCACCATCAATATCCTGCACCAACCTAATTCCTAAATTCATTCATGGACGAAACTCTATACCTAGCCCTCACCACAACCCTAAACTAGCCTCAAACTCAATTGCAAATTTAAATCTTATCCTATGCCCTTGACAAAATAACCCCCGGAGGAAATGTTGCTAGAGTAAATGTTGAATCTCCTTACCTGGAGGTGATCGCACTCCTCCACAAAGAAGTGGATCTTGTCCTCAATTTCATCTGAGACGTCCTTTTTCCTGAAGACATTTTTTCCTTGTGTGAACATGTCAAATCCACCTACAGTGCTGCTCAGTGAAAGAAAGGAGAAAACAGTTTAGTGTGGAATCTATATTTGTTTATATAAGGAGCACTTCACGAGAAGATGAACTCCTCTCTCAGTAGGAACACGCTTTTTTAAAATATAGTTTACATCAATAACATCATCATCATTATCAATTCATTACCAACATCAACCTCAATGTTATGATCATTATCATCATCCTCATTAGTATCATCATCATCATCAAATTCACCTTCAACCTTCTCCTCCATCTCATCATCATCATTATAATGTAGAGAAAAACAGTTTAGTGTTTACCTGTCAATAAACGGAGCACTTCCCTTAAACAGAGATTCCCTAAATCATTAAAGATATGTCTTTTATTTCAGTTTACATTAACAAAATAAGTAAAGAGTAACTGAAGCTGATGGGAGGGCGTATTGCTGAATCATTTAGACTTTGAATAATTCTGAACAGTATATGAGGGGACTATGGCCCATTCAGTTTACCTGTCATGTGAGTATTCTTTGACGACGGACACACTCTTGGGGTGAAGATGACTACGGAGAAAATCAGACCACACATAGACATCATCATCCAGATCGTAGTGCTTTAACCCTGGAGGGTCATCGAACTTGGAGTCATCGGCATTGACCTCTGATGTATCCATGTCAGGAGTCGAGAGGTCATCTTCGTCATCTCCGACTTTGGGCTCACCCTGATGGTAATACTCCTAGAGAGACAGAGTGTAATGTATTTTATTTCTTGGGTACTCTCTATAAAGTACTCCACATTCTTCGCTACCTACATGTACAACTATTTCCCAAATAAAAGATGATCATCAGGGGGGGGGGGGTGTTTCACTAAAGATCCTAAGTTGAACTTATCTCTAAGTTGGACTTAACAACTATGGAAGGCCATTAGCATCTTTGAAATGTTTTGTATAGGTTATTTTAAAAGGCATAAAATGTTGATTCACATCATTAATATTTGTTATTATCGAGGAGATTGTATACTTTTGTTCTTCTAATTTAATATATCAGATGGATGAAGTTACAGAATATGACACAGAAAGAATCTGCTAAATGTTTAAAATATAGATAGTAGTCCATTGATTGAACATTACATTTCTTCTCTTTTTTCTGTTCCTTTTTTTCTTCTGAAGTAGGGCTTGTTTGAATTTCTCGCCTTTTAACCTTTATGTATATAATTATGTACCAGTATGTGTATTTTTTTATTTAACTTTGTATGTAAAAAAAACAAACATTTTCTGTAATACATGAGGACTATCTACAAACAGAAATAAATTATATGTAATCTAAAAAAAAATAAGTGTTCAGAAAGTAAACAATTGAATACAGATTCTCTGTCTTCATGAGAGCACTCTAACTCTCTCTTGTACACTTGGGGGGTATTTCACAAAGATCCTAAGTTGAACTTATCTCTAAGTTGGACTTAAAAATTATGGAAAGCCATTAGCATCTTTGAAAATTATTTTGTAAAAGTTATTTTGAAAGGCATTCATTGTTTATTCAAATCATTCATATTGTCTATCATCAAGGAGATTTCATGTTCTGGATGTGGAATTAATAAAAAGTCTAAAATACTTGAATTTCTGCTTTTGAATATATTTCATTTTAAGACTCCAATGGCTGTCCATAATTTTTAAGTCCAACTTAGAGTTAAGTTCTACTTAGGATCTTTGTGAAACACCCCCTGGTCTTTCTAAATGTCATTATTCTTCCATACATACATCATTATCATTATTCTAGAATATTTCTAACAAAAATTGATGGACAACAGTATTACAGATACATGTAAACTTGTGAACAGCTATTTTAAGTTTAAAATGATCATTTAGGGTACACCGTTTCCAGGAGACAGCTCCCTTTGGCAATGTATCTTGATGACTGAGTTGAATGAGTAAAAAGCCTATCTGCACTAGTTTGGCCAGAATGGATTAGACCTCCCTGCCTGGTCACTGACAGGTGTTTATCTCATCAAATCAGCTCTCAGTTAACATAAGAAAAAGGGGACCATGGGGATCAACACGTACCGCTTAGGCATTGTTTACTATATAGAGGGTGCAAGTAGCTACAAGTAGTGTAGACCTGCTTTAAAAAAACTAAAGATTAGAACCCTACATACTTACATCTTGAGCCTCAAGATCAGCCAGAAATTGATTTTTGTGAGCCGGGCTGCTTTTATGGAGTGTGATATCACCACCCCTATATCCATCAATAAAAAAGGAAAATATCACATTCTAGTTAAAACAAACAAACAAACAAACAAACAAAACCAACCTTATGATAAGGCTACAAACTTAAAAAGATACGATACTACAATGCTATGAAATAATTTGAAAATGTATTATAGGTGTAAATTAGTGATTGTGAATTACTGTTCCATGGTGGAATATAACACTCAGAAATAATCAATCTAATGATTACCAGTAGGTTGTATTTTTATTAACCCTTTCCTTGCCAAGCATACCAATCTGTACAAACCACATGACTAAATTAATTGATTGCAAATGCAACCCCTTTCTGGTCTATTTAGAATCTTAACTACTGTAAAGGCCCGTTCAGACGTGACAGGGCAAAACTGTGGCGGTTTTCACGGCTTAAAGTGTAATATACTTTTTATTTCACTTAGGTAAAAGAATCTCAGTACTTTTAGTGCCATCTGATTGAATAGAGCATCACCCATAATGCCATAAGTAAATAATCAAGCAGATATCATGAAATGATAATTTTAAAGGATATTTTCATTTCATGATATGCACCATCTAGGACATGACAAGAACAAATTTGTAAGACTTATTGTCATAGGATAATAACTCTCTGTGTATACTAAAGTCAAAGTAATAAATTCAAAATAGGAAGTGGATAAAATACAGTCAAACCTGCTTTAGCGACCACCCGTATAGAAAGACCACCTGTCTATAAAGACCACATTTTTTGTTTCCCTTGAATATGGTTTTTCATTGAAACTTTAACTAAAGGAGCATGTACATATAAATACCACCTGCCTATAAAGACCACTTTTTTGTTTCCCTCGAGCAGTCTTTATATACAGGTTTCACTGTAGATGGAAAAATAGTAATTAGTCAAAAGAGGGGGTAAGGAATATCTTTGTTGGTGATGCTATACATACCAGAGCACATCCTCTTCTGCTTTCAAGTCGTACAGGATTCCTTCAGCCCGGAGTGTGTTTAGACTGCCCTTGAGATCGAGACACACCAGTCTTGGAGTGTATGTCTCCTCGCCCTGTTTGGGAGAAAGTGGGAACACTACTTTTACATCTTACAGAAAGAAGGAAACTAGACTGTATTGGTTTGTGAGTCCAATATACAGTTTTTTTTTCTTTCAAAGATAAAAGGCTTGTAAAGAGCTTTTGGTTCTTGATTAGTGTTTCCAGGTAATTTTTTTCTTTTCATTTTGAGTGCATGAAGTTGTTAGGATTACACATCTCAGACATAAGTTTGGTGGTTTCAATTGATTTATTTCTACATGAAATGTTTCGTTATTTTCTCTATATTTTGTTTGTGTCTGATCACTATGAAAAAAACAAAAGCTGATTAATGAAAACGTATTTTGGAGAAAAATTCATGCATCCAGATTAAATAATTGTTCTACAGAATACTACTCTACTCAACCTGTATAAACCATTACACAAGAATATGGAAGCCTTTCATGTCATTCAGTTTTATCACAATGAGCCAAAAAATGTAAACGAAAAGATCAAACTGATGGAATCTGAGGCTGAAGCTCTCATTTAATATTTAAATTCTTTAATATATGAGTAGAAAATACTAATATTCAGAAGGCAGAAATAACAAAAAAATTAATTTTGGTAAACTGAAGATCCATAGCTAAAATTAGGGCATTCATTTCATTAAAAAAAGAAAATTCCTTTTCAACACAAACCTGTAATGTTCTTCCCTCTCTGAAAAGTACATCATTGTTGATTTCTTTTGGTATTGTCTGTGCAGGATTCTTATCATAGGTAAATGATGATTCCTGAAACAAAACAAAAAAAGTAGTAGAAGGTGAAACTTTAATGATTTTTTTTTTTGGGGGGGGGGAGGGGGGATATTCACCTTCAAATGCAATGAGTGAAACAAATTGCTTGCTCTGAAAATTGGGATGAGAAATGTGTTTGCCATTATAATCAAGCTCTTGTATGTCTACATAGATGATTTCAATCTATGGAGAAGCCAGAAGCTACCTGTAACAATCGCAATCATCAAATTTATAGTTTTAGTTTACTATCTCTTTATTAGATCATGACTTACTTCTGTAAAATCCACAGTGTTTGTCATCATTTATCATCAAATCGTAACGTAAAGATGTTGTACTTGTAAATGCAAAACCACATTATCTTTATCGTATTGAGACAAGATTGGAAATTGCCAATAATATCAAATTTACAATCAACCATATTTCATGTTCATCATCTACATGTACATAGAACCCATTCAATGATCATCATCATCACAATCAACACCATCCCGCCAACATCATCATCTTTGACTTTGTAATTATCATCATCACATCATCATCATACCAGATTCACCATCATAACATCGTAATCCCACATCATCAGCACCATCGTCGTCAGATTCATGAATCCGCAATAATTAATTGCCATCATTTCATCATGATCATCGTCATCGTCATCCCCAGTATGTTCATGTTCATCTTCTTCTTCTTCCTGAAAAGTACAGGCTTCTAATCATGAAATGAAGATTAATCATTAAATTAATCATTAATCATCACAAGTCGATAATCATCTATTATCGTTTCAGTTATATCCACACCAGCAACAATAGTGGTAAATGCTAATGCATATCGACGGTTATATAATTAGACCCCTAGAGGCTAGACTAGATCTAAATCTAGATATTAATTTATCAATGACTTTTCCATGTCTTCTCAAAATGAAAACAACACACGTTTTTAGGTACACGGGACTGTTATTATTAACGCAAGGTAACATTTCCTCACCTGTATATTCCACAAGTGTGTCCCAACAAAATTAGCATAGTGGCCGCATTGAAGAGTTACAATCTCTCTAGTCTTTCCGGCCATTTATTTGGATATTATCGTCTTGCGTCGGTGACAAACCACGTTCAAAGACGAAAACACTCTGACATTTAAAAAGTCTAATGCCTTTTAAAGAAAAATGGTACACTTTCTTAGAGACCGAATTTGCACATGAGTTACATCAATAGCCGGCAACGTATATCTGAGATATGAGTACAGTCTTTTTATAAGTATTATCATGAATTGCAACCAGAGGCGGCGCACCCACTTTTTCAAGTACCCCCAAAGTGCCCATTTTACATAAAAAAGTGGCCCTTGTATTTTGATTAATGCCCCTTTCCCTTAACAAGAAGTGCTCATTCTCCTTTTTATATGTGCCTCTCATAATAGTGCCCATTTTTATTTTGACATGCATGTATACCGGCCCCTTTTCCTAGCTTCGACAAGTTCCCTTTGCAATAATTAAGTGTCCATTTTCAATTCTCATAAGTGCCCCTTTTTAGGTACGAGAAGTGCCACTTCCCCTTTTAATAAGTGCCCTCATTGAAAAAAGAGCCCCCCCCGGGCCCCTTCTCATAAATGCCCGTTTTCACCTTTGATAAGCCCTATCAAAATCTGATAGATCCCCTATTCCTTTGCAATAAGTGTCCCTTTTCACCAGGGGCGGCGATGACAGGGGGGGGGGGGACAATGAAAACAACGATTGAGCATTAGATGATAGCTGCATAGTTTAAGGACTGCATTGTTTTGACAGGCATGGTCAAGATGTGTCTACTTTCGTGTTTCTCGAGATTTTGTTGTTGTTGTTACTCTACCATCATCACCATCACCATCATCATCACCATCACCACCCCCCCCCCCCCTGCGTACGCGCCTGGCAGCATGAGCTAAATCCATGATTTAATCTTTTTCAGAATCTGAGATAAAGTTACCGGATCCCTTTAAAGTGATGACCATCATACCAACACAGTAGTGCATGATGGGGGGTTTTAGGGTTTTTTTTTGGGGGGGGGGGGTTTACACACACAAAATTACCAAAGGGGGGGGGGGGGGGTTTAACCCCCCAAACCCCCCCCCCCCTGCGTACGCGCCTGGCAGCATGAGCTAAATCCATGATTTAATCTTTTTCAGAATCTGAGATAAAGTTACCGGATCCCTTTAAAGTGATGACCATCATACCAACACAGTAGTGCATGATGCTTAACCAGTATCTTGTACTAAAATGTCAAGAGGGTAATATTGAAATCATCCTGATAATGTAATATATCGCAATATTGAGGTATATACCAATACGTCTAACATTGTATATTTCGCTTTGAGGGATTTTCCCTTTTTGTAGGTGCATATATGCGGCTCTTTTGCCCAGAAAGTGCCCTTTTTTGTAGGTGTCCCCCACTTTAATTGGAAGACGCTTCGCCGCCCCTGATTGCAACTCTTTTTTCATAAGACGGGGCCCAGGTCTGGGCTCATTTGTGAACATTGGGTCTGTGTTTGCAGAGTAAGATTGAGCTCGACTTGTCGACTGCTGCCTCAGCATCCTTCCAGTATTTTTCGGTAATGGTAAAAGTAGATCATCACCTGATCGACTCAGTGTAGACACGTGATCACGAGCTCACATGTACTAGGTAAACAAACTATGACCTTCGAAGTTAGATTGCATGTTGATCACATCTGTAGTTGGATACTGATGATCTAGTAGTAGGTCCATCAATCCATTTCTATCATTTGTGGAATTCAAATCAAACTTCAAAGGAAGGTGAGTATCTGCCGTCATCTTGTGAGTTGTGAGTGAGAAATAAGGGTTCTTTATCTTTTGCAGTCTGCAGGGATTAGACTTTTGAGACTTCCAATCCGTCAGCGGAACGGTACCCGTGCTCCTCCTCTAGCTCCCCCACCTCCTACCTCCGCCAGCGCCACGCCCAGGGCAGGGCTAGGGAGCAAGACCACAGCAGAGTCAGCTCGGTTGCCATTGGCGTGTGCTAGCTAGCGATGCATGCTGTTATATGTAATGAACCTTCGCGACAAGATTTGTTTATTTCACTCATCATCAATATGATAAACAATAGGAAACTGCATAATTCGATTGCACATGATATATGTATTTGAATGTGAATTTTGTTTTTTAAAGAAGACTTGAATCTTAAACATAAAGTTTGACAATGATTTAGTAAAACGAGGAACGTAAATGAGTGGGGATCAAGAAAGAGATCTTGACTATTTGGGCCAATTTTTGTAAGAATTGTATTGGAATTCTTTGCATTTACAACACAATAAAGTAGATGAGGCAAGGCATGTCATGGGTTACAGAAAAAGTGGATAGAGAGAAGAGAGTGAAAAGGGGAATAAGCCCAGATGAAAGTTGAAGCTCCTCCATCTTCTTCTTCTTCTTCTTCTTCTTCTTCTTCTTCTTCTCCTTCTCCTTCTCCTCCTTCTCCTTCTCCTTCTCCTTCTCCTTCTCCTTCTCCTCCTCCTTTTCCTCCTCCTCCTCCTCCTCCTTCATCTTCCTCTTCGCCTTCCAGCTCTTTTCTTTTTGTCATTCTCCCCTTTTCCCTTCTCCTATTTTTCTTTCTTGTTTTTTCCCTTCTTTGTTCTTATTTTTTATCTTCTTCTCCCTCTTCCTCTTCTCCTCCTACCTCCTCCCCTTCTCCTTTGTTTTTATTTTTCTCTCTTCCTCTTCTTTTACCTCTCTTCCTTTTTTCTCCCCTTCTTTGTTTTCTCCTTTATTATTCTCCTTCTTTTCTCCTTCTCTTTCTTCCTGTTTTCCTTTATATTTCTTCTTCTTCTTTTTCTTCTGTTTCTTCTTTTTCTCCTTCTCCTTCTCTTTTTCCATTCTCCTGTCAATAATAATTGTAATTATTTCCCCTACTCTCCATAGATTTTGAGTGTTCACCATGGAAGCTTGTTCTTGTTTTACAACTAGCTGTGTGGTATTGCTCCTACTCGCCGTGCAGTTAACCACATGTACAAGTAAGTTTAATTTTGTGAATTTCCAATAATAATCATGCAGAACATATATTAAATTTAATTTCAAGGTAATTTGTCTTATCATACTATACATACTGTCACCCAAGTTATAACTTCATCCATTGGGAGCCAGATGGGTAGTAACTTTTATCTTTTATCGCATTTCTTGCTCTAAACAGATGATTGTAATAAAAGAGGACATTTTTCAATTTTAAAGTCATATTATTCATTTGATGTACTCTCAACCTGCTCGATAGTGAAAAGAATTAAAAATGTTGCTGTAGTGGATAATTTGATCTTGAGCTCAAGTAACAGAATTTCATTTTGTGATAAGCTACGACCCCATTCTGAATAGTTCGTCATGTAGAAGATGGGTTGTTTAGACCAGCAAACAAACTAAAGAAAACATTTGTGGGGAATCACTGCAATCATTACTCTTAAGACTGTGTAATGCACATTAGATGGAACTACTACTTGTAGTTTGTTTTCTTTTCTATTCATTTTCATTTTCTTGGAAAATTGCTTGTTAAAAATCTTTCATTTGTAATCTTGAACAATCAGTACCGGTATATATTTGTAATCCTGTGAGAATTTAGATTGGGGTATTACCAGAATTCTTAATTTCCTTTTATTTGTAATCTTGAACAATCAGTACCGGTATATATTTGTAATCCTTTGAGAATTTAGATTGGGGGTATTACCAGAATTCTTAATTTCCTTTTACTCAAGGCTCCACTCTTGCCTTTTTCTAGGGGTCGTGATAGGATATGTGGGGTCTGGACACATTGCACCCCAGTTAGCATTTAAAAATATGGGGAGTCCAAATGAGGACCCTTGCTAGTATTGAGCCCTGGGGCCAGTTTCTTGAAACAGTCATAAGTCTAAGTTCGTAGACATCCCATAAAAACGGATGTTAGTTCTATAACACACATTTCAATAGGATCAATAGGATTCCCAAGAAGTAAGACCTATGACTATTTCGAGAAACTGCCCCTTGCTTTCATTGCTTTATTTTTTTTTGACCCACACCCCCTTTAGCTGCCATACCATGTCACCAACAGCGCTTTCCTGGAGGGGACACATTTGTGTGCGTCTGTAACTCCACCTACTGTGATACTGTAGAGGATTATGAGCCGATGCAGTCTGGCCACTTCACGGTATACACCTCCAGCAATACAACGGGAGATCGTCTAACCAAGAGGGTGTATCCCATCTCAACGACATCAAATTCTACAGGTTAGTTACAGATCCAAGAAGAGGGGGTGGGGGGGGGGGAGGCATTACATGTGGGCACCCTCCCCCTCCTCACCCCAACTTCAGTACACATTAAGTAGGCCGACAAAATGAAAATTTGTTTCAAGCAAGGCTAAACTTTAGAATGAAACATAAATTTATACCAGTGCTTTTCTGTATTCAAAGCTGGACTGCACTACTTGTAGCTACTTGCGCCCTCTAGCAAACGATGCCGAAGTGATACCCGTTGGTCCTCCATCATCCCCTTTTTCTTATGTTAATTGAGACTGATTTGATGAGATAACCACCTCTCAGTGAACATTAAGGGAGGTCTAATCCCTCCTGGCCAAACTAGTGCAGACAGGATTAAATGGTGGTAAGATAAGTTGGCTTCCTCTTGAACAATAAGTTGTCATGTGAGTGAGCTTGGTTGATGTCCCTGTCTCAAAATTGATTTAGCAAAGATTTTGAAGATAACTTTAGGACCACACTTGAGGAAAAGATAACCTACTTGTAATATCAATCACCCATAGTTGCATTGATAAAAATCAAATTAAAAGGTCACAATACAATGCTTACAACAGATTCTTAATCAAGGGCATCATAATTACACACTGATCAAGGTGCACAGTTCTTACTAGATTACAATTTTAGATTTGTTTGCTCTGAAATTCAAGAATGAAAATATCTGATTCAGCAAATATTTGTTGCTTTTTGTTCAAATTATGCCCTTATACACATGTATATATATATATATATATATATATATATATATATATATATATATATATATTCATTTAACCTCATTAGACCTCATTGTCAACAACTCAACATTTAACTAATTATTATTACTATCATGTATTAATAACAAGTTAATGTTCAATTTATTATTTCTATGCTGTTAAAGGAGTTCTTTAATATTGGGCTGTTAATGGGTGGATATAGACCGTGGGCCGAGCGCGATTTTCCTTCCAGTTCGTTGCATAGATTCCGGTACAAGATTTAGATAATGTTAATAAAAAGATAAAAATACACAAATCCCAAATCAGCTTATTCCTGCGAATGAGTCCTTGTCGTTCATATAAAACATAAGTTTAATTGACAAGTTATTTAAGAGAAATGTGCGTGAACGAGACCGCCAACTCTCCGTTCGTACACGTGTATAAACTCACCGTGCGACGAGAGTGAAACAGCACATTCTCCGTCTCCGTCGTACGAAGAAATTATGTAATCCATTCGAATATTTCCCAAAGCCAATCACATTTGCTGATGTAAATAATATGATTTTGCAAATATTAACTGCGAAAACTAATGAAAACCTCGTCAGGGTGAAAATATTTCGAAAATGAGGGGTCATAGCTACCATGAAACAGACGAGAAATAGCGCGTTGCCAATTTGATATTATTGTAAGGATCGTATGCAATTCTCTTGAATGTACACTGATCTGTGTAGAGATCAGTGGCTCCGTACTGACAAGACTCGAGTAAGTATTGTGTAATTAAAACTTTTGATGAAAAAATTTCTTGTATTAGCGATGCAATGGTAGTTTAAGAATAGACCTACAGAATTAGAGTCCCTAAATATTCATTGTAATTATAAAATAAGATATACGTCTTTTTTTTTTCCATTCCTGTAGTAGTTTTTACATGTTTTCAAATGTTTGATTTTTTTTTTTTTGGGGGGGGGGGGGGGGGGGACACGCTTAATAAGGTATACGGGATGTGGGTGACTTTTCTTTCCTGGAGGAAGAAATATGACAATGTTTATTCAAAATTACACTGCATTCACTGGCTTAAAAATTGATAACAGATACTTGCTGAGGTATATATGTGAAGTGTACAGAATGATATATTATAGAATTATATTTATATATTTTGGGTTAAGTGGAAGCTTTTGCGTACTGACATTAATCTTCCATTTCACATTCTCATCCAGTAAATGGTTCTTCACACATTCATGCAGATGGGCATTCCGTTCATCAAAACATAACAAACTATAATAACATCACATGATTTCAAAATCCAGACGACATAAAATTATACATCATCATTCTGTACACTTCACATATAATACCTCAGCATGTATATGTTATCAATTTTTAAGCCAGTGAATGCAGTGTAATTTTGAATAAACATTGTCATTTTTCTTCCTCCAGGAAAGAAAAGTCACCCACATCCCGTATACCTTATTAAGCGTGCCCCCCCCCCCCCAAAAAAAAAAAAAAATCAAACATTTGAAAACATGTAAAAACTACTACAAGACTGGAAATACAAAAAGACATATATCTTTTTTTATAATTACAAAGTTAGGGACTCTAATTCTGTAGGCCTATTCTCAAACTACCATTGCATTAATTGCTAATACAAGAAATGTTTTCATCAAAAGTTTTAATTACACAAAACTTACTCGAGTCTTGTCAGTACGGAGCCACTGATCTCTACACAGATCAGTGTACATTCAAGAGAATTGCATACGATCCTTACAATAATATCAAATTGGCAACGCGCTATTTCTCGTCTGTTTCATGGTAGCTATGACCCCTCATTTTCGAAATATTTTCACCCTGACGAGGTTTTCATTAGTTTTCGCAGTTCATATTTGCAAAATCATATTATTCACATCAGCAAATGTGATTGGCTTTGTGAAATATTCGAATGGATTACATAATTTCTTCGTACGACGGAGACGGAGAATGTGCTGTTTCACTCTCGTCGCACGGTGAGTTTATACACGTGTACGAACGGAGAGTTGGCGGTCTCGTTCACGCACATTTCTCTTAAATAACTTGTCAATGAAACTTATGTTTTATACGAACGACAAGGACTCATTCGCAGGAATAAGCTGATTTGGGACTTGTGTATTTTTATCCTAATTTCTGGTTACCAAAAACTATGTACCACAAAGTCAGTCCAAAAAAAGAAAACTAAGCCCTAAAATTGCGCTCGGCCCACGGTCTAATATGAACAAATGAGAAATAACCTTTCTAACATATACATGCTAATTTTATTAATCTGTTAATTTCATCTTTGAATGTATTCTCGCAAGCATTATGTAATAATTGTTTTAGCCTCAACTATTGTGTTTCTGTACCCCTTTTACATTTTAGGTCGAAAGTGCACATAAATTTGCTATGTATTTCATGTGCTTTCATTGTAAACTGAATATGCAATTTTAAGTAGTCTCAATAAACCATCAAATTAAAAATGATTGAATTATTCTGCAGGTTCCACCGTTACCATCAAGATTGACAAGGCCACCAGATACCAGTCAGTCATTGGATTCGGTGGATGTACCACTGATGCTGCAACAATCAATGCATTCAGCCTCTCCAACAGTTCCAGACATAACCTCATGAAGTCTTACTTCTCCCAGGATGGTAAGAACCGGTGATGGAGAGCTTGATGACGGACTTGGGCTCAAGGATAATAATAACAAGGATAATTATAATATCAATAATGTCAACTTATAAAGGGCACATATCCATTCTAAAAGACTGCTCAAGGTACTCTGTACAGTATCAAAATATTTATACAATATTAAAATTACGACATAAACAGATGGTGCTTAATTTTCTTCTTAAAAGGATGGGTTTCCTTGCCTAAGTTATCTTGGCCTTGGAATTACATCGCTGTGACTCAGACTCATTTTCAGACTTGGACTCAACCCCTCTGTCCTCAGCGGGCTGAGAAATAGGTCAGAGCCCCAATACTCTGACATATCCTGTCAGAACTGAGTGTCTTTTTTTATAAAATAAAATAAATAAATAATACAAATAATAATAATACAAAAATTGAAAATAAAAATAAATAAATATTTTGGGGTAATGGGCTTTTCTTGATTTCAAGGCTACTTTTTTCTTCTTTTTCTTTTTTTCTTTTTCAGCTATATATCTTGGAAAACAGGGAAACCCTAAGAAATGAGTTCCTTAGTTTCCAGTCACAGAAAAGTCAGTATAAAGTCAAGAGAACATGAAAATATCACTCCAATCTGGGAAAAAAATCAGGGAAATTTGTATTATTATATTTGTCTTCTGTCATAAAGGTTATCCACTGGATAAGTGGTGACTTTTCTTATGTAATGGCTCCTGTGCACTGAATCCGAATCAGACTTGGGTTCTGTTCATGCATGCTACAAGAAGTTACAAGACACTTTCACCTTCATGTACAGTGTATTTAAACTTGAATTTTATCTGTACAGAATACAAAAACTGATATATACATTGTCATGGAACCAATTCATTCAGACCATAATAATATTTTTGATCTCTCCCCTTGAAAGGCTCATCCGAATATGAAGGATTTTTTCTTCTTCAATTTATCAATATATGGCAACTGCCCGCAGCATCCTACCTGTGTATTCACTGAGCTCTGTGTTATAAGTTACAGAAATGTAAAGCATATTACACTTCTGTCATCCTAAAGAAGACTGCCGCGGTTTAATGCGTCATATCTGAACAAGGCTCAAAGAAGTAGTTTCTTCTCTGGTTGTGTTGCATACAGGTATTGAGTACACCTTAAGCCGTGTACCTATAGGCTGTACTGACCTATCCACTCACTACTACTCCTACGATGATCATCCTGGGGACTTTAATCTTGACAACTTCTCTCTAGCTACAGAGGATTTCAAGTATAAGGTGGGGGATCTCTCGGTGTGAAGGTGTTGTGCTATTGTTGTGTTAATTGGGATCGGATTTAATGATGAGGAGTTTATAAATGAAGCAACTGAATACAAGTTCTTTATACAGTTCAAATATGATGCATTTATTCGGCAGAGTGCAACAATCCTCAATGCAATTACATTGTATATAATTTAGATTACACGTAGTATATGTTCAGCAGTTGATGGTTGAAATCAAAGTCCCTTCGATTAGAAAACTTTACAAGGGAAGTTTTTGGGGAGAGAAAAAATGTTGGGATGGGTGACTTAAACATGCTTATGGTCAGGGTTGCTATGGTATTATGGGGAGTGGCAATGAAGAGGTGCAAGTGAGTGGGGTTTGGGCCTGTGAGTCGTAGTTCTAGGAATGTGGTTCGATCCTTAAAGTTAACTCTGGGGTGGTCATTAATGGTCAAATGTTTATAATGAAAAGATAATGGGGGGGGGGGGGTCAGTTTTAGATCATGGGTGTGGGATAAAGGTGAATGACTGAAGGAAGATAGGAGTGATACGTGTACTACATAACAGTATAGTGGTTCATTCACTAGACTCTCAATTTAAAGGTTGAAGGTTCAAATTCCAGCCTAGCACTAACATCTGTTGTCTAAACATTGATCTATGTTTGCCACTCTCCACACAGGTTAAATGCGTACCCAATATGCTAGAGCACTAGATATTCAGTTTTTTGCTATGACTTGGGTAATAATGTAATAATGGAGTGCCAGAAGTGTCACAGTATGATGGAAATGTCTACTACACAAGAAGTCACTCTCTGGAATTTAAAAAAAATAATACAACAATACAAATATTTTGGGTGATTGGTATACTTTAAAGATCTATACAACATAAAGAGTTTATTTTTAAATTTCATCACGTTAGACTCCATTTCAACCGCGACAACGATCATTTAATATTGTAAATTGCATATGCTTCCAATACATTCTATTGAACCAAATTCATGACCCCATACCAAAACTTTGTCTTTAAGGAAAAAAAATAATCAAGAAATCATCTGAAATGAGGGTGTATAAAGAAAGGCCTTTTACAAATTACCGGTATGCATTACATAATGCAAAGAAATTTCATATTTATGAAAACAGAAGACTCTTCCTCCTTTTCAGCCTTTTTTATGTCTCATGTGTGGTGATATTTTAAGCCATGAAAGGTATTGTCCTTTGTTGAGTCTGTTCTGATTGACACTCTGTTTTATGCTGTGTAGAGTATTTTTTTTGCATTTGCTGTAAGAATACTTTTTTTGAGTTAAATTTGCAAATCCTTCAGCATTTATCATCATTCTACTCCCACCCCCCTCTTTTTGTATGACTTTGGCTAATCCACAAATATTTCATATTCGTTTGATTGTGAATTCTTTGTCTTTCTTGTGTGTCTGTAGATCCCCTTCATTCAAGAAGCCATGTCCGTGTCTCGTCGTGGTATCAAGCTCTTTGGTAGCCCCTGGACCCCACCCATATGGATGAAGACTAATAACAACTATAAAGGACCGGGACAGATCTTTGGCAATCCGGGAGAGAAATACTACAAGACATGGGCAAACTATTTTATCAGGTAGGAGGCTTTTTTATCTTGAGAAGGGATGCAGATGAAAACCTAAGTTCATTGTGAAGCAAGAGCTAGATTCAAAATATGAGTCAAAAGTGTTCAACGTGACATATCTGAGTTTTAGGTAATATAAAGCCTACTCAATGTACAGTGCATTGTCCAGCTCCATGTCTAAGGATGTGGTTCTACCTTAAGATAAAAAACACCAGACATACACTGTACAGATCTCGCGAGCGAGTGAAGCAAGAGAGTGACATTTCAGATAGTTCCTGTAAGAACTCGTAGTGAATCAGTGGCTGCTTGATTACCAACAGAATCCTCCTTTGATCTTTGACATGGAATATACTGTAATGTAGTTGGAAAGCCCATTGGGAAGATCTATTGTGTATTTATTTATTTATTTATTTATTTGTTGTATTAATTTTACAGGGTAGCATTGTCAGTTACAAAACTGCTTTCCACTTTGGCTCGTTTGGCCTAGACAATAATATAGTAACAGATTAAATAACTAAAATGATTAATGATTATTGGCAAACTAAGAATAATATGTCAATATTGAAGGGGAATTCAAAGCCTTTTGTTTAAAATTACAAAAAAGCAAAAATAAAACAAAAACAAAGACAAACAAACAACTACACAATGGTATGTGTTTGTCCTAGGTTTTTTGAGGAGTACAGGAAGCACAACGTGACCTTCTGGGGCGTGACGGTGGAGAACGAACCAATGGCAGGTGGCATCAACAATTACAAGACCCCCTCCTGTTACTTCACCCCCGAGATGGAGAGGGACTTCATCAAGCTCGACCTGGGACCTGCCCTACACGCCAACGGCTTTGGTGACCTGGAGCTGATGATGCTGGATGAGCAGAGGTATGAATTACCTGGCTGGCCTGAAGTTGTAAGTATGGCTTAAACCACCAACTGATTGGGCCATATATGTAACTTAAAGACGTGGAAGTCCCTTAATAGGCTTCGCACAGGGGTGGGGCGATGCAAATACAACATGCATAAATGGGGATACAATGATGACACATACACCGAATGCGAGTGTGGAACATCTGTGCAATCTATGTCACTCTTATTAAGATTCCCACTCCTAGTTGACCATACAATGCTGCCTGGAAGACCTAGTGGCAGCAAATGAGAAGGCTCTTCAGTGTGCAAGAGCCTGGCAGAACATTTGAGATCAGATGATGGACATGAAAGAAGAACTGATTGGGAATGCTTTTATCTGGGTTTTGTGTGAAGGCAGTATATACCTCATGTCATCTGAAATTCAATAATAAACTTGCCTATCATGAGCGGTTAAAGGGAATAGGTAACGTCTCAGATTCTGAAACAAAATTCTGGATTTACATGTAGCTAATGCTGCAATGATAATTATAAACCTTTAGGTCAGTCAAGCCATCTGATTATCAAGATATTTGCGTTTTCCTTACGGTTTTTATAACACTACAGTCTATTGGGGAAAATGAGTATGTTAAAACCTGTCACTCAAAGATTTTTACTTTTTTCAGGCACTTTAGGGCTTCAATAGTACACCATATCACAGAAACTGATAACACGTAGGGCCATGCATCTCAGATTTAACTTTTTAAAATGGTACCTTTAATCCTTTATCAAAACCTTTTCCTCCCTATTTTATACATGTAGGTGCTGACTGATGCAGATGCCAGGTCTTACGTGTCTGGCATTGGTATCCATTGGTACTGGGACAAGGAAACGCCCCTTCTCAAGCTCGACCTGACGCACATGTACTTTCCAGACTTCTTCATGCTGTACACAGAGGCCTGCAACGGGAGACCAGCAACCCTGGGCTTATGGGCGGAAGGAGAGAGCTACAGCCAAAGCATCATGGAGGTAAGAATCGTATGTCGAGAAAGGTAGTTTTGTACGGTCACTCCAGGGGGGTGTTTCACAAAGACTAAGATCGACTTTAAGTTGGAATTAACTATGGCAGGCCGTTCATGCCACTAGTTCCTCTAACCATTCCTGGCATTGATTTCTCAGTTCTAACCTAAGAGCGAATCGTGACCGAAACCCTAACCATCTATCTTTTGTTTGTGATGAAATATTATGATTGATATACTATTAAGTGATAGGAGGCTGCAATCTACAAGCCCAGCTTTTCAGCAGTCCTCTTCATGACCAACCTGTATTATTTGCCTGTTGTACGCAGTGCATGGACCAATTACAAATATATTTTTAAGTTTCATTGTTTTACTATGTACAATGCAATCCCATGTATTTTATATTGTTAGAAATTGAAATAAACGAAAAGAAAAAAATGAAATGAAAAAAATAAAGCTGAAGCAATTGTCACTGCATGAAGAAAGTTTGGAGCTCCTGTATCATATGACTATCCCTGCTTTATCTGACAGAACATGAATCACTGGGTGTCTGGTTGGACGGACTGGGATATGGCTCTCAATCTCGAAGGCGGACCATCCTTCACCGGAAACCTTCTCAATGCTCCTATCATCGTGGATGCGGAGAAAGACGTCTTCTACAAGCAACCCATGTTCTACCATCTGGGTCACTTCAGGTATGGACGTTTCCCTTTGTGCTAGCTAGTCTCGGTTCTGGTTTGGGGGCTCTTTGCGATGTGCCCCGTTTGACATATGTCTTTTTTATCCATTTATTTCATTAAAAAAATGAATTATGATCAACTATTGTGGTGATACCAGGCCTGATAATTACTGATACCCATTTTTTCCCCCCTCAATTCCCCCTCCCCCCCCCCAATTTTTTCTTCCCCCCATTTTTTCACGATTTTTTTATCTGCCCGATTTTACCCCTATTTTCCCTATTTTTATTATCTTATTTCTTATTATCCCCATAATCAATTTTTAATTTGTGAAAAAAATATGACCTTAAAGTGAGAAATCTTTCAGTTATGGCTAAGGCGAGGCGTCAAAAATATCGATCCCAGCAGGCTGCCGCCTCACGTATTGGCGCATCGAGGCTGCAATTACGGCCGAAGCCTGGCTGGGGCAATTATTTTTCACTTATTAGCCCAGCCGGCTTGCGCCAGGCTGGGATCTGAGGCTCGGTTTCCATTCGAAAGGCGGCAGCCGGCGCATGCTTTTGAATGCCATTTCCTACCGCCAGCGGTAGCCGGCTGAGCTAATTTAAAAAATGCAGCCAGGACGCACAAGTACAGTTAGCTGCCGCTTGCTGGTATATTTATTTTTGACGCCTCGCCTAAATTAAAGAAATCTGATTGGAAAACAACATTTTGCCTGTCCCAGCTTCTAAGGAAATTTATGTACATGTATGCCGGTAACCATGAAGTAAAAAGTCTTTTATTCATGGATTAATTGAAGAAATTGGATTGGAAGAAAAAATGTTTTGCCTTGCCCAACTCCTAACGACAGGCATGTATGACTATGAAATGAGAATTCTTTCAGTTGTGGGTTAAATTTACGAAATTGAACTGTAAAAAGAAAAACATCTTGCCTTACCCAATTCCCAAGCATGCTTGTATATTTTTTTACCATAAAGCAAGAAATCTGTCAGTCATGGCTAAAATGAAGAAATTTGATTCAAATAAACATCTTGCCTTGCCTAAGTATGTACACTTTAATACATGTATGTCCATGAAGTGAGAATTCTTTCGGTCAAGGAAACGCAATTCAATTGGGGAAAAAACATCTTGCCTCATCCAGCTCCTAATAATTATATATACATGTATGACCATGAACTGCATGAATTGTAAAGTCATTTGAGAGGATACAAGTTCAAATAACCTTCATATGATCAGGAGTATAATCCCAGTGGCTGGTTATTTCTTTCCACCTGTTGACTACCGAGTGCTCTCATTGCCATAGACTTAATACAGGGGCCACCCGTTTCCAGTTGGCAATGGGTAAATAATTTGTTGAATGTCAAGAAACAGGAAATGTATTCTTTCCTCCCAAGATTATGATTAGGTGATGGTAATCTTAAAAGGAAAAGGTAACCAATTAAATCAGGCTTTCTGCTAATGTTCAGTTAATAACAACTACATTATTCATATCCCTTGTAAATTTGATGTTTTTTTTGGTGTTCTTTGTAACTCAAGAATGAAAGTTGGACTGGTTCAATCATTAAGTATCATTTAATATCACCAGTATGAAGATCATCACTTATTAATGATACAGTCAAACCTGCTTTAGTGACCACCTATCTACAAAGAACGAATGTCTACAACAAGCACATTTTTTGTTTGATTGTTTCCCTTGAAAAAGGTTTTTTCATTGAAACATGTACTAAAGGAACCTGTCTACAAAGACCACTTTTTGTGTTTCCCTTGGGCGGTCGCTGTAGACAGGTTTGAATATATCTGGGTATGTTTTATTCTTTATCAAAGTACTTCACATCCCTACACTCTACATAATTTAGAATTCTTTCCTTTATCCGTTTTCTTCTATTTTAGCAAATTTATTGTTCCTGACTCTCACCGTATACCCCACACCGTGGATTCAGACACTAAGTTACTGAGTATTGCTTTCCAGCTACCAGATCAACACACCTATGCAATCGTCCTTCTAAATAAGTAAGTGGTATCTTAGGATATGGTAATCAGAGAGAAATAATGATCTATTGTTGGGGGTGTGGGTTAGGGTTAAGGGGGAGGGGGACCCAACACCCGGCAGGATGGCCTTCAGTTTGATTCAAGATGTATTGCTGTAGCTGTACTTGAATATTGGTGTATGTATAGACATTTAAATTTGAATTGCTCCACAGTAAAAACTTACAAAGCCTGCTTTCGACCAAGTCTGTGTGATAATGTCAAATCATCATGCAGTAATTACATGTGTATTTAGAATAGATACACTTATCACAACATGAAGTTAGTCTCTTGTTTCAGCCCATCTATCATTCTCCCTTTTTTGTGTGATTACATAATATTTATGATGTGTGTATGTGTTCTAATATTTTAGGGAGGACCAAGCCGTGGATGTGACTATATCGGACCCTGATGTGGGTTATATCAATGCTAGGATACCAGCCGAATCTATTCAGACCTACCTCTGGACAGACAAGTAAAATCGTTCCAGGGGGTGTTTCATAAAGATCTTAAGTTGAACTTATCTCTAAGTTGGACCTAACAAATATGGAAAGTCGTTAGCATCCTTGAAAATATTTTGTATAAGTTATTTTAAAAGGCATAACAAAATGTTGACTCAAATCATTCATATTTTCTATTATCATGGAAGATTTCATGTTTTTGATGTGGAAATTATGAAAAGTCTACAATACTTCAATTTTTGCTTTTAAATATATTTCATTATGGCTCTCCATATTATTTAAGTCCAACTTAGAGTTAAGTTTAATTTGGGATCTTTGCTGGGGGGTGTGTTTCATAAAGCTATGCGTAAAGTTACGCATGACTTTACAAATGACTTGAATATGAGGAGCTAAATGGGATTCTCAAATCCTTTTAATTGCATAAGCTAAAGTTGAAATATGCAGATGTAGATCCTTATCATTATTAACAAAATGCAAAGTGTACTTTTGGCTTCAATTTAATTGAGATTATGGGAATACAGTCACACTTTGTGAACATGTCAGAAAAACCTTTGGGCATCCCATTTGGCTCTTCATATTCAAATTATTTGTAAAGTCATTCGTAACTTTACGCACAGCTTTACAAAACAACTCTCAGGATGAAGCAGCTTTCAAACATGAAATTGTAGAAAACACTGCTGCAAAATGTAATGAGTTATTAAAATGAAGTGCACTTCACGTTTCTGTGTCTTATTATACACAGATAAGTAAGTCTGCAAGCTCAGACTCTAATTTGACCCTCTTCTATGGTTCCTAGTGCTTTGAGAAGAGTCTAGCTCTGCCAGTCTCTGGCTTTTTTCATAGCAGCTAAATTACAGTGCCTATGCAGTATGATGTCAGCCTAGTCTCACAGTGCAGACACTGTTCTGTACAATTAAAGAATGGAAGTGGAAGAATTGCCCAAATACATCCAAATATTTCCTAGTTAAGAACAAAAATGAATAATTAAAATTGAGATGGAATGTTTTCAGCTTCATGTATTCAAGGTTCCCTGTAGTCAAGATGAAAATATTCTTTCTTTTCAACTTGACAAAATATTGAATTTATGATAATTGGAAAACTATTTAGCTGGTGTTAGGCCAATCTTCTTCTCCCGTTCTTAATAGATTTCCATACTTTCATGCTGTAAATAAAATGTTTGATCATAAAAGAAATGTATTATATCATTGTGCAATCACATTGTAATCCAGTGAATATGGTGTTGCCACATCGTCGCCGTTTTCACGAACCGGCACAGCCCAACGCGCAACGAAATAAGTACATTCTGAGAAAAACGCGTTTTACGTTTAGCCCGTTTTGAATTCGCCAGAAACATACCTTATGTCAAATTTTATATCACAAAATACATATCAATGAAAGGAAAATATTCTGTATTTTCTATACATTCCATTTGTTAAGCATAATGACAATTACTATTAATATTACGAAGCTTTGGACTCTCGTGCCGGTTCGTGAAAATATTATTTTGCTGTTTACGTAGCAAAAATATTTTCACGAACCGGCACAAGCCACTGTGTCGTTTTTCCTATGTAACTTTACGCGCAAGACAAAAGCGCTCGCGCTGTCTTAGCGCGTATTTTATTTTCACGAACCGGCACAAGCGCCTGTGTCGCGTCGTCTAGGTCTTGTAAGCGCAAAGATATTTTCACGAACCGGCACAGCCCATTGACTTATAACGGCGCGTGCCGGTTCGTGAAAATATGAATCGTGCTTTTTGGCTCGTGTGTCGTTTTTGTCATTTGTGTAACCATGGATATCTCAAAAACTGAACCACTGGAGAATTTTCACTTCAAACTTAGTGATAGTGTGTATCACTATAGGAAAACAATCTGATTACATTTTGGAGCACGTAGGTCAAAGGTCAAGGGTCATAGAGGTCAACTTATGAAATTCCATACATTGAGATTGTTATCAAGATATCTCAAGAACCACTGGAGATGTAAAAACTTCAAACTTAAGGATAGTATGTATCACCATAGGAAGACAATCTGATTAGATTTTGGAGCACGTAGGTCAAAGGTCAAGGGTCACAGAAGTCAACTTATGAAATTCCATATATTGAGATTGTTATCATAATATCTCAAGAACCACTGGAGATTTAAACTTCAAACTTAATGATAGTGTGTATCACCATAGGAAGACAATCTGATTAGATTTTGGAGCACGTAGGTCAAAGGTCAAGGGTCACAGAGGTCAACTTATGAAATTCCATACATTGAGATCGTTATCGCGATATCTCAAGAACCACTGGAGAATTTTCACTTCAAACTTAATGATAGTACATGTATGTATCACCATATCATAATATCTCAAGAATTACCACTGGAGATTTAAACTTCAAACTTAATGATAGTGTGTATCACCATAGGAAGACAATCTGATTAGATTTTGGAGCACGTAGGTCAAAGGTCAAGGGTCACAGAGGTCAACTTATGAAATTCCATACATTGAGATTGTTATCATGATATCTCAAGAACCACTGGAGATTTAAACTCCAAACTTGTTTAAATTGCTCTATGGCGGAGGCATCATTTTCGACTGCGCGCAGTCAAAATTCCATCTAGTTTTAAATATTGTATGTAATGCTACACTGTATGAAATATGTTTTTATATCATTTTATATATTAATTTTATATATTCATTGTGGAATAATAGACCAACAAATATATGTACCAAAGAATAGAAGGATGATAAAATTCAAAATGGTGAAATGGTGAAATGAGGGTAGAATGAAACATATACATTTTATATATCTATGTATAGGGGTTTGCTTAATGGGCCTCTAAATATCAATTATGCTCCCCTCCCCTTCTAAACAAAAAAAGTTTAAAGAGATATTTAAAATGGGGCATTATGTTTTATGTGCATAAGGCTACCCCCAAATGTTCAATTCAGACCCTATGGTGAAAAGTAATTGTGTATTCATATTCAGCTTTAATTGCTTTTTAATTTTTGATTGATTTGGTTTTAGACCATCTACATCCTCCATAAGCCTGAGCAATTTGTATGATCTTAAAATATTGGAGTAAAATAACAAATCAATGTGAACATTTTTGACAATAATTGTGTAACAGATACATTTGAATGGTAAATGACTAAATGTAATATATTTGAATGTGAATGGTATATATTTGCAACTCTAATGGCTTGTAAATTCTCATTGTATTTAGGAACAAGCACTGTGCAATCATGTGATATTTCCATTACCAAAGGATATAAATAAAAATATTACAATGCAAATAACTTATTTTTTTGCTTCTTCCTTGACTTTCTCCCTGTCCAGACTTGTATGGTATTTTCAGATCATAGCACATTCAATTCTACACATATTGGGTAGATGCGATTAAATTAGAAAATATCTGGACCAGAAAGCTATAGATTGTGTGTAATTGGGTTTTTACAGACGTGTATCAATCAGATATGATTATTTATGTCTGGGGACCGACCTTTTAACGTCATCATCCAAACGATGAGACTCGATTTCAAACCAGGGGTACCTGACTAAGCGAACTTACCCTTAGACCAACTCACATCTCTTGATGATGAGAGAAACTAGTTCATTCTTTTATTTCAAGTCATTTAGATCTGAACTTCACTGATTACCTATAAGATGTATGATTTAATATAAACTACTTTACTGATATTCAATTGTATACATGGTATACCCGTTTATCTTTGTGAACTCATCTATGTGAACGCACCGCATTCTCTGTTCAAATTAAACAAATCTGCTCTCAAATTTCAGTATAGACCAATTCATATGAGAATAGGGCATTCAAAAAGAACTTTGGAATAAACTCCCACAAGAATAAAAAATCACTTTGTTGGATTAATTTAAATCCATGCTGAAAATGCAATCGTTCTTCAATGTGTGTGTAATCGAAGTTTCTGTGACATACCGGTATACTGTATGCAATGATGTTTTAACACGCAAAGAGACCATGTCGGAATTATGCAAAGCAATCAACAATTATAATATCATCATTAAGCTCACCATTACACTCCCTTTGTACTCGCTATCAAAGCACTCAAATACACCCATCTTTTAAAACAAGCCAGACAGAAGATGTGAAATATTTCATATATGAAGTTTGCTTCAAGATTTAATCTCCTACATGTATCAACTCCTACTTGACTTTCCATTATGTACAAATCATTTGGTCACAAAAGCATGATTCAAGAATCTACATGAGGATGAACTTCAAAATTATACACAAATTCCATTGATCACTTTCAAAGTTAATCATCAAGAACATTTGAACAGTTAAAAGAGTTATTCAGATAAGAATTGTCTATGGACATACAGACAGTTTACTGATGCACCGTTACAGACAAATTAAATATATCGCCAAAAGCAGCATGCGTAATAGTATGTCAATATCAATAACCTCGTCATTCTTATACATATTAAACTGAATAGTGAAATAATTTATTTGTAGGCACTTTTCAAAGACACATGCATTAAATATCGTGAATGATGAAACTGGCCTAATGATTGTTGTATGAATCACATTTTCTACATTTTCTTCCCCCTTTGTTTATTCCTGGTCAAACCACATAAGAATCAAAAGAAAACTTCCTTTTCCGATCTGGAATATACCTTTGGACTAGTCCAAGGTACGTCAATGACCAGTCACAGATTTAACTTTACTTTGTATCGTATGGGACACAAAATAACAAAATCTCTTCAACTTGCTCATATTAAAAAAAAATAGTTATTGACCTGAGATGAAAATTGCATAAATGATACCGACAATGTATATATTATTTCTCAATGTACCTGATACCCTGCTTAAGGCCTAAAAAAAAGAAGATGTTGTATTGCTCTTTAGGTGAATAACATGGGTTGGCCATTTGGAAATCTTTGGGCTGATAATTCTCAGTTTTGAATGCTTTAATATTTTTTCTCTCTAAAAAAAAACAACGGTAAAAAAAAAAAAATCTTTAAAAAAAAGCTGACTGTAGATTTCAAGATTTTTAGGTCGGTTGCAAAGGGCAATACAACATCTTTTTTTTTTAGGCCTAATATATCTATAACTACATGATCAACAATTAACATGCTATAAACTTGAGTAGCTGAAGGATATCTCCCACAATCATGCAAGCAAAAAAACAAAAAACAAATTAGTATTTACTCACATTAAAAAAAAAAAAAAATTCCATTTCATAGAACACATGTGATATAGCGGGTCCTGTATGTATAGTTTTGATAAACCCTCAAAAAAATTTCATCAGAATTTACTTTTTTAAAGTTATGTCTACTAGTAGTAATAAGCTACTTTGATATTTTTCTCCTACAGTGAAATTATTGAATTCAAATTATTTTCATCGAAGTTGTATTGTTGCAAACTTTGATAATAATCTTTCTTTGGAAACACAGCAGTTTTTGCATTTACAAATATTACAAACTGATAACTTATTGGTGAAACAAAAGCTGGGTGAGTTTAATAGTGTCCACTTTCGATACAGCTCTACAGGAAAATCTGTTTCAAGAGGAAGCACTGATAAGTACATGTATGTACAACTTTTTCTTCTTTTAGGATCTCTCCTCAAATGTTTTCATTAAAGGGATAGTTGAGTTTTGTTGCAGAGGGCGCTACACAAAATAATGTTTTTGTGAGATAATGAAAAACTCAGTGTCGAATTTGAAAGAACATACAATTTACGGCTGAAATATCAATAAATATAACGATTTCTAATATTTGTGGTGCCCAAATATTTGATAATTTGAACCAGCCGTTGAAAAAAAAACTGAGATAGCGCCTTTTACGTTTAATTCTAGCCAATGCAGATGTTGCCTTTTTCGTGTTGGTTATAATACGCACAACAAGCGGAATGATATGAACGCATTGGCTAAATTTTACACATTGAAGGCATCTGCAGTCTGTTACAGAAACTCAACTATCCCTTTAAGCAAATTCATGTAGGAAACAGCTAAAAAGCACACATTTTTGGTAAGTAATACAATCACTTGATGAAATGAAATCATGAAATCACTAGAAAACATGTTGATAATATATTTTGGTCCAATGTTTAGAATGGAAAACGGTAGGACACATCATCGAACAATTTTTGTTAAGTAAAAAAACAGAGCCCCGATACTTTTGGTGAGTAACAAAAATACAAATATTGCAGCGTAATATAAAGAATTTTAATATTTCCTTTTATAATTGCAGTAGTAGTCGGAAATCCCTTCCACTGGTTCATACAATATACAATAGATTGTAGGAATTAAATACAGTCATGATCAAAGTAGAAACGTTAGTAGAAAAACAGATAGTTAGGTACAGTAGGTACAAGTATTAAAGAATGGGTTCAGAACTCCTTGCAATCTGATTGGTTAAAAGCCAGTAAAGACAATAGACTTAATTTTACTGACTGCATAAATTATGCACAAATAAGATGCAATATTAGCAATCAATATTTTAAAAATTAAAACGGTATCTTTACAATATGGCATACAATATTTGACTGTAGAGACACTGAAAATAGATGGGTGACCAATTCTGCATGTAAGCCCTTTACAAACAGTTCAAGGAGAAGGTAGATTTGACTCAACTATTTCCATACATCCAGTAAATTGGTTTCATGCGTCCAGTAAATCAGTTTCATGCATCCTGTTAATCTGTTTCATGCGTTCGGTAAAATTTACTTCTTTTTACGCCCATTCTATAAATCAGATGATGCGCAGGTTTTTTGCCTGGGTCGGTAGAATTGTGTGCATGCGGTAACTTTGGCGTGGTCTATAACACATTTGGCTATGCCTCCTGTGTTTAGACCATGCCCAAAGTTACTTTGTGCACACAATTCCTACCGACCCACTCGTACCTGTGCATCATTTGTCCACTGCAGTAGCAGGCCTCAAAGGTGGAATATTAATGCATATCTGGTTAAACTAACACCAGCCTGTGTCGAGTGAGGAGGTGCTTATGAATCAGTGCAGAAGTTATGAGTGAGTTGCCTTCCAGAGGTAAGTTTGTATTGAGCGAGCAGGAACGATAGCGTCTAGGAAACCGGTTGTGGAATGGTTGATGGAGATGGGAATGGGATCTTCTTGCCTGGGTGGAGGAAAAACATAGATAAATATCATCATTATAATCGTCATCATAATCACCAACAACTTTATCCTCATCATTAAAACTACTGTCACCATCAACAACATCATCATCATCACCACCACCATCACTATTATCATCATCAAGTTATTTTCGAGTTATCTCATGTTCCACATTATCTACTCAGAGCCTGAAGGCAGATAACCCAGTGTAAACGTAATACGAGTTACTGCCTTTCTGGTTTCTAAAAATAGAGTTTCCAAATATTTAAAGTTGTGAAGTATAATCATTTACACATGTATACATGTCAACATGTGTATTAACATCCCTGTAAGAAAATTACTGACCTTTAAAAAAGGTGAAATTAAGTATTCAGTTTCAATAGCAGGGATTATACCACAGAACAAATAACTCTATACTATAAATGTGGTACTTTCTAGGAAATTCCCACCACTGTCACTCATGACATCATCTCATCATGTTTCCCACAATGAGGGAGAAGTGTCACACAAGAGCGAGTGTTTAAAGGCTATAGGTCAAGAGCAAGGACTTACACATTGATGACCACTAGAGCTACTATGCCGTCTGGTCTTAGGAAGGAGATTGCCTCAAGCTTCTGGTCCTCGCTCTGGTCTATCTTTAGACCCACTCTGCTAGAATCAGGAAGTACAAACTTGCTGCAAGGGGTCAAAGAAAGAGGAATAGAAGTATATTTACTCCATTATCAATCAGTAGCATTGACAGAATGAAACAACATACACTCTAACTCTAACCTTAATGATAATCCAAGCCTCAATCCTCACTGAAATCATAATCTTAACCCTAATCCAAAAACCCATTCTAGTTTCCACCCTTTATAGGTATTATATTAATCATGGCATTCCACATCATTTTCAATTCTAGTGACCAAATGAGGCTACCCAAACCATAACTCTGATCATAGCCCTTACCCTACCCCTCATCCTAATCCTATCCATAATCTTAATGCAAATTAATGTACAAAAGGGCTACTGATAATAATTGACCTGATTCTAATGTTACATTAAAACAAAATTAAAAAGAACTGTGTATAGACAGAGGCTGGCACCGTTAACGATATGAAAATAACACCCCCCCCAAAAAAAAATCATTGTTTTTCAGGGTTTATATTAACAGTTTATGACAGACACGCCACTTTTAGCAAACAATCACAATATTTACAGAAAGGAGGAAGAACAAATAAGCCTTGGCCTCACCTAAAGTGACCTAAATGGTAGAACATGGGTTGTTTGTAGAAGACGTCGTACTCTGCATCGACGATGATAGGAGCGTTAAGCTTGTGGGCGATCCAGCTTGGACCTCCCTGGATGTTGAGGGCCATGTTCCAATCTACCCAGCCCGTCACCCAGTGGCTCATGTTCTGAAGAGAAGAGAAGAAGATGTTTTAAAGCCCATCTGCTCTAGTTTGGCCAGGGGGGATCAGACCTCCCTGCAAGGTCACTGACAGGTGGTTATCTCACCAAATCAGCTCTCAAACAACATAAGAAAAAGGGGATCATGGGGGACCAATAGGCACCGATAATGCATTTTTTGCTATATAGAGGGCGCAAGTAGCTATAGGTAGTGCAATGGGGCTTTAAACAATTGTAAAAAGGGAATTTTCAAATATTAATTTTGTATTTTCAAAGGATTGTTTCATTAAAGAAATGATTGGTACTATAAAATCGATGAATAGAGCATATCGGTATACAGACACATATGAAAGCTTTATGTCTCGCACTCATCAGAGTAAATCGCAATAACGGACAGAAAGCCTAAATCAGACAAAACATGTACTTCCCCCTCCCTACAAACAAATAAGCCTCACCTATTGTGTTTTTGTGCCCCTATTACATTTCAGGTCAAAAGTGCACATAGATTGGTATGTTAAATTTCTTAATTTTTCAGCTCTATTTTCGGGGGTAGGGGGGAAGCTTGCTTGTAAGAGAATCTTAAAGTCAATTATCACCTAAAAAATGCAAAAATATTTTTCCTGATATTTTTCAGAATTGTATCCCAACTCAACCCCTCCAAAAAAAAAAAAAAAAAAAAAAATTGGACCCCCCCTGGTTATGATGACATCTTTAATACCTCTATAATGCTCTGTGAGAACCTTTCTCCTCTCGCCCAGACTCCCAAGTCGACCTTCACACCGGGAGTCGCTGAGGTGCCCTCGCACGCCTCCGTGTAAAGGATAAACTTATCGGGGAAGAGGTTGTTGGTGAGATCCAACTTGAGGGTCGGAGCCTCTTTGTCCCAGTACCAGTGAACCGCGATACCTTTGATGTACTTCTCAGCCTCAGAATCACCAAGGACCTGAAGAAGAAAAAATGTGAGGGAGTGTGATTTGAATCCATAAGGCGAAGTGTTACAGAGAAATTTCCTGTTTGGTTGTTTTTTTTTCTCCTCAGAGAAAAGAAATGAGGGTGATTATTTTAGTCTAGTCTTTTAAAGCATTAAAGATATAAAATAATACAGAGGGAAGAAAAAGGAGAGATATACATGTATGTCTAAAATAAAATAGGCAGGAACCTTACATCATATTTGGTCTAGCGTTTTACAATTGATGTATCTTCTATATCATTTGCTACTCTTGCTATCCCCTCTCTCTGTCTCTCACTTTCTGTCTGTCTGTCTGTCTGTCCGTCTCTCTCTCTCTCTCATCCTTCTCTCTCCCTACCCCCCTCTGTCTCTCTCTCTCTTATCTCTCAATTTAGTCGCTCCTCAGTATCACTTTCTTTTGTCACAACTGTATATCTACCTACCCCCCTCTGTCTCTCTCTCTCTTATCTCTCAATTTAGTCGCTCCTCAGTATCACTTTCTTTTGTCACAACTGTATATCGCTTACCACGACCGGCCAATCAGGTAGCTCAAATCTCTGATCATCCAGCATCATGATATTGACGTGCCTGCCCCTCTCCCTCTCCCTCTCCCTCTCTCTCTCTCTCTCTCTCTCTTCCCCCATCCCCCCTCTCATTCTAGTTGCCCCTCAGTATCACTTTCTTTAAACTGTATATCGCTTACCACGACCGGCCAATCAGGTAGCTCAAATCTCTGATCATCGAGCATCATGATATTGACGTGCCCCCCCCCCCCTCTCTATCTCTCTCTCATTCTAGTCGCCCCTCAGTATCACTTTCTTTAAACTGTATATCGCTTACCACGACCGGTCAATCGGGTAGCTCAAATCTCTGATCATCGAGCATCATGATATTGACATGCCCTCCCCCCCCCCTCTCTATCTCTCTCCCCCTATAACCCCTCTGTCCATCTTATCTCTCATTCTAGTCTCTCCTCAGTATCACTTTCTTGAAACTGTATATCGCTTACCACGACCGGCCAATCAGGTAGCTCAAATCTCTGATCATCCAGCATCATGATATTGACGTGCCCCAAGCCATGTTCCTCCAGGGTGGGGCCTAGGTCCCGCTTTACAAAGTCTCTCTCTAGCTGGGGCGTCATGTAGTTGCAGGCATTAGGCTGGTCCTTGATGGCCCCAGCCCAGGGCTCATTCTGTATCGTCATACCCCACATGGACACGTTGTGCTTGGCGTAGCCTTCAATAAATCTTCAGGATAAACAACAAATAAACGATTAGGTACACATGTATTGTTGGGAGAGAGAGAGAGAGAGAGAGAGAGAGAGGGGGATACAATTGATATAAGACTGTAAAATCAGAAGCATTTATGAGCATGGAATTTTGCACATTTGATAAGTCGTCTAGATTTGCTAAGGTTTCATGCCAAAAAGCCTACAATTAATTCAATTCAAAACATGGACTATTGCGATTCTGGTAGGTGTCCTGTTGTGAAATCAACCATCAGTATCACCTTATAACAGTTCATGTTTCTGGTAATACAGTAGTTTGGAGCAGAGAATGATGACTGTTTTCCATCTCAATCTTATCAGTATCCTGTCTGTGAACGATTTGTAAACCTGTTAATACAAGACAAGGTCAGATCACATATTGTGAGCTTTCTTGCAGAATTCTTAGTCATCACTTAATACTTATTCATCAGGAAATCCCTATGATTTGGAAATATTTCAAGGAGAATCAAGCATTGCTCAGTCCCCTCTGCATTTGTAATGTTAGGGAACCTTCTCAGGTGTACCAGAGAAGCAATAATGCTGAACATGGGATGAGGAAGGAAAAAAGATAAACATGTATACTCAAACATCCACTTTCTATTTTCGCTTTCAACTTTATACAGAGCTGTTGACATATTGGAGTGAGCGAAACTTAAAGGTCTCGTTTAACAATGTTAAATCTGAGATACACGGCCCTACGTGTTATCAGTGTCTGTGATTATGGTGTAATATTGAAGCCCTAAAAAAATTGCGCTTCAAAATGATCAAGAAGTGCCTCAAAAAAGTAAAAATCTTTGAGTGACCGGTTTTACCATACTCGTTTACCCCAATAGACTGTAGTGTTATGAAAACCGTCAGGCGAACGGTTTTCAAAATTTGTAATTCCAATCATAAATATCTTGATAATCATACAGGCGATCGGCTTGTAAAAGTCATGGGGTTCCTGACTGACCTAAAGGTTTATAATTATCATTGCATCATGAGCTAAATCCAGAATTTTATTTCAGAATCTGAGACAAAGTTACCGGATCCCTTTAAATAGCATACCTATATAAAGCTACATGAACACAGGTACTTGTGATGAAAATGAAACTTAATAATAGAGATCATAACAGAAATATAAGTATCTGAGGATGTTTAAGTATTCATAGAAAGAAAGAAAGACAGATGCAAAACAGATATTTCCTCAAGTATATATCAAGCATCAAATGGGAACAGTACAATCTTCATCACCAAAAATAGAAAAATACAAAGAGGAAGCCAACTTGATTGTTGATACATACATGTATACTTCTGATTCCAGCTGAAAATTGATACCAGTATACTACACTGTATAAGATGGGGTGATATGGTGAATTTTATGTATCCAATAAAGGTGCAGACTCTCTTCATTTATTTCATTCATGATCAACACAAAATACTAAGGTCTTCTGGACAAAGATTCTAAGACAAAAAAGCACACTCTTTTTGTGTTTTGCTTTCATGTTTTAAATTCCAGGTTTTTAACATTCATACTTTTAGACAAATAGGTTTTAATTACAGTAATTGACAACTGCCATTTTGAAACAAAATTGTAGTGTATCCTATTTGACATACAAGATTGCAAATACCTGTAGACTATATTTTCATGAGATTTATTATTGTTTCTATGAATACTTAAACATCCTCGGATACTTATATATTTATGTTATGAACTTTATTACTAAGTTTCATTTTCATCACAAGTACATGTAGCTTTATAAGCTATTTAAGTTTCACTCACTCCAATATCTCAATAAAATATGACATTTTTAAAGGGTACCAAAACCACATGTTCCATTCACCCCCCCCCCCAGAAAACAAATACGTTATGTAAAAAATTGTACTGCTAGAATATAATTTTAAAAAACTTTCTAAAACTTTACATGGCATTCTATTGGTCAACAGTTACAAGTATATAGAAAATAAAGAATAAAAGGAAAGTAGAACCCTACGCATGGAACCCCAGTCGGACCTGGGCTCCTTGCAAGCCATATTCTATGCGTCAACTTGTCTACTCATCTGTGGCCTGTAAGATAATTGAGCGTGCATTCAAGCTTGCAGTATCTCTTTATAGAAATACTATTTAAACTCATATTGTCATTTACAAAGAACCCCAAACATGCACAGACAAATATTTGTTGGTAATTGGCATCCTATAAATCTATTTTTATCTTCATCAAGTACCACGAGTATCACTTTGCAAAATCTGAATATAAAGGTTTCACTTTGTCTGTCATTTTTATCTGTTATAAATTAATTACATGTCAAGCACAACACAGTTCTTCTCCTTCATACCTGGCTGAATTGCTCAAACAATACCATCCACCCTGAACCCTTTGTTCAAGTAACCAAGCATTACTTTGTGTACCCAAAACCAATACATTATTCTATAGGGGCAGATCTTTGACAGTTGCTGGACCAAACCTTCGGAACAACCTTCCCAAATTCATACAAAAGGCACCCACTTCTGCAACGTTCAAATTTATACTTAAAATGCACCTCTTTTGCCTTTAATAATTAGCTTCAATTGTATTTTGTCCTAACTTACGTTATATGTTTTGACTATGTTAGCTATCTTTCTATTATGTTGGTTACTATGTTAAGTTAGTCATTTTAGTAGTTATAAGATTTGTATACTTCCCTTTGTTGATTCCTTTTATGTTATTATATTTCTCTTGTCATTCATGCTTGTATAGCGCATAGAGAAACTTCGCTTATTATGCGCTCTATAAATAAATATAAATATTGTATTATTATATCTTGAATATCTTTTTAACGAGATCTGACATTTACTACAGCAATATTTCCTCTTAGCTTTATTCAGTCAAAGATGTAGGGTTAGTTTGAAAGAACAAACTCTAATTTGACACAGTACAGAGGAGGCGCGATAGCTCAGTCGATAGAGCAATGGTCTCGTAATCCCGTAACCTGGGTTCAAAACCAAGTCGATGCGCTAGTGCCCTTTGGTAAGGCATTAATCTTCATTACCAGGTCCCTCGGAGAGGACCTAAAGCCATCGGCCGTCTGGTTGCTTACTAACAAGCATTCATGCTTTCTTAGCAGTCAGGTAAAATAACCACCACCACCACCAAATACATGACCATAATTCCTAAAGCCTTGAGCAGAGCCTAGATCTGTCAGTTTCTGGCTGTGCCAGGAGCGATATCAGTACAGAGCCTTTAGTAGTCTCATATTGCAGACACTGTTACGCACAACGACTGACAAGGGTATGTTTCTGCAAACTAGGGCTTGGTTGCAATTGGATTTATGCCAAGTTTCAAGGATAGGGTTAAGTTTGGTTATGAGTTGATGTGAAACAAAAGCATGACTGGTGATCAAGATTTATGATACCACTAAGCAATAGCCGCCAGAACATATTATGTCACACAATCTAACAACATGTTGATTATATGAAATGTGCAACGGCATGAGTGTTTTTATCTTCTGAGAGAGAGAGAGAGAGAAAAGATTAGGGCTTGGTTGGAATTGGGTTTAGGGCTAGGCTTCAGTCTTGGGTTAGGTTTTTTTTTGTCAAGTGTTGATGCAAGAAATATGACTGATGTTCGACATTGTTCATTAACCACCTACAATCTGGATTCAAAGTGATATAAGAGCCCAGAGGACTGTGAAGTGGAATAAATAAATAACAGATAATATCTGTGACCAGTCTTACTTGGCAAGATACAAGGCGAGCGTCTTGTAGTACTTGCCACCAGGCTCCCCAATGACCTGACCCCTGTATCGGTAGGTGCCACTGGTCTTCATCCACTTCGGAGGAGACCACTGTGTACAGAAGAACTTTAGAGGGCGCACACTGGCTTCCATGGCAGCATGAAGGACGGGTATCTAAAGGGAGCAAGAATTAAACCATCAAAATGAACAAGATAAGAGCTTATAGTCACTGCAGTCAACATGTAACCCCCCAAAACAAAAAAAATAAAAATAAAAGAAGATATTTCCACTTGATATGTTCAAACCAGCTTTATTCACCTTCCTGCAAAGATTACTTCACTTCCAGACAAGATTTATACTTTATTTCATAAAATATTATTTCAACAGGCAATGAGAGTGTTTTTTTTAGCCATACAGTCTTTTATGTGCCACATTGGTCTACCAAAGATCTTGTATTGGACCTACAATTTCTATTTCATTTTATTTTAGTTTGATACTTAGGTGAGAAAAGGGGTAAATTACAGTATAAGAAGAACAAAATATTACAAGTAAAAAATAAGGATCATCAATAAAAAGAGGTCTGTTTATTAAAACTGAAGTAAAAATCATTCTGCTTAATGCTGCTTACAAGTGAAAGAAAATTCTCAAGAGTACTTGAAATGAAATTTTACACTGACACAAGTAACAAATATGATCAAGGCCCCCGTCCTATGAAGAGATTAATAGGACCAAAATCAATTGCAAAAAGTGATGAAATGCTAATTTATCCTGACAGAGTAACACTGTAAATAAAATAAGTTTGTACCTTATAGTTGATGTCTTCATCGGCTAGTGAGAAGTTAGTCAGGGCAAAATCATTTTCCGACTCGCAAAGACTGTACGGTCGCTTAGAGAAATCACAGGTTCCGATGTTGATCCTCGAGAATGTGTACTCCAGTCCTGAAAGAAAATGGCAGGATACTTAAGATTGCATTTTCCAAATCCATGTTGCTTTTTGAATAGGACGCAGTGAAGAAATCTTTTCAGGAAGGTGATTAAATCTGGTGTAATCATACGTGTCATGTCTGCAGTCATCACACGTTGGTTCCATGCCTTATGACCGAATCAAGTATTAACGAGCAAGAATGCGTAGGATGTAAATACGAGCACTTATAGAGGATGCTCACAAATTGGTAGACATTTTCATGGGGAAAAAAAATGGAAAATTTCACACTGTCTTTCCAAGATATACGGTATATATTTTTGGTACAGTCATGAAACCGTGGTTATGTGTATATGTAATACAGGCTAATTAAAGTAATTATTAAATTACGGCATGAAACATATACAAATTATGTTTGCTCTTGTTTGGTATTTTTGTGACCAACATCCACTACAGCATTAAGAACAAGGACAAGTATGTTTTTGATAAATCTTTAACCCCAAAACAAGTTTTAAAAGGAAACAGTGTACTTCATGGATTGAGAGGTCAGAGAAACATATTTGACATTTTCTATAAGACAGAAAAAAAAAATCTCTTTTTTTATTCTCAGGAGTTTTAAAAATACATGTACATGTACTTTACAAGCCTTTATACTGTACATGTAGTTCGGTCACCCTCAAATGAACTGTCTAATTGTCACACCATGTTGACATGATCTGTCATGGGATTTGTCAATCTATCAAATATTTACACATTCATGTGTGCACTGTTATGGACTTTAATATTTGGTGATACTGTACAATGCTATGTATGATACCTTTAATAATGACCAGTGGTGCGCTTATCGACAACATGAAGAGGACATGTCACATGATCAAGAAACCATTGTGTTTGTATTTTGAAGATATACAAATGAGGAATTTGAACTCTGGCAGTGTACACATACCGGTACTGTACGCACAATACTTGGCCCAAGCCCAATATTTGCCCCTACCACCCGCCCCCAAAAAAATCCTCAGAATACAAATTGCAGATAAAAAATGTACGATTCTAGAAACAAGTACATGTAAACAGCAAAAACAAAATTTGGCTATCAAGAAGTTCGGCAATGGCAATCAAAGTGCTACATGTAGTGTACAGGGCGTAATAAATATGTCAAATCTTACCGAGCCATGATGAGGGTTTAAATATGTCAAGATATTAACAAAAGATGTACATGTAGCATACTTTTCAAACCCTAGCATCTCTTTACCTGGGCATTGCATAACCCCCCAAAAGGGGGAAATTTAAGGTATTTCCCAAATGATAATACAAATACGGTACTCTTTTTACTATTTAGTAATTTATTTGGTACGTAATTCAAATGTAATCCATGAAGGATCATATTAAGATAAATCTGCCTTTTTCTGAAGAATGTAGGTTGCAAATGTAGGTTGCCTTTTATTCAAGCTAACAAGTACATGTACTGTCTGCTCATAGCCAGAAGGGCGTAACTTGTGTTATCTAAAAGTTTATGGGTTAAAATGCCCTTCTGGTTTCAATCAGATCACGGGACCAAGATTGCTTTAGAGGTGCAATGTGCAACTGAACATGACATATATCTTTTAATCTCCTAGATAACACTACCGGTATCTCAGTAATTTGTCATACATGTAGGCATGCAATGACAGAATAAAATGTAAATGTTTGTGAAGGGCTTGTCAAGACATCAAGTGTCATTTCTGATAAGGAACATGTATGATGATCTGAACTAATCACCATGTGCTCTGAATTATGAAATGAAATGCTTTACACTCAGCTACATGGGATTAAGAATTCAATTTGTTTTATTAAACCATTTCAAATCTAAACAGTATACAAATTATGCGTGTATGAACATTATTGATACAGTGAAAATGGTCAGGGTGCCCCTAAAAGCCAAGGCTTGATGAATGGGGCCCCCAATTAATTTCCTCCATGACTGAGGTCAACACTGGGCATACTGTTCCAGTGGGAGAAATGCACAAGCAGCTAAATGTTGAAGAGAATATGTGAGAGTTGTATGCCCGGGGTCGTATGACAGCCTTAATAGCCATGAATTGGGTGCTGCTAGTCAAACGTTATTCTAAGGGAGCCAGGCCTTTTCTCTGATCAAAAGGTTCCATATACCCTGTCATCTTTACATTGTTAACTCAAATATGACAAGCCAGAACCTCAGATCGGAAGAATGTACATTTCAAATTGTCATTTCCTATCGTGATGCAATTTTGTCCCAAATCTCGTTCAAGTCTAACCGTGAGTTTTCCATTGGCCTCAAGATAAATTTGTTGATACTAACCATCAGCTGAATAGTAGGACCTGATGAGGTGGTTCTGGGTTGCAGCTGATAGATTCTTGACAGAGAGAGCCATAGAGTCAGTTACAGCACCACCAAAACCCAACACCTTCTGGTACAAATCTGATGTATTAATAGTCAAATTGACTGTAGAAGCTGACAAAGAGAAATGATAGGAAAAAAAATATTGAATTTAATGAGTATCATATAATTTTCTGCATGAAGATTATAATTTTTTCAGAATTTTACAAATGATAAAAACTGGAAACAATAATTTTTCATAAATAGTTTGAAAATGGATGAATTATGCAATCATCAAAATAGAGACATGGAGAGAGGGGAATAGGAAGAGGAAGAAGGAATAGAGAAAAAGAAAGGGAGGGGTAATATGTTCATATACATGTACCACAGTTATCTACTATGCACCTGTGATTTCTTTTAAACATTGATGAATTAATAAGCGATGTAGGGCATTATGAATTTCTTTGTCACTTAGGCTCCTTTGTCACTGAGACATCTTTTTGTGGAGAGTGAAAAGATGAGAAAAGACAAAGAAGATGAAAAACATCTTGTTTGCTTTGAGGTGAGCTCACATCTCACAAATTGGTGACCTGAAATTTGCTCCAGGGAAAATTGTTTGGACTTCATTTTGGCCAAGTTATAGGCCTTGGGTTAGGGTCAGGGTTGCAATATGATGTTAGGATAGATTTATGGTAAGGACTAGTGCAAGGTTAAATGTTTGGTCCGGAGTTTGATTCATGAACTGTCTTGGAACAGCCTACCAGCGTCTCTAGTTACTGCTACATGTACCGGCATCAATTCATTTAAACACAGCATGGTTTCTTTTCGGTCAGACAAACACTTTGTAATATCATAGTCTGACATTCATGCATGCACTGATTTATAGACTTTCACTAATGTACCAAGTGATATGACCGGGAGACCTACAGGATATCCTACACGCTTGTAGGATGATGATGATGATGATGATTACGGTAGGAAATTGATGGCAGATCAATTGTTGCGGAGCATTTGTCTTAGAAACCCCTAATGATAAATTTTTCATTCTAATAAAATATGGACTCAGTAAATTTACCTGAAGCATTAGATTTGGCTGAAATAGGTGCTATTCTCTTTGCAAACCGATCACTTGCTTTACTGGAAGTGTAGTAAGTAAAATGATCTGCAAGTAGAGGTAGATATCCTTCTATGGTGTCACAGTATGTGCTGTTACACTGGCATACAAAGCTATCTCCAGAAGCAAATTGAGTCTTGTTGCAAGGAAAATACCCCTCATCACCTGTGGAGAAAGGAAAAGAAATGTATTCTATTCTTGAAGTCATTTTGAAAATATATGTATCATAATAAAAAGCAGGTTTATCATTATATCATAACAAAATTGAGCGAGATAACTGCTTAGCCTTTCCATTTCAAAACAAGAAGATATTTACATTTTGTCTTTTGTTTTTTTTGCACCTGTCTACAAGGACCACATTCTTTGTTTCCCTTGAAAATGGTTTCTCATTGACACATGTACTTAAGGAACCTGTCTATAAAGACCACCTGTCTACAAAAGCTACTTTATGTGTTTCCCTTGGGCGGTCGTTATAGGCAGGTTTGACTGTATATATATATTTTTAGTGCTCACTACCCCTTTGAGGGGGTAGTGAGCACACTTTGAGCACACAAAAAAGGTAAAATTGTGGTTATGTTTGGCGGGAGTTTTTTTTCATAAACCGGGAGATTCTACATCAAAGCGGGAGAGCAGGAGGAAGGGTGTGGTGGCGGGATAGAGTCTCCAGCTGTGATGTGGTGGGACGGCAAGAACGAGCATGGTGGCGTGACGTGAGACTCCCTCCAAATGCGGGAGGGGTGCAGCCTAGCCCTGTTTAATTTGAATATGATCAATATCCCTACAAAACTTTGAAGTTACAACGAGGCTAGGCCCATGTCTTTCATTAACAACCGAGAGAGGACCCTTTAATTTCTTAAGTACATGTACATGTAGTCTATCATATAATTTTCTTTGAGATTAGAATATTGTTCAAAACTAAATGTAATATTTTCATAGAACTTTTGTGGTTGAAATTGGAAATTGACATTTTTAAAGAAAGAAAAGGAAACTTGAACAATTTTTATTTTCTATAGTCCAGCTTACCATCGTTTTTGCTTTGACTAGAAGTCGAAACCAAACTGAAGATAACCACAGCAACCAATAAACACATCTGGATGTTCACACTTGGTTGAGTGACCCCTCCTTGGCTTTTTCGACCCATCTTGAATCTTCACAGTTTCGAATTCTGCAAAAATAATCTCTGCGGCTTTCTCCACAGGACCGCTACAGCCGACCGATTCGCCACAACTGGAGCGCGAACGCTAGTGCCGTGGCCGTGGTAGTGTTCCACTCACTACCAAGTTCCAGTGTATTAGGAGACTCTCCTCGAGTTTGTCCCTTTTCGTTCGCCCTTCAATTTCAAATTCAAGTTGTGTTTAACCATTAAAACGTTGGTCTTGTCGCGGTAAGATATGGACTCCACTTTACAACAGCTCTAATTGATCCAGTGATTTCAATCACATCATTCAGACGACGGCCATGTATACAGAGTGAATACACAAATTCAGAATAGTACACGCAGCGCATATATATCGCATGTACAGTCACCGTACAAATATCTCCGTATTTGATTGAGTTGGTACGTCATGTTCATATCTCTATGGTCATGTTACTGAAACTTGCCCACGTGATCATAACACACATCAAAGCCGCGCCCAGTTCACGCCCACAGAGGACAGAGAAGTGCTCTACGGCTCTACTTTATGATAGTCTGAAATTGGAAACGTCTTTCCAACTGACCTCCCCCGCCTCCAAAGAAAATGCAATATTTTGGGAAACTTATCAATATTATATCAGTCAATATTTACAATTGTTAATGATTACGATGGTTTTGGATATATTATAGATGATGATCTACAAACTTTCTGTAAATAAGTACACCAAAAAGTATATCACTGCATTGTAGTGGTATTTTCTTTTTCTTACCTCTAGCCAGGACACACTGCCCCCCCCACTTTTTTCAGGTACCCCAAAAGTTCCCCTTTTTACAAAGCAAAAGTAGCCGTTTATCTTTGCAAGAAGTGCCCCTTTTAACATATAGGAAAAGTGCCCTTTTAACTTTGCAAGAAGTGCCCCTTTCTAGGAAAAGTGCCCCTTTTACTAAGTAAAAGTGTCCCTTCTTCCTTTCACCTCTGGTAAGTGCCCCTTTTATTTTGACACGTGCCCCTTAATTTTCCTTTGACAAGTTCCCACAATTAGTGTCCATTTTCCCATTCTCATGTAGTACCTTTTTAAATCTCTTCTGATAATTGCCCTATTCAAATCTGAGCCTGGATACCCCTTTCCATTTGTCAAGTGCCCCTTTTCCTTTGTAAGAAGTGCCCCTTCCCCTTTTGATAACTACCCTTTTTAAATTCGGATAAGCACTCCTAGCTTTTCAAAAATGCCCCTTTTCCTTTCTAATAAGTTTCCCTTTTCCTTATGTGGCCCATTTAAAAAAAGAAAGAGCCCTTTCACTTTCTCATAAATGCCCCTTTTCACAGCTATGAAAAGTGTCCCTTTTCGTTCTCATAAGTGCCCCTTTTCATCATTGGTAAATGACCCTTTTCAGGTATGAGAAGTTACTCCTTTTCACTTCAGATAAGTGCCCCTTCATCGTCCGATAATTGCTCCTTTTCACCTCTAATAACGGCCCCTTTTATTTGGACCGGTGCCCCTTTGCATTTATAATAAATGCTCTTTTCCTTCTTATAAGTGCCCTTTAATTCCCCTTCTCATAGTTACCAATTTTCATCTCTGATAAGTGCCCCGTTTATTTTAACATGTGCCTCTTTTTCTTTTTGATAAGAGCCACTTCCATATTCTCATATGGAAGTCCCTTTTCGACTCCGATAAGTGCCCCTCTTCATATCTGGTCAGTGCCCCTTTTCAGTCAGTGCCTGCTTACTTTCTTGTAATATATTTTAATGTACTGGTATATAGGAAAGATATATGTTTGACTATGCAAATGTTTCCATATCTACTCACCCACTCTGCAATATGATCACGTTCAAAACCTCTACCTGTATGAGGCTGTATCAACATAGAGAAAAGCCATCTTCAAATTTGGTACTCACATGACCCTTTGCTTTAAGATGTATTCCATAACCCCCTCTCCCTCTGTTGATGTCTCACTCTCTCTCTCTCTCTCTCTCTATCCATGATCTGTCTAATAATCACAAGCCCCCCCCCCCCCCTCCACCCATTACCCATCTATGTGTCTCTTTCTCTTTCCTATCTGTCTATTGATGTTGTTACTCCCTTCCTCTCTCTATTTATCTTTCTCTCTCTCCCTATTTTCTATCTATATATATATATATCAACCTATTTCTCTAATTATCTATTGGCCTCTTTCTCTCTCTCTCTCCCCCTCTCCCTCTCCCTTATTAACTCATTTGTACACTTTTACCTTTGATACATTTCAAAAATCAAACTTTCAAACCAAGAAAATTGTTTGTACTTGAATATTTTTTTACATGAATATCTTTATTCTTTTATTGACGTTAAAAATAAATACTTGTCTCATCCTCATTTGGAATGTGCCCGATGTTGTGTGAAAGGAAAAACAACAAACCGTGTTAACATTATTGCATGTATTCTTAGTTGGCAGATATATGTGCACATGTCTATATTTGGGTCATCTTTACACAAAGTATCAGGACATGTTTTAATATTTACAAGTGTATGAATTTATGGAAAAAATAGGGTATTTCTATCCTATGTCTTGACTAAAATACACCCTGATGATATTATATGACAGAAGCATGCATTCCTTACAGTAACAAATATTACAGTTTTAGCATAATTCAATTTTATTTTTTAAACAGTGCAGTACAGAAACGAACATCACAGCACAGGAGTTTACGTAATTATGTAGCACCAGATATCTTCAAAAACAACTTTGAATTACTTCTTTTAAACAAAAGAAAAAGAACACACACATACTAATGAGCAAGTGCTAGTGGGGAAACCTTATTTTCAGCTCAAGATTTGTGTGGCTACAATAATTTCTGTTCAAACCTATAAACAAGGGTACAGGTGGAGTTAACCAATGCCTAGTACTTTTCTGTCCCATTCGTACTTTGACTGATATTAAACATACACATTCTGAATTCTACCATATCCATAGCATTGAAGGGCAACAATGGTTTCTAAAATACTACATTCTTTCCTGTTCAAGTTGGAGACACTTTTATTCCCATACAATAAGATACACCTTGACTTCACTCCCATTGCTTATTTATTATCAAGTTCTGGAGGTTGTTTCAAATATTAGTTAATTTTAATCATAAAGCCCTGGTTCTGTTGTGCAAAATTTGAAAGGCGTTTTGAACATATATATCAATTTAATATTGGCATTTCAAATTATTAGGTACTGGGGAACTTGGGGAAGTTTATATAATTTGTTTACAGCACTGCATACCAGATATAGGTAGACTGTAACATGCAATACCACTACAGAGAAGTTCAAGGAAACGGTATGTAACCGATTTCCTTTCACTTTCCTTCCTCTTGGGAAGTAAAAAATCACGAGTTAGTTATCTGATAGATGTAGGTCGGAGCATGACTATAATCTTTGCATTTTAAAAGTTTGTATTAAAGCAACTATCAACAATACAGAAGTGTCCTTTGAAAATACTAGGCATAGTTCCACATTGGCTGAGCATTTCCTGCTGACCTTTGATTTTAAAGAGCCACGGTATTTAAGTAAACTTTTTAAGTCGTACAAAATCTCCAATTTGTACATAAAGCACCTAGATTCCACAACAAAATAGCTGAAATGATACATAAAATTTATGTAAAACATTTTAATATCAAACTTCCTTACTTTTTAACCCAATGAATACCATCTGAATTCGGTATAATACATATTGTCCACACACCCAAGCATTATGGGTTAACTCCTGTTTCAGTATTCAACATGTTAAGAACAATCAATTTGGCTCGTTGGGGATATCTTTAAAGGCATTTAGATTCGATTTGGCAAGGATACATAATGTAACTCACAAAATAATCTATATCATGTGTGAAAATATAGAATAAAATATAATATAATATGTCCAAATAAACATATACGTAATCTTTCTCTGATTTCACCATCATTACAATCCAACGTCCTTCCTCCGATCAAGATGAAATCATTACAGTCATCTTACATGTCAACCTGAAGATAGTAGCAGGTTATTCTAATATTAAGCTCTAATGCAGTCCAACATCTGCTTCTTAATGGAAGGCAACAATAATCCATTAATGAGTTGTACATGTATCTAAAAGCCAATATTGAAATCCACCTCATGTAGATTCTTGAACTTAAATTATTTCATATCATTATAATAAAACTTCATCTGTTGCGAGCCAGAAGGACGTTAACTATCTGTTCAGTAATACAGGCCATTTCCCTTCTGGATCTCGGCAGATCAAAAAGTAAATCTATGACAAGACAAGCACTAGTCGTCGTTATTGCGGAAGCTCTTTTACTGTGTCGTCATTCTTGCATAGACCATACAAAATAGACGAGAATACTTTAACCGAGTGCACACACTTACAACATTATATTACAACATTATATCACTCCTGACGACGGATTGTTAACCTGTTTGAGCCCCTCCTGCTACCACTCCTCTCCAACCGGCGCTATAGTTTTCTTTAGAACTATAAGCTCAAAGAAAGATTACCAAGTCCTTTTCAGGACTTCCCAATCCTCCCCTAGCTTCCTCACATGGTGCAACTGTAAGCCTACTGTATAACATTATTGTTGATATGAAATCCAGCTTTTCAACATGAACCCTATAGCCTCATTCATACATGAAAAAATATTGTAGCAAGTTAAAACCAGTTTTCATGTTAATGAATAGCAATGGATGTTAACAAAAGGTTGTAGCCTGCAAGAAAGATGTGCTACAAGATACAAGTTATAAGGTGTGTGTTTTTAGATGCAGTAACGTGCAGTGTAGTATGGTTTTGCCATTTTATTTTCAAGTTGCCACCGTTTTCTTGGGGGGGGGGGGGGGGGGAGGAGGGGGGTCACCAAATCATGTGTGAACAGGGTTTAATGTTTGAAATTCTGAATCTCATATCTTCATATAGATTTCTCTTATAAACATTCCTTGAATATATCAGATAACAATCTTTGCAGGCACAAACTCTTTAGTCACCCCCGGCTATAACACTAGGAAGGAAGAGCCTTGTTTGACTAAAGCGTTCCATTAATAGATTTCAAGGTTGCACAGACAGTTCAAGCGCATTACTCGTCACTTATTAACTCACTACCGGCAGTCAGGCATTATGTAACCATCATAATCCTCACAGATGGAAAGGAAATAATAAAGACAGATTAGGGGAGGGGGGGGTGTAGTAAATGTGACAGAAACTGTATTATATTAAATACATGTGTACATAATATACATTTACAAGAACTAAATACATGCATAACAAAATATAATGTCTCTATGTCATATTTCTCAATTTATAAATTGCTTACAAGACACATATTTCAATTTCAGCCTTACACCTACATTGCCAAGGTCCTGAGGGGTATGTAATTACAACTACATGTAGCTTTCATCATACAATGAAAAAGGAAGAGCTAAAAGATTGCTGATTTCAATTCGTTTGTTGTATCCAGGTCAAAATAACTGTAACACCAAGAATCCTTTTTTACAGAAAAGATGACGTTGCCTATCAAATCTGTTGTTCTCTGCATTTAAGATTTATCTCATATTTAGCCAATTTGCTGGTGTTCCTTATGGATATACATGTATTTCAACATGAGCAAAAGAAAAGAAGACTAAATCCTTTTTTTGCCTTTCTTGTCTCAGTACCCCCCCCCCTCAGTTCCCTACCACTTCTCTCTCTCTCTCTCTCTTCTTCTCCCTCTCTCTCTCTCTCTCTCTCCTACTCTCTTTGTCTCTCTCTCTCTCTCTCTTTCTTCTTCTCTCTCCTGCTCTCTCTTTCTTCTTCCCTCTCTCCTGCTCTCTCTTTCTTCTTCTCTCTCTCTCTCTCTCTCCCTCTTTCTTTGTCTCCCCCTCTCTCTCCCTCTATATATTTACATATTAAACCTTTGTTCAATCATCAAACTTTCTATATGTTCTATGCAAATTTTGATTTGACATAGAATGCTGTAACCTGATACATATCCATTGCACAAAAATGTCCCCATCTTTTCCAAAACATTACATCACAGTACTGCACATTCTAATTTCATTGCAAATATGCATAGCAATATGTGTGGTGTTCTGTTTAAATAAGTCAAATCATCAAGTGCATTTCCAATCTCTAATTTTTTTCCATTGTTTTAAACTCCTACTAAATATTTTTATTATAAAATATCAGAATATTCAAAATCTTTAAAAACATTCCATCTGAAAATACAATTATAATGATATATACATTCTCTCACTTGCAAGTATGTACATTTCTTGGGGGTGAACGTGGGGGGAAAAAAATAATGCATTTTTTTACAGGACAAGTGAAAAATTATATATTCAAAAAAATATTTTAAACAACAATTGTATATGGGTAGTGTATAATTGTTCGCCCAATAACAACATTCTGTACACTAATCACACACTTTGGTAAGCGATTCATTTACTGTTTCAGCTAATGTAGTCACAAAGTAAGACTCGCTGGTCATTATATTCAGAGGCAGTAGTAGTTGTACAGGACAGATACGGATTTCAGTCTTGTAGTTTACATATATGTATGTGATGGACCAGACTGCAGCACAGCATACATGTAGCAAACTATGGCACCTACATTTAGCATGACCTTGCCATATACATGTATCAAGACTCTGCGACTCTGCAAGCCTAAGAAATTGCACAATTTTAGTCAGAGGTTTGATAATCATGAATTATTAACTTGCCTTCATATTCTTTCCAAGATTGTCCTTTTTTTATTGTCCTGGTTAATGTTGAGTGCATTTTAAGCAAACCTAGGACCCGTTTCACAAAGCCTTCTTTCAATGACAAACGACAAAAATCAGTGACAAATCTGCTGATAACCAATCAAAAGCGAGGATTTCAGTAGCTTATTAGAGGATTATGTTATAATTTGATGTTAATTAAGCTATAACATAATCCTCTACTTATAACAACAACTGTCATTTGTCACTGATGAAAAGTTTTGGGAACACCCCCCTGGAGTAAGATAATCCTTCAATGATTTAGAAAGTGGTTTCTCTGGACCCCTCTTCCCTGCTATCCTCACTAGTCCCGGATGACTTCTGAACGGCAAACTCTATCCCACTCTCCTCCTCATCTTCAATGTCTGTCCTAGGCCTATGATGATCTTGATCAGAGTCGCTATCATCCATCATATCATAACACCCCTGCTCTACCTCCCTCATGTGGTCGGGTCTCGTCGGCGAACCCAGCGTTTCGGACCGTATACTCAGACTGGTGAAGGGCGTGAAGTCCAGGCCCATTGTACCCGGACGCATGTAAGGAGACGGGGATTGAGGCACATCGTTTTCTAGATTGTCATTCATGGAGATGTATCCGGTGCTGGATGTGGAAGCTCCGAGCTCATGAAGGCGGTTGGCGTTCACCGAGCTGAGATCAATATGATCGGTAATGGTTGAGTAGACAGGGGCGGAGACGTAGGGCATCGGGCGCTGCATGGTTCCCACTTTAGGAGCCTGAACGCTGGCGGTACTGTACACAGACATGTTACTCTCAGAGTCTATATGCCTCATTCCAGTTGTCCCGAGTAGTCTATCAGGGTCTTTGGGCCTACCACACTCTGCACCTACTTGCCTCCTGACCGGTCCTGGAGGTGGGTTCTCAATGTCTTGATGAGGAGCCACCATGGACAGGTAGCGTTCAAAGGTACTTAGTCTAAGGACCTTGTGGCTGTGGTTACGCTTGATGTCAACCCTGCCTGGCTCAAGGATCACCTTAGGGGATCCTGGTGTTATCGGAAACCCGAATGTCTTGAGGCCATCTTCCTTGTCAGGGGTCAGAGGTCGAGGGTCACTCTCCCCGCTGCTCTCGGCACTGTGCGAGTCAAGGTGCATCAGCGCTCTCTCCGAGTCCGCACTACTGTCCTTCGATGACACTCCCCCCTCTGCTTTCAGCTCCAGTGATCCATCATCAAAGTTCTTACTGGACACCAGTTTCCTGCGTCCTGTCCGAGGGCTTACCCCCTCTATACTTACTTCTGGATTTCTCATCAACAGGTCGCTGTCTTTATGCAAAAGACTCTCTATATCTGCATTTACGAAATCGTGCACCTTTGGTTTTTGCGTTTGTGGATACGAGCCCCCGCTCCTTGCTTTCCATCGTCGTATCTTGGCACCCTTCTCTCCGTTCCAAGCATCGTGATGGAGAGCGCCATCGCTGGCAGACTTCAGTCTCGACTCAGGGACCCCAAGAAGGTTCTCATTGCTTTCAGCTGGCAGCAAGCTTGTCACGAGAAGCTGACGGATGTCCATGATGTTCCTGGATGTTTGGAAGGTAGCCTCTTCCACCCTCATCAGTCTACGCTCAAATGATCTCATACCAAGTTTGGAGAGGTTCTCCTTCTCTACAATCTCCTCCAGTTGATACGTTTGATCCTCAGTCCTGGATTACAAAGGACAAAGAGAACTTTATTTTCATACATGAATAGGCTGGTTGATGGCAACAAGAAAATAGTCTTTGCTGTCAAAATCTGCAGAATCATCAATCAAATCAAATTCATCATTATCAAAGTCCCAGTTTGATCCATTAAAGACATTCAAGAGCCATTAAACTCTTATCAATTTCTGTGCAATATGCTACCCATCAACACTTTAACACAATCATTTGTCAAAACTTTGAGACGAGCAAGTCAGAAAAACTGTACCTGTCAGCAATTTCTCGTAGTCTCTCTTCACTAGAGACCTGCATTTGTAATTTTTTGTCCTTGAGATAGAGTTCTAAACATCCTTCTTCAAAGTCACGAACAGAATCTGTTGCCTCTCTGCTAAGGAAAAGCTCTGTGAAATAACAATCAAACAAAAAAATATCCCATTTGAGTCTCACAATTACGACACATCCAAACGTAATTAATTAATCTTTGATTTTTAACAGAATGAAGTCATTTTACTTTTGTTTGAAGTTTATTGTTATGTCATTTCAAAATCAATGAGGCTACGTACGTTCACCTTATCCTCACATCATACTGCAACAGGGTTAAAGTTACTTTGAACCATTTATTTTAAAATCCAGATAAACTTTACATTTCTATGAAACAATCATTCCAAACAGAGCTATTGATATACAGTCAAACCTGCTTTAGGGACCACCTGTATAGAAAGATCACCTGTCTACAAAGGCCACATTTTTTGTTTCCCTTGAAAATGGGCCCTCATTGAAACATGTACTAAATGAACCTGTACATAAAGACCACCTGCCTATATAGACCACTTTTCTTGTCTCTCTTGGGTGGTCTTTATAGACAGGTTTCACTGTAGTTCCATGCAATTGGTCTACACATACTTGTAAGCAAAAACAAAGAAAGATATCTTATGGAAAACAAGAAGAACCACTTACTGAGTCGGATATCCTTCTGTCTCTTCTCACACTTTCTACACTGGCAGGCCACAAACTTGAAGAGGGAGTAGAGGTAGTAGATGATTGTGAAGGGCGGTACAAGGATGGGCTTCTGCTCGTATTTCATGACCACGTGGTATCGCTGGAATTTCCAGAGTTGATTGGCGATAGGCATCACCCGCTGGAATGTGGTGCTGGTTAACAACAAAAGAAGGGGAAAACTTTATCGAATACAATTTCGTTGGATTTTATGTTTTTGCTTTGTGCTTTTAAACTGAAGAAGTCTTCTGTTTTTTCTTCTTTTCAGCGAAGCTTAGCCTATTTTCATTCCGAATGATAATGATCCATATAGATTCATGTCTGCAGACAAAAGCTGGATGCAAATTTTCTGACGAAAATTTCCAAAGATCATTCATTGATCATGATCTAAGATGGCTTGATTTTCCTATGTTTTGATTTTGTTATCACGAAAGAAAAGCAATTTGAAAATTGATTTAATTTGATCAACTTTGTAGCAAAAAGAATCAATGATGCGTTTTTAACCAATGAGACATAGAGGAGTATAAAGGATTCAATTCAATTAAAAATTACATTACCGGTAATACAAAAGATACAAAATAATTCATGAACAAATTTAGAAAATGAAATGGGGAACTATATAAATAAATTCCTTAGGCCTTGTACAAGCGTAGTTCCCAAAGCATTTATAGCATAATGTAAAGCAAAGATAACAAAAAAGAAAAAGAAAAAAATAATAATAAAAATTTAAAAAAGGAAAGAAAAAAGGATAAATCCGGCGACTTACTTGAAGAGGGCGATGAGCATGTTGACGATGAGGATGTTGGCTACCAAACAGTAGATGGACATCGCTACGGGAACGACCCAATAACCTGTCATACAAGGCTCCAGGCCAGGTCCTTCTCCACATGGAGCTACAATGCAAAACAAAATGGAACATTATAGATGTACGCTCTCTGCTTGACAAATAGTTGTACAAATGAGTTTTTTCTGACTTATTTTTAATGGAATTGGAGGAATCAGGGGCCCATTTCATAAAACTTGTTATCTATAACAACTGCTAAAGTTCTATGATAAATTTGCTTTCAGCCAATCAGATGCCATGATTTCAGTAGCTTATAACAGTAGCTTGTAACATGTTCTTGATAACAAGTTTTATGAAACAGGGCCCTAGACTTGGTAGGTTGTATCCCTGCTAAATCAAACATGTGCTCTACTCATTCAGCAGATAAAACATAATCATATAATCTTGTTCAGTCGCAACTGATGATTCATTCAACCCAATTAATTTGAAGAGATCAGGCAGAGGCTGAACATCCCAAGCACCATATGCGAAGAAATAACCAAACGTTGCTTGAAATGGTTTGCCCATGTGGGCATGCCGCATCACCGCCTACCATACCAAGCATACCAGAATGACTTTAATGGATGCAGACCTCGGGGACGCCCTCCATTGAGATGGCAGGACCAAGTTCGGTGCAATGTGGGATTATCCACACAAGAGGCAGAGCAACAAGCCCAGGACAGATCAGAATGGAGCATGATTTGTATATGGGGAGTAAGGAGACACACAGTCCTGGGGCCCCGTTTCATAAAACTTTTTATCAATAACAAATGCTAAATTTCTATGACAAATTTGCTCTCAGCCAATCAGGTGCCTTGATTTCAGTAGCTTATAACAGTAGCTCGTAACTTGTTATTGATATCAAGTTTTATGAAACAGGGTCCTGCGCATCTAAGTCAGTACGTCAGATAATCAAATCATTTGGTGGCTGTGTGGGTAATGATAACTATCATCATTATCATGATTATTTCCAATCATTGATCTTAATCTTTCTTTCATTTGTATTTTTCATTGTGTTTTTCATTGTTGGTCCATACTGAACATGTGAAAGCTGTAATGATGATGACTAGTCATTACAATCATCGATTTCATTTTCAATCATTTATTTCTCAGCAAAATATAGTTACAATCGATCTCGCAGCTAACACAACCATTACAGATCATGTATGAATCAATATTGTTTCCTGTGATTGATCCTTACTGCTAGGATTCAAGAACTTACGATTGATCTTGCCAGCGTACACTTCTCCGTATATCATCCAGTATGGCTCGTGAAGGACCTCTCTGATCGGCCACCACGAGGGCTCAACGTCTGGGTTGAGGATAGACTGACGGATCACGCCAAAGCTCACCAGAATGATGATCAAAATTATAAGGAAGTAGCACATGTCCCGTAGCTAGAGATATACGATAAGGAAGAAATATTAGGTTTTAGAAAGTATTAGAAGTATTAGAAATATTAGGCTTGATGGATGGCTGTAAAATGTTTGACTACCGTAATTAACGGTGTATAAACCGCACCTTTTTGCCGCCGAAAAAAATTCAAAGTCAGGGGTGCGGTTTATAAACGGTACACCAAAAAAAAAAAAAAAAAAAAAAAAATGCCTGGCAATGTCTCCCAGCTAAATCAGTGTGTTTACTCTCCACTAGGAAACTAGAACAACACTCGAATTTGTCTGTCATTTTGGTTTGAAAGTAATCTTTCTGATAGATCTCAATATTTAGTTTATAATAATAATTCCTACACACGGTGTACCACAAGGTTCTATCCTAGGTCCACTTCTGTTTTTTTAATTTACATTGATGATCTAGTACACATTCAGCTGCACCTCGCAGAAAAGCCTTCCCACGTGGGTTTTTTTTAACACGGACCTGGCTTGCTGCCGACAGAGTCAGAAAAAGAGGGGTGCGGTTAATACACGAGGGCGGTTTATACAATGTTAATTACGGTACTTATGTTGGCATTCTTGTCTATATGAGTTTCCATGGAATCACCCCCATCATGGGCCAACTTCCCCAAGAAAAACCATCAGGTGCTGCATAATGAGCATTCCAATCAAGGACTTCAAAACAATCATCCCCTCCCCAAAATGGAAACTTCTCACGATATATTTTCTTCTCGCACACTTTAAATGCTCAATGATCAATGGCACGCCCTAAACAGAGCAACTTGAATGTCCTTGTAATAAGTACACGTATCCAAATTCAACAAGGAAATATGCGGCACAGAAATGATACTCAAATTTCCGCAAAATTAAATATGTGACTTGGGAACCCGCACCACCAAATTAATAGCAATTAAAATGGGAACGGAATTCAATGCGTAAAAGAGCTAAGCTTATCGAAAAAAGGACAAAATCCTTGATTTTAAATGTGACTCAGCTGTATACGATGTCTTTCCGGTAGGCGAGAATAGAAAGAGGATGAATGGCGGGCGTGCGATGTGCACATGAATCCTGGGAAGGCGATGTATGGGGGTGAGGCATGCGCGAATTTGACGTTTTTAAAGAGTTCTCGATGGTAGTGTAGTTTAGATGAACTAGCAAATAATAGGTAGATACATTGATTTATTGTGGTAAATTCTGATGTACGTGAGAACAAATGTGATGAATAGCAACTAAGAACTCTCGAAAGCCCATATTCTAAAAGCCGAGTGGTTTTAAAATAACCATTTAATATATACCGGGGGGGGGGGGTGTGTCACAAAGACTCTAAGTTGGACTTACAAATTATGAAGAGCCATTTGTAGCCTTTAAAAATAATATATTTAATAGTGAAAATTCAAATATTTTTTTACTTTTCGTAAATTCCACATCAAGAACATGAAATCTCGCATGATAATTGAAAATTTGAATGATTTGAATCAACATTTGTTATGCTTTTTAAAATAACTTGTACAAAATGTGTTCAAAAGTGCTTATGGCTTTCCCTTATTGAGAGGTAAGTTCAACTTAGGATCTTTGTGAAACACCCCCTGCTATGATACAACAATTATTTGTGATACTCAAGATTCAACTCACCATTTTACCGATCATGTTGATGAGCGGTCCCAGATAGTTGCTCACACTGAGGATCTCTAGGAACCTCAGATACCATAGAACAATCACCACGCAGTAGACCACTCGGCCTTCCAGATGAGTTGAAGGCGTCATGCGAAGGATGAACCCCGTCATGAACGTTATGATGGCAATCACGTCGTGGATGTTCCAGAACACCGAGTAGAAGACACGAAACTTGTGGGAGAGTTTGGTGGGCTCCGCTAACATGAGCTAAAGATATTAAAATGAGTGGTAAATTTGAAGGTTAGATTGGTCCTTGCTCTATAGTGAATAGTGAATCTCTTTTGAAAGAGACGTTATAACTGAACTCTCTACAAAATTGCTTCAAACTTTAAAGGGACTTGGTAACATTGTTCAGACGAGAGAAAATGATGCTGTTTTATGAAACTTGTTATCAATAACAAGTTACAATGATTGTTATAATAATAATAATAATAAGCTTTTATATAGCGAATTACAATTACAAGTCTCTAAGCGCTCCCAAACTTGATTATTACCCCGGCTTTAGCTGTGTTGCCATTACGTTGCTCTAGCATTTCAAGGAATTAATTCCTGCCATAAGTTTCTGAAATCATGGTATTTGATTGGCTGAGAGCAAATTTTATCATAGAAATTTGGCATTTGTTAATTGATTTCAAGTTGGATGAAACAGGGCCCAGAAGAAAACAATCCAATCCAATCCAATCCAGGAATTTATAAAGCGCAAATATCTAGTTGCCTAATCAAAGGCGCTGATGAGACTGAAAAACCACAAACAAATGTATGTTCATGATTCTAACTGGGGAAGACAAAAGAGCAGTGACTAATTGTAAGCAATCTGAAATAGGTATGTTTTAGTTGAGTTCTGAAAGAGGACAACCACATATCAACAGGCTGGTTTACCTCTCTGACGTGCTCCATGCCGGTGGTGATGATGTAGAGGATGACGATCCATTCGAAGAACGAGGGCATTGCTTCCATCCGAAACAGGCACACATAGTTATACATGAACATGAACACTACATAGAAAATCTGGGTGCAAGATGGAGAAACACAGATTCATAGCATTATAAATGGGTGTTCATCCAACATAATCATCATACCGAAACGTGAAAATGAGGTGTAAAATCTGGATGCAAGATGGAGAAACACAGATTCATAGCATTATAAAAGGGTGTTCATCCAATATAATTGTCATACCGAAACATGAAAATGAGGTATAAAATCTGGGTACACGATTATGAGTAGTGATAAAGAATGAAAACATTTTGGGTACAACATTAGCAGGATCTTCATCAAACACATGTATCATACTGAAAGATTAAAGTGAAGTACAAAATCAGGGTGTAAATACATGTACAGTGTGAATAATATAAAGGAAAATGGATGATATGGCCTGAAATGATACAGTCTGGATTAAAGCAATTCTCTGTGCGATAATTGTTCACCTTCAAAATAAACATTCTTTTAGAAGATCAAAATGCAAGGAGACAGATGAACAGTCGATTTATAAAAACAGAAAAGTGTGTCAATTCCATTACCTGAGCTGGGCCCGTTGCACAAAACTTACAATTGATGGTAACTAAATTTGTCATCAATGGCAGCTACCATGGAAACCTTGAGTTTGATTGGCTGTTGAGCCCTATTACCATGGTAGTTGCCATTGCTGGCAAAGTTACCATCAATGGTAAGTTTTATGCAACGGGCCCAGATGATGCACAAATCTGTATTTCTAGATAGCACTGATATTGTTATAAGTGATGAAAGAAAGTGAGCAGAAAGAGAGCAGAAAAGAAAGCAGTTTGAACTCACGGTGTAAGACCAGAACTTGGTGACGGGGGCATTGAAGAACTCGTAGAGCTTCTTCCCTCCACTCAGCTGCCGTTTCTCAGTGGTCCTAGTTGACTTTTGGGGATGCAAGGGTCCATCCATTGGATCGATGTCCTTGGATGTCATGGTAAGCCGTTGACGAAGGCCTTTCCTCTCCTTGGAAATATACATGGACTGCTTGGAAAATAAATTTAAAAAAAATATATATATATTTTTTGTTTATCCAGGGTAGCTTTACCAGTATTAATACTGTTCTCCCTGAGATCATTACCCCGGCTTTAGCCAAGCTACCATGAAAAGGGGCTCAAGTGTTCAAGGAATTTCTTCCTACTGGGTACCCATTTACCTCACCTGGGTAGAGTGTGGCAAATGTAGATGAATGTATATACAGAATGATAGAGGCAATGCTTTAATGGGACTTCTGTATGCATCTCTGTTTCTCTTCCTAGCTCCCCCCCCCCCACCCTCTCTCTCTCTCTCTCTCTCTCTCTCTCTCTCTCTCCCCTCTCTCTCTCCCTCTCTCCCCCTCTCTCTCTCTCTTTAGTACATCAATCAATATTCCTTTCATCCTCAATACAATAACAACATTAACAGTTAAAGAATCATATTTTTTTTTACTTATCTCTTCTGCCCCTCAGCTTTTAAATCATTAAAAAAAACATTTGCTGATTCTGTTATTTAAGGAAAATACCAGTTGCAATGAGGATCATAACCATTACAGGAAATTAAAGATGAAGTTCATTTGAAACACACATTGGCATTCTCACAAAACGTGACTCAAAGTTGCTTGTTGTTTTATTTGTTTACAGCTGCAATGTCGGATAATAGGATTCCTCCTTTTCACTTTGATGTATCCTCAATTCATCATGACTCACTGGTCAAGGATAATAAATGGTCAAGGCTGATGAATGGTCAATAGGGATTCCATGAAATTTACAAGAGGTTCGTTTCCGATAGAAGGTTTCATATCAATTAGACCTAAGCAAAGCAAAGTCAGAATTCCTTGCAATGGATTTGACTCATCGTTATCTTTGAACCCCTTCATCACCCCCTTCCAAGTATAATGTCATCTTTTATTACACTCAATATATGCTGGATATTTGAAAAAGGGTGGTAACTAAACAGCATGGAAAATATGGCTGTGATAGCAAATGTCACGGATCAGTGTCAGGTTTTATCCTTTCTATTTTAAGAAATAAAAGTCTTTTGCACAAAGGAGGCCTCCTGATCAAACTTCAGAAGCTAAGGAAGTGTTTGGAATATAGTACCATGTATGTTGAAATAAAGACATGTTTGGATAAGATGTGTCACTGGTCCAGACATGGGGGGGGGGGGGGGGGGGGTCAAATGTACTTTTCATCCTTGGCATTGCCTTGCAATTCATTTTCCTATTGTAATCAATGACATTAGCCTCTATTCTATGGCAGACATAGCCTGACTGACCATCAGGATAAAAAAGGAATCATACCCCAAAAAATCCTGATCTTACCATGGAATCTTCTCCTCCTCCTTGATGTTATGTAACCTAGTAAACGATGAGCATTACATTTTTTTATTTATTTATTTATTTATTTATTTTTATTTTTTGGGGGGGGGGGGGGGGGGGTATAAATGTAATTTTGATTTTCCAAATGTAATTGCTGACATGACCCTCTATTCTATGGCAGACAAAGCCTGACTGACAATCAGGAGATAAAGAAGAGAAATCATAAACATTTTTTCCTCCCTTTTTTCCTTTCTTTCTAATTTGGTATTTCTTTTTGATTGTATCATATTTACTTTGTAATGCACTCAATTCAACTGTTGAACTGCCATGTGGTTTTTAATAAATACCTTATCAAATCATAATAAAAATCCTGATCTTACCATGGGAATCTCTTCCTCCTCCTTGATGTTATGTAACCTAGTGAAGGATGTAGATGATTCAATGGAAGGCCTGTCGGCATCCTCTACATCCTGCATGTGTTCCTCCAGGGTTTGGGGCATGAGGAGCAGCTCCTCCGTGCTCTTGAATCCGATGGCGAAGATACAGACAGGGAACAGAAGGCTGGTTATCACCTAGATGGCAACAAAGAGAAACATCATTATTAGCTAGTGTATTGCGAATGAAGAGGTGTTGCATCAAGCTCAAGAAAAGCGGGTGCTGCTTTAAATGATCAGAGAGAGACAGAAAAAATGGCTTGGACACATAATGCGGCATGATGATCAGAGTCATAAAAGGTCGTCTACATGGAAAGAAGAAGGGCGGAAGACCTCTTAAAGGCTTTCTAGATGATTCAATCGAAGAATGTGGAGCAACAGGATATGAAACGCTGAAACGGATGGCTCAAGACTGAGGTACTTGGGGAGACACTGACAGATCACTATTGATGATGAGTGTGTTGCGCTACTTTTTTTTGCAAAATGGGTACTTCACATGGGTGAGAGATGTTATTACTAAAATGGCAATCCATTTGTTACATATGGGCCCTGTCTTATAACAAGCTGTGGCTGATCCAGAATGATCACTAGTCCTCCAATCAATCTCACACTTACATACTCCAATCTCTGAGGTACAGAGTTGAGGTTGATACATGTATCAATTTGAAATCTATTTGAATCAATCGGAACTGTTATTAGGCATAGCCGAGGTATATGCATTGTTATGAAACAATTAAGCTCTTTAAAGTTTGGGCTTGGAAGGCTTGCAGATCAAAATGATACTCGTGATAGAACTATATCACAGATGTTGTAAAATTCTAACCCATGAAAAAAAGTTTCTTAAATTTCAAATATGTCAGGAAATTAAGTGGTTGGAAGATTGCACGATGTTAATTGCAAAGGAAACATTTTACAGCCCACACGGTCACGTACAGTACCCCAACGTCCGCACCCCGGTGACTTAAGCTCACACATGCCTGCTATTCCCCACTCCTGATAACGGATAGTCGACCTGTTCGAAACGTCGAGCCGCTCCTACCATTCATCCTCTCCAACCGGAACTATAGTTCTCCTGAGAACTACAATCTAAGAAAGATAACCAACAGTCTTTTTCAGGACTACACACACTCAAGAAAGAAAGATTACCGAGAGTCCTTTTCGGGACTCCCCAATCCTCCCCCTCTCTCACATGGTGCAACCGCATGCCTACTGTATAAGGAAATTTGTTGCCGAAAAAAGATATATAGATTCATACAGATATAATCTTTTCAAAATATCCATGTATGTGTTGATCATTCCTGTTAGGTGAGCAAATAGTCCCCAGGGCTAAAACTCCCTCCTTGATCACCCATCTACGGTTCAACCTTGTCCTTTTCACCTTGACGTTGATGTACTTCTTAAAGATAAATTTGAGTTCTGGTCATGCAATTGCATTGTGAAACAAATGGTGTGGAATCAATCAGAAAAGATTGATCATCTAGCATATAAGTATTGGTGTGTACTGCAAGGTTCTGAAATCATCAAAATGATAAGGAATTTGCCCCATTCTTGGTAAAAGTAACAGGCACTGTACACAGAAAGATGTATATGGGACTACATGTCATCTTTAGATTATGAATGCATTTGAAGAGCCATGCTTTTCAGGGATCATTTTTTCGATGATACTCTTTGACACCGCATTATAACAATGAAAGCGCTCACAAAGTAATTTTTCACCTCTTCCAAGAACTCAACCTTCTCTTAAAATATCCATCTACAGTTCCGCCTTGTCCTTCTCACCTTGATGTTGATGTACTTCTGCGCCTGCATACCACCATGCCATAGATCATTGAGTAAGACCTGACAGCACGCGTGAGCCATGAACTTGGTATGCTGGGCCATGGCGGCCAGACTCAGACCGGTATGCTTGCTCCAGTTGTCCAGCTGAACGGTCAAGAGTTGCATGGTCAGTGCCTCGTCCTCCTTGTAGCACTGATCCAACAGGTCCATGGCCAGGTCATTGAATTCCCTGGAAGGAAGGAAGGGGAAATGAATGTGTCATTATACATGTATCAAAAGGATCTCAAGACTGATTGTATTCTCAAAGACTTGTGTGAACTGCTTAACGCTGTACAAAATAAGACAGTGATATTTGGGTACATCTTGAGATTGAGATCTACACCTGTAGACCCTATTTTCATGTAGCTTGTTTCAATGATAAATAAACAAACATTTATCTGCAGGAACTGATTATCTGCATAATGTAGAAGGATAATAATACTCGGAATGAATATGACTACATTAAGATGTGTTGTACTGCATTAAAAAAACATTTAGAGTAGATGCAGTAGTCATTCCTTTTTGCTTTTTTGCTTAATGAGCAGATTAAAGCCTTACACCAGCTATTGATATGGAAGGCTGATACACAAATATCTTCAGTTGAAACTAATTCGAATCAACTTTGATTAAAAATGAGTCTGTCTCTAACAATGCAATATTTCTGGTTTGAAGCTTTGGCAAAGGATTCCATCATAGCATGCTTTGTCAAATACCTCTAGATATCCTAAATGATGTCACTTACTGAGCATATCTCCTCAGCTCTCCGCTGATATCAGCGTCCAGGTTAATGACCTCCGCTGACTTGGCCATAGCACGGTAGAGCGACGTCGCAACCAGCGCCTTGGCCAGAGCCTCCTCATCCTGTTGCCATAGAAACAAGGCCATGTCCTGTCGCTTGGTGAGGACCGCCCAGATGAAGAGCTCGTTGAAGGGGAAGGGGAAGGTCTTCATGTAGCGGTCAATGGGAGGGACGTTGCCGTCCGAGACCTCTCGCTCCATCAGCAAGGTGAAAGATAAACCCTAAATTATTAGAACGTAAAAATCAAATGTGGATGATCCAACGTTGGCTCTGTTGACATTTGTTCTATTTATATGTCATTGATTGTTATCATGTACATTTTCAAGAATGTATTTAAGTTAGTATTGTCTGGTGGGAGCCAGGGGAGTACAAAATAATAAGGGTTGGCATTCCTCTGGCTCTCAACAGAGAGATTAGATTTTTATCACATTGTTATGTTATTTATGTTATTTGTATTTGTTTATGATATGTTAATGTATTGTTATATTTAATGCAAATGTGAGTCGTAAGATGATTTGTATGCCTTCCTTTTATTTGTGCATGACAATAAATAAATTTAATTCGATAAATTCAATTCAGTTCAAATATATCTGATTGCAGTAGAATGGAACACTCAATATTTATCATTGGAAATATATCTAAAATGATTCACTGTTGTAATAATACACAGTAAAGAGCTTTGATCAGGGGATGATCCCCGATAAACCTCTGTGGTTTTTGATCACCCCCTCTGCAGGTTCATCTTTTGTTGTAATGCTTTTATATTTGATTGTAATTTACATTGTCTTTTATGAATCTGTGGAAATAAATGAAATTGAAAAATTGAAATTGATCAATTACTTGGAAATGATATTATATAATAATATTACTTCTACTACTAATAATAATAGAGAATTCATGTTTAGCGCTTATCTCTGTCATACTTGACACTCCTGGGCCCTGTCTTACAAAGAGTTACGATTGATCCAAATCAATCGCACATCCTCCAATCAATCGCAACTTTGCAGTCTCCTATCTCTTGTGTACATAGTTATGATTGATATCAATCGCAAATAAGTTGCGATTGATATCAACTCTTTGTAAGACGGGGCCCAGGTGCTCCACAAATATTACCTTGGCTGCCATAATAACTTTAAGGAATTCCTGACAGGTATCTGTTACCTCACCTGGGTCAAGTGTGGCAAATGTAGATTAATGTCTTGCAAAAGGACGTTAATGCTGTAGCAGGGATTGGAACCCTGTGGTTCACAGTCCGGTGACTTATCCACTGGACCACAACACAATGATCAACAGGGCCCCATTTCACAAAACTTGTCATCAGTGACATAATGACAGTCTTTGTTACAAGCTACTGAAATCCTTGCTTCTGATTGGTTTTCAGCAGATTTGTCACTGAATTTTGTCATTTGTCATTGAAAAAGGGCTTTGTGAAACGGGTCCCAGTCTAACTATCGTTTCCATGATGAAGCTTACCTTTTTAAGTGTATTCTGGTGTAGTGCTTTAAACCTTCTATCTGTGTAGCTTGATTGATAAGTCCCTCCCATAAGATTCTCAAAGACTAAACCCATGTCGTACAGGGAGTACTTCAACAGCTGGTGATTGTGCTGTAACGAGCAAAATTAGGCCACATTATTCACTTTACACTTTAAGGGTCATGTTTATCTCTTTTTCACTCTCTGGCACATTGTCTTTCTCATCTCAAAATCCATCGCTATCTCTCTATTTTTCTCTCTTTCTCTCTTCTCTCTTTTTCTTTTTTTATTCTTCTCTCTCTCTCTCTCTCTCACTTTTTCTCCTTTTCTCTCTCTCTGTTTCTCTCTTTTGTTCTTCTCTCTCTCTTTCTTCTCTCTCTCTTTTTTCTTCTCTCTCTCTCTCTCTCTCTAATTTAATTTCACGTAATGAGTAGACAAATTCTTCTACATCCTGGTTCTCATTATAAGAAAATTGCTTATTTCTATTATAATAAAAAAAAAAAAAAAAAAAAAAAAAAAATTTTGATACATATATTTTGTTAAAGGTACTATGTCCCATTTGCAGGCCAAAAAAATGAAAAAGTGAAATTCCAACTGCATTTGAAAGATAATACTAATTTAGAACTTCCCTAAAAAAGGTGGGGCTTGAAAATGACTTTAAGTGGGAAAATTATGACTATTAGTTGTCAAATCGACTTTAGGGCTATAGAGCCCAAAAGTAATAGTCTTGATTTTCAGACAATTGTACCGAATGGTCCTACGTTTTATGCTGCGCAAAGATTCAATCAGTTTAATCTTGGCCGTCACAAGAAGTGGGTTATTGATGTAGACAAATGCTCATGTACCCTTTACAACACTTTTTATGTATGTTATTAGCAAAGAAGAAAAAAGGCCAGTCAGTCACTCAATAGTGTCTGACAGTGAAGTCTAGCAAGTAAACGGGTTTCCTTGCATAATTTGAATATGAGGACACTGCTAACGTTTAAATTTCACAGATAGGACATACATGACATATTCATAATTCCTGCAAAGTTCTACAGCATTTGAGGTTGGCTGCAAAAGGGACATAGTACCTTTAATGGACAATTTTAAAGAATAGTAAAATATGATAACCATTGGTAAAAACTTGCTTTTCACTGTAAGCTGTATTCCAGCAAAAGTGACTGTAATTTTCTTCAATTGTATTTAATACATAGCAACACTTTTTTTCTTCAATATCGTAAACAAAATGAAGGTTGAATTGAATTTAACTATATTTGATTTCAATCATTGTAAAAATGACATTATACATTGTTGTAACACATAGGCAAAGAAAAATACATTGAAATATAAAAATATATACATTGGAAAAAGAAAGAAGAAAGAAGATAAAAGAAGACATGATTAAATCTATTAATAAAATAGGATGGAAAAAGGTGCATCCGTAAAAGCCACAGGGGCTTGATGAATGGGCACTCCCTGAGCATGTCACAATATAATTAACAAGGTCATGTGAAGGAGAAAAAAAGAAACCACAATAGCTGACCTTTCTGACTTCTTTGACCAAATATGGCAGTGTATTGGCTGGACCTTGTTTCTGTATAGATACAAAAAAGGGTACAATGGATCAAGATATAAAAAATGACAAGGAATATACACACAGGAAACATAAGATTGGTTTTAATTACTATTATCAAATGCCAAGCTAGTTTTTAGTTCAAACCACTCTGTCATAAGTATCGGTAAACTAAATTTGATTTAACAGTGTACATCTATACATACATTACAGCTTGGTTCTGAGATTAATATTGGGGGTCATTACCTGTATTAAAGGGATCCGGTAACTTTGTCTCAGATTTTGAAATAAAATTCTGGATTTAGCTCATGATGCAATGATAATTATAAACCTTTAGGTCACTCAGGAACCCCATGACTTTTACAAGCCGATCGCCTGTCTGATTATCAAGATATTTATGATTGGAATTACAAATTTTGAAAACCGTTCGCCTGACGGTTTTCATAACACTACAGTCTATTGAAGAAAACGAGTATGGTAAAACCGGTCACTTAAAGATTTTAACTTTTTTGAGGCACTTCTTGATCATTTTGAAGCGCAATTTTTTTAGGGCTTCAATATTACACCATATCACAGACACTGATAACACGTAGGGCCGTGTATCTCAGATTTAACATTGTTAAACGATCCCTTTAAGAAATCATCACAACATTGGGTCACTATACACATACAGCTGTGCAAAAATCATGTGCTCTTTGTCTAATGTTGATACATAATAAAAGCAATTTTCTTTCAGGCTCATTTCCAAATTGTCATTAATTATTAATTGTCATTAATTAAGAGATATATCAGGATCCCTTTGCTTGATCTCATTTTTACATAAATATTTATACAGAGCCCAAGAGGGAATAATACTTTAACCCTTTAAGGACAAAATTTATTTTTTAGGTCTTAATTAATTTGTTCTTCAAATTGGCAACAATTTTTAATTTTTATTGCTTCAATGATAGAATAAGTGCAATATGTCTTTTAAAGGAATATACATGAGCGAGAATGTTGGATAAAAAAAGTTAAATGGCCAGTTTTGATCAAAAAACAATAATTTTAATCTCTCAATATTGGCAATATAAAGATCTCAAATTTAATTTTTATTTTTAAAATTCCCAGCATCAAATGCAGTATAGGCATGAAACAAAAATGGATGCAGTGTGTGCAGAAATTTGTGCCCTTTCGGATACTCGTGTATCTGGTATATTTTTTAAGGCTCTGAACCAAATGTTATTGAGCCAAACCACAAAATATGAAAAAATTGTCGCAAAATGGTTAAAATACTGCTGTAAGTCCTTTTCATACATTCATTTAAAGCCTGTCTGCACTAGTTTGGCCAGAGGGAATTAGACCTCCCTACAAGGTCACTGACAAGTGGTTATCTCATTGAATCAGTTCCCAATTAACATAAGAAAAAGGCACTGATTAGGCATTGTTTGCTATACAGAGGGGGAGGGGCCAGGGAGAATTAGACCTCCCTGCAAGGTCACTGACAGGTGGTTATCTCATTGAATCAGCTCTCAATTAACATAAGAAAAAGGCACTGATTAGGCATTGTTTGCTATATAGAGGGCGCAAGTAGTTATAAGTAGTACAGTGGGGTTTTAATTGTTCATTAAATGAATGAAATGAAATTAATACCGTGTTGTAGAGATCTTCTAATCTGGCAACGGTCAAGAACTTGTGCATGTTGACTCCATTGTCTTTGAGAAGTTTGACAAATTCCACCTTGTTGTTGGTCAGCGCATCCATCATCACCTGGTCAAGAACTCCTTCCTATATTAAAAAGAAAATCTCAAAATTTTACAACCCTCTCCTACCCAAGCAAGATTGAAATTACAGGATTGGAGAGATTACCTCCAACTTTTATAATGCCCCACATGTATCTCTCATATTCTAATAATTTTTTTTTTTTTAAGAAGTTTTGATTTAAGTGTATATAACCAACTCTCTTTCATAAGAAAAATATCATTCAAACTATAAAATTAAATGTGTATTGTATATTATTGATACAAGAAATACAAAGAAAACAAACAATATTAAACATCTTACAATATATTGATGTGTTACGAAAACTGCATAAGGACCAGGGTCATATTTGATGCTGATCCCACTTTTTAGCCGGAACTCAAAATCAAAACTAGGGACCACTGCCAAATAATTAGACAAACGGTTATGTAACAAGACAATGACTCCAGATAAGTAAGCTGTTTATGTGGAAAACCTGAAGAACAGAATACAACTTGAATGAAAGGATAAAAGGAGATGAAATTAGACATGAAAGATATAATGGGCAGGTGGATACCGGTTGACAATGTAACTTCCGGAATTGACTGACCGGCTGGCCAATGTCCATCATGGACCTGTTTCTTAGCAATGTCCAGCCAAGATAGGCCCACACTGAAGGCCTGTCTTCATCAGCTCGAGTTTGCCAACTCTTGTAAGACAGGACCCTGGAGTCAAACAACCTTTGGTATTTAAAAAAAATGAGCTCCTGTTCTGCAGAAAGTTTTTTTTTTTGCTTTTAAAATAAATCAGTGTATTTATGGGACATAAAATAGATGTGCCAAACCACAATTGGTAACATGCTGTCCTTGGTGTGACGTGTCTTTTACAGTCCTGACTTCATCAGCTCCAGTTTGCCAAAAACCTGCTATTTTCAGACTTGTGATATTATGCCAAAGCTCAAAACTGCATTTTCACCAGACTGATACGTTCATCACAAACTAGCTCAGACGGGCGCAAATTAGCACGCTTTTTTCCAAATAGCGGGATATTTCGGAAATGAGACCAAGATTTCTCAGGATGTTTTCTATCCCGCTAATTGCAACTGCGGGCTGATGAAGACTCAAATTAACTGGCTAATTTGCGATCGAGATAGTTAAAATAGCGGGTTATTTGGCAAACTCAAGCTGATGAAGACAGGCCTTGAGTAGGGCCCATCATTTACATGGATATCAGGAAAGTATTTGGAAGCACTTACCGGCCAGTCTCTACCATGCACAAAGATCTGTTTCTTAGCAATGTCCACCCTGTTCCACGATAGGGCCATATTGAGCTGGTCCGAGTAGGACTTGGTCTGGGCCTTCAAGAGAGCGGTCAGGATGGCAAGATCAAAATCTTCAACTCCTTCTGTACCCAAGCAGAATACAGTGATCTGCAAAGATTTAAAAAAAATGCAATTACAAAGTCTTCTGGACATTGATTACCTAAAGAATGATTCTACGATCACAGTAGCATACACGGTGAACCAGAATGGGATAGTATAACTGCCATTTTACAATAGATGAAGTTAAAAAACATTCGGTTGAATTCTTTTTCTTGTTTAATATTCCATTTTCCTTCTGCTAATAGATGGAGCATGTAATCCTCCATATTGTTTCCCACTTGCTGATAATTTGTTGATAATCTGTTACCTGTATTTGACTGCTTATCTTCATGGTAATGATCATAGACTTGACAATTAGTAGTCCAATTTGTAGTCTCTAGACTGCCTTTTTTAGTGTGTTGATCAAGGAGATGTTATTGTCTGAATGTTTGTTTTAGCTGACTGCTATAAAGAAAGCATGTTTATGCTTGTAAGTCCTCTCTAAGGGACTTGGTAATGAGGATTAATGTCATATTTTTACTGCGACCATAGAGGGCAATAGCACAACGACTTGGTTTTTAACACAGGACCTCCCGGTTATGAGATCACTGCTCTACCACCGAGCCATCATGCCTCCTGCTGTTTGGAGCCAGAAGGGCATTAACTCATATCATATCACACAGAGTTAATGCCATTCTGGCTCCAAACAGGTTTTGATAGTAAACTATTATGACATGACAAGTGACTCACCATTTCTTTGTTCTTCATACACTGCTCAAGCTCGTGGTAAAGCGTCTCACTCTGTACGAGTGTGAAATCAAACGTGTGTTTGATCGTTTCCAGCAGCTGCTCTTTCAGCGGAGCCGATAACGTCCTGGAAAAGACAAAAATATGAGAAGAACCGGTAGCCGTTTTGTACAAAACCAGGTCTGAGTAAACTGGTAAAAGCAAATGCAAACAAACCCATAATGTGCTGAAAATCTCATTCACTGAAATATACAGCTTCACTCATGCACAATGTGCACCATATCCACTCCCTGGGGAGTATTCCCACCTTATGGTCCCTGTGAGGGCATATAGCAATTACTATCACAAAGGTTATTGTCATCCTACCAGGTCAACCATTTCTCTCCCGGGCATAGAGTGGAAAATGTAGATTGATGCCTTGCCTAATGACAGTGACACGTCGGGGATTGAACCAATGACCTTTATATTTTCAGTCAAGGTTCAAATCACTCAACTACGACACCTCTACTATCTGCTAACAAAAGAAAATATGATCAACATAGAGCAATGGAAACAGTGGACTAAGATGAACCAGGGCCCCATTTCACAAAACTTGTCATCAGTGACAAATGACAGTTTTTGTTATAAACTACTGAAATCCCTGCTTCTGATTGGTAATCAGCAGATTTGTCATTGGTTTTTGTCAATTGTCATTGAAAAAAAGGCTTTGTGAAAAAGGGCCCTGGTTAATTCAGATCAATCACATCTTGATACCAATCATTGCTCCGTCTGTACTAAAGAGATTTTTATGACGGTGTGATTCAATGGAGGACATGCAATTATTCAGGTGTGTGTGTAATTGGGTTTTTACAGACGTGTATCAATCAGATATGATTATTTACGTCTGGGGACCGACCTTTTACGTCACCAACCGAAAGACGTGACTCGATCAGTTTCGAACCTGCATCCTTGGCTGAATTAAGTTTGTAATTCCATTGTGAGCTGGATTACAGGCGCACGTCACAACACCCTGTTGGATCGAATGCAGCTCTTTATATTAAAGACAGAGCTCAGGTTTAACTAAATTTGCTTTCAAAACCATTTGCCTTTCATTTTGAATTAGCTGGAACTTTGATTGGATTCTAACTTAATTGGCAAAGTACATTCAGTATGTGAATAAAAAGAAACCTCTAGCTTACCCACTATCATTGCTGTAGGTGTGCATGAATGCGATGATATCCGCTGCCCTACCCGTACCATCGAACTCGACTCTTTATAAGACAGAGCTCAGGTTTAAACTAAAATTTGAATTCAAAACCATTTGCGTTTCCTTTTGAATTAGCTGGAACTTTGATTGGATTCTAACTTAATTGGCAAAGTACATTCAGTATGTGAATAAAAAGAAACCTCTAGCTTACCCACTATCATTGCTGTAGGTGTGCATGAATGCGATGATATCCGCTGCCCTACCCGTACCATCGAACTCGACTCTTTATAAGACAGAGCTCAGGTTTAAACTAAAATTTGAATTCAAAACCATTTGCGTTTCCTTTTGAATTAGCTGGAACTTTGATTGGATTCTAACTTGGCAAAGTCATGATATTCAGTATGTGAATAAAAAGAAACCTCTAGCTTACCCACTATCATTGCTGTACTTGTGCATGAATGCGATGATATCTGCTGCCCTCCCCGTTCCATCAAAGACTACGACGGGTATAGGTGGATCCCCGCTGACGTTGGCTAGTACTGTACGAACCACATTGGCTCCACCTTCCACCACCACGGTAACGACAGGCACCTGACGTCCTAGAGATAAGAGATCAAGATCAATTTATTTTCACTTTAAAAACAATTTACAAATCAATAACATATACATAAGAATAATAGTGGCTGGATCATGAAAAGCACTATTCGGCTTATTGAAAATGACCCCTTAACAAGTATACACATAACATATTATACATTGTAAGAAAATATCAAAAATTATAACAGGATATATACATAAGAAAAACATCATAATGAAGTATTTAAAGGTGATTTTAAGGACTGGTCTTTTCTAGATGCAGGATGTCTACAATACTTGTTATAAGTTTGTATATTACTATATCCACCACCACACAAATCACACGAACTGTGAGAAATATTAAATTACAGTCAAACATTAGCATGGTGGCTAATCAGCTCTCTAACCAACTACGAAATATGAAACAATGTCCATAAACGGAATACACTCTGTACATACAAATATTCATATTATCATATTTGTAAGTCATGCAATGCATTGTGAAAGAAACTATCAAAGCAAATTGTTTCTGAATGGCCGATCAAACAGTAAGTCAGTAAAATTGTGTATTGTGAGTGTGTGGGGTCATCAAATTGACGTAATCTTGATGAAAATTATAAACAATGAAAAGCCCTAAATATAGGTATATGGGTCTCCACTAACATATGTGGGATAGAAATCTGGTGCTTAGTTTTTCAACTGCGTGCATTTCTTGTCATACTGTATTTGAGATAAGAGAGCATTTCATAAGCAATCTTTCTCATTAAACGGGGGGTTGTGACGTCTGCCTGAGATCCAGCTAACAATGGAAGTTACAAACTGATTCAGCCAAGGACGCAGGTTTGAAACTTAGTCACTACTTACAGATGGTGACGTTATAGGTCGGTCCACAGATGTAAATAATCATATATGATTGATAGACGTCTGTAAAAACCCAATTACACACACACACACACACGCTCTAATGATCTTCCACATGGGACTCAAAAGAATGAGAAATATAAAAATTAAAAAAAAAATCATCATTTTTCATCATTGTTTTTCGACCCTCTCAACCTTCAATTCAATTGGCATCACGTATTCTAAGTGCTATCACACGATAATAGTGTGTGTGTTTGTGTGGCACATACATACATTGTACACTGTACATCATTGAAAGGATGTGCCTTATATGGACGTGATGGGACGTGATGGGACGTGATTCAGCGCTCCTAAATTTTATTGTCGCCTAGGTAACATTTCCCTCCAGACTGTACCCAGGTTATAAAGCGGAAAATGCTTTAAAGACCGTCAATACTACTGTGCCAGAAGCGATTTGACCACACCGCGAGGTCACTGACAGGTGGCTATCTCATAACTCAGCTCTCAACTATCATAAGAAAAAGAGGATCATGGGGGATCAACAGGCACTGATTGGGGAAGTTTTCTATATAGAGGGAGCAAGTAGCTACAAGTAGGACAGTGGGGCTTTAAAGAACTCTGGTCCAATGTGATACCTGATATAACAAGATAGTTTTGCTGGTCCCAGCTCTTTACATTCTTATTTTTATTTGATTGATTGTTTTCTTATAACCAATATAACAAGGTAATTTTCATGGTCCCTATGTCCTCATCATAACAACTTTCCACCTTACCATAAATAGGAAATTGTCATTTGTCCTCCAATAAAAAAAGAAAAACAGCCTGCTCAGTCATTAAAATTGAGAAAAGTGATACTTTTATTTTGTGTACAGAAACAAATGGGAGAGAAGTCCTTATAATACATCATAGTGTATCAGATTTCCATTACAGTATCGCAGGTGTGAAATTGCCAAGTTTCTTGTTTCATGGCTTTTCGAACTTTCACAGCTCTGATTTTTATGATTTTCCTGTTTTTTCATCCAAAGCACAGGAAACGTGCTCCCATGTTCGGATTAGTAACCAGGAGCTGACAATCATCTTTTTTCAGGCATCACAGCCTATTGTCTAGCACTATTCCTACAGGGGATGTTTTTTTTCCCCGGCATGTTGACTGCTGATTTTCTCACATCTATCGACTTAGTACAGAAACTGAGAGACTTTTATTACCTTAGAGACTTCGGTAAAAAGCACCGTTTTTACTATTATTATTGAACCATCCAGTTCCTGGAAACCATGGGTTACAGACCTTTTAGCTGACCTGCTTACCTTTGGAGTTCAAAAACTGTATTATTTTGTCCCAAAAGTTGTATTTTTAAAAAACAAACATGGATCAATGCCTCTGAATACAGTTCCTACATACAGGAACAAATTTTTGTATGGATCATTGGTTGAATATGCATGATTTCGTCATGACTGGTGTGTTCGATGAACGAATGAACATCCCCAAATTGCCCATGTCAGATGCTCGTACGTTACTTTACAGGACAGAATGGGCATTTTGACATTGAAAATGGCACACACACATACAAAATACAAAAGAAAAATAAAACAAAATAAAAAATTGTACTATCGTATTTTCTTCTAAAAATCATACAAAAAACGATTAAATTTTACTGGTTGGCAGGTCTGTGTTAGCTCTTTCTTTCAAAGAAAATTCAAAATGAGACCCTATCATTTCATTGAAATTTGCACAGCAAACATATTTTCTATCAATTGAAATTAGAAAAAATTGTGTTCTTTGACCCTGACAATACCATCTAGAAAGGCACGTTACAATCTTTAAGTTGTGGCTGTAGATATTTTCAAATCATAGAACTTACTGGTATTGACATGTTGCATACACCTGTAGACACATGTACGTACTGGGCCCCATCTGGTAAAGAGTTATGATTGATTTGGATCAATCGTAACCCTTTATGAGAGGGGGCCCAGGTCTCACTTTTGTCTGACAAGCATCTGGCACTCATACTGATCTATATCTATTAAGGGACATCAAATACTGTTCTTTGACTTAGAGGACACAGACTATACCATCAATCTGAATCAGTGGAAACTGGGGGGGGGGGGGGGGGTGATTCACATAGGTCCAAAGTTGAACTTATTTCTAAGTTGTTTTTAAGAATTATGGAAAGCCGTTAGCAACTATAAAATTATTTTTAAAGACATAAAATGTTGATTCAAATCATTCATATTTTCTATCATCAAGAAGATTTCATGTTCTTGATGTGGAATTTATAAAAAAATCTAAAATACTTGATTTTTCGCTTTTGAATATATTTTAATTTGAGGCTACAAATGGCTTTTTCTATAATTTTTAAATCCAACTTAGAGTTAAATTCGACTTAGGATCTTTGTGAAACACCCCCCTGTACTTGTAGATGGCATCTCAACTTACTGGCACTGACATTCTGCATGGATAGGTACTTCTCAAACTTGCGTCTGACCAGCATCTCACAGCCATACTGGTCAACGGTCCCATTGTCCACCAGAAGGAAGTGGGTGTGATGGCTGTTGAGCTTGAAGCCTTTGCTGACCGGACAGGCAACAGAATGGTATGGACGGACAGTCTGCAGGATGGAAGGACAGAATGGTCAATTCAATTCACGTCGATTCCAGACTCAGCTGCAAGAGCAGAGGTCCATATAGCATATTGACATGTAGATATAAACACTGAACAATAATAAGAGGGGTACATATTATTAAAACTGATATATTTCAAGAGATAGATCCTAAAGGCCAACAGAAACATTGTTACCCAGAGCAAGTGGATGTGAAGGGTACTGGCCATTGCTGACCGGGCAGGGAACAGAGTGATATGGATGGGCAGTTTACATTACAGAAGGACAGAGAGGTGTTGTGGTCGAGTGGATATGTCACCGGACTGTGGATCACAAGGTCCGCGGTTCAAGTCCCGCCGCAGCACAATTGTCCTTTGGCAAGTCGAGATTGATCTACATTTGCCACTCTCCACCCAGGTGTTACATGGGTACCCGGTAGGATGCGAAAGCTAATGTGCTTAGATTAGCAAGTGTTCGCTTGTAAAAATGACGCCTGGCTGAAATGCTCCCCAGGGAGTGGAGAATATGCATACATTGTGTGCGGGTAAGCCTGAATCCGATGACCCGGGTAATGATGTATATCTGTAAAGCACTATGATAGGGCCTGCAGTCCTAAAAAGTGCTTTATAAGAACTAGCTATTATTATTATTATCATAATGGTCAATGATGCCATCATACAATGGTAGAAAGATGGAGTGATGGTTATTGAACTTGAAACCCTTGCTGACTGTACAGGTAGTAACCAAACATTATATAATATTTGGAGAGGACAGAACAGTCTGCACAGGACTGATCAACAAAAGTACAACCCTTATAAGAAAGAACCATGGTAACCATGTTGTTGTTTTTCCAATTTCCAGCCACCATGGTAACCATGGTATCAAACGAAGACAATTAATGATAATTTCATTGTTTGATACCATGGTTACCATGGTGGATGGTAATTTGGGACAAAAAAACATGGTTACCATGGTTCTGTTTTATAAGGGAAGAGATAAGATTTATCGGCGATCATACATCATCACGGTCAACAGTAGCATTGACCAGCAGAGCAAGTGGTTGTGATGGGTACTGAGTGTGAAATTCTTGTTGACCAGACAGGCTACAAAATGGACATACATATACATATATACATACAACCTACAGGACAGGACAAAGAGCTTAACAGGGTATGCATCATAGATCATACCTCATTATATTAAAGTAGAGCAGATGTCATGAAATATGGATATCAATTTTTTCAAAACAACATCTAACCATTACCGGCCTGAGGTCAGACATTGTAATCCCCATTTACAGCTAAGTCTTCTGCGTCAGACACTGAGTCATGAAGTAATCTCGACTTACAGTAACTATAACAGTTGCCCCTTCCACGCAACAAGGTGAAACATTTCTATACCAATCTATTACCTGAAATAAAAAGTATTGTCTGTAGAACACAAATGGTTTAACATTCATTTGCCAAATACAATGCAGTAATTTTAAGCACCTTGTCACCTTTAATCGACTTAATCTGAGGCAAACATATTATTCTTCACTTTCTATCTTCATTAAAAGATCCTTTATGGCTTAACAAATAAATGTATTATTATCATTATCAATCATTTTACTTGAAATTGGTACTCTTAACTACCTACAGAAGATTGATTTTATTTGACGCTTTCCAAATCGGCAATCATTCTTTTTGAGTGACACTACTATCATGGTTATGGATTATCTTTTATAATAATAATATTAATGTTCAATTCTTATATAGCGCATAAAACATAACTGTCTTTGATCAGGCAACTAGATATTGGGGCTTTATAAATTCATGGATTGGATTGGATTCATGCACTGCGATGCGAGAGAGAGAGAAAGAGAGAGAGAGGAAAAGGAAAAACATGAAAATAATGAACTTTCACCATTTATCAGTTACAATTACCAAATCAATTACAACATTTACATGTTTACTTTATGATTTAAGACTGGCATGATCGAAACAAATAAGTTTTTAAATCGGATTTAAACTGATGTAGTGAAGGACAACATTTTAGAGACTCTGGGAGATTGTTCCATATATAGTTCTGGTATGGCATACTGAAAAGCATGGTGCCCATATATTTTGGTAGATGTAACTATAAGGGCGTGAATTAATGTTTTAAAGATGGACGAAGATTGCGAGATGGCTTGAAATACTATTTTGCAAATACATGATTGGAGCATCAGAGTGTTTACATTTATGTGCAATCGCGACTTTAAAAACGATTTCTTACAGGTAGCCATGCAATGTAAGTCATGCAAGACAGGAGTAATGTGATCTTGTTTACGTTTGTTAGGACGTCCGCGCTCCACATATGACACATGATTGCATGACACTTGCTCAGCTAGCGACAATTGCTATGCCGTAACTTCCTACACTAACCAAGGTTCTCCACAGTGCAATTTTGTTTAGGGTTGAGCGGCCTATATTCTTGTTTTTGTTTATGTTCTATTTTGTTTTTGATGTTGTTGATTTTTTTGATTATTCATATATCATTTTGTATGATTTTTTAACTAATTTAACTGTTTATGTGACTCTTTCTCATTTCATGGTGGCTGTCCAGACCAACCCACTAGGGTTTTTATACAGCAGCCAAATTCCTATTCTTTACCGGCCGTGTCAATATTTTAATATTTTGTTAACTGCAACCGAAATATAATAACTGTGTATAAGTAGTACTTGTATTATATTTACTGCATGTTGATGTTACTGTTTTTATTATGAAATTATGGAATTGAATAAATGCTGAATACATGTAACTCCAACCCTGGACTCAACACTAAACGTGACGTAATCCTAACCCTGTATATATATAAATATATATAACCCCACTCCTAACCTAAAACCTAATTGCAACCCTAACCCTATACTTTTGACAACATAAATCGAAGGGCAATTGTTACCTGAGCAAATGTGCGAGCACCAATAAATGCATATATATTCATAACAATTCTTCTATTCAAAAAGTGATCATATTGTCAAATGAAGAAGAAAAAAAAAAGATAATCACAGCATGTTACTGCTAAAACACAGACACATCAAGCCAGATTTCTTAGACACATTGAGTGGTTTGAGACTTCCTGCCAGTCTGTCGATCTTTAATAGCTTGTTAACGAGTGATGTCCCGAGAGAGTGAGTTGAATGCAAACATCCCCCCATTCACACCGACAACGAATATATATCTTCTTGCTACAAGGAAACTACATGTATAGATCGAGCTACATGGTGTGTAATAACATTTTTTCCAGTCTATACTTCATTTATAAAAACATTGTATAATGAAACATCAGAGAGTAAAAGGGGGTATATATGAGCACATTTTCAAGCAAAAACTCAATAAACAATCAGAGAACATCATCCCTGTGAACTTTATCCCTGGGTAGAACGTATCAATATCATGAGTGTATGCTCATAAGACAACTGGCACTTATCTCTTGAAACTGGTTCCTGTATACAATGTGCCTTATTTGTACTGTCTACATTGCTTTCCTTGTTTCTATGCCCCTTTCACTTAATGATTACTCTTCATATGACGTTCCTTTGAACAAATTTTGTATAAACTTGCTCTAGTGTGAATGCCCTGTACAGTCACTCACTGTCTCCCTATGAATGCCTCCACGTGATCCAAGAGGGGTGCTTCAGGGTGACAAAAAGAAAGACACAGCCAGAAAGTTGATTAGAAGAACAATCATGTTCAAGTCCTCCATCAGGTAAAAAAAAGGGTTTTGTGAAGCAGTAGGATTAGCTCAGCCGTCAACCTTTATCTACAGCCCCCTTCTTAAATTGACAATCGTTTCTTTTTTTAGTGTCACTCATTATTATTATGGTTACTGTTTCTGGGAAACCATAAACCTCGCTTTTTCTCTTTTCATAGTTCATAATTGAAAATCAAATACCAGGACGAAACAAGTATAAACAAGGATTTGTTATTTTAAAGAGACTCTAGTCATGATATTTACAAAAAAATCATTTTAAGTTCTCTTTATAATAAACTATTGAAACTTTATGATATTTCAGTATATGAGAAATAGATTTTTTTTTTTAAAGTCACACTTTATAAACAAGGATTTGTTATTTTAAAGAGACTCTAGTCATGATATTTACAAAAAAATCATTTTAAGTTCTCTTTATAATAAACTAGTGAAACTTTATGATATTTCAGTATATGAGAAATAGATTTTTTTTTTAAAGTCACAGTAAAAGTCAAACTATGCTTGTTTGAGGTTTCTATACAATTAGTGATTTTGATTTAACTTTGAAGCATTTTAAAGTTCTAAAACTGATCGGTGATCGAGGGGTAATTACGCATTTACAAAACTAAACTTTTGATTATTCACTCGGTTGGTGAGTCAAATAAACCACAAATTTCAAGATAAAAACGCACAACTTTGATACCTGAATCATGCCTGCCTGTGCATGCAGTGACTAAGTAAGTCCACCCTAATTAGCACTCAATTATAACACCGTAAATCAATAAGACCGTCCTCAGGCCAAGGCCCATGTGTGATAGTAGGTCTACCCTCATCAGCTCGAGATTGCCAAATAACCTGCTATTTTAATTATCCCGATCGCAAATTATCCAGTTAATTTGCGTCTTCATCAGCCCACAGTTGCAATTAGCGGGATATTTGGTTGAGATAATCATCCCAAGATACCTTGGGCTAGTTTGTAAAATATCCCACCATTTGTCTGGTGTGTCTTCACCAGCCCGAAGACTCGCACTATGGGTGAAAGCTGAGCAAAATATCTCAAGCTAATTTCTCAAGCTTGAGTTTTGAGTTTCGAGGTCCGGTATCGAGCTGATGAAAACGCGATTTGTAACTTCGGGCTGATTTCCCAAATCAGAAATAGCGGGCTAAATTGGCAATCTCGAGCTGATGAGGACATACCTAGTATGACTTGTAATAGTAAGACACACATGATAGCCCGGCCATGATGCAATGATGAACAGCTGTGTCTGTTTATAGGCCTTTAAAGATTCATCTT